ACAAAGATATCAATAAGGTTGCTTTCTCAGACTCATTGCAGGACATCTGCTGCAAACTTGCTGTTCATCAGTTTCTTGCACTCATCGGTCTCTGAGCGGAATCAAACCAAACAGCCATCTGCTGTGATCATATTATTATCCTTGCCTTTTCAAAATAGATATGAACTTCACTAAAAAAGGCACACTAAGAGATAAGTGCAGAGGATGTAAAGGGAATCTATTCTCTGTTCTGTCTGACTGGATTATGAAGAAATCCACCAACTGAATTCAAGGCTGGGGCTGTTGGTGTGCAACACTTTACTGGCTTTGGAGTGAACTCAACATTTATGGTCATAAAAAGATATTACCAATAAATGCATTGCTCCAACAGACTACATTTACTAACCATTAAGATTGGACAGAACATGAATCCCCATGAATGAAAATCCCAACAAACCCATAATATTATGCACAGAGCACAGCCTCCTTGTCCTTCATGTGCATGAATGAAAAGCCAAAGCAGGCAGAGCAGCAGCAAAGACAGCTAGAGTACAGAACAGAGTAGGCATCAGTAAAAATACCTGACATCGGTAAGATCAGACACAGCTTAAAAAAATGAAGCTAGGGTGGAAATGGGCTGAAAACACAAGAGATGACCTACAGGCTAGATTTGAGCTTGTTGGATCAGCTGATGTACTGTGGGCTGAGTTTGACTACCTGCCTGAGTGAAAACTAAGCTCAAATATCAAGCTTTAGAGTGAATGTCTTTGCTCCCAGACTGACTTGGGCTTAAAACATTGTCTCTAAAAATGTCAACATAGACTTCCTGATGGTAGATCTGCTGCAGCCTCTCTCTCATCTCATTTTCTTCTGCAGGTTTTCCCAAACTAAGCAAATTTTCTGTCTGTTTGTGATTAGGAAGTTAAAACACTTTGAATGCCCTCACTTTGCATTTCCCAGAGCAATCCTGTCAGCTAATGCACACATCATTGAAGCAACATTTGACTGTTTGAATGAATCCATTGTGAATAAAGTGCGTTGGATAATTAAAGTCTGTGGTGCATTTCTGTAACTGCAGCACAGCCTCTGATGTGAGCTGATGTTATTGCTTCACTGATGGTTTTTTTATCCGTCTGCAGACCCACACCATCTTCTCCCTGCTTGGCCTTGACCACGCCTACGTCACCAGCATCGGACGCCTCATTGGAGTGGTTTCTCTCAAAGAGGTCAGAATCATATCATAGATCATTTTAGTGTTTGTTTTTTTTTCTGCAGCTTGAGTAGGAAGCAAAAAAACGTATTCTTAGTTATTTCTAACCACAAAGCGTCATCTAAAGACATGACTGTCATCATTGTCACCCCTTTCATAGCTGTAAAATCACTGTCAAAATCACTGTTCTGCACATACACACAGAGGTTTCAGTCAACATCAATGATTCCTCCTTCCTCTGCCTGTTATGTACTGTGACAGACAAAAGGCTGCTTAATATTGCTGTCTCTGTCTATTGTCTCTCTGTCTGTTCTCCACCCGCCTCCTCCTCTTTCCATCTCCACTGCCTCGCAAACAACTAAAAAACCCCCCGCTCGCTCTGAATTGGCCAGGAAGTAGCGAGAGGATTGTTGCTAAGTGCAGCAGCGCTTGTCTGTCCCTGACATTTAGGCTTTTTTGTTCTGCGTTCCACCAGCAGACAAAAATCCAGCCAAAGCAGATAAAGCCCATCCTCTCCCAGTCTGCCTGTCTGTCACACAGACACGCTGTTATATCACGGCCCTGCTGCACCATGTGGTTAAACTGCATTATTCCCACCCAACAGAATGCAGAGGCTGCTCAGTTCAGAGGATCTGCAGAAGCCAAATCCTTCGACCGATCAGCCTGGAGACTGAGTTTGTACAGAAAAATAGAAAGTATAATCGCACTCTGTCATGCTGAGACCAGTGCGAGCGTAAAAGAGAGTCACATTAAACTTTAGCACAGCTCCTGGAGGGCCGGATATTGTTTCTTTTACGCACATTTAAAGGATAAATGTTTGATAGAATCCGTCCAACCCACTGTGCTCTGATTTAGAGGAAAACTGTGGTGTCTGCTTTTATTAAAGAGCAAAAATTTAACTATTCTCCTGCAGTTTTTTGCATTAAGATAAAGTTGAATAAAGTTACTGCAAAGTAGAGCTCGAAATAAGTTTTTCAATTCAGTGGGTATGCAGCTAAGAAGTCATCAAATAAAGTAAGGAGTGAGAAGATTTTAGGTTTCTAGCTAAGAATATTGAGAATAAAGTTCATATTTCTGAATTTGAGTAGTTTAGAAAATGTTTGAATTGCAAAACATCCCTTCATGTAGTGATTATACATTTTTAAAAACTCACTTGAAATAATAACATAACAATTAAAAAGATAAACCTTTGGTGCTTCTGGCCATATGCAGAGATTTTGCCTTATGCAGAGATCCTGGCTATCTACAGCTTAGTCTCCCGGTTGATGTGTCACATATCTCAACAGCTGGAAAAAAAAACGCATTTGCAAGAGGCTAACGTAATGTCACTTTTACAGCTTTTTGCCATTTGTTATGAAAGTTTTGTCTTTTTGTCGTCCTTCTGTCAAGGTTTGTTTACTACCTGGTAATGCATCCCTGCTGTTCAACCACTTGCGCAGAGCCAGGGGTATGCAAAAAATGCATAGGCTTGTTTAAGTTTGATTGAGCCGTAAACATGACCAAAAAATTTATCTCTGATCGCATTATCCAGGTTTTATGAGTATTTTTGGAAGTCCAGTTTAAATAGGACTACATTGTAATTCAAAAACACTGGATAAAACATTTTAATGAATCCCAGGATCTTCTGTCAGACATGTAAAATTCAAAACTTAATGCAAACATGATCACTTATCTGGTTTGGAGTTCCTTAATGAATATCTAACATTGGTATTAATTCAGTTTATCTCTTTCCTCTTAGTCTGGCCTGGATGAATATTTGTGACAACCCCATCGCTGAATTACAAATTACAGTTAATATACAGTTTTTGCTCTGTAGGTGGTTTGGTAACAACACAAAATCGCCTCCACACTGCTGATGGTTTATTGTCTGTGGTTTACACAAGTCTAGAAATATCTGTCCCCAAAAGGCTCCCTTGCTTTATTTACACCAATGACTGGTATTTTAAAGATTTTTTTAAAGGGAGACTGCAGCATGTAGTTACTGTGACAGGAGTGAGATGGACCCTGTGAGTAAACATACTGTTTGTCGGCGGCAAGGAGAAGCATGGACATTAATAATGTTCAACCCTTTCTGCTTCTCGATTCTCCTCAGTGAACCTACACAGATGAGAACAAAAGTCGGTCACCTCAGTTTCCAGAGCATCTTGCCCTCTGACTGTAATCATGCTCTGTGTTACAGTTTATTATCAAGGATACAGATCTTAATAGAAAACAGAACATGTGTCTGTGAAATAGAATGTAAACTACTGACATGATCACTGCAGAGCAAGGATGGTGAAGCACAAGGGTTAGTGGTTCCATTTCTACTGGGGCCACCAGTGACCGAAGCTTATCCAGCAGAGCATAATAATGGGCTGCGAATGAAAGTCTGCACTGTACAGGACAGGCTTTGAATGTGAGATGTGCTGGAGCCGCTCAGTTATGGCAAAACCATGATCCCACCTCCATCCTGTCTTCAACCACACGAATGTAGACTTTGTTGCATTTAGCAAGTTACAGTGGAGAGGAAAAACTTCCTTTACCGGCAGAAACCTCAAGCAGAACCAGACTCATGTAAGACAGCCATCTGCTGAGACTGCGCCGGGTTTGAAATCCATTACAGCTTCACCAGTCACCTGTGTTCATTTTTGTGCCTTGCTAATAGTCGTATCTTTTTTCCCATCTAGCTTCGTAAAGCCATTGAGGGCTCTGTGACGGTCAAAGGGGTGAAGGTGCGTCCTCCTCTGGCCAGCTTTAGGGACAGTGGCACCAGCAGCAGCGAGAACGAAGCCACTGAGCTCCACAAGCTGTGGGACCGCCACAAGAGCATGTCACTGCCCCGTGAACACACCCCCTCCGAATCCGACGAGAAGTCTCAGTGAGGAAAAGAGACAAGGAGGAGGAGGAGGAGGAGGAAGAGGAAGAGGTGGAGGAGGCGCTGAGATCTTTACTCCCCCAAAGCCACAAACATGCAAAAATCCTCAGGGCTACGGATCAATATTTAATTCTGGAAAGAGTTCCACTGCTACGCCAGCCTTTCTCCGTAACTCCACACGTCTCTTCTCATCCACTTCTCTCTCTCTTTCCCTCATCTCCTTTGCATCACAAGTACTACCCCCGGGAGTCTTGCACTGACCAAGCCAGACACTCCACGAGGGAGTGGAACACAACTCAACCTGTGCCCTGTTCTCCATTTTCCCTTGGGAACCCGCAGCAGAGCGAATGTGGACTAGGGACGAAGTAAAAGAGACACATGTTGGTGGAGTCCAACAAAGGGAGTGGGATCGAGTTAAAATCTGAAAAAGGGAATTTTTTTTAACAGTTTTTTTTCTTGTGTGTATTGTAAGAGTTTGAAACAAAGTTTGGACCTGCAGAAGTTTTCTCTCAGAAAGAGTTTTCCACTTGAGTCCAGAAATTCAGAAACAATGACGAGGAGGAATATTGTAAGTGTGTACTGTAAGTGTGAGTGTAACGGGTGAGCAAATGTGTGTGTGTGTGTGTGTGTGTGTGTGCATGAGAGAGAGGTAGCAAACATATGGAAGAGGGCTGAGGACAGGCAGAAAGAAAGTATATGACGAGGGGATGTGTTTTCTTTTAACTTTTGCATTTCGTATTTTTACTCAAAATGCAAAGAATGATGCTGACTTTTCGATTCAAGGTTGAAAAAGTAAGAAAAAATTTAATCAGACAAAAGACATTTAAAGATAATGACTGAAGCCTGGTTTAAACTTTTAAGTCCACACCATAGCATCCTACACCAGTGTAAGTACGATGATTGTCCTTTCCACTCTGCAAAATTTAATAATACTCCAACAAACAACTAGTTGGCAATATGATTTCCACACCGGTAACATCATCAGCTTCTGCATGTTCTCTGCAGGAAACCATGGAGACTGAATCCATGGATGGATATAATGCCACCCAGCAGACCAATCGCAGGGCTTACTACCTGAGTTGCTTTAATGCCTGTTTATATTTAAATGGGTACATAGGCATTGAGCTATGTGGATCTATGGTGTATGCTACAGTGTCTACTTGGACTCAGAAGTATAAGAACCGGGCTTTACTAACAAAGGCCATTTACAGCATCAAGAATTGTGCATCAATTGCCTCCAACATTTGGTATGACTCAATGAGCTAATTCACTTAGCATGTAGCATTAATGAAATATTTAAGCTCAAACCTCCCTATAGTATGTGCAGCTCTGTGCAGTTTGCTCTTGACTTGCAACCTGTTGCAAAGATGAGCTGTCTGCACCTCTACTTTCTGAAACACAAAGCATCATTTTGAGAAAAAGGAAAGGGTAAAATTCAAAACTTGATCAAAAAGTTATTGGTCTTGTTAACTTATTTTGCCTTTTGGATCAGGCTCTGGATTAGATTTCATATTTTTCCCCTCATCCTCTTCTTGGCACTATATTCCATCTCCAATCTGTTTTAGAAGAAATGCAAAATTAACAAAACCTTCCTCCTCTCTTCTTTGTACCTGGCCAAAATACTCTTCCATACCAGCGATAATTTTGTAAACTACTTTTTATGGCCTCATGAACACATTTCAGTCTTTGCTTTTCATTTTGAATTGTCTTATTTCAGCTGACCAGGTGGTCTGGGTTGAACTAGAATTTGCCACAGCACTATGTCTGGTCCAGCTGGTCCAGTTAGGGAGTATGGATGTTTGAATGGATGCCTTATTTTTTCTGTTTTCTCTCCTCGATTAATGCTCTTCCTAATGTCTCCACTTCTTGATGGTCAGATTGAGCGTACAGTCTATGCAAGCAGACATGCCTGTGGGCAGCAGCAGAAGCACCTGTAGCCCTTTCAGAATGTACACTCCTCACATAATGTAGCTACGGCCTTACATTACAAAGACACATCAGAGACACACAAACAAGACAGCGGTGATGCACTCGGAGAGTTTTCTGCTCATCTATATTTAGCTCTTAATAACCGTTCCTGCAGAAGGTTGGGCGGATGGAGAGCCCAGGAAGCGAGAGAGAGACAGAGAATAGGAAGCAAATGGATGGCTGAAAAAATGAAGACATCATTACCTAACCAGCTGCTCTGGGCCTGCTCATCAATCTGTCTTTGGTTTCCTCCCTGACTATCAGACACAGAGTACCCCCCTCTACCTCCACCAGATCTAATGGTTCAGAGCTGATTTATACAACACCATATAACTGATAAAAGCAGCTTGATTAATTGAATGAAGTATGGTCACTGTTGCCAGATGGTTGATAGTCAAAAAACACAGAGGGAACTATGTCAGTGATTTGAAAGCAACTGCATCAAATCAACATTTGTAAAAATGGCTGCTTTTAACATGAGCAGCAAGCACCAAGTTTAATGAGGAAGTGAAGACTGCTGGTTAAAGTCAGCGGTCAAACTGCTTACATGTACAGAGGTTACAGTCCTCAAAGTGGGCAGTCCAGGTTCAATTTCAAATTTGTGGCCCTTTGCCCTAATTTTTTTCCTCTTTTCACTGTCCTTCCTCTCAGTTTTACTCTAAATACCAAAAGAAAACTGACATTTCACATGTTTAAACGCCAAGACTGCAGTTCTGCTTATGGCCACTGGGGGCTGCTCCAAAAGTGAGCCAATCCCGTTGAGAGCCATGTTAAAACTTCCATGTAAATGTAGAAGAAAGAAAAACAGGTTTGGTCCCTTTTAAAACAATCTTAAGTAAAAGTTGCCATCAAAGGTGAGTATTTTTATATAACTCGCCTGTTTTAGTCATGTTAAGGCCTAAAAAAAAATGCATAAATAGGGGCGTGGTCACTTTAAGGGGTGTGGCCTGTATGCTCACTCTATATTCTGTATTCAAACTCAGTCTGTAATCTTATCACTCCCTAAAGCTGCAGAAGAAGTTGTAAAATGTTATTGTATCTGCACTCTCAGGACCTGACATGTCAGTTAATTAAATTATTCAAAATATTCCTGGCTTTTCCCTGCAAAAGAGATTTTTTTTTAGTTACCCTGAAGAAGAAGATCAACTGCTGCTATGCTGAAAAAATTCAAAACTGAACAAGTTTTTTTATCTCATTACTTGGCTTTTTAAAAGCTACATTCACTCAACAAGTGCAGGTTTTATTTACAGATGTTACAACCCAAAAATATCACTTGGAAAGAGTACAAAATATAGTGAATGTTGCTCGAAAAAAAATCCTCGAACTGGGCCATTATTCAAGTCAATTTTTCCATCTGGCAACATTGAGCATGTTTTTATCAGATTAATGGATATTCATTCGCCCAAAGAAACTCATAACACTCAGAGATGGCCTGAAAATAAAATCTAGCTATTTAGGATGCACATTTGTAATCGATTGAAGTCAAAGTATTTGCAAAATCACAGCATCAGCTACAAGCCACACATGGTTGATGGATGACACACAGATCTGGGCCCTGTAATGTTTTAATGGCAGCTTTGTTTCTGTCCAGCAAGCACTCCAACCTAACAGATGATGTCTGCATACAGTGTATTTAATAATTCATGTCTTCCATAATGCTTGATGCCTGTCAGTGCGCTCTCTGCCCACTGAAAGAAACACATTGATTTGTTTTTCCTCCTCGAGAACCCTCCAGTTTTTCTTCCATTTTTTACTCATGACCACAAAACACACTCCCTTTTTATATTTATATTTTTATTGCTTTTTTAGACCAGGCAAGAATGTTCACTACTACCTACTAGCTCTACTGTTAGGAGGCCTTAAATATGCACTCATAGCCAGCTTCATGGTGACTTAGCTTTTTGCTGCATCGCATGGATTTGATTTTTGGTGGTCTCTTTGTCTTGCTGCACACCACCGATCGTAAAGTACTCACAGTAAACAGCATGGCTTCGCATGCCAAGAGTGCATGTAAGATTTGTTTGATATGATCAAAGTGTACCAAAAACTAAACTTGACAGGAGTGAATATGGGACGAATGAATGATGTTTGCCATTATGTGCCTGTTTGTCGTATGTCTTTACTGTATCTTATTTTGTACTTACAATGTCTGAATAATTTCCGCCTGATTGGCATCTTCCATTCATCCAATGAGCTTCATTCATTGCCTGATTTGAACTGGGGATGGGTTAGCAAATTTAAGTTTATAGATTAATATATTTAACATCATTTCTGTAATATGAAATCATAATTTAATGTCTTAACCAATCTGAAATTGTTGACTATTCTCTGTTTGAAAGAGATTTGGGGTCCGGTTTTATAATATTTGTTGTATTTTTATCACGTTTGAAGATTGAAGATATGATTTTAATGCTGTCCTTTTTTTAAATATTTAATCTTTTGACATGCCGTCTAAAACATTTCTACTGAGACAAGTGCAAATAACACTAACGGGGTGAAGGCAGGTGGGGTCTTCTGAAAGAGAAAGCAAATGTAAATATGTACCATGGAGGAAGTCAAGGAGAATTCTGGGACTTTTTAAACAGGCTGGTTTTTATTTGACATATTTTTGGGGTCTTAGTTACAAGTTTTTGACTGGTATCTGTAGACCACTTCTGCTTTCAGCTGTGGTACAACTATGATGGCTCAATCAAAGAACCATATTACTATTTTTTACTATTACTATTTTAATCATAAAAAGTCAGAACATCGCTCCCCAGAAAACCACTGAACTCTCTCATTGAACAGAGTCAGTTTATGCTGCAAAGGGGACCAGTTCATGCAGATGGAGACCAGGAACTTTTTAGATTTGACTGTCAAAGGATAATTATTTTAACAACCATTAATCCCAGAAAATCAATATTGAATCTTGCTTGTTGAAACATTCACTATTTTGCATTTCAAAACAGTTTTTTAAGCGCATATTAACAGAGTGAAGCAATTCATACCAGTGATTTGATTACTCAGTTACATCAAGTGATACCTGGTTCATGCAACAGCATTTACACTCTTCAGGAGTTCCAGCTGGTCCTGTATGTGTGAAACTATTGTTCCTCATCATAAAAAGGCATATAGCTGGTCTTCATGTGCCAGTCTTCAATCTCGAGCTTCAGTCTTTGGTACTTTGTTACTTTACTTTTATATTTAGGGACATTCTCCTTAAAATGCAGTTTGGTTGAAGTTGTAGTCCAGTTGATTTACACTCCAGCACAGTCAGTGGCATTTATTCCCCTGTATCCTACTATGTAGTGACATATTTCAGAAAATGGAGTTGCAGTTGTCATTAAGGGGATAGTTCTGGGTTCTAAGGCTAGACTAGTTTAAAACCACAGATCTACAGATGTCAGCAAAGATGCTACCTTCACAGAACATCATTCCCTTTTTGATGATTGATGATCAATCTGAGCCTAGCAGCAGGGAAAGCGAGCTGAATGCCTTTCTGTGAACATGTTTGCCATGAAAGATTACGTACCAGCCTCAACAGACAAACTCATCTTTATTCATTAAGAACCAAAAATATGTAAATATGGAACCTGGGTTTAAAAGCACCTGAATTCTCCTTTATTACAAATAGGACCAGCATGCATTGTGTTACTGACATGTTCGTTTCACAAGTGCATGCACTGACTCCTCTTCCTCCTCAACAGAAATCCACAAGTGTTTGGTTCCCCAGTCTTATGCATGCAGATGAGGCACTTTTCTCACACACACAAACTGTAGGCAGGGTGGATGATGTGTCAGCTCATTGTGCAATTATCGCCATGACAACCTGACGTGCGTACCCCCTCCCCATCTGCCTGCCCCAGGGGCTGACTAAGATCGACTCGTCTGATCTGGTTCTGTTCATTTGTTTGTGCTTTTCATCGATTTTCATTACTCTGCCTTCTGCTCGAGCCGTCCCCTCGTAGACATTTCATCTCATTTTCTAACAGGCAGACGCATACAGAGGTGGATGCATATTTATTAGTGTGTATTAATCCATGTAGAAGTTGTACAATTTTCTGTCTCATTCTTTTTATGGATGATCTACTTGTAGGTAATCGAATTTGTGCAATAACAGTTGTTCATCTCACTTTGTAACCCTGTCTAATTGATGACATGAATGCAAGATAACCTTATTTTTGTAAAGAAACCTGAAAAGTGTAAAAAGATGTGTGTATATGGAGAGAAGTGACGCTCACACAGGAGCCGGTGTGTGATAATAAGATGTTTGAACGAGAGTTAAAGAGGGAGGTTTCCTAAAGTCTCTCTGGGGTCACCTTAAGATGTTTGATCCAGAACAAGAAACATCTCTGATTCCTCATTTCAGCTTTGGGAAACCTTCCTCATCTGGTCTCTGTGGTGACTCCTGCTGCATGGACTGTTGGCGGCGTTCTTATACAAGCCCCTCCCCCCTAAGCACTGATGCTAGGTCAGTGTTCTCATGCTGTCCTCTCCTTCAGCCTGAGGGGGTTTGATAAGACCACATACTCACATCTGATGTTGAGAGTTATCTTTTATCCACTCCTTAGGGCTCTTAGGGACTGTATATTGTACATACTGGAGGCCTCCACTACGGCAAACCCAGAGGGCCAAACTAGATGGAGCTGAACAAAATCCAGAGCTATTTTTCACACAGAAAAATGATTTTTTTTTTTGTATATCAGGGATGAATAAATGAGATTTTAACAAACAGGAGGACTCTGACTCTCTTGCATTTCTCCTCTCTATCCTCTTCTGTCACTTCACAAACACCGACCGAACATCTGGAGTGTTTGTGTTTCATGCTGATCCTCCCAGTGGGGCAGCAAACACAGAAATTCCATCATACTGCAAAATTAGCTCATTTTTGCAAAATTAAATTCAGTAATTCCAGCCCAGTTAGAGTCAAGAAATAAAGGTTTGATTACCAATTTTTGCTATTGTCAAGGTCTTTTAATTTAGAAAATTCAACCACAAAATGCAGCTTTTGGGAAACTGTTTGTTTAGATCTACATACGACACAAAGGAGTTCCTTTACTCTGAGCTCAAAGTGAAATCAAAATAACTGCATGTTAATGGTGTTGTAATTTATGCAAGTTAGTAGGATATGTTTTCTCTTTGAAGGTTTGCTTTCGAGTAAGTGAGAAATCAGGGCTGTGCAAGTTGAAAGTTGAGCTACTCCAGTTCACACAGATCAGTATAAACTAGTTCATCCATGGTCTCTGTCAGTCGAGCCTCTTTAATTCTCAGTCACTGACTTTTCCCAAACTGAATTGATTATCAAGTTACACTGCAGAGTGATTGACAGATATTACTGAAAGTTGAAAAGGCAAGAAAATCCCAGTTCATCGGAGTTAAACAGTTCAACTGAGAAAAATCTGCAGCTATGTGAACTTGGAAAAATACATTACCTAGATACACAGGGAAATCTGATTTGTAGTTGGTGTTGTAGGTGAGATGGTTTTCACAACCTCTAAACTATAAGTTGAAGTGGATAATCCTCCATCCTCATGCTAACTGCATCTGAGCTGCTAGGAGTGCTGGATGCCTTACACACTGTGGTCTATACTCACATACATAGGAGACTTACAATAAAAAAACATGAATACTCTGAAATAAAAGCTTTGGTGTATCCAATCAAGCAGGGAGCAACAAATAAATTTATAAAGGGCTCAGAAGTTCAAATAAAGGTGATCTAAGGCAAGAAACAAATCAATTCTATCAGTGGACTCTTAATATACTGAGGCAGATATTTACAACTCTTCTGTTAGGGTGGCAAAACTGAACTGAAATTGAAAACAAAAAGCCCAAATCAAATTAAAATAAAAAATAATAAAACATTGAAAACTATAATTATAACCTTGTTGCAGAGAGCAGGAGAAAGCTGCGACAATGTCAGCCACCTGACCCTTTGGTCTGTTAGTAGGTTATGTAAAAAAAAAAGCAGCATTATATAACAGAATAATCAGGAAGGTGCATGCTCCTCAAAGTGAACTCAATCAGCAGCTCTCTCTTTTTCTTGCTCCTCTCATCAGTGCATAATGGATGGGTGCGTGCTAGTAACCATGGTTACGCTAACCCTTGTGTCGCTCATCAAACTTCGTCCCCACCCCTCTGTTGACCAAATTCAAAATCCCAATGTATGGGAAAATAAAGTCCCGTTTTCTGCTACATGTCAAGAATTTGACCAAAATTCTTGATGAAATGTTCATTTTGTTTAAACTGAAGTCGTTCCAGTAAAATCATACAAAATTACACATCTGTTAAATACTGTGTTAACCTGTTTGTACAACTACAGCTATACAAATGCTGCAGTTACTCCAGTGCAGAAACACACAAGAAATAATAAAGTCACCACATTTTAATGTACAGTATTTTAAAGATGCACAAGTCTCAGATCAAGTTAGATAAATGCTAATAGATTTTTAATGGTGGCATAAAAAAGGACATGAATATCATAAAATGGTGCAGGAAGGCAAATAGTGCATGAATTTGATCAGGATGCAGGAAAAGAAATGCTTTCTGGGGAGACCTCCAGACCCTCTTGATGGTGCAAACCAGAAACAATTGTTCTTCAAAGCTGGTTCTGGTCTTTTGGGGGGTTCATGTGTATTTTCATCTTGGAATATTAGAAATGTAAAAGTTCAGAGTCAGCGTTACAACCCTTCACCCAAATCAAATAACCTCTCTTTTTCATCAGGAATGTTTACCTCAACTTTGGACAGAACCATAATCTGCAGCCTGACTGTTTCACAGACTGAGGGAGTTTGTTTCTGGAGTCAATGTTTTTCTGTCCCCTCCTATGTGTTCAGAGTAACATACACGCACAAACACACACACACATGCACATACATTCATTCTGTGTCTGTAAATTGGAGCATCCGGAATGTAATGGGAGGAGGGAGAAAGAGTTAAAGCTTAATGAGTTAAATTAGTTGATTCGATAAGTAGGCAGCAGCTCAGTCCCCTGCTGAGCTTCAGGTGGGACCATGAGACCCTCTCTGAAGAGACTGCATTTGTGTGTGTTCAAGAGGTTGTTAAGCACTTTTTTAAAGCTTCTGTTGTGGTTTGCATGTCCCACATAATCTTTAATCCACTGTAATCTCACTGCCAGTTAATAGCTGTAGTGATGATGTGACACTAACACCTCCATATCCTCTCACACAGCCGGGTTATCAACGTGTGTGCAGCAGTGTGTCTGTCTGCATGTGTGTGTGTGAGAGTGTGCACAAGTTCTCTGAGAGGCGTCAAAAGTGAATTGGAACAAAGCACAGCTGCAGCAGCTCGCCTATTTTGCGACGGATGAGGTTAGGAACACAGGAGTGGCACAGAGCTGAGCGCCATCTGTCAGCGCTGACTCCGCCTTCGCCCTGATGAATACTAAAAAAGGTGTCTCTCTGAAAAAAAAAAAAACTCCCCAGTCTTGGTAATAGCTGTGGTGTAAGAAGTGCTGGTCTCACATGCAGACAGATTGATGTAATGGTCAGTAAGAGGTGCAGACAGGCCTCTGGAGACAGACACACTCTGCTCTCTGTCTGTGTGTGCATGTCTTCATGAACACCACACCTCTGAACCAAGACAGAAAATTCCCATTAGGTTTATATTTTAACTCATAGAGTTCAGTGTTTCCCGAAGAGGGGGTTGGGACCATAGACTGTATATACTGTGGACAACTTGGCTCCCCCTTTCGTCATTATACGAATTTTAAACCGAATTGCTAGGTACCAGATACCGGGACAGGACTCTCTCAGGAAAAAAAAGTGGAAAATTTGGACTTTTTTTATAACCCCTTTGTGAGAGAAAAAAATTATGTGAACAATTGAGCAGATAAATCAAATTGTTAACATTTGACAAACTATGATTATTAAACTATAAAAATTATTTCAATAAAATCCCCTTGAAATGTTGGATGATCAATCAAGCATGGTAAGGAAGATGTACTTCAAACAAGCTTACACAATAGGCTACATTTTTTTTTTACTTGGTAGTAAAGGTCAAAGGCAACCTGGTGAATGCACGCTCATGAACATTTCTTTATTGATTATTTAGAAAATTACACATATTATTGATCTTGAAAATATAAGAATATAACTACATCATTAGAGAGTTATTGTTAGCTGTTTCAAAGACACATACTAAGAGTCAGAAACTCAGACCCTGAAGAAGTTTTCAAAAATTTATTTATGTTTTTGCCTGCAGATGGAGCAGCGCTTCACCTGGGCTTCAGCTCTCGTCCCAGTTCTGGGTTGGCCCAACAGCCAGCAGCTCATCCTCCGAAGGATCCTGGCACAGACCTCTAGCAGCAGATCTGCACCTGCCAGTCCCCCTGGCAGTCCTGTAAGACCATACACACAGTTTCCTTCCAATACCACAGATGAGGCCTTGAAGGAGCAACGCCGCAAGACCCTAGCGGCTCTCAGTGAGTCAGAACCATCAAAGTTACTGTGTATTTCGTTTAAACTGTGGTGTCAAGCTCTCCCAGGGTTCTCCCCAGAAGATGGTGTGGAGTCCAGGCCAGGTGTGCAGGTGCGGTCCCCCAAACCAGCTGTGACCCCCAGACCAGCTGTGGCCCCATGCGCTGCTCCAAAGAGGTGCCCATGGAGAGCAGCTCGGGTCCCCTGTGCCCAGTGCTGCTCCAGGACCGGGGTCTCCCCAGGCAGCTGTGGCCGCTACTGCTGCTCGAGGACAGGGCCCTCCAGAGGCAGCTCGGACCCCCAGTGCTTCTCTAGTACTGGGTTCTCTCCAGCCAGCTGAGCCTCACCCACTGTGGGACGTCCCTGAACCAGAGTGGGCAGGAGGGCGAGAAAGGTAAGACTGGCCATGGAGAAGAGAGAGGAGTGGTTTGAGAGCTGGTGGAGGGGAAAACCAGCTCTCAAACCAACAGGCACATATACAGGTAAGTAATTTCACTCTTTTAATGTATTAAACTAGAATTATTCTCATTTAAGTTAAACCTAGTGTCATTGATTTGAAGAGAGGTCTTTGGGTTATTTGAGTTAAAATATTGAGGTGGCTTTACTGTGCTTAGTGTTCTAGTTCTTTAAAGTTTGAAATAAGAGTGTGTGTCTGTGAAGGGGGAGATTAGTTTTTAGTTTAGTTAGTTTGATGGGGAGACAAGACATAAAAGTGGACTTAGGAAAACTAAAGCAGGTAAGAGGTCAAAGGTGACGAGGGGTAATAAAAAAAGCAGTGCAGAGGTAAGGATTTTATTGTGAGTGGTATTTATTTTATTTAAAAGGTAAGTGTTTAATATTTTATCAGATAACATACTGCAAATTATTCAGCCTTTGTTTGAGTTATTTTGTAAAGATTTTAACTTTGTTTATTTTTCAGGGAAGGACAAAGCAAAGAGCAGAGAAGAGGAGAAGGAGAGGTGAAGGAGAGGAGGTGAGGGAGAGGAGGTGAGAGGGCTAAAGATTTCAACTATCATTGTATAAGGTATGTATTGATACTTGTTTACTCTATCATGGTTTGGTTGATGCAAACCTCTATAGGAGGTTTTCACTTGACGTCACTTCCATGTTAGGCAGTACGTGCTCAATACAGATGGAGGGCAGGAGGTGAGTTGCTGCTATAGAGACCAGCAACATGCCAACATTTTGCTCCGTTTACAGCTGCTCGAATCGAGCGAACAGGGAAAAATACAAGAGCTTTTATCGTGTGCCCACAGTAGTGTTACACAAATGGGAAAGATAAAAGAAGCTGACTGAAAAACGCTGGAAAAAATGGCTTTTTAATCTTTTTAATCTCCGCCTATGGCAGTGGTTCGCAAGTCCAGTCCTCGAGCCCCCCATCCTGCATGTTTTGGATTTTTCCCTGCTCCAACACACCTGAGTCAAATGATCAGCTCGTTATTAAGCCATTACAGAGCTTGATAACAAGCTGATCATTTGAATCAGGATGGGGGGGCTCGAGGACTGGATTTGAGAACCACTGGCCTACGGTCTGGAGGAGCTGCGTTGGATAATGCCCGTGTGTGCAGTGACCACTTTGTCAAAGGTAGTGACTCATTTTCAGCCCGTAGTTGAATTCTTTTATTTCAAAGTTGAGTTGTGTCAAACTGTGTAGGGAGGGGGGTGCGGAGCGGCCAGACATGCCGGGAGCGCCCCAGAGCTCCAGAGGGGGTGGACGGGAAAAAAGGGGGGTCTTTTTTTTCCTCCATGTCTGTCTTTGGACTATCAGTGCACATGCAGCAATAGGCAATGATTTGCCACTTAGGAGTAGAGGAAACACTGCATGAGTAAAATGAAGCGGCTGAAATATTTCAAAGTGACAAAAAAGGAAAAGTACACAGTACACAAAATAAAAAAGGCTTTATTTTACATGAGTGCATTACATAATCTCAGAACTCGCTCACGCTTTGCAGACTCTCTCACAACAGGTGAAACACAGGAGGTTCAAAGGTGAGCTTCACTGCGGTACATGGGGACACTTGGTGACTCCAGTCCACCCTGAGCTGCCGTCCGACTGACGCTGACAACCAGGGTACCATCAGGATTTATGTTCCCACTGACAGACAGCGGGTCCATATCCTCTGGGAGCAGGGACTTATGGGTAAAAGTGTCACTGATGCTTCCATCATCCAGAATCTGAAAGACAGAGATACAAGTCATAAAAAGAGATATAAAGAGGGAAGGAACGAGGACGAGCTGTAAGACTAGGGGGGATGAAGATAGGTCATCCAACTGCGAAGGAGAGGAAGTGAGAGGAACAGCAGGGCTGAGAGAGGTGTGAGGCCGAGAGGAGAGGGTGAGAAGCAGCTGAAGGGAGAGATGTGAAAGGTCAGCGCTGCTTGGCCTGAAGAGAGAAAGCGAGCGAGAGACCAACACTGGTTAGTTCTGTCTGAAGACGTCTTGCTGTAAAAAGCCTTTATAGTGAGTTAATGGTTGCTGGTTTTGGCCAATTTGTCTGCTGACCCAAGTTAAAACGCTTCCTCTCCTCTTTGTCATTCTTGTTCTTTTACTCTTTCACCTTTTGAAGTTGATTTCTGTCAAACTGTGAAGGCGCAGAGAAAGGAAGATAGAGAAAGGGTGAGACGGGCAGCTTGTCCGGACACCGCTGGACTAGAAAAAACGCTGGTGCCCAAATTCAGCCATCAGTGATTCTCAAGAACTTTTCATGCAGAGAGATTTGATAGCAGATGTGTAACAACCACTAGTGAAGCCACACACATGCATGCAAACACACACCTTCTGGGCATGAATGACCACATGGTGGTTGAAGGCCATCACCACAATGTCGTGAGGCTCAAACTGGCCCACATTAGCTGACACATAGTAGCTGTCTCCCAGACAATGCACGCCACCACCTGTGCTGCTCTGTCGGGCTGTCACAGCGCCACCTGCAGAAACAGCTGGGAAAAAACACACACAGGAAGAGTGTCTTTAAAATTACTGACGGCCTGATAGAACATCTGGAGTATGACAAGGATGGTTTCAAGAACTCAACTAAAAGTAAACAAAAATAAGAATAAATTTGGCCTTTCAGCTCGACTCAACTCTCTTGGAACCTTAGGTGGTGTGAAAGTACCTGCTCAGAAAGTACCTGGTATCAAGTACCATCAAGTGGAAAGCCCACTTGAGGTCCTTACACACGGGAGCATTTTTTTTTCTCGATTATTTCCGAAGTCAATATTTTTTTTCAAACCCATATACAAACGTTCACATCAGCGACGTTATCCTGTCCTGCGATACTGCAGCCTTTATTTTTTTGTATCATGGTCGGATTTTCTAAAGTTTCGCATATTGTGTGTCCACTTCTGACCAATCAGATTTTGTGTTGTTGCAACATCAGATTCACTGGTATATCCGACGTGGCCAACTGGCTGATTGTTTACGTGTCGCTAAAAGTAACTTTAGCATGTAAGCTAACCTGTTCAGATACAACATACCATGTGTATTTTCAATGTCTCAAACTCAATTGCGTTGCTGTCACAGCACCATTAGGTCTCGGTTGCTACCTTACATTTATGGATTATATTTTAATGTGCTTATCTGGTACTGGCCCCGACTCAGTACATGCTATCATGACAGACAGACATCTCAACACTAGTATCTAATCAGAACTGAAAAACACTCAGTCTGATGTTGTGTCAGTCTTCTAGCGTCTTTTCCCCCCAGTAAGTTGCAAAATCGCATCGCGCTTGATGTGTATTGTCAGGCGCGTCAAAATTCGCCTCAGAATATTTTGTAATTTCGCGTTGTATATTTGCGTCGTTCCCGGTGTGTAAGGACCTTTACTGTCTTGACGCATGTCTCTTAGCTAAAATATAAATAGGTCATCATGGATCTGACTTAAACTGTTTATTTCTTGCAGTCTAAATTGGGTGGCAACACGTCAAGCCCCAGACAGCAACTTCATACTTGATGGTCTCTGATGCTCCAACTGTAGCTTGTCTCTCTTAACTCCTGTCTTATTAGATGATTTTTTATCATTTCACCAGTGGACTAACTGCCCTCCTCCTTCCAGTCTTGGTCCCAAACCACACTGACCAGTCTGAACCCCTAAGGTTTGTCACCCAGCCTCAGTGAATAACTTCAGTCCAGTTCTGTGTACAAGTCTGCTGGATTCAGGTTTTACCACTCAGTCAGCTGTTGCCTCCACCTTCGACTCTTTAAAACACACTCCTCTTTTTCCTCATCTGGGTCCAAATCAAAGTGGTTTGCAGAAAACTGTCACAGCAGTATTTATTTTCATTTTGAAAAAACAAACACATGACTTTGATTTGGGTTCATTTTTAAAGGACTTTTAATTTTGAACCAAACTTTAAAGTTTGTTATTACTTCATTACAGCAATATCTATATGTCACTTTTGAATTAGTTTCAGTGTTAGTCAGAAAAGAAGACTCCAGGGATGTAATAAAAAATCTGAAATAAAAAGATTTTGACTTGGATTAAACAAAAGAAACAAAAGATGAAAACTTTTTTTTTTTTTTTAAAGGACCGCTATAAAGTAAAACCATGCTGCTTTATTTGAGTTTCCCCTCCACCAGACCGGTGATTAATTTATCATTTTTTGAAGTCCTGCAGCTCGTCATGTGGCTTATATTCATTTAATATGATTATTAAACAGGTTACTTTCCAGTCGGGCTTTATTACTCTCTTATTTTTTGTACTTTATGTTCAGACTACAGCACAAACACGTTTAACAGCAATGAGAGACTGAAGCTTCTGGTTTTGGCTGTAAATTTGTTTTACCGGCTGTCTGGAAAGAGAAGTTTTACTAGAGTGGAGACCCAGGAGGGACATCTAACATGTGCATCTTCTTTATTGTTTAATATGACGTGCTGGAGTTGTAATATTCCACATGAGCTAGTGTGAAATCAAGATAAAACTCAATTATTGATCACGTTTTAATCGGCCTGAAGACTCATCTCAGTCATAAACCTTTGTTTTATGACTGGCAGCAGAACTGTATTAACACCTCATAATAACTCTTGGAAAGCGGCCATGTTTTATGTTAGCACTTCCCTGTTTCCACCTTCGGTTCAGTTCTTTATGTGGCCCTGTAGACCATGTCTGGAGCCGAACCAGCTTTTTTAACACGGAGTGCAGAGGCTGTTACATCTCCAGCTCATTACTTTGTCTGAGCTGCGGTCTTTTTCTTCTCTGAGGCATTTTTTTCTTTCAGTCATCCCATCGCTGTAATGTGTGAAGGTAATGCTCCTCTCCTGCCAGTGCAGGACATAAATGAAAAAGGCCACAGACCTTGAGCCTCAGAAAATGCAGCCAAGGTGCTCATGAACGAGGCACTAAAGCTCCGACTGCTCCAGTCGAGCTTATAAACCTGATGACAAAGGATGAGTTCGTTTGTTTTCTTGTGTAATGAATTCACCATTACAACAAAAAACATTTCAGTCACAAAACACATGCTGTAATGATTTGAGAGCTTTACTGCAGCAGCTAAACATTTTTATAGTCTGCATCTGCAGAGCAGGAGCTCCTAAACCTTTCAGCTTGCAACCTCAAAAATAATATTTCCAGAGACAAGCAACCTCCTCTGTCCCTGAGGTCATTAAACATCGCTCAAAGCCACGATCAAGCATGAATACACCACTCCAAACACAGACCTCTACCACACTACAAAAGCACACAACAACCAGATGACGACTACACCATCAAAAGGATGTAATCTGAAGATCTATTGATGAGTTAAACTTTTGATATATCCTGCCAGGAAGGAAGGCGCAGTTGAGCTCAGCTTACAGTAGAGTTGATATACATTAGCACTATGACAGTGGCTATAAACATATCTGCCAGTGACAATGAATATTAGTGAGCTAATCCTGAGTGACACTGGGATATAAACGTAGAACTTTTAAGTCAATTAAATAACCCCAAAGCTGTGTGACACCTCCAACCTTACATTAATGTAAAACAGCCAAAGTCAAGTGTTTCTGTCAGAGTTTGATTGGTGGTTAAATGAGGATTTCAGTGATGCCAGTATGTGATAAATAAGTAGTTTCTTGAGCTACAAACCAATCCATTTAAGTCCCAGACTGACATAATGAAAGGTTAAAGTAAAATAGGTCTTAGGAGGAAAAAGCCTTCAGAAATGTAGGGTAAACAATAAAAAAGAGGGATTAAATTATTTTTCAGAAATCACAAGCACATGCTCAGAACAACCCAGCAAGTAGCTAGGCCAAACTCACCAGAGCCTTAAAACACGTCACCTGAAATGTTATGGACTTCTGATGGAAGAGATTTTTCTACAATCAAAGACGTTGATGAAATGCCTGATTCTTTATATGATTAAATAACTGTTAAAAATATCTCACCAGAGTGTCCAAAGGATGGTCTGCTGGGTCTGCTGAGGGGGGCCAACAGGCTTGGACTCCCAGTGCCCTCTTCTCCAAACAGGCTGGAGTGAGTGGAGTCCAGAAACGGCTCAAAGAGGGGATCCAGAGAATCAGACGATCCACCCAGTGAGCCCTCTGACCGGTATGAGCTGGAGGTGCTGTACCGGGATGATGAGTGGAAGGACGAGGACGACCTGCGGCTGGAAGACGTCAGGGATGCCATAGCAGAGGTATAAGGCAGACAATAAATGATGAAAAAGCAGGTCGTCAAAAGCTTTTAGCCTCTAGATAACCGTCTCAGGATCTTTGTTGAGGGTTTTTATAAAGCCCTGCTGCATTGTGGGTCACTGGAGCACAGCGTGGGCTTTATCCCCCTTTGGCCATAAATGGCAGTTAGTCAGACCGCGGTGCCAAGAATGTAACGGACAAAGTGATAAGGATTGGAGACCCTTTCTTTTTCAGACAGCAGAGATAAGGCTGAAGGGGGCCTCTCGGAGGTCCTTCCAGCATGTGGTCAGAAATAGAAAAGAGTCTGAGTGGTCAGGTCGACCGTTAGACTGACTGAATGCGAAATGTGAACACTTCATCAATACTGCTTGAGAAACATGGCCCTTTATGTGCTGGTCACCTACTAATGGGACAACTGATAAAGTTGATAAAATGGCGAGTACTTCCTGGGGAAGCAGATCGAAGGCCAACATTAGGAAGAGGTGAAAAGATTTCTTACTAATAAAATCCACCGAATAACCACCTTTTTCCAAAACACTCGAAATGACGTAGAAACCAACCCAGTGTCCTTAAAGGTGTATGACAGGTTTTTCATTTGACATTCAGCAGTACTGTCATTTCCCCCCTTAGGATAGTCTCAGTTATTTCAGGGACACCTCATACATGAGCTGTAAAGCTGGAGCGGTCCAGTTAACAGACATCAATGTGACAATTACAGTCAGTGCTCTCAGGGCGAACACTTAAAGTGTCCTTGTGTGAAACAGCATGGATGATAAATCTCCAAACACATAATCGAGGTTGTCAAATATAAAGATAAAATTACATAAAATGAGGGGAGGAGGAGAGATTTACTCAAGCTGAACTTTTTAATCAATGCTGATGGTAAAGACTTTTTTTGTATTTTTTACTGAATATGTCTTTATACAGTAGTTTTCACAGTCCAGATATTTAAAGCAAAGCCATCAGCCACGTATAAAATAGTGACTGAACAGAAACAGGCAGAAACAGAAACCTTTTTAAGTTTTTTGTACCTTGAATTCAACTCTTATATAATATTGACTCTCCAGAATTCAAAAGGATCGCGTCTGGCAGTGACTTTTAGTTCTACACAGGATTTGCATTAGTTTGTAATAAAACCAGTTATTACATTTCATAGTATGGGAATTTGTAAATAATGTGTTTGTGAGTGTATTTTTCAGTTTTACTAATTATATGTATGGCTCTTTTTGGAGAATAAATAATTGAATTACTACATTCATATAAACTTATGGGTAGATGCCCACAATTCTATATAAGATAACTGTATAAGATAACTATAAGATAAGAAGAACTTTATTTATACCCAAGGGGAAATTCGATAAGGGATTAATAGATCATTTTGAAGCCTTATATGTCTGGCTTTGAGATAAGTCGTTTCCATAATTACTTCTAAACAAACACAGCTTTTAATGTAATATATTTTACTTCTTTTAATCTGCAAAAAACATACATTTAGTTTTCTTTGTATTAAGAGACAATTTATTTAAGATTTAAGATCTGAGGATTTCCAGCTCACTTTCAACACCACTCAACAGTTCTGCTAAATTATGCTTTGAACAAATTAAATGACACTACAGACATCATTGATTTTTATTATAAAAAGTTCAGAATCAACAACAGGTCCTTAAGGTACTCCACACACAATCTGAACTCTACTACCATGTCACTCTACTTTTAGTCTATTATCTGTCTATATTTTTAATAACTTTTCACACAAGAATAAAAAACATCTAATACGCCATCTTCTCCAGTTTTTTTTAATAACTGTATGTGAACTATTGTATGAAGAGCTTATGAAAGTCAATATTTAAATGAACGGAACAGTTATTTTTGCTTAAACATTTGCATAACTGTACCAGTCATGATCCTGTTGTTTCTAAATCCATGCTTGTTTTTTTACCCACTTATTTATTATTACAGATGAACAGAATCCTCTCTCCAGGTGGCATCTATCTATTAGTTTCAAGAGACAGGAAAACAGTATCTTTCTTGACCTCTAACAAATGGTGTTTTTCGACAAGGCAGGATCGAAGTGATGAAATAAAGTTAATGATGCAAAAGCAGAAAAACTGCCCAACAGCTGAGGATGGAGGAGAACATCAAAGAAGCTCCTTTTAGCATATCTGAACATCAATTAATCATTGTCAAATCATCCGTGATCCTCCAAAGCACAGCATGAGCACCATGGTCAAGACAAGTGACCGCGTCTTAATCCAATATATTTTTAATGCTGCGTCGGGGTGTTGCAACTGGGGGAAATTCTGAAGACAGCAGCCATTTTGGAAGTTATAAACTCCTTGATTTATGCATAAATCCTGCAGAGACATTATGTAAAAAGCATTCCTGGTGTCAGCCCACCACTTAGACTAGACTAGAAATTCTAATTGCCTGTTTATGAATGAATGTCTATGTTGACTGGCACAAATATTCAAGGTCAGCGTCCCTGCTCGTTTCTTCTGTTTGCCAAATAGCTTAAAATGAGTAAGATATGTGGCTGTCAATGTCCCATTATGTTCTCATTTGAATTACGACTGAAGCTTGAATGTTTTTTAGATTTGGTTGGCCTTCATTGCGAGCATTGGCATCTTAATATTAGCGCTGTGCCACGCCAAAAGGAGTTTTTTTCTCCCTGGAGTGGGCAGAATTTTTGCAGAAGTTCAAACCTTAAAAGTCTGTTTCTAGCTAGTGCCAGTGTGCTATAATTTGAAAGAGGAATTACACCATTGGAAAGCCTTTATGTGGGCATGTGATGATATAGAAATAGCCAAAAGATCTGAATAAATCAGAGGCCTGTGTGACTGAGTAGGTCAAACACAGAGCATGCACACAGGTTCAGATGCAGAATTATAACAATGATTCTCTCTAAATGCCTTCTCTTCAGATGCATTCAGCAAAGTTTGACGTGCGGCATCATACCTGTGGCCTGATATGGCATTTGAATGGCTTCATTTAATGTTCTCTGGTCTGCAAACTCCAAGTGCAGGGAATGATACTTATCACTCATGTAAAAAGTTACCGCAGGACAGACTGGAGATGGAATTTTTAATGCTTTCTACTTTTTATTGAGTCACACAACTTTCCTGAAGCACATGCTTCCGAACTAACCAGCCAGAGGAGAGCTAGCCCTGATGTAATCACCAAGGAAACCATAAAGGGAGATGACGCATATTATTATAAGTTTTAAAGCCATGGCAGAAAATGAATTCAATTCAAAAGAGCTTTGTTGTCATGAAAGTCAGAGACAATATCAAACAATATCAAAGCATAACACATTAATCAATATACAATAATTGGTTAATGAAACATATTTTATTGACCAAGTGATCCCCACACCACAGTGCTGTATGGAAGATGAGCTATTAAATGATGTTCAGGTTATGTAGTAGACCGTCTCTGCTTGACGAAAAAAGAATAAGATCATCTGCATAAAGCAGGAATCTAGACTTAAAAAGAAAGTCCCTCACAGGACCTTCAATATGACACATTTTAACTGCAACTTTATTAATGATTAGATTCATTAGAGGCAAAAAAAAAAGGCAGAACTTCCTTCAACATTTCACCACCGAGACTTACCATCTCCCAGAAACACATTGTGGTAACCCCTGACAACACATGCTGCAGGTGTGACAGTCTGATTGCCCCGGCCTCCAAGGACATGATGCTCTCCAGTTTACTCGTAGTGTACACGAGGCTTAGGAACATTAGCTGTGTTTATTTCCCCTGAGGAACATCAACATACGGGTTCAATAAGCTGCCAAAAAGCTACTAGCACTCAAAAATTACAGTTTTTATCTGAAGGATAATAGATAAGACTTCATTTTCAGAAATGTGACACCTCTGGGTGTTTGTTAAACTCTCTCAGTATCAGATACTGTCATAATTAACTCCAGTTTTTGAGGCTGCAGCTCCTAATCCTAATGACTGTTAGGGTTTTCTTCAAACCGCTCTGTGAAGACATGATCAACCGACAACATGTCTTCTTCATCTCCTCTATTCGCTTGAAACTGACGTCAAAAAAACAAATGTTATGAGCCCTCTGGGTTTTTGTTGTATTCCTGTTTCCTTGGAGGGCCACTTAGACCTCCATGGTTTAACCAGAGGAACTACAACTGCTGTTAGGTACCAAGATGAGATTCTCAGACCCATATTCAGACCATATGCTGGTGCAGCAGGCCATATGCTGGTGCATAAAAATGCCTGGCCTCATGTGGCTAAGTGTATCAGCACTTCCTGGATGATGAAGGCATTGAAGCTATTGGTTGGCCCGCCTGTTCCCCAGACCTGAATCAAGCACCACTGGGACATCATGCAGTATTGAATTCACTGCCACCACATGGCACCACAGACAGGCCAGGAGCTGAGTGATGCCTGGACTTTGGGAGTCAAATGTATCATTAATTGTGAACATTTAATGAGTTAATTGTAAAAAAAAATAGGCTGTCTCTTCAGCAGCTCTGCTAGCACCTACTCCCTCGCTTCGGTTTCAGGAATGAAAGATTACAGTACAAATAATGTCAATATTATCACTCATGTTCTTGTTTGCTTTACGATATTATAAAAAGACATATATATGGATTTAAGTCTAATTGATGAATATCCAAACGGTCCAGAAATTCAGGGGTGAGTTGCAGTATTAACATCCAACCATCTTACCACAACACATATTAACTTAATGATAAAATGCCAACATTTTACATATACACTAATGTCTTTCATCTTTTACAAACCTAACCAAGGAGCTTTCCAGCAGCACTAATTGGCAGTGTCTGTGGGAGTCCAAGGATTCAAACCCCTGATGATCACACACCACCTTTTGTTCTAAATCCATCCCATCCTGCGTTGATATATCCCCCCTTTTTCTCTCGGCCTCTGTGACGACCCACCTAATGGATTACTGAGCTCCCGGGGGGCCCATGATGTCATGGAGGAATGAAATACCCACTGCTAGAGGATCTGTTGGACCAGCTTGACGGCTGTCCTTTTCTCTGGTAATAACTTAATAATGATAATGTCCTTGTGTCAGAGAGCTAATTACAGGCAGCTTGATAGTTTGTGTACTGCAGTGATTTTGCTGTTGTAAATTATGTTCAAAGAGGTGCATGTAACAGTTAATTGTAATATTATGACCATAAAACACTTGTGGAGTTTAGAGAGAGTGACACAGCTCTCTGAGCTTCTCCTCTCATCTCTCTGTAACTCTTGCCCACACAGGGACATTTCTTTTATCAGGTATTTGCTCTAAATTAGCACACAAAGCACCGACGTACGATTGAAATTCTACCGGTTTGCCAGTCTTAAAACCCATCAGCTTTTTTCTGATGATAGTTAAAGCCTTTGGAAGTGATGATGAACTTTTGGGCATGTCAGTGCAGGCAGTGATTAGGGATAAAAGGCGCCCAGCCAAGGCTTCATTTTCTGTGTGCTGCATTTTTTACAGTTCAGTGAACGACTCAAAAAGGAGACCTTGACTTCAGATCAAAAATTAAACAGAACTTTTCTACAATTGGCCTCCATTTCTCTGCTAATTTCTCTGTAGGGCTGCTCTCTGAGTTACACAGGGAAAACACTGACTCAACCTGTGCAATGAACCTTAAAAAAGAACTGTTTTATGTTATTTACTTGCAATAACAGTAAAAGTTTATTGAAATAACAATATTGTGATACAGATTTGTAAGACGTCGCGAGTGAGTAGCAGAAAATTTTCTTTACCAAATGCTGTCAAGGAACATCACACACATCTGTCTCACAAATAAATGCTACAAGTGCAGTTGTTAGTCTTGTTTAAATGATCACCCATCACCCACTTTGTTTAGAGTGGTTGCAGTAGCAGACTCAGTGGACCAACCTGTAACCTTTGTTTATAAAAAGGCTCCTGTGTAGTCATCTTATCGAACCCACCCTTAATCTATATAAAGTGACCTTCTGACCAGTTTGAAGCCCAGTTTCCAAACTCCTATTTTTGTCCAAAGCTTAAGGGAAAGTAACTTTCTAGCTTTTCTGAATCAAAATAACATCTATGGGTAATTCCAGTCTAGTTTTAGACCATTACATTGTACAGAAACGGCCTCTCTTCAGAGCCACAAACGACCTTTAAGGTGCCAGTTGTTATAGCTGTATGTTTCCCGTTAGTCTTTTCCCCCCTTTGTCGTCTCTAGCTCTGCCCAGGTGGCATCACTAATTGACAATCAGCATCACCTGGTCCTGAGTGTTTAAAGTCCAAGGGCTGCCTGCAGTAGGGAGAGGCATTTGGAGGGGGACTGCTGCCCTGTCACCTTGCATTTAGGGAATTCTTGTGTTTTAGTTCTTTGTGTTGTAGCTGACCTGTTAATTTGTTTTATTGTTAATCTTTTAATAATCATCATTTTAGTAATCATTTAATTCTTTGTCTTTCATAATTATTAATCCAGTGTCAAAGTTTTGAAGGTGATTTCTATTTCTTTCAATGGGTCTTTGTGTGGATAGTTCTTTGCCCCACAGGGCCAAACAATCGGCTGCTGGAAGAGAGTGGGTGAGTTGTGTTTAGTCTCTTTGCTGAAGAAATCAGGCAAAGTTAAAAAGATGTTTGGTGGGTAGTGCTGTCGCTGGGACCCTATATGTACTGTTGATGAAGTTAGGTGCTGTTCTAAGCATTATTTGTGGCTGTAGAGTGGCTTTTTGGTTGAGCGCAGAGCTCCAGGGACCGCTGTGTACTGCCATCTGCAGTCGTTACTAAAGTTAATATAACTAGAGAAGCAAGCGGTCGGCAACTTTCATCTCTCGGTGGGGTGTCTGACTCTGTGTTACGGTGTGTTTGTCCCTGACTCAATTTTACGCTGGAATATCCCTTTAACAGCTGACCATGCAAAGTCAATCAAACAGCTTAAGATCTGAGGTTCCGACTCCTCCTCTGCCTCTCTTGTTCCCTTTGGTGTGCCACAAGGTCCAATTCTAGACCCACTTACATTCACAATGCTAACACCATTTTTAGTCACAGTTTATCTCTTGTTATGCTGATGATACACAGATAACTGCAGATGGTTAGCTGTTGTCTCTTATTGTCTTAATGATGTTAAACTTTGGACATCTCACAGTTTTCTTCAACTTAGTGACTCTACATCAGAAATCATTCAATCCCAACCGTAGACTGAAAGCTGTCTCAGTCTCTTGTCCCCTAACATCCCACCGCCTGGGAGAAACCGGGAAGTCATTTTTGATTTGGTATCGATCTTTGATCAATACATTGAGAAAACCATCTTTTATAGTATTAACACAATCTAAAAAAATCACACCACAGTCGTCTTAGTTGCAAAGAACAATAACAATATTTTATTCACTTGAAATAATACCAGATGCAGCAAACAAAGATTCAATTTCAAACCCAAAGTGGCATTATTTTAATAACTACATTCAGCCAAAAGAGGAAGAAAAGTATTCAAAGGAGAAGAAAAAGAGACTAAGGAAAATCGAGGATTGAGATTTCAGAGGGAGGACAAGGTTGAGTGCGTGTGTTTGACAGACGCTGTGATGATGATATGTAACCTGCTGAGGATGAGGATGTGTCAGTACATTCATTTCGGGTCTTCTCTTATCCTTGTACCCTGTTTTTTCACGGCATCCCCGCCTCTGTTGGGGTGAGTTTTATGGCTTTGTGGACCCTCACGAGCATTGTGTCTTTTAGTGTGTATGTGTGTGTGTGGCTGGTGTCACTGTGCACCCCAAACCCCTGAGGATTGTGGGATTTTGTAATTAAGACGGAGAAGGCTAATGTGGGTTAAACTCAGGCATGCTCTCTCTATAATAAGCTCTATGTAGTCAGTTTCTCTTTCGGTTTTTCATGCACCCTTGGAAATGTTTGTGAGCTTTTTTTTCCTTTCATTTGCTTCCTCAGGCCTACAAGGTGGCAAGCCGCTCTCCTGCTTTGTTCTGAAACAGTAAGTTGGCTATAGGGTGATGAGGGCAATGCCACCTACTGAATATTCATACCTCCTCCTGCCTCGTCGCTGTCCAACAGATGTTTTGATGTCTTTTTATAGCGCTGGGCTCTCCCGCCACTATCAGAGGGAGAGAGAATCTGGAGCACTTCTCTGATAAGTGTCCAATGTCAGCGCTCGCCTGGAGCAACAAACTAAAATCGCGCTGCCTAGAGACACACACTCACATACACACAAAATACAGAGACATGTTTCATTCTAAAGACATCTGTCCAACTCAAGGACAGCTGGGTACTCTTCTGTTTTTGGAAATATTAATCACTTCCGAACAAAGAGGCGAGCAAAAACACACTTCTTGGAGCCACTTGGAGTTTTCTGGGGCAGCTAACCTCAAAAGATGTTGCAAAGAAAACGCTTGAGGCATTTAGGAAGAGGAAGAGAGGAAAAAAAGGGAAGGGGAGGGTGCAGATGGAGTGAAGGGGAAAATGACACAAGGGAGCAAAGAAGACAGACAGGAGGGAGATATGCATCTCCTGTTCATCAGGCTGTTTCATAATCGAGGGCTAATTGCCTGTTGGCAAAGGTAGCTCTCAGACGTCCTCTTGATTACGTAATAAGCCCCCACTTTGGGAAAAGATGGGGGGGGGGGGGCAAAGAGGACAGGACGGAGACAAAGAGAGGTGGGAGGAGGGGAGTGGAGGGCAGGAAATGACAGGACAGGGACAGAAGGATGGAGAAGGGAGACATTCATCAGGCTGTCTGTACGTGTCAGTGGGAAATCTTCCCTTTCCATCCTTATGGGGACAAAATGCTCTCACAAGGAAGACAGATGATGAACGCCACCATGATGCCACATCAAGAAGCGGAGCAGGATTCAGAGTTCAGCTTAAATGTAGCATGAAGACTGGAGGAAAATTTGTAGTTGTCCTCACAAGCATACAAATAAAAACATGCTAGTGTACAAGTAAGGGCAAATTCACTCTTGGCACCATGTTTAAGCATTTAGCCCCCTGAGTCCTGTTTTTTTTTTTTCAACAGGCATGGGTGCCCTGTACTGTGCTCAAAAGTGGTACGCTTCTTTGGCTCGGCCACAGTTTGAAGAGGTGGGTTGACTAAAACAAAACAACCCAGTAAAGTGAAGTTGCGGACATATTCTCTGTGTTGTTATCCACTGTGCAATTGTAACAATACAAAAATTGGACTTCTAAAGTAACCCACTGACATTTTTAGCATTTATGTAGGGTGAACTATGTTCACTATGGGCCCTACTATGTTCTCAAAATGTACTGAAAGAAACGCATCAGTAATAATAAGTTTGTCATTATGAAACTCACATGCTTTAAAAAGCTTGCCATGTTATCTAAGATTAAATTAAACTGTTCCTATATATCCTACTACTAAGCTAGCCCACCTGATTAAAACCTGTCAAGTTTTTTTCTCCTATGATAGCACTAAGAGTCTGTCACTGAGGTGCTTGGTTAATTTTTAAGTGTTGCCTCGATTACACAACACCATTTTGTGGCATTTTTAGCACACAGATTGTGGTAAGTCAGTGGTTTTGCACTCAGAGTCCACTCTGTGAAGAAATTAGTCCCCCAGGAGACTCAAGCAGCAGCTTCTGGTCACCAGGTATTATTTTAGAAGATGACACATTGTTGGTGTCAGGAGTGGACATGCTGAGGCAGGAGCATTGCTTTTCTCTATTCTCAATGGAACACAAATAACTAGCAGGCATACATCTCCCTGAGTGCTGACAGCGTGAGATGCCTTTCTTACTAATACTGCCCCCTTTTGGAGATGCAAGTAATATTAATTTATCCTGTCAGTCCAGAAAACCAAGAACCCTACATGATGATGTAAACCTATGTGTGTACCATAAAAAAACATGGGTATGAAGGTTAAAGGAACTAACTGAACCCAGGTGTGGGCCAGTGGGGCACTGGGACGGCAGGGGTGGGGGGAGCAATCCTGCTTTGGCACAGTACAGGGTAACTGGGCCTACAGCAAGTATGCCCTCAAAGGGAACTATATAGCCAAGTGACTAAAATGTACAGAACACCAAGGTGCCCATCTCTTTCTCACACGTAGACACTTTGCGAGACAGTCAGAGCAAATGCACTGAGTGGACAAATAAAAAGAGGAGGGTATTGAACAATGGCTCACTCCCATCACTGCAACAGGACAAAAGCACAACCTCGCCTCATCATTATCCCTCAGCTTTAATGTCAACCACAAGGACAGTGACGTAAACCGCCCGCTGTAACCTCCAGTTTCAAATAATGACAAAAACACACGCACACAGGAGATGCAACAGAATGTTTTTTTTTGCCTCTGTTGGAGTGTTTCTCTCCACACTTGATCGTTTGAAAAAGAAAGAGGGGAGGAAGCTGAGCTATGGCCTGAGTGACAGCACAAATGATGTGATGATGGTGCAACTTGGGAGGTCAAAGGTGACGGATGAAAGGCACAGCTTTGATGGTTCCCCCTGAGTTGTCGCTGTTTTTTTCAACCCTCCTGCCTAGAGCTGCTCATGTATTTTTCATGAAGTGTTGAACCCATTTATTCCTTTTATGTTTTAACATAAAGTCTAGATGTTTACATCGAATGCCTTTTTTTCTTTTGAAAATTTCCAGCACCAGTAAAAGCTCAACCTCCAACGACACAGACATGCATTAAAGGGAATCGCTGCATTGGAGGGGGTTGTTATGACTTCACAATGCAAGCTTTAAAGGCTTGCTGACATCTTACAATACAGCCACACACACATTTGCACAAAGCATACAGACTCGCATGTTGAGGCTTTTCTGGACGGTCAAACAGCACTGACAGAAAGATGTGGGGGCTGAATCTGTGCTTTAATTATTTGTAGAAAATAACAGCACTCACCAGGCTTTCTCTCTCACACACACTGAAAATGAGAGACAGAGGTGTTATGAGCGTGGGTGGGATGCACTGATGTTCTTGTCCAATGGAGTTTCCTGAGTTGTATGAATGACGGTCCCTCTGGGAGAACCTCAACAGAGCTCCTCACATCACCATGCAGATGGGGGAGTTTCTGCATGTGCCACATTTAAACATGCCAAATATCATAGAAAAGAAGAAAAGTATAGACTCTTTTGGAGCCAACATCACATTGACATCACGGTATTAGCTGGAGGCAAAACTAGAGTGACACACGAATCACCACCACAGGGTGGTAGACATGTCAAAGCATTGTCTTGGTGTGTTGTTTGGTGCCAGAATGATGGAGTTACAGTAAAACAGAAATTCTACCATAGACCAGCTGCCACTTCCAGTCAACAAAAACCAAGAACACTTTGGTTAAACACAGTTTGGTTCTAGACTGGACAGAGGTTATTGACAAAAATGCACCAAGGGTGCTGGTGTGTACAGGATGGCATTGTGTCTATAAAGAGTCATCAGATATGCAAGCATTATGAGCAGCATTGAATAAGATGCAAATGGCTTGAACGCTCCATGTTTAGACGCTTCAGCCCTTGTCACAGCAGTTGCTGCTTCCAATCCCCAACCATGACCCTTTACTGCATGTCTACAAATTATTTGTTGTCCTCCGTTGTACAATCCCCATAGTCATCAACTGCAAATATGTAGGCGTCTAAGGACTTCTGCTGCATTCATGTGGTGTAAAATTAAATCCCAAATTCTGAATTAAGACCAGAGCACACCAAACCTCCAAAAGGGGGAATATACAGGGATTACATGAATGCAGCGTCATCCTCTCTCAGTTTTCTATTCTATGCATGACATTAGATCTTTGTTAGTCCTGTCCAATCATCCATCCACTGAGCAACGCTAATCCGCGCCTCCTTATGAGTGCTACCTTATTCAAGCAACAGTCCTGTGTTATCTTCCACCATTGAGGTGCTGGTGCTGGTCAGTGTGTCAACTGGATTGTTTTGCCTGCAGCTAAGCCCCGTCCACCAAAAATGTCATATAAACACTAAAAGGGTCTATAGATTAAAAGGCAAAGCTTTTAAAGATACAGTTTCAGAAAGAAAGAAAGAAAGAAAGAAAGAAAGAAAGAAAGAAAGAAAGAAAGAAGAGCATCTTGAAAAAAATAATAAGAGCTCTTCATGAGGATCATTACATATGGCAATAACAAACCGTATCACAGCATCCTCTTTTGAAAAGTAAAATAAAAATTGTTCACATTTGTTTTTTTTCTCAGTAAACGATATCACACAGTGATAACGAAGAAAAGGAGAAATCTACAGCCACGTTAGCTTCGTGCAAATAACCACATACACTGGCACGCCGCATAGGCAAAGAGATCAAAGCAAGACAACGCATACAAAAATATAGAAAATCTCCGATGCAACTCCTCTCGCCACAGAAAAATCTCTTTTCCACCTTCTTTGTTAATTGCCAAAGGATCACTTCAGGAACATTCTGTCCGTGTTTGTTGTCGTCTCTGCTGCTGCTGCTGCTGTTGTTGTTGTTGTTGTGTATTTTTTAAGACAACCAAAGTTCTTATGTTTTCCACGCAGGAATCCACAGAACATCCAAAAATCTCTGGTACCTATGGTTCATCATTATGGCAGATGTCCATCATAATGATGTTTGGAATAATGTGAACAACAACATGTCTGAGTGATAGAAAACTAGTACAATAAAAGCATATCATTTCTGTCATATAATCTGTAACAAGTCTTTTTAACCGTGTTATTTTAAAATACATACTATGTCCTGTCACTTTTAAGACATTCCAGCATTTGCTCATAATTTGTAGTGACAGGGTTAAATAGTTTGGCATACTCAGCAAGCCATGCCCAAAAGGATGCTATTTTGTCTCTTGCAAAGGATGGGGAGGGAGGGAGAGAGGAGAGGGGAGGTCCCAGGATGCAGTGTTGACCCTCCCTCCCAGAGGAGACACTGGGAGTGTGGGCAAGGGGGGGTTATACAGAACAGCTGAGATTACAAACCGTGCTCAAGACCGGGTCAGCCCATCATTTCAGCACTTGCAAAACATGCAAAGATAAGTCAGAGTTTTGGACTCTGGAGTCATTCTGTCAGCCTGTTGGTGGCGTCCATTTTTCAGAGTCATTTCCCGAAAACTGTGAGCTTCATACCCACGAATAAGTCCCTGGACCGCTTCTTAGCAAGTCCCTCGCCCCTGCTATCACACAGATAAAGATTGTTTTGACGCCTCAAAAGAAAACACGTCGAATGGGGACAAAGCAGTTCAAAGGTGAAGGGGGGGGTTGAAATGCTGCGAGTAAGGCAAAGACGGATGCTTCAGTCCAGAAAACAACATGCGCAATGTTCAAACTTTTTAGACACGATGGAGAGGAGGAGGAACCTAACCCTCCAAAGAGAGAGAGGGATCAAACACTGAGGTGAGATGAGAGGAGTCAGTGGTTGTTCTGCTCGTCTGCCCTCTCCTCTTCGTCTTCATCCTCCTCATCCAGAGACACAACCCCAGAGGACGCCACGTCAGACACCCTCCTGCGGGGGTCATAATCAGGTGGGAACTCTTCTCCGTTAGCCTCCACCTGGCACACGGTGCTCTCATAGTCCTTGCAGGGGGTGTCATCGTCCTCACCAGGCGACAGGTATGTCTCAGAGTAAGACATGGAGTAGCAAGGAGAGTCTTGGCCCCTGCAGGGCCTGATGCTCCGCCCCCCTCCACCCAGGCTGTGGAAGGCACAGTCCCCTCCGCCAGGCGCGCTCTGCCCCACCCGTTGAAGTCGGGCCAGCAGAAGCTCCTCCCCTCCCTGCAGAGCTGATAGGATCTTGGCTGCGAGCTCTGCAGCATTGCTGTGGGAGTGGGTGCCGCGGTGGCCGCTCAGGTCTCGCAGTAGCGGGTGGTGCTCTTCCAGGCTGCAGAGGCTGGAGCACAGGGTGTCCGGGGAACCCGCTGTGGGTGAGGGTTCACGGCTGCCACCCCCCTCCCCTCCACCATCACAGCAGGGACCTCGCAGCCCCAGGTGCTGGCAAAGCTGGCTGTGGATCAGGTCCTTCAAGTAGGGAGGGTAGGACGACACATCTATAGAGGGAAAAATACAGACTGTAAGTATGAAAAACCACAAAATATGAGAAAGGCTTTATAGACATAAATCTTAGCTGCTTTCCGATAAACAGCATATTCATTGATAGATTTGGGATGTGAAGACGTCATTATCTGTATCTGTGACTGTTTAACCTAAAAGTCATCTGAGTCTGTGTCCAGATATAAAACCAGAGACATATTTTTCCTGGTTCTTTGCAACAGAACACATGTAACCAAATTACAAACGACCAATACATTTTAAAAAAGTGAAATCATTTCTGGTAGGGCAGATGTGCCTTTAAGGCTTCAACTTGATGACGACAGAGTTTAAACTGAACTTCTTCAGGGAAATCAATGTGGACAGTTCGACACAAGGCTTTCACTGCTGGACTCAGACACCGACAGTGAGCAGCCTGCTGCCTCTGAATAGAGAGACCGGGTCCACAATATCCAACAGATAACTTTAACGATGTGGAGAACACTAAACCACCTTTTCAATTAACACATTCTGCTAAAACAACATAGTCAAGTTATAAAGCAACACAAGAACTAAGAAGGGATGTTTAAACACACTATGACCCCAAGGGTTAAAGGGACATTGACCAAATTGAAGAAAACAGGTGCAAAGAAACCACAAACAAAAACTGGACTATTTTAGTGAGAGAAAAATCGCTACAGAAAATGTATGAGGAAAATGATCTTACACACTTGCTGCTGATATTCTCTGCATCTGCTAAAAATGCCAACAAGAAAATGCAAATTTTCAAACACTATTGATTATATTCACCTGAAGCTAGAGAGGTAAGAATGAAAGCAAATATGAAGCAAACAGAGCAATTTAAATCAGACTTATCCGTCACTGTTAGTTCCTCTGTATGGCTTTTATAGCCTAGCAACAGAAGCAAGAAGTGCCCTAAAAAGGCACATGTGGAAGCAGGCCCTTAGTAATTTAGAGCTCACAGTATGAGCCAAGACTTAAACATGAAAATAAAAAAGTATAATTAGAAAAGGCTCAAATACATGACAATTGTCGGGGTTCGATCCAGAGACTGCTTTCATGAATTAAAGTTAATGCCTGATTAAAAATGGAAGACCATAATGTTAATGGGTATCAATGCTATCTTTGTATCAAAGAGAGATATGAATTTATCACATACATGCTGGTGTATGTGATAAATACACTGACTGGGCGGTCTGAGCTTGACAGTAAGAGGCCATAGATGAATGTATCAAGATGGAGAAGTGATATTGAGCTGAATGTTATTAGCTGCAGAACAGGTTAGTGGTGGCTCAGTGTAATCAAGATGAAAGCTCTGGCATACATACACTCACGCACACACACGCACGCACACACAAACACGCAAAACCTTAGTCAAATAAAAGGTGTATTTATATCCGGCTCACACACCATGCTCACTCAGACACTGTCTCTGCAGCAAAGGAAATGATATTAAAGTTGCAGGAGGGATATCAAATTGCACCGTGGAACAAAAAAATGTTTGGAGGGAGGAAAAGTAGGGCAGTGGGACAGAGATGGAGAGAGAAGACATGAAACAGAGTGAGAGAGGGAGAGATGGATGAGGAAGAGGGTGTGTGATTGGATATTATGAAGGAAAGGGATAGGATGAAGGGTATCTATGTAGCTGTAGAGGTAGTTTATGTTTGTCTGTGTGTGCATACCTGTGCTCTGTGTGGTGGGCTCATTGGCAGGCAGATAATCTTCATCATATGAGTCATCGTTGGACTCGTCGCCGTCCACAGAGGACCAGGCCCTTAGCTTAGCCTCCGCTATGGCAAACTGCTCGGCCACTCCTGTGCAAACACAAACACATACACTCATACGCTGCACATGCATGAATACATGGTCGGCATGGTAACAAGGAGACTGCGGACCATTGTGTCCCCATGTCATGTCATTATTCTGATTGGCAGGTTGGGGCGAGGAACTAAGAGCACAGTGTACTATGAGACTGGACAGAGACAGCTTTCCCATTACAGCTGATGCTCCTCAGTCGTCATTCGGCTGTGTGTGCACTTACAGCTGCTGTCACTGACTGACTGTTTGATTGTTTTGTTATGCAGGTTGCATTCCTGCGAGTGCAAGGAGAGAGAGTTAGTTGGAAGAGGAGCAAAGAGGAGCCTTGTAAATGCACTGACAATCACAAGTAACAAAATGCAGAGAAATAGATTTGCACAAGCTAGTTAGGCTGAAAATAAAAGGTGAAATACTGATCAAGAATGCAGGGAAAAGTGAGGGATGTTGGCATGTTGTATGCCGCTTCAAATTTTTTTTTATTTCATGGGATATTTAAAAGACTGTTACCTCTGTTCCCACTGGTGTTAAAAATGAGTCTAATGCTGACATGAAAATCTGCAGTTCTTTGAGTGTCCACTTGAGGCTGGTTTCAAAAGCTCTGAAAACCCCATTAAAGTCCAATGTATGGTTGTTTATCTATAGATTGGGCTTTAAAACACGTTTTGAATTATTGTAGATGTTTTCTTTGTTTAAACTTGCCTTAAATTGTCAGTCTTTTTTTTTTCATTTAACTGCAGAGGGGCTGACTTTTCAAAACTGTCATGGGCTTCAGGCCCACCTCTACTTCACCTTTTGATAGCTTCCAAACCTACATGAGTGTGACTTCGCATTTTCAGTACAGGACTTTTAGTCTATTTACAGTGTCCATCTTCACGCATCTAAGCATTCACTTGATGTAATCCTCCAAGCTAACATCATCATATTCATTTGACAAACAAAAATGGATCATAACTCACAATCTCAGATTTCACAAGTGACTCTACAACATAGCATCATAATTGGTCATGTGATTGTTGTTTCTTGTTTTTGTATGTGTTACTATTCTCTCCCTGCCTTTCCCCTTTTTTGGTATACCAATTGAATAACTGTATCTCTTTATTTTATTTTATTTCTTTTTTTCTAATTTTTTCGACCCAAAAAGGGATAAAAACTTCACACTCTGCAGTCCTACTCTGAGTTTGGATAACCTCCTGCATTACTGTTTTCTCATTTGTGCAAACTTCATGGAAATTTAAGGTTTTTCAATGCAATGCAATTAAGGTTTTAGATCAACATTGACTTGTGTGCTATTTTGTCCCTTTTGCACACTGTAGTAAAACAGCATCTTTCTGTTAGCTGCTTCTGAAGAAACCTTCTGGGAGAAACCATTGACACTGTTAGACATCCCTACCTCCTTTTCTGCTGTCAAAGTCAGTGACCATATTTTGTAAGTGTGCACACAAGCAACCATATGGATGTGAATGTTAAAAAACACAAACACACAAGAACACATAGAGGACATCAATCTGTGTGTGTGTGTGTGTGTGTGTGTGTGTGTGTGTGTGTGTGTGTGTGTGTGTGTGTGTGTGTGTGTGTGTGTGTGTGTGTAGCTGAGGTGACTCAGCATGTGCCAGAACCAGTAAAGCCACAAGGTCCAACAGACCAATCCCCTCCAATCATCATCAGGAGCTGGCCAATGACAGGAGAAGTCTCCCTCTCTCTCGTCTCCTTTTTATCTCTGTGCTCAGCCTTGTCCTCGTCCTCCTCCCCATCCATCTGTTTTGTATTCCTCCATGTTCATCCACACCCCCTCCCTCCATGTCACGCCTTTCTTCCAGCTGTCTCTCTCAATGAAACGCTCTATCGACTCACCTGACTCTCCTCATTCCTTCCAATCCCTTTTCTTTGGCTGTGCAATCTCTCAGCCATGTCCCCTGCTTCTTCTTGATTTCTCTCTCCGTCTTTCTTTCTTCAGTCAATGTTCAGTATTCATACTTTGTCTCCCACAGAGAGAGGGAGAGATCGATGCTTTCATTCATCTGTGACTGGAGCTGAGTCCTGAACTCTCCTCACAAACACGGCCTCAAGCACGTGCAAACACACACATGCATGTGCAAACACACACACACACACACACACAGGAAGCTCTCGAGTATTTCTTTGAAATCCCTTTTCAAGCAATCATTTCACTGAGGGACACGTTTCAGGGGCGTTGATGCTGTTTTACGTCACTGACCCACATACCAAACAAAAATAGGAATAAAAGATCTTGAACAGCTACTAAAACGTTTGGTTTTATACTGCTGATGTCAATAAATAAACCAGACCAGATTTTAGACTATGTAGATTTTTCTGGATTAACTTAATCTCGTGGTCGACTGTATTTATGACCAAAATTTGCATGAAAAAAGGAGGGTAATAAGAGAGCAAAAATTCAACTTTTTCTCAAAATTTCCCATAAGCAAAGCTTCATCTCATTTTGCACGATACAAACACACACCCTGACCATTTTGCGCTTTCATTTCTATCCAAAACCAAGGCTCATCTTTTCACCTAATTAAATTTTTCGAAACAATTATGAGGTTTTGTTCAGCTTCAAAGTCTTAGCCTGCTTTGGAAACAGCAGAGACCCTACACATGACAACAAAAGACGACAGATTTTACAGCTTTGTTCCTGCAGTGGGTGTTGTTTTTACGCTTTCCTTTGTCACTTTGGTTCCAGTATATAAGAAAAATAACTTTTAAAACACCTCACACTCCAGGGAATCTGGATAGATATTCTTCAGATAATCTGGCTTTTGCTGACTTTTGTTGGAAGGCTGGCGTACAGATGTACTTTCACTCCTCGGTATAGTTTGTCCTAGCGCAGATGCCATACTAGCAGGCCAATCTGAAACTAAAGGAGAAGGTGCTGAGAAAACTTCATGTCCCGAAAACCCAAATTTGGACACCTCAGAACCTCTTTTAGTAACTTTCGTAAAGTAAACTTACTGTAGCATTACTTTAGCATCATTCCTAATTTGAAAAGAACTAAAAACTGCTAAAACTCTTACTTTGTTCTCAATGTGTTTATTAGAGAAAACTCTCAGGATCGGTAACTACATCCTAAAACCCTCCATCATACAAAGGTGCAGCCAACCCCCAACCACTCAATGTTAGCTTATTCTGTTTCATTTGATTCTAAAGCCTCTCCTGTCATATAAAAGTGAGAGTTCTTAGCTTTTGTTTTGCTGTCGCTCATAACGAATAAACTTTTCCATCACTACATGTTGTTTTTTTAAATGACGTTTTCCAGCAGGTGTGTCTGCTCCTGCTGTCGAGTAAACCTACACTACGATGTACTACAGACTGGAAAACAGCCACTCTGATACACTCACACACACACACACTTCACGCACGTTCACACATGTATTCTGAGCCAATTCTCTCACTTACACTCTGTCTCTGTGCCTCTTTCACACACTCACAGTGTTGTCAGTCTCTGCATTGGTCAAACCTGACAGCCAGGTTTCACGCACCACAGACAGGTGCTGCAGGATTAACGTGTGTGTTTGTTTGTGTCAGTGTGTTTATATTTATGTGTGTGTGTCAGTAGAGTAAAGTCCACCAGAAGGACACCAAACCTGCATTTCAGCTCTCTGTGTCTACACATACACAGATATTTATCTTCCCCTGTAGCTACGTAGAAACAGAGGTACCAAACACTGACTCCACATGTTTGCACATGCTCACTTTGTGTACTGGCGTGTGCTCGCTGACATTCACGCACTGCGTTCAGTCACCCACAGTATCTGCATCCCCACATGGGCTTCAGTGAGAGAGTCAGCCAAATAGGAGGAGTCAGCATGACTGGCAGATCTCAGATGGACCACAGACTGTATGGACGCACAGTGATAGGTTAGACGAACAGACTCGACCAAGACTAGTCAACTAACATTTGAAAACTTATTTATCAAAACAAATCTGGAAAAGAAAATATTTATTAATGCTTTAAGCTATTTAATTTATGCAAACGTTTTGGTTCTGCAGATTGTCATTTTCTTTACTACAAAGGACTCAAAGATATTTTTCAAACCCAAATCACAGTATGTAGCCTTTGGATTAGTGGCCTGGGTCCACTTCCTTTGACAATGTTACCTCTTACTCTCGCTCTCTCATGCAGTGTCCTATTCTGCCCACTGTCCTATCCTCTGAGTAAAGGGACCTAAAGTCTAGTATCTTTGGGTGAGACACTGCACTCCAAATTGTTCCCATGTGTCAGAGACAGCAATGTGTGAGTGTAAATGAACGGTGCAAGTAACTTTTAATGACACATCCTCTGCAATCAGAGTATAAATTTGCATGTGAATGGGAGAATGTACGAGTGTGTGGTGTAAATACACTCACGCAAAATGCTTATCCGTTGAAATCGGTACAATCAAGACTATACTTCATAGACTGTATACACGATGGACAACTTGGTTCCACCTTCCGCCAGTATACAGATTTGAAGCCAAAAAGCTCTCGGTAATTCTGCGTTTTTTCTCCACTTCCTGAAACCAACATTGTGCAGTAGCGTTGTACTCGCATTCGGCAGGAGAGTCACTGAGACTCGTTGTGATGACGCTCGGCTCAAACAGTGTATCCCTCAGGTGAGCTACGCAATCTTCGCCCATGGGCTGTATCAGGTGTCAATCATAGAAAACATGAACCCCCGGATAACTTTTAAAAACGGGGGGGTTATATTCTGTGTAATAAATTTCTAAAGTTGTCCATAGCCCCCTAAGGTTATCTGGCGGAGGCGGGATTTATGACGTATACTGCAGCCCGTCATCAGAGGGTGCTGTTCTCGGAGTGGCTTCACCCAGTGAGGAGGCAGATGCTGTCCATTCTGTATCAGCCTATGCTATACTTCAAATAATGTATCTTTTACATGATACCAATTTTGATATTAATGACCATTTTAGAGCTATCCCTGATTTTTTTGTTGTGTTTCACATCCATATAACACATAGATGACATAATTAAGATGAAGCCTTAGGGCCTGTGTCCACTGGAGATGCTTTATCGTCATTGCACTTGTGCACAACGAGATTGCATTTACAGATGGGGAAAGAACACACAAGAGGGAGGGAGAGGAGGAGGTAAAAAAAAAAGAGACTGCTCTCATTGGCAGTGTTTTTTGAGCTGGAACCTATTTCTTGTGTAAAACCAAACAGTTCAACAGTGCTAAAACATCCACAGGCATCCACTGGTTGTTCAGTTCAAAACCATTCAACCTTTGTAACACAGCTGTGCTCGACAATGACACTGCTTTGTTACTATCAAAGTATGAAAAGAAGGGGCAGGACTGCTGACCTTAACTTTGTCAACGAAAACTGCAGACCAGAGTCCTCTGATTGAAGGTAAAATTTGCAGGTCAGGAGCCACAGCAAAAGCCATAACATGATGCTGTTAAAATCAGATGATCATTAAAATCTTGGGCACTGCCAGCACAAAAAAAGCTGTTAGTGGGTCTACGGTGCTGTCTAAATTATTGCTAGGAATTTGCTCCTCTTAAGAGTCATTTAAAACTAAACAGAGGTTTAAAAAGAAGCTGTACTTCATATGATAAATGACCAGGTTCAAACTAAACTACAGAAAAGAAGGCCATCTAGAGATGCTTTAATTATTTAAAGACTATGAAGTGAGTAAAAATTGGAAGACCTATTTTAGGCATGTTAACAAATCAGCTTGTTTGAATCTTCATTACAGCTGCCTATAAAACCTCCAGGACTTTTGGAATAGATCCTTTATTTTGATAAAAGATCACAAAGACCGAGGCATGAGAGGAGAACAGAGGAGAAGTCATGTAAATAGTGAGAAATAAAAAAAAAGAAAGATAAAAAGGAAGGTGAACAGAGGAGGCACAGAGGAAAATCGCTCAGTCACGGTGGCACTAGCCAGGAGCAAAACCTCACTGTGCAAATTAACCTTGAGCGTCTGCAATGCAGGGAGCAAGCGAGAGAACGGAGGGAGAGCAGGCGAGAGAGACTGGGTGAGAAAGACGAAAGGAAGGGGAGATAAATCGGCAGAGGGCAGAGGAAAAAGAGGGAACAGTGTGAGTTTGAGAAGGTGGACATTAAACAGAGGGTATCTGTCTGCATCTTGAGAATCATTTCTGACAGATAATTATCTGGATAAAGATATCTGACTATGAACCTTCATGTTTAACTCTGGGCCAAAAGAGTGTCCTCTCATTGATTCTGCCCGCCGAAGGTGAAGTGAAGTAATGCTGCAGTATGGACCTCACTTAAAGTCTAATTTAAAGATCTGAGAAACTGTGGCATTCAATGACCTTTAGAGATGTTGTAATTTTATGTCACAGCTCCTATATTTTTTATCTGTAAAATAGCTGTACAACAGGGGTGGGATTTAAGAAGGTCTAAAAAAAACCGATTCATGACAGCCTGACATGCAGCATAAACAAAATAAAACAGAGTGAAATGATTGGATTTGTTGTATCAGAGGACCCTCAGTATCGAGACACTTGTCTTTGAAGTATGTTGAAACCATCAAATCTTTTTTTTTAAGACATTTTTTGAGCACTTAGCAAAGAGGAATACTGAAGATATGCAGACAGATCTGTAAACTTCTCTGGCTATCCCGTATTTAACTCAGAGGAATGTTAAAGTGCTCTGTCAGTGAGGCCAAGCAGCTCTGTATTTAGATGTCCAACAATTTTTCCCAGGACTCACAAAAGTTTACCCCATTTTTTACAAGATAATTCGACTCATGTCACAGTCCCCAACTCTGAAAATTAGCAGCAGGCTTCAACGGTGCAAAAACAGAAGTTGTTTCCTGAATATACTTTTATTATTTTAACACTTTATCACTAAAGTTTAGTAAATAAGCTCATCCATACACTTAATTAACTGAGATTTTTATACCAAGAGTAATGTCCTGTTGTTTTCTCGAGACCTAGACTTATTTTTCTTTGTTTTTTTGGAATATGGTGGTTTTTCTTCCCATGGCTGATTTTCCCATTATTCTGCCTTCATTTACCTCATTACCAAGATAACAAAGCTTATTTTCTTGTAGCAGTGGGGTAATTTTCTAGTGATCGACAAAACAAAACAAAACAGTAGGCTGGACCACGACATGCTTTGTTGCCACAGCCCAAACTAATGAAGCAAGTAAGGCCAATTTTAGTGAGCGGTCTGAGATTTTGCAACTCTGAGGATGTGAGTTATGATCATCTGATGATAAAGTGAGATCTGGAAAAATCGAGGAAGCAGAGTAAATCAAGTGTGTGAGTGTATGTGTTCTTATTTTTGAATTTTTTTATCCAGCACAAAAAAAATTGGCTCATTTGGAGTAAAATTCTGCAGATCCATTTCTGCCAGAGACCTCCTTTTTGTTTGATTGTAATCGTTCATCCTACGCAATTAATAAAACAATGCTACCCTTAACATGCAAATTCACGTCATACTTTTTATTCTGCTTTATTATGCCTTTTTTTCCCTCTAGCAATTTGGAGAAAAAGCTGCAGAAGAAAACGTACCAGCAGCAAAGCGTGCCTCCTGCTCCCCCTCGGTGAGATCAGAGTACGAGTTGAAGTCCGACTCCAAGGCTGCTGGAGTGTCGATGGGCTTGCACCAGCCCTTCCACTCTATCAGATGGGCCACTCTGCCCTGAGCCATGGCTGTAGGCTTCGTCACATGGTCTTTCACTACTTGGGAAATGCCTGTAAAAGGAAAGAAACAGGGCTTTTGATCCAGAGCAGCTGTACACATATTTAAATATGAGCCGTATCTCAAGAAGTTGTACGTGTTTCATGTCACACTCACCGTGCAGGGAGGATCGCGCTAATGCTGCAATCTCTTGAATAGTCAGAGCTCTTCTTGATTTTGGTAACATTTCAGTGCTGTCATCAATATTCACCTGAAAGGACAAGAAAAAAAAAGGTATGACTCAGGGGAAAACTGTCAGAGCGGTTCAGCTCAGCATGAATGCGAACAAGTCTCTTAATACACCCTGTCGTGACTCACGGAAAAACCAAACATTGTCTTTCCACGGAGAGAGGACTCCTGTGTTCACTGTTCCACAACTACTTCAGAGCGCTACAGGGTCTTAGAAATTAAAGGGATTTTCTCTTCACTCACCAATCAGTGCTCTGAATGACTCAAGCTGTGTGCCAACAACACACACACGGGGGGATGATGGTATGAACATGGACAAGTGCATATTCAGAGCTGTACTTGTGCTAACAATGAATATTTCAGCAGTCTGCGTATAAATAAGACCACTCTTACCTTTAAATAATGGAGGTTGAACATGTTCCAGCATGTAAAGGGGAAAGTTTTACATTTTTCTTCCCCCAGTTGGAGAAAATAACACCACCGTTATATCAGTCTTGAAGGATTTTTTTCTGTATAATTTTGATTTTTTTAATGAAAACATTGTCCAAACAACATGTTGTGGTCAATCAGTGATTAAATTGACACAATTGCTCTTTTAGAGCTTAAAAACCTCTGTTTTAACCTCTGATGACTGACAGAGGTCCCCCCCAACTGGTTACCAATCACATGTTTGGATCTGAGTAGTAGAGTATTATACAACATTAGCAGTAGCCTTAAACCGGAGTTAGAGCCCTGACTAATCTATGGCAGCGGTTCAGGGCAAAAATAACAATAAAGTATCATTCATTTTGTGAAAAACAGTCATGATTCTGGGACATCAATGGCCTTGCAGTCAAAGTGCCCCATGTATGAAGGCTGTGGGTTCGATTCCCAGCCACACTCCTTTACTGGGGGTACTTTGGGGTGGCAGTAGTGCAGGCGATAGAGCGGTTGTCCAATCACCGGAAGGTTGGTGGTTCAATTCCCCCCTATCCCAAGTCTGTCAGTTGTGTCCTTGGGCAAGACACTTAACCCACCTTCCTCCCAGTGTGTGTCCTCCACTGGTGTATGATTATGAGTATTGTGTGGTGGTGGTGGTTGGAGAGGCCGTAGGCGCAAACTGGCAGCCACATTTCTGTCAGTCTGCCCCAGAGCAGCTGTGACTACTAAGGTAGTTTACCACCACCAAGGTGTGAGTGAATGAATGATGTATCCAATGTTAAGCGGTCTTTGATAAAGCGCTATATGAAATCTGATGCATTATTATTATGATGCATTATTATTATGCCCCCCCCCCCCCCCAACCCACATTTTCTGTCTCTTTGGTTATTTTATCTGATAACAGAACTAACATGTATCCTCTTAAAATTACAACTTGTTATTCTAATCTAATCATCTACATATGTACATTACATACATATGTAACTGGTCTCAGTAAGTTTGGAAATAAACCGATGATAACTGTAGTGTCCCCACTTCCACACAGACTGAGAGAAACTACCAACAGCCAGTGGAAAAGACCAGTTTTGTTAGATAGTATTTTGTATTTTCTGTTTTGCAACCTACTAGCCAAGTCAGACCACTGTCGTCTCTCCAAAATCCACAAAAAAATGTTTAATTTTTGGACCAGCTGAAGAGTGGGAGTTTTACTGGCATATCAAATATCCTGGAGATCTTCAAATGAAAGGACTTACGGTTGATTTGCCTCTGTTTACATATCAAAGAAGAAACAACTAATCGAGCTGAGTGCCATCTTGAAGATTTACAACAAAGGTCCTCCGTGTCAGACAGCTGTAAAGAACAGCCTGTCTCGGACTTCTCATCAATTTGTGTTAATTAGGAAAATAGACATGACATCAGAATCAGTTAACCGAACCAACCAGTATGTTAGCGAGTTAGAGAAGATAAATATCAACTTCTTACGCCCTGAAGAGTTTTTTTAGATTAAAGATGTTATTTTTCTCGCTGAAGGGCAGAAAAAGAACAACATGCAAGTGATCATGTTGGCCCTGTTCTCCATGTTACATAAGGAAGGTTGTTAAATTGGTCTGCCGGCTTATTAGCGAGTTAATGACCTGTTTCGGTAACCGAGCTGTCTCTTCTCAGGCTACAACTCGGAACATTTTGTTGTATCTGCTCCTGTCAGCCAGAAGTCATGTTGGGTAAAAAGAGGCCTTATCTTGACATTATCAAACACACAGCTCTTGCTGATGCGGATCCTTCTGGTGCTGCCAGATGTAGCTGTTAAGAGATTTCTGACGCAACTGGAATCGTGATGGTAACAGAGAAGCTACTTGAAAAGGGGATTGATAAAGCTCTGCATATGGAAACTGGTCAAGTGTTTTCAGACCTCATCGGTCTGTCTCCCCGTCAGATCCGTCTGCACTGTATAGTCAATCCACAGCAGGAGTATCAGGTGTTTACAAGTTCCTTTGTCTGCGGACTCTTTTAATAGCCTCACCTGTACTCACGTGGGAAACATTCACGTCAACAGCAAAGGCCACATGCAGAACATGCTGTGTTGTTACTCTATATGGGTCAACACACCTGGCTCAGTGAACCATACGCTGACAGATTTAGACTGATATGTAGAGCTCCATGGGTACAGCTTGTGACCAGTCCTCTGGTGTGTGAGTGCAGCACTTGTTGGACAAAATGCAGGGACAATTTACGCTCGAGCAGTCACAGTATTGTGGGATTGACAATACCTGGTTTTGTTTTTTTTTTAAGCTAAGAATAAGCGTTCAATAACGCCATGTAAGCAAGCGGTTAGCACTGGTTTACACCTAAAACAAGAAGAAGCAGGAGCAGCAGCTACTTTACCAGGTAGTTAAACTCATAACATTTACAACTATACTGTAACTCCAAAAAACACAACATAAACACTTGTGGTTTTTGTAGGGGAGCTGTTGTACAGGAATACAAAGGTAGTTGGTTTACAGTCTGATCATCCACTGCCCTCCTCCTGCAGCAAAAAAGAGGGTCCCCTGATCCAAGACCAGCAAAATATTTCATTCAAACCCAGTATATCCATTATGATCTCCATCTTACTTCAAATCTGCAAAAGCTGCACAATCTTGCTTAAGTTTTTACACTTCCTAAGAGCAGGATTTGAATCTCAGACCCTTTTAATGATCTAAATCATTAGGCTCAGCAAGAACTGGCCCTTTCAATTCCAAGAGCCATTTTTTTAACCATTCATAGATAAACATCTGTATGCAATAATAGTGCACACAGCTGTATTGAGCCACCATGATTTACCGCAGGGGAAATTCCCTCACTGAAACAGCCCTGTGACTGTGACATAGAGAAAAAATAACTTTGAACAGAATTAGAAACATGGAATTAAGTCAGCTGCATTAAATAGTAAGGTTTATAAAGTAACATGTTGCACCACTCTTGTTTCACCTCTTCTTTATTTGATTGGCTGTGTGTTGATGTTTTTCTCAGAGTTTAAACAAATGCTGCAATAACCTCCTTATCGTGAGTATATTGACTGTGATAATCATAAGGGGAAAATCAAAGACCATGACGGCCCTGATTCTAACATGATAATATCATTTGGGGTCATCATAAGGTTGGTTCATATTCATGGTTCATATTTTCTGTGAATAAGAAAATAGTGCACATCCTGACCTTTAATCATCTACCCATTACAAAGCACAATCTAGCCTGGTTAACCAAGCAAACAACAGTCATTCTTCAGAAAAGCTCTGCAAAGACAAAGGGGGGGATCCCGGGCTGACGATGGTATCAGCGGCTGCCGCAAGGCGTGATAATCCTCTTGTGCCGCAGAGCAGCTCACAGATCAGAGGGAGGATAATCTGGAGATAATATGACATATGTGCTGGAGGACAAATACGGAGATATATGGAGCTGGTCTTTAAATTAAAAAATCACATGTCAGCAGCTGATGATGTCCATCTAGCTTCAGAGAAATCTTTCCTTTATGGCGTGGGAGGGGATTTCAATGTCTGTGCTACTCAAACGTTCCTGTTTCACGCTGCCTTATCTCTCTGAAATAGGTTTTTACTGTTATTTTCCCAGTGTGATATCATGGACATGCTGCTTTGAAGATATCTCTGAGTAAACTTTAGATGAAAACTTATCATTTCTACATTCATAAACACTAACCATCAAGATTTTGACGTTACATTCAAATAAATCAGTATGAGTAGGCTAAAAACATGCATTTCAGTATCACCTTGCCACTCAGCCCCGGTTAACAGCACCGCTGGCTGCTCTGCTCTGCTCCCCTCTCCTCCCCCTCTGCTTCTACTCCCCCACTGCCCTACTGAACCGCAGAGTGAACACAGAGGAAGACATGAGCAGCACTCAGAGCTGAACGAGCGCTTCATTACACCGCTGTGCACCATTTTTCTACGCACTTACATCACCAAAAAAAAAACAGGCAGCACAATTACACGCGCATTTAAATACAACAATACTAATATCAAACATGACTCTAACCTTAGCAAGCTAAATTTGACTCTATATCATGAAACACCAAGCTGAATATTCTGCAGTAACACATTTGAGGGGGAGCAAAACAAGAGCAGAAACACACACACATGATGTCAGGACGCTGTGCATCAGCACGGTCTAGTGAGCACAGACAGCGGAGAGGCTTTTGGCTTTTAAACCACTGATAAACTGTCTGCACAGTCAGTGTGGGCAGACTAATGCAGCCTTGAGACAGCAGCGCAAGAGGGAGATCAGAGTCTTCATCACAACCTGCATGTTGAAGGAATAGAGCAGGAAAACAGTGACATAAATCTGAACTCACTGGTGTTTCCCTGAGTGAGTAATCAGGAAGTCTGCATACTGAGAAATTTAATAATTAAAATGCACTAATCTATTTTCCCTGTGATTCAGGTTTGTGGTTTTATTCAAAATCATAACACAGATTTGCAAACGATGAGAAAAGTGGTTTGTATTAGATCATCCTCGATGTCTGTTGCTGTTTTTTGTAGCTGTTTTTTTTTTTTTTGAGAAGTGCTTAGAGTGGATCTTTTCTGTCTGAGTCCATGCTGGGTCCGTTGACAATGTTGGAAAAAAAAGAGGCAGAAGAAGTAAATAAAGCATTAGAGTCACTGCATGTCAAACCTTAGTAAACCAGCTCCTCAGAAATTACTAAGAGTAACTTTTCAATTGGATAACAAGCTGATCCGATCCAAGCTCTTAAACTCTCAGCTTCTCCTGCAAAGATCTCCACTAAAGCAGCATTACGTTGACTACTCCTGCATATATCTTCTTCCAAATGACATTTAAGTCATCTCAGACATTTTCTTTAGGTTTAGAGGATATGCAAAGATGTGCCCCCCTCCCCATGTAATGTCTCACTTCAAAAGGCACTGCCCTTTCCTGCCACCTAATGGTTGGAGGTGTATGACGCAGTTTGGGTGCAATGAATCCCATCCCAAACTGCTATTGGAACAGAGCTAATCTGCCTGTGCAACCTGTCTACATCCTTGCAGCTTCTTCATTTTACTCACGAGTTTCAAACATTTATATTGGATAAAAAAAGAAGATACAAATATCAAATTAATTACTGAAAATCTCTTTGAGGATTGGTCTGAAGAATACTAGCCTTACATCTGAGAAGCAGCAGAATGTGTAGAAGAGTTGTGTTGTGTGAAAAATGGCTCTCGCATTTGCTTCAATGATGACAAATTTGAGGAATTTAACAATTCATGCAAATATTCACTCCAGCTGTAAAGGAGAATAGACTCAAGGCCTGCTGGTTGCCGATAAAAGCTTTCCACTTTTCAAGCTAAATCGATGGTAAAACATGCTGATTTTGTATTTTACTCTTTGGTAGCCCATTCTTCTTGCACACAAAGGAAGTCATAATAAAAGAATTAAAGTAAAACCATGCTGGTTTCACAGACACAGACTGGCGATGTCTGCCGACAAAATAACCTGAACATCCTTTTCCGCCACATTTCTGCCGTAACGCCGCTCCTCTCCCACTGTCTCTCTCTCTGCTCTCTCTCTCTCTCTTAACTTTCCCACAATGGGAACATTTCTATGGCAACTGGTCACCATGGATTAGTCCCTCCAGGTATGCCTGTGTGCCTCGCTCACCAATGACGTCACACACTAAGAACGTCAGCCAACGCCACAATAGCCCGGTGAATGATTTCAGCGTGTGTCTTCCTGCATTTCATTTCAAAGACGCTGATGCTTGGTGATGCCATGGATCACACAGGCATCAGAGAAGAGGCATTTGCATCTCCATAACAAATGAGATCTCTTTGTTAGCAGAAGAGTACCCAATATTTATCCACTGTCACAATTGAACCTCATTGAATTGAAAAAATCTAGAAATGTGAATCATTTCTGAATACTGATGTAATATGGCAAAAGTAGGACTTTTGGTGGGTCAGTGAAGTGTAAAGCAATTGAGAGTCCTTCCTCTGTAAGAGTGCTGTGATAAGATCAGCAGATCCTGCCAGCCGCTCTCTCAGCACCCAGCATTCAATAACAGAGTGAGAGGCTGCATTTCATAATGGATCACTTAGGCACTGCTAATCGTCGCCTGGCTGGCTCGCTGTGACACTGTGACACATCACATTCACACCCAGATGGTGCACACCGATGGATAAAAGAGGCAAGGTGGATTCATCATTCCCATTAGACATCTCCATCATCATCATCATCACCTCTGAGCCAATTATAGTAATCTCAGTAACTTCAGATTCACAGCGTTAGGTTCAAAGACTCTGGAGGGACTCTGTTTCAGAATATGTAGACCTGTATTCAGACAGATTTGAACTGTGGAAACTATGTTCACCAATGGACGCTTTCTACCAGTGTTTGCATTCTTCATCTGTATTTTGGGCCCTTTGGATATGAACCAATCCTCGCAGAACCAACAGAAATTGTGGTGCAGAGCTGAGGGGCTCAAGCAGAAAAGTTCAAGACAGACCAGCAAAACTCAACAAAGATGGCACCATAAGAGATCCAATATAATCTGAGCAGAACATTAGGGATCATAGAAAAACAGCTGTCAAAATTCAGACTTCCCAATCTTGGTAGGAGATGAAAAAAAATAGTGAAAATTATGTTTTCCACGGACGCGTGTTCTTTCTTTAGAAATGGAGATGTCCCTTGAAATCTGATTGACCAACTCAGGTGCCACTCAAAAACCTTTACTGTGTGCCTTGTCAAGTGGAGAGGACTGCCAACATAGCATATATCCTTCCTTGACTATGGATTATCTTTTTGTGTCCTCAAAGCTGTTTCAAGGAGCTTTTGTTTTGCATTGATTTTGGCGCCCCCTGTGGCCAAAAATGCAAACCTGATCACTTTGCTGATCTTGTCCTGGAAGGTGGTATTTCTGAACAAACAATTTCATTGTCAAATGTGTCACTCAGTGTGACCTTCTGCTTATTCAAATGCAAAGAAAGGCAGTATTTTGATGTGACATCCGTCCTTGCAACAGTTTCCAGAACAAAATATTGAAATGTTGAAATTGTAAACCTTTTTGATAATTGTTTTGTTAGCATCAGCGTTGATTTCATCATGTTTTACAACAGTGTTACATTAGGTATGACTTGTGGAGAGATAAAAAGCACACAAATGCTTTTAATTTTTGAGTTTGTGCACAAATGAGACCCGTCACTCCTGCAGAAGTCAGTGATCCGCCCCTCCAAGCTGCTTGGTTAATTTCTTAGGGCTAATGATTGTGGAACCATTTGTGGAATAAAATTGAGTTTTTTTTAATCAAGTAAAAATTAAAGAGGGATTCACAGATGTGTTGCACACAGGCCAAACAGTGCCACCATCAGTGTGTGTGTTCGTTCAGATCATTAAGGCACTGATCACCTGCTATATCTTCTCCACAGTCATCAGGCATTGCACTCCGTCTCACTGACATTCTATTTAAAATCTCAAATTAAAAATTAACCGCTTAATTACACCGAATGACTTTTAAGTAATCAGAAACCGACTGGTAAGAATGAATGAAAACTAGGAGGAGACAGAAAACACGTTGAAGATTTAGATGGCTTCATTAGAACGTAATCATTAAACCTGGAGGGTTGTGAAATAATTTTCTGCTTCATGTGGCGAATTACAGAAAGATTGTCATCTTTGATTCGGCAGATCTGGCCTATGCCTGATGACTGGTTCACAATCGAGGACTACACTTGCAGAATCGATATACACAGAGAAATCTGTGACCCATGTTGTGGTAACAGTACTAACAGTAATGGAGTTCATTGCCCACCAAAATAATGCAATATAACTGGTTCTATTAAAGGTCAGAGGGCACGTCTTCACTAATATGAGACCCCCTTCCCTGGATACCTGAGGATTGATGTTAAAGATTTTCTTATGAACGTATTTTCAAACCACATCTTTTATCGAGGACGCTCAAATCTACAGACCCTTTGCCTCCTGACTGTCCAAAGGTCAGAGTCGAAGCTCAGGGTCACCAAGTCTCTTCAGCTGTAGCTCCGAAACATCGGAGCGTCCTGCTTCTATGTCTGTCCGTCTCGTGTATTCAAATCGAACTTCTAATACACTTTATTATTCAGCTTTGGCTCAACTTTTGAGGTGGTCTTTTACTTTCTGATCCTTCCCATTTTTATTGATCTGGTGTTAGCTTTTTTTTCACAAGATATGCAGAGGGATAGAAGACGTGAAATATGCTTCGAATTATGCTGATCATGGGACGAGGACTGAGGTCTCTGTACATGGAGCACCTGCTTTATATCAGCTGAGCTAAACCCCCTAAGTGTGTTGTACACATACTGTAAATTTGGACTGGATCAGATTGGATTGGATATGATACTTCAAGTCAACAGAAAGAAGCCGCTCTGTTGCAGATTTTTGCTCATGGTGTAAAAAATCAAGTCACTATACCATTTCTGTCCACATGGGACCAACAGAGGGAGCTTTAAATACGTAACATTGAGTGTAACACATATTACTCTACTTATCTCTTTGGCCTGCACTTACAATATGTGTGTTGTAAAAACTGCATCATGCAACAGAAATTCCTATTCTTTCTTTGCTATAGATATCTGAAACAACAGTGTGTCATTTGCCCAATTTTAATCCCCACTATCTGTTTAAAGCAGAGTAGCAGGTACCCTCATCATATAACAGAGGATTAGGGACAAATTAAGGAGGAAAATACTATGAGAGAAAAGTTGTAAGAAGAAAAGTTATTTTAAGCCAAAAAATAAGGCTACTAGAAAATGTCTTAAGAAAATAAAGTCTAAGAGTTGGAAAATTAAAACCATGGTAACGTCAGATCAAGTCAGAAGAAAAAAGTCATAATATAACAGGAAAAAGACGGGCTGTTGTAGTAGAATATTAAGTGTTAAAATTGAAGAATAAAAATGTAGAGACAAGAGTAAAGTTGTGATTTTACAAGGCCCTAGTTTTGTGAGACAGAGGTCGTTATTATTAGAAGAGTGCCCAGCCGCCTGTTTTAAAATGAGGATTGTGGACCTCATGTAAAGCTGAGGACACACAGCAACAAAGGCTATCTGTTCACTTGTCTGAGTTTAAAACACACCCAGTTCTTGCACATTCTTGTGATGATGTTGTGCAGAGAGATTATTATTCAGTTTGCATAAAAGTTTAATTTCATATTGTGCTCCATGTTCCTCATTTTAGCTGCAGAAGGTGGAGGCTGCTCTTCTGATTTGTCCCTTTAAAACAACAGTAACTGTAGCCTCCCGTAATCTTCGTGTAGCTTTTAAATTTCTCTAAATCTTCATGTTTTTCTTCCTTAATAATCCTTCATGATAAATGTTCTTTTAATAATTAGACAGTTCACAGAGGTGTCCGTGCAACTACATGAGCAAGACTCCTCTACAACACCAAACCAGAAAGAGAAATTCATTCAAAGATGTAGATAAGTTTAGGGCACCTCGCTGAAGTCCAGAGCGCCCAAAGGTCCTGACAGAATCAGTCTGCGCGCCAAGCAGGTCCGCGTGTTCCCCAAAAGCGGGAGGTCAGACAGGGAGCCTGTGGGGCTCCAGTCCACGCGCAAAGTACCGTCAACCGCCACTGTCAGGAGGAAGAGAGCCACGTGAAGGTAACAGCAAAACAGGAACTCAGAGCAGCTCCGAAACTAATTCTCACTCCAACATGAAGGAATCATATTATGACAACAACGCTTCCTTTTTTAATGCAGCAATAAAACGTTATTGTTCATAATAATTTCTGCTGACTGGAGCAAGAATTCACTACCAATGAGTCTGAAGGATCAGGGGAATCCTTAAGAGTCGCGGTCGCCATGCTAACCCATGCCTCCAAGGGGACGTCCACTGAGGGGTGATGACCAGAATGGGAATGTGTTGTTACCATATCTCACTGCAGGTTCCTCCAAAGACATCCACATTCATACAGCTCCATGATATGAGATTACAAAACAGAATACACATAAAGCTGCCAGCCAGATCCTCAATGTCAAAAAAGAGCATAGACAACACATCAAAAAAGAGGGTTTTCAAGAGAGTGTGAAGAAAGGGAAATCTGAGAGCTGTGTGTTTGAAAATCAAGGACTCTGAGGTAGCTGCTTCAGATGGATATTGTTTGAAGATTTCATTTTAAATACCTTTTACTGCGCCATCAAGATGAGGGTTAAGTGTTATTTCAGGGTGCTGCAGCACTCAAAAGGCGCTCATAAAAGACGCTTTATTGTGGTTTTGAAGCACCCCTCTTTTCAGCGATTCTAAATGTTGGGCTAATTTATAGCAGCGTACTCTGTAGAGACTACTTGTAGTGAGATAACGTTGAGGAAAGAGGTGGGGGAATGAGAGGGTCGTGGAGACCTACTTCCATGCATTTGAAAGCCATTCCATGTCATGCAGGTGGTCAAAGCTGCTTCGTCAAAGGGAGAGAATCACTGAAATGTAAAAAAATTATAGGATAAATATCGAGCCAGGATGGTATTATGCAAATTTTACCTCCCTGCTGCCTTAAGCACACGTTCTGAAGTAAAGAGGACACGTCATCAACACAAGCATGCAGGAGCATGCTGCAGGACCAGAGAGCAACTCTGCAAGGAGCGAAAATGTCACTAAGCAACCCTCCTGGCTGCGAGCGTGACTGCCTACAGAAGCAGGGCTATATATGGTTGAATACATGTGTTTAACCTTTCTAACAGCTGCCCTCATTGTGACCCACCAGGCTCAATGTGGACAAGAGGGGCTTATAAACCAGCTCCTTTGTGCGTAAACCTCCCTCAGCCACAGCTACTGCATGCAGGGGGACATTTCAGCACCTGGACAGCTCCCCTCTTCCCCAGCACGTATGAACGCTTCACTCAGACCTGCGGCACACAAACACACACACTCACTCACACATGCAACCCCCGCGCGTGCCCGCCACTTTTCAAAATCTGATTTGCAAAATGAGATTAAGAGGTGGGCCCCTAAATGTCAGTGCCTGGCTCCTCTTTCCTGCTCCCCGCTGCAGGGAGGCGTGTCTAGTTACTGTCTGTGAAAAGAACGAGCCGCTCGATTAGTCGCCAGCACCCATCTCAAATATTGAGTCCAATATCAGGACCAATCACTCACCTCCGGGTCAAAGAGCCGCCGTTTGTACACCAAGCTCAGGTTGCCCACCAGTACAATTCAATATGTGCCGTTTAATTGGGTGTGATGAGATCAGATGCCCGGGGTGTATTGTATCATTGAATCTAGGCCACCTCGGTCAATGCATGCATTGTTGAGAGGAGTGAAGGATGCGCACGTGTTTTGTCTAGCATCAGACTCATGTGCAAAGTGTGACAGACATCTGAGCTTCTCTAACCCAGAGGGATTTTTTAGGGACACGTCAGCATCAAATTTCCAGAAGTTGCCCACAATTGTCACAGCTGCACCCGCTCATATTTAATGATCACAAACATCATATCCTGTATTTTCACAAACCTGGATACCACACCTGGAGTAGAGTGAATGAATATAAAATGAATGATGACTGAGATGGAGAGAAATCAATATTTAACTGCACGGATGACCAGAAACATGGATATTGTACTGAACATACAAACAGGGAAATGATCAGCAAGGTTTTTCCAGACTAAACTAGGTTGTGTGTATGCATGTCTGACACCCACTGACTTTGTTTAACAGTTTCCACTTTAGACAAAATCAATTATTGAATTATAAAAACAACACTGAGTCTGATCTTGAAACATTATTCTGTTTTTTGTACATATTTATGGTGCACAAACTTCCTCAGAGCCTATTAAACCGTGCAGTCAAACCTAAAAAAGCACGTCAACAACTGCAAATAAATGTTTTGTTTTTTTTTTAAATAAAATCAAATTTTTGAACCATGTTGTCTGTGCTTGAAGTGACTTTGTTGCTCCTTTTATTTTACAAATCTGTAACGCAGTGGCACTTTGATTTAAAAAACAAATTTAGTATTTTCTGAATAATCATAAAGTAGCAGAAAGTGCATGTATTCTTGACCACACTCAGACTACGGCAGAGGAAAAAAATGGTATTGGGATGTTTCTTTTTTGCAAAATTTACTGCAGTATAAAAAAATACTAGAAATTACATCATGAAAAAGCAGCCTGGCTATGCAATTCTCCCATCTACAATTTAGACTCCAAATCTATCCCCCCAAACAAAACTAAACTCCTATTTTTACAACGCTTTGTTCAATCACTTACAGGCAAATCCAACACTCAGCCTGCATGATACAAAAAGTGAGACGTGCAATAATATTGTTCAACACTGTGAACCATGAAGTTTATCAAATGATGAAAAATTAATGGTTTACACATAAACTGTGTTTGCAGCATTTTTGCTCTGAATCAAAGACACTTTTTCAGAGTTGAAGTGAGGTTAGCTGAAAGTATTACTTGGACTTGTATTTGTGTGATATATAACCTGGAGTACTTCATACACCTCAGTAACCTGCAGCGATATAAACATCCAGGTTTCACTTTATATTTGTTGAGCTGTTCCCGCTGAGCTTCACACCCTGTAGATTTTTGGAGACTCTTCAGAACAAATGGTCGACAGACACATCTGCAATGAACAAGTTTAAGTCATCACAGCAGTGACGCTAAGAGACTGGAGGTTGCAATAGAAACACAGAAGAGATTAGGGCCAAGAATGAGGAAGAAAATGAGAGGAGGAAGAGTATTTTTCATTACGCACTTAAAAAAATTAAGTTGAAATGTTGAGTCTAAAGTCAAAATTCAATTCTTAAAATTACATTTTTGTATTTTTGACTATTTTTTATACTCCATGGCTCCACTTTTTTTTCTCAAAGTGCATAAAAAAACTTCCTCTTCCAATTATTTTCTCTCCATTCCCTGCCCGTACACTCGTCTGCACAAATCAGATGACATGGTACGCAGATAAAAAGAAAAAATGTGAAGGGGTAAATGTGTGAAAATGGACTGGATCTGTAAGGGCTGCTCAGTGGTGAGGCCCCGCGGTCATCCTCTGTCTGTGGCTAATTTGTTCATTTTCTTTGACGCCTTGTTATCTTAATTAATCTACTTTCCCTGACTGCAATCTGTCCAAAACTGTGTCCTCTTCCTATCAAAGCCAATGAGAGCTGCAGTCTTCATTTTGTTTATTTATTTATGTTTTTTTTTCTTCTTATAGGTCTCTCATTCCTCTGTCTTCTCTCTCTCTCTGTAGTTCCCGTTGTCGTGGAAACTGCAGATAGGGAGACCTCAGTCATGCATCTCTCTCTCTCTCTCTCTCTCTCTCTCTCGGTGACTTATGAGCGAATCAACACATTCAGGTCGGCACCAGCAGCAGTATGACGCCTGATGTCACAAACTCGCACACACATATATAGAGGGAATTAGAGAGTCAAACAGGTGGCTGCTGTTGACCTACTGTATACTAGTGTCCTGATAGATGTGCACAAACCTGCACGCACGGTTACTTCATGCGGGGTTTATGGGACCGGGGCATGTCCTTACGCACTTCGCGACAAGGAGACAGGGACGAGGCGCCATAATCATCAAGTGACTGAAGCGACACATTACATAACCAATTAGGAGGTGCAGAGGGGAGGTGTAAGAGCGGATGTGATGGGTAAATCACAGTTTCAAAAGGTGCATGATGTGATATTAAAAGCAAAAACAAAAGGGGACATGTCCGCGTGAGAGGGAGAGATGGAGACGATTGAGTTGACGCATGGATGGATGAAAAGATGGATGGTTGTGGGGCAGGTTTGATTTATCGGGGGGCTCCCAGTCAGATAAATAACAAGGTGATGGGTATCTAGGGGAAGACACGAGTCAGAGGTCGGGGGTGGCGCACATAGAGGACGGGGCCCGCGGCGACGTTTAGCCGCCAGCGGAGCGCAGGGAGACACGTACAGCGAAGGTGTAAACAACCGTGAGAGCGGAGAGATGCGGTAGCAAGAGGGAGCTTGTTTCTTGACAACAAGCAGCCGGATCTACTGCTGCATATGTGCGCCTGTGAGCGTTAAAGGAGTCCGGTTATACTATGTGTATCTACGAAGTACTAAATGTTTCCAACCTCACGTATGCAGAAAGATACCACCCCGAATTTCTTAGAAAACAGCGAGATATAAAGCTGAACACTTGGTTCGGCTGCATGCGTCAGGATTAAAGCCAAACGGTGTCCTACCTTGCAACTAAACTGGGTCAGCGCGGTCAGAACCATCGTGCCTGGATACGTCTTCTCCTCACAAACACACGGGAAAGCCGTCTACCAACGCATCCCTTAATGGTGTCAAGAGCACCCCTGTCTTCTCTGCCTCTGACTGGCGTGCTCACTAAAAAAGCTTCTTGCAACTCTCGTAGCATCGCGATGTTTAGTCTGCGGATACCAGCCCCTTAAGCTCCTGTTCACCAGCCCACTGAGTGCCCTCCTGCACACACACACACACACACACACGTACACACACTCATCATTTAACCTTCAAATGGACCGGAATCGTATCAATTCCAGTCTTGTTTACAGTTTTTAAAGCTCATGTGAATAAAAGCATATGACTCAGCAGCGCGATCATATGTCTCCAATCTCGGGCACAGCATGCTGTGCACTACAAGCACCCAAATTTACTCCAAGCCTCTGCACCCGCGAAAGGCTGCAGCAAAACAAATGCGAAAAAATTCAGGCTTCCTCCGGCGTGCTTTTGTTGAAATGAAAGCAGATTAAAACAACTCTTACCAACTGGCGTTTTGGAGCTGATACAGCCCATTTTCGCAGCTGCATGTAGAGCCCTTCGGGAGAGCAATCTAGCTAATTTTCCCCCTAATTCTCTTCGTGCAAGAGCGTACCTCACTGATCGAAAGCCTCTGTCACTCTCCTCCTCATCTACGGAGGCTCCGCTGGGTTCCGGTGTGAAGCGGCAGCGCGCTGCTTGGCTCAGACCGCCGGAGTGACGCCGAGGGCGGGGGGGAGTCCAACCATCACTTCTTCTGCTCCAGGTTTTCCTTCTCTTCTTGTTTTTTTCACCTGCTTCACATCCATGCAAATGAACATGCGGGAGGATTTCAGTCAAGACTTTCTTTTTTGTTTTTGTTTTAGTTTTTTTCTCGGTGATAAAAGTCAACTGTCTCTGCTCTACGTCACCGGTTGAAGGGTCGAGTCCTGCGGTTCAGCACCACAGCGGACGGACAGCGCTCTGTCAGCCGGCAGCATGGGTTTCTCTAGCGGCTTGGGGGCTTCACCAGCTGGGGTTTCCCCTCCTGGTCTGCACGCTCTAGCTCGGATCTCGGGTCCATGTGCACCCTGTGTGCGCTCCCACTGCCGCCCAGTCACAGTAAATGATCAGATGGTGGTACTGATAGAAAAATCCCACGCTTTCAGCTTATATACACCCCGAGAGAGCTTCCGCCTTCTTGTGCCGCTTCCCCCCTGCTAGGTAAAAGCGGAATGAGATGTGATTGGCTGGTGTCACCTTACATGGCATACAGGGAGAAGGGAGGAGTCAGCCGCGCACGCATAAGAAGAGCAAGTTTTCCGGAGAGGGTTGCATTTCAGCTCATCAGCTGACATAATGAGGAATGAGGAACATGCTGCATATTTCAACAGGTCTGAAAAGGAAAATTGCAGACCTGATGACAGCTTAGTGTGGGTCCTAATACGAACAAAGCAACTTATGGAGAGGGTGAGGCAGTAAGATGTGTATTCATGACACAGGGGCGCACTCGGGCTATTTGAGGGGCAGGGGCAAAAACATAAATAAACACAAAAGCCACCTGGTTTATGGAGAGGAGCACACAAGCAGTGATCAGTGAAGATACACCTCTCCCAGCATTTTAAAAAACATTGGTTAGCTCTCCGGTTTTCTGAACCTCCTCATCATCATCATCAGTAGCTGGATGGCTTTAGCCTCCTAAAAATGAGGGTGGGCAGATAAATTTTTAAGAAGAATTAAGAATCAAGTAATCTTCAAAACCCTAAAACCCAAAAGGTTGATAGCAGTAATTTCACACATGCACAGAAAATATGACAGAATTGTTTTGACTTACTCTCATTTGATTTTATAGGGATGAATAACCAACAGGGAACTTCATGTTTTGTCCCCTGGGCAGGCATCCAGCTGGCATCTTCTTATGTTTATTTTACCACAGAGGCATAAAGGGGGCACTTATGTTAGACTTTTTTAGCTATGAGGTCACCAGAGGGGGTGACTGCCCTCCTTGTCCCCCTCTGAGCACACCACTGATCCACCAGTGTGAAAGAGAAAAGGGCGAGTCAGACCTTTAAATGCCTGCGGCCTTTATACAAGGCGTTGCGCAGTGGAACAATAATAGATCTGTCCAATTAAAGCAGCTGCAGCGCACGTCAGGAAAGTGACATTTTACACATGCACTCCGACACATTTCTCGACACCACAACTCAGTTTCATGCTCCCACTTTGCGTAATGGACCCATACTAGGCTCACAACGACCCCATGCGCTCAAATATAGACAAGGTTACCAAATATAGGCCTTGTCTTTCTGTCTTCATCGAGGTGACCAATCAAACAATAAAGCATGTGTCTTCAATAACACAAAATTGTTTTTATTGTGAGGCCTGTCACGGCCTGTGTGTAGCGCCCTGCTCTTCTCTCCACCGGGTCTGCGCTGAAGCATCTTTATTCTCTGCTCCTTCACTCTTAACGCCCACCCGGTCTCTAAACATAGACCCGCAGAGCTGCTGACCCACGCAGCTGCTCCTCCATCGCACTTATCATCTGTTACCGGAGGATAGATCCGGGGTCCCAGGAGATTCACATTTTCCATTCAACTCTTTAACAGCAGGCTCGGAGTGGGTGCACAGTGGATAATGGGTACATTTAAAAGACTTCACCACATTGCCCACTCACAATATTCACAACAGCTTTTTAATTAGATCATGAACGCGTTAAGGTGCAGTGTGTTGCGCAATTTCAGGTTGGCTACATAACCCAGATCTCTGCTTTTTTTCCTCATCAGAGGGCATGTAACATTTCTAAAAGAGAAATGTAGTAATGCTTAGGAAAAGTTTGTGGAGTGATGTTTGAAATTTTTAGGTTACAATTCAGTTTTAGATTTTAGCATGAAGATTATCAAACTATCAAAATCTTTAGGGGTTTATATCAAACTGAACATGTTCGGTCAGAAATGCTGCAGAGAGATTTAAAACCAGAATGTTGATGGATAATCCAGCGCGCTTTACCGGTGCGCAACAACAGTTAAAGGCTGGAATGAAAATCCGCAGGAGCCACAGGTGTTTTGTCCCCGGTGAGACAATCTTTCCCTGCAGCAACGAGCACATGTTGTGGTCCAAACTAGGCCACTCTGAGAGTATACGACAGATACAGAATCTCAGAGCCAGGAGACAAACCAGGGGGGGAAGTGTGCAACGTTGCTCATCACACATTCAACACGTGGGAGGACAGGCATTCGTCACACGGTTATTTTTGCGCATGTATTGTGCCACACTCTGTGATTTTACAGTTAGAAGCGCCACAGACTGTACTCTTCTGTACTTCCTCTCTTCCTGCAGTGCGCACTCAGCTCCGATTTCATAACACATCAAAGTTGCGGCACAGCCACAGCTCATGCAGCCTGATCAGCCCTCTCAATGCCACATGGCGCTTTATCCGGTGCTCCAGCGCCACCAAAAGGCAGGCTGAGGTACATGATGCTGCGGGAGCTGCTAGATTGCGGACAGCCTGTTGCCCGTGTGTGTGTGTGTGTGTGTGCAGCGCTGATAGAGGAAGCACAGGGGAACAAGAGCAGCTGGCATGATCGCAGTGCTTGATGTTTTTGAACTGCACGACTGGAGGCTTCACATGACCTGTTATTTCATCATATTATTTCTCATCTCATGGTAATTTCTTGTGTACAAACAATCAGGCTTGCAGAAAAAAAGTCACCAGAGCTGGCCTGTCCTCTGACAAGTACTCTTACAGGTTCAGGGTCAGGGAACAGGCGGGTAAAATCTGGATGCAAATTACCCGGTGCAGAGTTTTCCTGGTTTTCCCCCAGGCTGTCACTCTGATGAACTCAACCACGTCGCTCATGGACAAACACTGACATACAACACCCACTGTGTCTTTAAGTAAGATCACCTTCTGGACATTCATGTTATTTATCTGACATGTATCTTTGTACTCAATTTTTAATAAAATCCAAGCCCAGTCTCAGGTCCCCAAGGGTCAAATCAAAGTCAAGTCTGGGGTTGGGGTCCCCCTGGATCCATCTCTGACACTTGCATTTCTCCTCTCTTACCACATGGAGCACTGCTCTTTATGCCTGAGTACATGTTTCTATAATTGGATAGTTTTTTGACAGCAATAAGCTGGAGAGAGAAAAAAGCAGAGAAAACTATGTAGATGTGTATATTTCTGGCTCATCAAGCCCCCCCCCCCCTACTAGGGCCCCAGATAGTCATTCCCACTTTTCCCCCCCTACTCAGTTACTATTCTTGGGCGGCCTGCTCAGGTATGATCACAGCAGCTGCAGGTGATGTGCGCCCCATGGCATCATCTTTGAAGTGTGTGTGGCTGCTCATGCTCAGACATAATGAGAGTTAGTTAACGATAAAAAAAGACGTGCATCGATCTTAGCCTATTCTTACATTCTTAACATTGGGTCTTTATAAATAGACTCTGGTGTAGACCAGAGCATCTTGGGATAACACTTACTGTGAATTGGCCATGTATAAACAAAGACTGACTGATTGGTTAAAGCAGACAAAAGCAGAGTGACATGCGTAGCATCTGTCAGCGTCTCAGGCGCTCTCCTTCAGGAACAACACATCACTGATACAAAATAGCAAATAGCCAATCAAAGTCTTGGATTTTAGGGGTTTTGGGGTTTTAATGAGGGTCCATGCCTCCCCTGATCACCCCTCTAGACACACCCCTGCCTTTAAAATATTAGATTTTTCCTAACCTTTGCCACTGCCAATTATTTCATGACTTGCATGCATTATTTTGTAGACTTTAATTTGGATTTACATCATGTTTAATAAACAGAGGTTGGGCAATAATGTGCTGCAAGACTGGGAAAAAAGAAAAACTGACAACATGGCGTCTACAGCAACAGTTTTCAGAACCTCATAGGTATAAAATATAAACAGCTTTCTATCCTCCAAAAACTCCCAGCTGAAGATTCAACCTGACAAGGTGGAACAAAACCTCAGAGCAAATCTTAAGTACCAATCGCCACCAGAACAGAAGACAAAGACCGAGAAAAAGAGAGGGTCAATGAAAAAGTACAGACAAGGTCAAGGCGAACAATGACACTGAGGACTTCTGGCAGCAGAGCAAACAGGCCTCAGTATCGGCTGCAGCGTCGAGCTGTCAATGCTGACACTGCAGACAAGATGTAGATCTCAATCAAGATCCTGCAGAATCATCTTCTCAGAGTGAAATGAAGGAAAATGACATGCAGGAGGATGAGGAAATGCCTAGCTGAGAGGAGAAACAGCAGAGGAAAAGAGAGAAAATATCGTGACCTGGTGTGAAGACAAAGTAAGAGTCTCTGTCTCCTCTGGCAGCAGGTAGAGGAGGAGATGTTGAGTCCTGAGGGCTGTGGAGGGGAGCCTGAGGCTCTGCAGGAGGAGCGGTGAGTGGAAGTTACAGGCAGGAAACAGTGAAGGACAGGAAGATTCATTCAGAGAAGAGGGTCGAGAAACCATGTCAGACAGATGAAACTCAAAGAGAAGTGCTGAACAAACTCAGTCTTCTTTCATTTTGAGAAACTATTTTTGTTTTCACTCAAGTTTAATTCAGGAAAAAGATTTCAGTTTTCTTTAAACTGTTCCAGACACTTCATTATCTTTCTGCATCAGTTTAAAGTGCCTCGAAGCCATCACCTAAAACCTCTCCAAGTATCAGTTTTCCACATTTGAAAAAAAGTTTTCAAATATTTTTGTCACTTCATTTCCTACCCTCGACTCTAAACTCTTGTTATGTAATATTCTTCTCCACAAAAAAAAATTTAAATTTTCAATTTAAAAATCTGACTCCATCATTTAAAAAAGTACACCGGCAGTGCTGTCACCAGCAGTACACACACAGTTACCACACACAAACACACACACACAGCCAAACATTTCCCTTCCTGGCAGTGCCCAACACTAGCCTTCACTGCTCTCCTCTTGGTTTCACAGGACAACAAAGGCAGCACACGAACAGCCCTATTTCCTCCTTACACACACACATTAAGCACCACTTGACCTGAGGAAGGTGTGTTACATAGCAGGGGTGGAGGAAGCCCGCTGCAGCAAGACAGTGGGGATGCGGCAGCAGGGGGCTTGGACCCGTTGGGAGGAGGCAGCTGCCCGGAAGGTCTCGTGGTCAGAGCTATGGCGCTCTGAGCCTCACCGGATCAAGTTCCTCATTCAGTCGGTCTACGACGTCCTCCCAAGCCCATCCAACCTCCACCGCTGGGGCTTGGCTGAGAACCCACTGTGCCCTCTCTGCCAAAGAGCAGGATCACTGGAACACATCTTGAGCTGCTGCCCAAGAGCACTGGGAGAGGGGCGCTACCGCTGGCGCCATGACCAAGTGCTACGGGTCATTGCGGAGGCCATCAACACAGGCATCTCCACCAGCAAACACACACAACCATCAAGGCAGACCATCGCCTTCGTTAAGGCTGGGGAGAAGCCGCAGCAGCTCAGGAGGCAAGCAGGGGGGCTGCTGGCAACAGCCCGTGACTGGCAGCTGAAAGTCGACCTAGGGAGACAGCTCAAATTCCCGGAGAACATCGCAGTGACCACGCTCAGGCCAGACATGGTCCTGGTGTCTGAAACAACAAGGCAAGTGGTCCTGCTGGAGTTGACTGTTCCCTGGGAAGACAGGATGGAGGAGGCCTTTGAGAGAAAGAAAGCCAAGTATGAGGAGCTGGCAAGTGAATGCCGAAGCAGGGGATGGAGGACCCGGTGCAACCCCATCGAGGTCGGATGCAGAGGATTCGCTGGCCAGTCCCTCATCAGGGCTCTCAAGATGCTGGGAATGGGGGGACTGCACAACAGGCGAGCCATTAAGAACATCTGTGACGCAGCAGAGAAGGCGTCCAGATGGCTGTGGATCAAGCGGGGTGATCCGTGGACACATGCTCTTAAGACACAAGCCGGGACTTGATCACCCCGGCTGGGTCCCCTGGGCGAGGGTGTCTGTTGCAAGACCCGAAACACCCAGTGAACCCAGGTGCCAACACTGATGATGTGTCTTAAGTTGCACCATAAGTGTATTTCAGAACTAACATATCAGCTCTGCCAAGTGAGTATTAAGATGAGGAAACAGCTCCACATTCCCACTTCAAAATCCACAGATGTGGCGCAGTGGTGGTCACGTGGTTTGAGAACTTTAATCTTTTGCTCTTTTTGACTTTTATGTTCATGAATATGTGCTGAAGTTTAAAGTAAAACACCAGTGAAGTTTTCTTTTACAAAAGTTGTAAAAGGAGAAGTGTTAAAAAGTTTAAAGCGCCTTGAATGGTAACGAAGTGTTGTTAAAAATGCGTTAATGCGCAGTGAGAGGAGCTTGAAGAGGAATGCTGTCATGAGCTTGATGCACTGAAGTTAACATCTGCCTATGCGTGTTTCTAACTGCAACTGTTTTGACTTCCTTTTTTGTCTATACGTTTCTGTGAAGCTCTTGCCTTGTTAGTTATTTTCAGTAAAACTTTAGAGATGGGTGAATTGATGAAATGCAGCAACTTGAATTCTACTCATATCTGTACATTTAAGAAAGATCATTTTCACCTTTTTTGCACACATTTTTTGGAAATGTCCTGTGCACTGCACCTTCAGGGGCCAGTTACAAATAACTGCAGCTTCTGACTGCACCTGTGTTTTCAAATTGTCTTTTTTGTTGGTTTTTCCAGAATGCTGGAGTTTAACATTCAGCCTCCCTGTCAAGTTGTGGGCCTGACTTTTCAAAGCGTCACTTTCTCTGGTAAAGTACTGACTCTTGCAGCCAAATCCATCCTTATCTACCCTCACGGTGAATTTGTAGGGGCTATGTAGACCAGTGGCGGCTGCTGGTCTTTCAAGGAGGGGAAGCTCATTTTTCTGGCCTACATCATAATTGTATTTGTTTATTTGTATGTAACAGAACAGAGTCGCCAAACACAACGGCAGTCGTTTTTAACAAAGACAAAAGTCGCTGAGGATCGGTAAAGTCTCTGGAGCAGTTAAGAACAACGGAATGAATAACTTGGAAAATGCTCTGGTAGATGTTTTATTCTTCAAGATCGCTGATTCGCTTGTTTAGCTGTCAATCAAAAAAGGATTTCGCCTCAGACAGCTCATCCAATCATGGATGCAGAAGTTCGGAGTCCGGGAGAAAGTCGGGACCGCCCTCTCGCCATAGAACTCCAGTGAAGCTGGGCTTCCATTGGGCGGGACAAAGCCAAGCATTTATCCAATGAGCGTCTAGTTTCGCTGCTGGAACAACCGACTTTGAGCTTCCACATTGAAGTCAGCAGAAGCCCAGCGTCCGACTGTTTGAAGCGGTGAGGCGCTGCGAGGATGAATGAGAACAAAGTTATGCCGGTTACCTGTGATTATCAGCTTCTTATCACAATGTCTGAACAAAAGATGAAGGCTTTCTAGTGCGTATTTAGTTAATGAAATGTACACACAGCCGTACGTATTTCACCACTTTTTCTTTTTTTGGGGGGGTGACATTTTAAGGGAAGCCGAGCTTCCCTTGCAGTCTTAAAGCAATCGCCACTGATGTAGACTAATTTATTAGAACAAGAGTCAGGATCCTGAGAGAATGAGTGAATACGAAGTGAAGATAAAATGTGTCGATGCGTTCTCACTCTGGGCTTTCGTATCACACGTGCAGTAATCAGATCAAACAATGACTCACTGCCTATTTCCCACCCTTAGTGTAAATCTGATACCAGAAAAAAAATTGTAACACTTTCACCTACATCCCCACTCAAGCTGTTGAGCTTCACTCCGGCACACGATGTACAAAAGAGTCTTGACTGACTGAGTGAAAAAAGATGAGAGCGGTCTTATCATCTGAAACAAAAATGATGGCCCGCGGCTCGTCTTAATGAGAACAAGAAGAGTCAAAATCAGGTTTAATAAAGTCCAAACCCCAACAGATGTCCCAAATAATTACCACAATCTGTCAGGCAGAGATAAAAATAGGTGATCTTTAAATATTTTGCATTATTAATGGAGTGCTGTAGTAATATCATCAAACCCAGACACCTAGAAACCTCAATTAGCAGAGCGGATATGAAGCAGAGGAACAAAGGATGGAGAGTCTTTCTGACACTCATATTGTGTCGCAGGTTAAAGCAAATGTACCTTTTAATAATCTTAGATCTGATTAGCTGAGATCATATCAATATACCATGTTTAGCATGAAAATACTCTCTGATTCACAGAGTGCTTCAAACCTACCTTAACGTGTCCCCTTTAGCATGAATAGCATGAATAAATAAGTGTATGAGAGTAGCCTGAAATGTGTTCACTTTATTCAAAGCCTCATAAACGTAAGGATGAATAATGAATCATGAAACTGGCTCATATCTCAAATCACAGACACAGACAAAAGGAGCAGTTCACCATTTAAAAGATAATTGAAGCTCTTGAGATTTTGATGATGAGATGATTCCACAACCCAAATGTTAGGGTTTTGAGTTTGAGTAGGGTGTGGCTGCAGCCCTGGAGTTTGGGCGGTCCAATAGTAAGTTCACAGGGTCAAACATACAAATTCACTGAGCACCCGGGTCTTTCTTTTTCCATGAGAGTAAGTTATGTGGTGTGTACACTGGATAAGCAGCAGGCAGACATCCACAGAGCTGGATGGATTTTTAGACTGTCATTTCAGGTCAGGATGCTGAGGTAAACCTCCTCCACCTTTAGATAAAGAGCAGACAGCACCAGATGCTGATAATGCAGAGGTAGACCTATAAGTGGTGTGATTTTTAAATCCTCACATTACGACCAATGGGAGCTGCATGTCGTTACTGGCCTGAGTTCTGCCTGCTTTTGCTCTCCATACACAGTACTTTTTCTTTCATTCCCCAAAACTTGCGGACACATGAGCAATACTTGGACTTTAAATGGGCTGCAAACTGAAACCCTCATCAAACAAAGTCCGGTCCTGCATGTGCAGATTCTACACATGTATCTTAAAAGCACCTCCAGGTTTGTCAGATGAAATGAAATGAAATGTTTTATGCCTAATATGTCTTATAGCTAGACCACTGTGTTTCCTTGTTTACCTTGACATATTTCAACTAACAGAGGGGTCACATGATGCTGTTGTTGCTGTGATGCTGTCTGCCAGCTGATTTATAGAAATTACAGAGGAGTGGAGGCCGCCTGAGGGGAGAGAGCACGACTATCTTTTGCGTTGTCAGACAGTTTTAAAAAATTAAATCAACATATAAAAACAAAGTTAACAGTCTAAATACGAACTTTAAAATTCAACATAGTCCAAGTGAAACTTCTTAGATGGAGATTAAATGTTGCTTTGCAGATAAAAACACTTTTAGTGCTTCATAACCAAAGTCAAAAGTCTCGATCATTAAATTGGAGTTACTGCACATATTTTCCAGATTTTTTATCCATGCAAAGATTTGTGTGGAAGGACACACATATGCAATACGTGATGTATTAGTATGAAGAGTTTATTTTGATAAATGGATCCATTCTCTAACTAAGGCTGTATTGGTATAATTTAAGGAATCAGGTATCACTACAGTAAAGTCAGTATAAATCTACATCCATCAAGCTCTTTGCCTGAGTGAGTGGTCCTCTCTCATCACACAGCTTGAGCCAGATTGAAGATAAAACTGTTAAACCTTGTGACTCCCAATAATTTAATCCTACCATCTAAGCAAGTCGCTCTGTGAGGGCGGTCAGGTGTAGCTCTGGGTCATGAGGCTATAGGAACAGTCTGTCCTCCGTGACCCTGACCCCTGACCTCCTTGATTCGCATTTGCAGTGAGATCAATAGTGTTCAATGATGAGGAGGGGTCCTACATCAGCAGGGTAAGAGTTAACAACAAGCTAAAGAGCAAAGCAACAGAGACATGTGCCGCCGCCCCAGCTCTGTTCCTGTCTGGGTCGTGGGTGGGTTGAGTCTGGCAGTGCCTCAGGTCGGCGCCAACACATGCGGCGTAGCCCATGGCATGGGCGATGTAGTTCTGCTCATTGACACCCTGGAAGAGGTGAGCCATTGGTCCACGGGCGAGCACGGCTACATCTTCTCCGCTGTGGGTGGTCGACTCTGTGGGGGCAGCAGACACCTGGACGTAGTCTTTAGTTTCTGGGAAAAAAAAGGGAGAGGATATTACAGTTTTTTTTTTTTTTAACTATCACAACCAGTATCAGATAACAAGCAGCTAACGAGCCACTTTATACTTCTGCACACAGTCTATTCTGTAGCTGCGCCATAATGGCCAACACCATCTGGCACACTACATACTTGCAATAATCTGCTTAAATGCTAGTCAGCAGATGTCTGCGCTTGCCTTTGTTGCCAATTCCTGGTCCTATTTGTGTGCAGGAAACCATGACAACTGAATGTGAGTGTAATATGTGAATATGTTGGACCTGATTTATGTTGTGCAACAGTTGATCGTGCTGAAATGATAGCAATAGAGAAAAGAAGGGAGTTGGCCTACACGCCGAGACAGAGGACAGGGGTACTGGGTACTAGTTACCATAGATAGTATAATATTTGGATGTAGTCAAGGCATCATCAACAATTTGTTTATGAGGCAGAGCTTTAGCCTTTCTGCTGCTGTCTTCATGTTGGACATGATGAGTGGACCCTCAGCTTCCTCACCAACAGCTATAGTGCACCCGCCTGTTAGTCATGTCAGCTGTGTCTCTCACTGAAACTTTAGATTTACAGAAATGTTGACTGCATCCTACATAAGCTGTAAATAGCTGCCCTGTTTTTAAAGAAACACGCTGTTGTTGTCAAATTGCTCAAATTAAACTCAGACTGCTTAAGAAGTGTTTACTTAATCTAACTCAAGTCTGCGGGGTCTCCTGAGGAAAACACTCACTGGTGTTAACATTGCGGAGGTCCGGGCGTGTCCCATTTCTGATTTTGTATCCTGGTCCGTTGCCGTACATCAGTGTGGTGTAAGGCAGCATGTCAATACCCCACAGAGGAGATTTACCTAAAAACACAAAAAGGAACCGTGAAAAAACAATTCTGATTTTTCTGATTACTTTTTTTTTTTTTGCTTCAACTTGCTAAAAGTACACACATACACATGCACACGCACACAAACACACACAAAAGGAGGAGGGTCCCTGGATCCCAGGGGTGCTGCAGGAGGTGTACAGCTTGTTGAGCATCTCAGTGTTTCTCTCCAGATGAGCCATTAGCCCGGCGTGTCTCCCTGCTGATGAAGAGCTCAGCGTTTCACAGGCACATTAATCACTGCTGTACCGCCGGGAGGAGGAAGAAGAGGAGGAGGTGGAGGAGGAGGTTAGGTTAGGAGAAGGATAGGGTAGAAAAGAACAGGCAGAGAGGTGGAAACAGCAGGTTATAACACAAGGAATCAATCGATACAGCTTTTGAAGCTTGAAACAGATACATTTTTCACAAGAGTGAATTATCTGGTGCCAAAAAACTGAAAATCTGGTTTTCTGCTGCAGTTTTCCTGGGAAGAGCACATGCTTCTGAAACATTATAGCATTTTGATTTTTAGCATCAGATAAATACCACCAATGACAAAAACACAGGTAAGGCTTTGGTTCACCTGCAAATCCTTATCAGTAAAATAATTTACTTCTGTTTAGTAATGAAGAATCAAAAGGATCACCATTTATTCCCTTTCACAGCAGTGTCAGTTTAAGCCTACCTGTGATCAACGTCAGCTCCAGACCCACATAACTTTTCTAAGCAGTGTCAGAACATACTCTGATTTTGTCCGTGGGAACTAGTCCAACCCTAACCTTGAGTAACTGGACATCACAGAACTACAAAGTTTATTCTACAGGCCTCAAAAAGCGAGTGGATTTTACTGTAAATCAGAGAGTTGTACCATTTATTTTACCATTATTGTTATCATCATTATCTGTTTATTCACATTTAATTATTCTTTTAAGAGATGAAACTGTAAACTCAAATATTATGTTGTACACTACAAGGTTGACTCTGTTAGTTACTAAACCTGGAGAGTATTCCCACTTTTTGAGTGTCTTATATTCAAGTCAATACAGATTATTTGTCGGATTTTGAGAAGTGGGATTTAGTGTTTACATGTGTTTTAAAATCACTGCTTTGGTGAGACCAACAAGTTTGATATTGTAACTTCATGTAAATGTACTGACTGTGCAGCTCCATGATTGCACCCTCACCCCTCTGTTTGTTCTCAGTCTGATCCTCATTGTGCAATCATCTTCTTCATTGCTGTTTTTTTTTTTTGTATGCCGTACATGAAACACTACGGTAATCCAGTAAGGTCAATATGTCTTTTGGTGCTCAAATCAAACAGCAGCTCTTCCCAATGCTCTCCACAGCACCATTGTTTCAGTAATAGCAGGTCTTTTCAACATGACTCCTTGGATACCACAAGATGAAGCAATGAATAAGTTTAACCCTTGGTAGGACTCTCTGTCCCCCTATGACTGAGGCTGGTTCATCGCAGGTTTTCAGCCTCCAGGTAACGGTGATTAAGACGAAACAGAGAGTCGAAGGAACAAAGGTAAGAGTAAGTCAGGTCTGTTAAGGGACAATCCAAAAGGGAGATTAACAGGTGGGAGAGACTGACAGAGTGAGGAGGACTAATGAAAGAGAGGGGGACAGATAGGTGTCAGTGTTGATGGTCAGAGATAGGCAGTGGGAGGGGAGACGAGAGGAGAGAGCGGGGGACTGAAATAGAAAGACAAGGGGGAGAAAGGCTGCCAGTTATATGTGTTTACCCGGGCTGTAATTGCAGAGGAGAGAAAGCAGGGAGATGTCAAGCTGCTGGGAGAGGGACACAGAAGGGGAAGAGAGGGCAGGCATGACACACACACACGCATGCACGCACGCATGCATGCATGAACACACACAGAAGGAGCAAAAGAAAAAATCTCCTTGCGTGTCAATTTCTATCAGACAAAAACACCTTGAATAGGGACAGAGAGAGGAGGATTTGTCCTTGAAAGAAGTCTCACAGCAGGAGCAAATCACTTTAATTCTTTAATCATAGTTAGGTAGTAATTACCCAGAATGCTCTGCCCTCTGAATGGGAATCCATTGAGGGTAAAAGGATGGGAGTGGTCGGCCATCACTACAGTCAGAGTTTCATGCTCTTTGGTGAGTTCCAGGCCCTTGGCGATGGCGTTGTCAAAAGCAACCGTCTCATGGAGTGCCATGTACCCTCGGCCGGCGTGGTGAGCTTGGTCAATGCGGCCACCTGACCAGAGAAATAGAGAGAGAGAGTGGTTAGTGAGAGGAGAGTACAAGTATAAAAAACAAACCGAACGACAACTCCCTAAGTCAAGCCAAAACATTTGGAGCTCCCCCTACTGATAGGCTGCAGGTTATCAAACCTGCCTCCTCCATGTAAACAGATGAGACAGGGTCAAACTCATCAAACTCCCTCAGCTTGATTAAAGCTGCCTTCTTGGTCGATGTGATGTGATTTCTCCAGCACAGATGGACCACCTGCTCCAGCAGAGAGCTTCTTTTCTTTAACTTTTCAGCTCTAACCAGCTTTTGTTGAAGAGTGAGGCAGACTTGGGTTAATAAGTTGTGGGCTGTCAGTGATTGTGTGCACCATATGCTGGCTTCTATTTATACATATTCGTTTTATTTTAAAGTCATGTGAAGACAGCAGCACGGTGGTGTCCCCCGGCAGCTGCCTCAGATTAAAGGAGAGATGGATGAGGAGGCCGGCGAGGCAGCCGAGTGGAACAGAAACACATCAGCAGGCACACACTCTGCTAACACACACTGCGGCAAACTCATTGAGCTGTATGCAGAATCACTGTCAAATAACTGGATCCACTGCAGGTACACTCTGTTCTGTAATGTGATGTATGCTGGTGGATGTCTCTGAGGCTGAAACCAGGAAAAAAAACTCAATACAAGTCACAGAATAGGTGTTATGGACATGCAAACGTTTGTTTTTTAAGCAAACATCAACCGATCTGGCGGGTTCATTTAATTGTCACTGGGGCTTGTCACAACAGGATCGATGATTGAATTGATCACCCAGACCGTGTCATGGGTGTCTGTTCTATTTTTAGAAGAACGGTCATCTCTCAGGGGATTTCATTACCCAACCTTTGACAGACGAAGTGAGAGGAAAGTGTGGGGAAGGTAGGCGAAGCTGATGCTCTCACCTTCCACTAATAGGAAGAAGCCTTTTGGGTTTTTCTGGAGGATGCGGATGGCTTTCTCTGTTGTCTCAACGATGGACGGGTCCATTTTTGGATCCCTCTCCTCCTCGAAGCGCAGATCACCAGGTTCAAAGAGAGCTGGAGAAAGAGAAACATGTGTCAAAAGGATGCAAAGACCATGTTTTTTTATGTAAGAGTAGGTTTTTGTTATCCGCCTACAGTAGAGGTGCAGCAGAGAGGGAAGTCCAATCGTCCTCCTCCTACTGCTAATGCTATTTTCTGCTTAAACCATTCTGTGAGGGTGAAATTCAAGTCTCTGCAGCAGCAAATGAGCTCCAAAGAAAACAAACTCTGCCTTTACTTTTACCCAACACACATCACAAAAAAATCTACTCCCATTACAGTGCTGTGCATTAAACACATTTCTTACAAAGGAGGAGAGATAACATTCAACATTTGATCAATTTATTTATCAGAGAGCAGAATGAAGCTAAAAGGAGAGCAATTATTGGACTTTAGCTTAATTAAAGCTGAATCAATATTTGCCAAAGTAGGAAGTGTGGAAACAACAGGTGTTACAAATTACAAGTAATTTTCTTTATCCAGGTCTTTAAATTCTCTACAGCCATTGGTTGTTGCCACTGAGCAGTGATTGGCTTCGTGACAGAGTATTTCACCCTGACCATCACGATTTTCACCAAACAGTGAAATAGATGCAGTTTAGTGACTTGATCAAATTCAAGGAAAAACAGCCAGAGTGGTATCTACATATGTATGTCTATGACTACAACCAATCAGATTAATGCAAAATGTGACATAACGCATAGTAACAGAAATGTAAATGGACAGCAGCATGCACAGGATCCTTTCTCACCAATAAACACTCTTGTTACTGTCACTTTAAATCCTCACAAAGTTTGTTCTGTTACTCTGAGCTGTGGGTTGACCAAACTTATAAAGGAAAACTCAGCTCCTTAGATGTTTGTGTATTTTGAGATGTAGGTCAAGAGCAGCAGTTTGAGTGTGTTTGGAGGACTGACCCCACTCATACACAGAAATGAGTAAGCCTAACCAAGGACACCACCGATGAAGGAAGCACGTCATAAAAATAATAATAATAAATAAAATAAAAGTGTAGATAAATAAATTAATAAGTAAATACCTAAATGAGTCAACAAAATTGGTTCAGAAATGAATAAAAGATTACTTAATAAATTATAAAGAAAAAATAAAAAAGGTAGATAAAAAATAAGTAGATCAATAAAGAAATGAATAATTAAATTACTTATTTATTTAAGAATTAGTTAATATATAGATGTAAATAAATAAGAAGAATAAATTAATCAATTAATTTACAAGCAGAGAAACAAATTAACTATTACATGAATAAGTAGATTATTAGACTAACTAAATAAATTAATAAGCAGGTCAATAAATGATGAAGTATATCACTAAATGAGAAGATAAAGAAATAGATAATAAGTTTATGAGTAGATTAATGATCAAAAAGTGAATAAATTAGTAAATGGATTAATAAATAAATTAGTAGAAGAATTAATTAATTGAACAATTTTCAAGTGAATAAATAAATAAATGGATAAATAAATAAGTACAGTAAATAAATAAATTAATAAATAAATAAAAGATGAATGAAGGGATAAAAGTAGCTAATAAATACATAAATAAATAATAGATGAATACATTTATTGATTAGTTTAAATGTAGATAAATAAATAGATTAACTAATTGATTGATAAATAGATAAATATATGTATAAATAAAAAAAAAGATATGTAGATGAATAAGAAATAAATAAAAGGAAGTTAGAGACAGAAAAACTCACCCATGAGGTAGTCTGTATTCTCTGGGTTGACAGCATCAAAATCACTTTTATTCCACACATAGTGAGCTACCTGTGTGACACCAAGGACATAAAAAAACTCAGTGAGTGGGAGGAAGAAGGTCACAGTGTTTATGTTTGTTGTGAGTCACAGGATGAGCTTTTCCTTACTGTATGACTCAGTTTCTGCTGTTTTCTGACAGCATTCAGAGTTTCTCGCCTGATGTTGGATTTTTTGCTTTCAGCGAATAAAAACAGTTGAAATAAATAACTTATCGGTGTGATGCTGGTATTGTCTGAACCACACAGTTGAAAATTGAAGTCTTTAAGAGCCTGTGTCCACTAACAGCTCTTTCTGAATGCTGACACTGGGAATTGGACCCTTACAAAACAAGTCTGTTTCTAATAATGCACTTATAACTTATAACCTTAAATTCGTTTTTTTATTTTAAAAAAAAAATAACCTCCTGTGCAGTTATTAAAAATAAATGTTATTTAGACCTAAAGTTTTTTTTTTCTGAATTTGCCTCATACCTCATTGTGGATTAACTGCTTGATACTCGTCATTAGAAAGAAATCTCATGGCTAGTATATGTCGCTGGCTCCCTGGGGTGGACAATAAGCCACCACATGCTGCTTAAGTATCTGCACATGCAGCGGCACATTAAATGACACACAATCAGCCACCTTCTGCTGAAGGCGCTTTTCATTTTTGCTCTGTAATTATTCTGTGAGCAGGAGGCACCAGATTTCTCAAATATAATAAATGAGCTGGACTCTCACTCATTGGTGCATTTCATCTATAACTGGTGCATCCCTTTTGACCAAAATTTCTCCCCAAAGCTGCGGTTCTTTTGAGTCTTTTCCTCTGGCTGAACAGCAGAATTACCTTTCCACGTTTCATGCTCTTCCACTCTTCAATGAGATTGCGTTTGTCTTTTCTTTTTCCCCTGGCAGAGAAATCTGTGGGGTACTCTGGATCCTTGGTGTACTGAGGGGTCATGTACTTTCTGCCACCGCCAATGATCACCTTGAAACACACACACACACAAAACATTAAACCCAACAATTGCTTAGAGTTGTTGACATGGAGATGATCTGAAGGATCTTACATCAATATCAACGTTTTTGAGGAGCTGGGAGGAGATGTCAGTGCAGCCATCTTTCTTGGCACCTGCAGGCACGTCGGCATCACTGTACCACTTCCTGCTGGCGCTGTGGGCGTAGCTGGTTGCAGGGGTGGCGTGTTGCACTCTTGTGCTTGTTACGATGCCAACAGACTTGCCTGAAAGATTGATTCGTTGTGTTGGTAACCATATACATAGAAGCACAACTCTAGAGACATTAGGGCTCTGTGTACAATGTTTATTGAGAAAACCTTTAAATTTAATGTTGGTGATATATATTTCTAAAAGGTTGAGACAGGGACAAGACAACACTGAAATAGTGGTGTAACACCAAAAACACCTAAAGAACAGTAAGCAAGTTAGTAATATGGCTGGGTATAGAAGGAAATCTGGGGAAGCTGAGTGAGTCTCTCAGAGGTAAAGATGGTGACAAGTTCAATATTCTGTGAGAGACTGCGTGAGCAAATAGTTCAGCAATATCACAGTTATACATATTTTAGGTTCTGTTCAAAGAATCGGGAGAAATCTTTGTGCACATCTGGGATTTTCAGGCACCACTTAAGAATAAGACTTAACTCTGCAAAGGAAGTCACTGCATATGTGAAAAATCCCTCTAGAAACCATTGTCTTTGAACACAGTTTGGTTCTGCACCCATGAATGCATGTTTTGTTTTGTTTTCTTCCAATACAGTAGTGGTATCCAACATGCGTTCTCCTGCAGGCTTCAATATGTATGCACACTTTTTAGGCTCATCTAGTGAATGAATGAATTCACTTGATCAGCCATCCAACAAAATCACATAGTAAACATGATTGTTTTGATTTAAAGACATCTATTCTTCTGCATCTTGTGAGGAGGATCAAATAACAAGAACATGTTCAGTATATATGATTAATTTGCTCTTAAAAGATGTCGTACATGGTGATTTTATTACAGAACAGGATATTACACAAACTCACTGTCCTTTTAACCACCTTGATGTCAAACCTTGCTCCTCACAGCCTCCTTAACAGCAGGATAAAACAAGGGTTCATACATTCATGCTCTGTGCTCAGGGAGCTATTTCCAGAAGTAAAAAAAAAAAAAAAGGTCTGAATTTTCATTTCTTTCTTTCTTTCTTCTTTCTCATTTTGCAGCTAACCTTGTGACAGCTGCGATGTGTTGCAATGTAGATTTGAAAAACAACTTTCTTATGCAACATTCCTATCAAGCAACACAAAGGTTGGTTGTAAAATCTTTTTAGTAGGACATTTTCCCTATTAGATCATCAATGAAGCGTGTTTATGACAACAAAAACTAAGACAAACTTGAATTATGTAACACATCCATATAAAAAAAAAACTTATTTAAGTCTCCAAAGTGCTATGCTGGGTCAGGGTCACAAGTTGTGATGGTGTTATTATATATTTATGGCTGTTGATAACACAGGAACATGATAAGCATGGAGGTTCTCCCTGAGCAGCACATTATCCTGCAGTGAAACCTGCAGCCCCGGGCTGCTGATGCCCTCAGCTCCCCGGTGGTGGCTGCTGTAATATCACTCAGAAGGGACACTGCGGCTCACAGCAGAGCACTCAGCTGTAAAATCATGGTTTTGCAGAGGCTGTATGAGACCTGAGGGATTTTCTTTTGTCTAGAGCCAGAACTGAAGTGTGACACGGCAGTACAGAGTGAGGTATCAGCCTGCTGTCTGACAGAGAGTCACCAAATCCCATTTGTTGCTTCAATTTTACCTCAGACTGAAGACACACAGCTTTATTTTTACCCCAGTTTTCAAACAATTACGAAAAAGTCTCTTTTGTGAAAAAAACAACCCCTAATAATTTAGTGTGGTTTTAAACTCCTGCACTTTCCTTGATGCGCTCTGTTTGTGTTTGGTACTGTTGGGAGCCGTACCTGCGTCTTTGGCCCACTTTAGGATGGATGTCACCTCGTTGCCTTTCTGAGTTTTGCAGATCCCGTTGCGAGCAGCAGCGTTCACCCCGATAGTGTTCAGATTGGTTTTCACTCCACACAGATATGCCGTAGCTGTGGCTGCGCTGTCTGCGATCTGAAAGTCCACACTGTAGGTCTGCGCAACACACAGACATTTACAAACAAACACAGTGATCAGTTGGAAGTGATCTTGATGTTCAAAAAGCAAGAAGCTGCAACGACTCCTTTGTTGGAAATTAACCTTGCAAAGGCAAACAAGAGTTATAAAATGGAAAAACTTAACAAACTTTCAAACTTGTACAGAAAATAGAGCCATAAAATAAACGGTTACCTCCTCTTTGTTTCATTTTTGGGGTTGTCTTTTGGTAAGGGTTATTCTAATGTGCCCTGTGAATCATCTTCAGTGGCATAGCTGTGTCTTAAACGACTGTCTGTACAGTGTGTGTATCTTTGTAAAATAGTTGGTAGACCTCTTACTGAAAATGTAAAACTTTATTTCTAAGTTGCTTTATTGCATGTCGTGCATAACAGTCTATTAAGGCAGGAGAGTACCTGTTTCACTGCAACACCTATAATCAATTATTTATGTCATATAACATAAGAAGAGTAACATACTATCCATCACATCTGCTTTAATGGTGATAAATGAAGGGAAAACTCTGTACGCATAGAGATAATTTCACTTGACAATAACTCCGACTGGGGGCTTGTGGGTAAAAGAGCTGAAGGGTCTTTCTTCTGGATATAAAATAAGATTTGTACTAGGAATCCAGATGTATAGCTGCCTTTTTGATGGGTGTCTACCTATAATTTAGCTTTCTCCTATGTCTGTTACATTACATCTGTGCATGTTTAGCTGATTTTTTAAACTGGCCCTCTGACAGTTTGTGCAAGATTATGCTTGGGTTTCATTTGTGAGACAGTTTACAAAGCTTTAAGGGAAAGAAAAAGAAACATTTTTATGTGAAAGAAGGTTAAATCTATTTAAGCCTCTATCCTAGGATTAATAACAACACAATGAACATGAGTAACAATATTTGACCTAAAGCTGCTGTGAAGAACTTTTTGTTAGTGGTGATTCTGGCGCCCCCTGTGGACACCTTTTGTACCTTTTCCTATACATGTAAAAGTTGTTTTTTTTTCTTGCTGTCTTTTAGCAACGAAATGTATTACTCACTTTAGCTAAGTCTTGAACCATGGAAAACATAAAAACAGGTCAGTTTCAGCTTGCTGTCAATCATCTGTTCTGATACCCACCCCCCTCACAGGAATTTTGAGCATTAAAAACAACTTAGCTTAAAAGATCTGCCTTTTTGCTGTTGGTCTTATTTCCTTTAGGGTCATAAAGAGGAACCAGAATCAGTTTAAGTCTGTTTCTCAGCCTCTTAAGAAACTTCTCACTTTGCCTTTAAGAAAAAAAATCAGCACTGGCATCAGCCAAAAAGTCATTTTTCACTTCAGAATCTGTATTTCGATGCAGGCCCACTTTCAAGGTTTAATACCGAGGTGCACGTGTAAAGGTTTCTATGTATCTGCCCATTTCATTCCTAAAAGTGTGCATGTGTTACCTTTGCCAGTCCCACGTGAGGGAAGGTGTCCATGGTCATCACCGTCTCCTCTCCTGTCTGGTTCTGCAGCTGTCCCTTCAGGATACGAGCCGCTGTGTAGGTTGTGATTCCCATACCTGATGTACACAACACACACACACACACACACACACACACACACACACACACACACACACACACACACACACACACACACACACACACACACACACACACACACACACACACACACAAACACACACAATCAGCAAACGAGGTTGAAGGATTTAAATTGTACTAAACCAGGTCAGACAAGTCGTGGCTTTTACCTTTACAGACAGCAGAGACAGCAGAGTTATAAAAGTGAGAATTTAACTGGCTGTGAAACCTACCATCTCCGAGGAAGAACAGGATGTTCTTGGCCACATTGGTGTTTAGTTTCCGGTCCAGTGCTGACTGCAGAGTCTTTCTGGCCTGGGACCTCCAGAACTCCGGGTTCTCCTCCTCAACTATTTACAAACACACAAATAAGACAAGAGCTGCAGTAATGCATATTTTATGATATTAAAACTTAATTAAACCTCATGATACATATTTAAGAGTATTTTAGTAAGCAAGTACACTGTGGATTTTTCCCTAATTTAATTTTGCTATTACTGCTGCAACAATTTTCTTACTGATGTAATACTAGAGGATTATCTTATTTTGTTTATTTACTACTTAAAAAGGATTGTCCAGGTTTATTAGATTGGCCAATGCACACAAATATCATCTGACTAAAATTATACACAGGAATATAATGTCTGTATGGCACTTAGTGAGAGTTCTTGAAGTAGTTGGTGAAGACAGAGAGGGTAAATGTTATAACTTGTGTGTGCACATGCACACATACCTTTACTCATAGTGGGGCCTCAAACAAAAAGTCTGATCTGAGCGTCTGCCACAATGTCAAGTTTGCTCAATAAAAGCAGCAGGAAAATGTTTCTCTGCAAATTTTTCGAAGAATAGGGGAAAACTTTTGTTCATAAAAGACTGTAAAGAGGAGACTCCTGTACTGGTAGGAGGAGATCTAAGAATCAGCTGTGAAGTAATATGCATGTGTGAATGTGTCTGCACGGTGCTTAGAGGCAAATTTATGACCTTCAAGGACAATTTTCACCACATTGAGAGACAGTCTTCTTGTGCTGGCTTTAAATTAACACAGAAATCACAATAAAATCAAGACATAGGGCTATATTTTTGCACCTCGCTGGTGGCATGGTGCAGGCGCCAGTCACATCAGCTCCTCTCCTCACCTTTAAATCCGCCACCGGCGAGGCGTATTACAAATTTTGTGAAGTAGTCAAAGAGATCAAGAGATGTCTGAAGACAGCAATGCCACACGATGGCGACAGAAGGCAGCCCCTCAACAAGTGTCACTGTAAGCGCTGCAGAGGGCGTCCTCCACACTCTCTCATATGAGCACAGAGGGATTTGGTGTGTGTAATGTTGGACCCACTAGTAAGACAAACACCCTTTTCCACAAATAAAGACAATCACATAAAGTTGCATATATTTAAACCTCACGTGACAAAGGTGGGTTGTGCGCACAGATCACAACATAAATTACAATAATGGCATTAAAACCGGAACCATCTGTGCATAAATGACGCATCGCGCTCCGTGGCCTGGCTCTTTCTTTCATAGATGTTGGCCTATAAAATAAATTTGGCTCACAAGACTGAATATTATAATATCCGTATGCAGGCTTAAAGTAAATATCTCATCTGATTACTGCAATAAATCATCTGTTCAGCAACCGCCGCAGCAGCTGCAGCGGGACGGAGAGAGGACACAGAGACATGTCCAGGTCGAGCTGCTTGAGAAATAAGAGAAGGAAGAAGAAAGAAAAGGAGGGAGACGAGTTACATATCTTGTTAACTTCATCATGTGTGTCTATTAACTAGATATTTAATTTAATTTGATGCGGTTTCAGCTGTGTTGATTTGGTCAGGTTGTGTGTCCAAACGTGTGCCAAACGCGCTCATCAGATCAGTTATAGATCAGAATATATCTATATAGATCTAAATGTATGTGCTGACTCAGATTATTAGTTGTTGATGATTATTTATTGCATTGAAATGTGCCTGACACTGTGGAAACCTGCCGATGAGGCATCGGTGACGTATGCCGATATGCCGCCAGTCTACCAAAATACCACTAGACCAGCTGCGCTCCGCCTGCGCTGAAAGCTGACCACTTTATACGCCACCGGTGAGCACGAAAATGTCACTGCGCCAGCTGATTCTGTCGACACCTCCCCCTGCCACGCCACCACGCCCAGCTTGGCGGACCTTGGTGCGCCTCAGTCTATGAAAATACCAAACTGGCTGTGCACCGGGCTCTGCCAGATGAAAATACCACTGCGCGGGGTTTGCCACCCTCCACCATGCCGCCAGCGGGCACGAAAATAGAGCCCATAAAGTGAAATGTTCAGACAGCTCCACAGTCCAACATGTTTAGAAACACTGGTAAAGGTTTATTAATGTGGGTTTCTCCATCTCTTTGCAGCAGGTTGGCACAGACACACCATCCCTCATTGCATGATTGCATGAGTTAAATCAAAACTTTGATCATTTAGATTCTATCTGTTGTGTTACTGCTATTCTTTTACTGCTGGCAAATAGAGGTTATTAGGCATGACTGTTCAGAACTCAAGTCTATTAGTTGTTTTATTGCCTTTTTCTGTACACAGTGCATGAAACACCATATGTTGTCCAGTACGGACTTCAATAAAAGTTTGAATCAATTAATCTGTCATATAATATTTGTTTCATCCCTAAATCAGAGTGGTTTTGCTGGAGGAATAATGAAATAAAGGCAGAGTTTTTTTGTTTTTTTGGCCTGTTGTTTTGTCAAATCAATAAAATAATACTTGAATAGAATATGTAGACTTTGCAGATTAAAGCACAACTCATGCTGTAAGTGCTTCATGTATCCCAGAGTATGTTCTTCTTTTCTTTGAAGAAACGTCTAAAAGAGAAATATATCATCTGTGCATCCCTCAGATCTTGACATATGCAGAAGGTCCTGTGGGACTCAAATGTGTATTTTTGTGAGTGAATGTTTGTTTGTAGCTGCCACACCTCATTCACATGCTCTGTAATCTGCTGCAGATGGCCTCTCTGTGCCGTAACAGGTAGTTTGAGTCCCCTATCAAGCTGTTAATACTGACAGCAGACAGTTGCATAACTGTGATAACTTTGCAAGAACTGAGAGTGCCGGTTTGAAAAGTTTGGGAGCGAAATGAAAGAAAAGTGAACAACAATTATGGCTAAGGTTGAAAAGGAAAGATGGAATTATTAAAGAGGAAAGATGAGTCTGAAATGAGGGCAAAAACAGAAGAAAGCGAGGGAGAGGGGAAGCTGTGAGTGATGATGTTTGAACACATAACACAGAAAATTGAAGAGGTCTGACTTCAGGGTAAAAAAGGCAGGAAGCAAACATCAACCCAACACTTTCAGCTCTCTGTACTGGGCTGATTTGAGTGTTAGGCAAAGTTAAGAAAGGGTTTACTTTCTGAAACAAATGTGCATGTGATTTAGATGAAAAGGCTGCAAAAATCACATCAAGCTGCAGGTTCAATGCAGGTCTTTGGTTCAGCCTCTTATGGGCCAAAGGTTAAAAATCCACCTAACCTTCCTGTTCCCTCTGCAGCCAGTCTCCACTCCAGCTCCCCCTTTTCATACTGTGTCTGATTTTACCATCTTTGCTGCTTCTCTCCCTGCCTTGGCTTTTCATGCATGCATAATACAACTTATTAGACGCAAATTATTGACTCTCAAAAGTGATTCTGACTGAACTCGGGGGGTAAATTCCCCCCGCCTATGGCTTTAGCAAGGGCAGGGAGAATTCATAACAAAGCCATACAGTTAAAAATGACCATTGCATAAAATGAATTAACTGTCCTGATTGAAACCTGTTATGAAGTGGATTTTTGTGCCTTTTCAAAATAAGCTTAACATAAAATAACGTGCGAAAAATGACATAATGTTTGTGTTTCTGTCAAAAATTATTTGAATTTCATTACAATTTGATTGTAAAGAGACAGAGCAAAGAGTCTTCACTTTTGAAGAACAAAGACGGTATACCAGCTTGTATCACTGGCAGAACTTATGGCATGTCATCTCAAAAGTTGAAGTAAAACAGTTCAAAGAAAAGGGAGGACAATGGCTCTACTTCAAAATTAAGCTTTAACTAAAGACCTGAGCTGAAGGGGCTTCAAGAGCAGCTGGCATGATAAGATTAAAAGATGTTGAGGTCCAAGTTTCAGTGTAACTTTAAAAGAAACCTCCAGTAAGTGTCCAATTAAACCAAACTTAAAGGTGTCTTTCTGTTTCTTACCTTTGGCACCACATGATCCCAATGCCACCAGCAGAAGGAGAGCCGACAAAGCCGCTTTTCTCACCTCCATGGCTGCACTCAGAAGAAGTAACGCTCCTCTAACCTTTCTTAAGCTCACCTCTTCAGCTGAATAATGCTGATCTCCAATCACAGCGGCTGCCAATTATCTTTAACTGCATGTCATAAATACATTATGACCCACGGGCCTTTGGAAAATGACTTGAGCTTGAGGAAAATGAGTTCTGGTTGGGTTGAAGACAAAAATCAGATTAAAAAGAGGTTAAAAAAGCAAATATAGCTTAAAGATGAAGCACTAAAAGTAGAGTTAAGGTTCCTTCAATGACACAGATAGATCCAGTAAAGAGTCTTGGATGGACGTTTTCATTCTGAGAGATTAATTATTGACTGTATTTACAGCTTTTGATGACAGAGTTTATTAAAGGCATTATTTATGATGCTGTGATAAAGATCAAGAGGATGGCAGCAAGTGCTCCTAACAGCTACGGGATGTGTGTTATCGCGTGTGTGTATGTGTGTGTGTGTGTGTGTGTGTGTGTGTGTGTGTGTGTGTGTGTGAGGGAGAGATCTAATCATAAATGGACAGATAATGCAGCGCAGGGGGACACAGTTATGTAAGTGAGACAGACAGACAGAGTCCACTGGGACTGAGCTGAATGACACAAACACTGAGCCATCATATTTTCCAATGAATACATTACAAAGATAAGAATATTTATATCATGCTTCCTCTGATTGCCTGTCCAAGATTTCTCCATCACGATGACAGACTGAGGAGTAAACCATGCAGGGATATGCAGTGGGTGCCATGTGTCACACTGATAACAGGACATCTATCAGGGGCAATTTGATCACCCAATGTTCCCAGTAAGTTCACTGATTAGCTTTGCATATGTGGATCGGCCATGGAAGACAAGGACTGTAGTAATTTGTTCTTATACAACATTCATGAACAGCATTAATGAGCTGAAGATGACACACTTTTTTATTTAATCTGTGTTAACCGAGAGAGGAGGTGGGAGACGAGATTTTAGAAAGAGCTACACATGAAGCTTAAAATAAAATATTATTATAATAATATTAAATATTATAATAAATAATCTGTTGAGGACACCTGCAGGGGTGTGTCGAGACTTTTCTGACTGGGGTGGGGGGTATGAAGTGTTTGTGCAAACACATACATGCACAACTGAATATCCTTTTAATATCGTTTCTGTTTCCACAAATCATATCGTCTTTTTTTGACTTAAAGATGTTAAAAGGAGGTTAAGGATAGTTGGACTGTTATCTGTGTATATGCTTGTTTGAATCTATGATGGGAGTAAGAGAGAGTATGTGTTGCTGATCCCTATTGTGCACTTCATGATTTGGCGGTCTTGTTCCCTGCTTTAACTAGTGGATTCTGTTTTTTTTTTTTTTTAATATTATGGGCATCATGTCATTTTTATCTCATATTTCAATTTGTATGTCAAGGTGTTTCTCTGTGGAGTTTGCATGTTCTCCCTGTGTCTGCGGGGTTTTACTTCAGGTACTCCGGTTTCCTCCCACATCCTAAAAACATGCAGAAGTGGGGTTAGGTTTATTGGCCATTTTCAAATTGCCCGTAGGTGTGAATGTGTGTGTGGATGGTTGTCCGTCTCTATATGTCAGCCCTGCGATGAACTGGCAACTTGTCCAGGGTGTCCCTTGCCTTCGCCCAAAGAGGCTGGGATAGGCTTCAGCCCCCTCACGACCCCGGGAATGGGAATAAGCGTTAGAAAATGGATGGGTGGATGTGCTTTCACTTTACCTGCCTAAGGACTACAGGTGGAAATTAGCAATTGTTGCCATAATCTGGCTCAGAACATCTCTTCTTGTCATACAATATTAATGTTTTTTGTGCATTGTCCCTGTTTTAAATAAATAAATCTAATTCAATTCAATTCAATAATGTCTGGTTTTAGTCCTTTAAGTTCATGCTAATATTCTGAGCTTGAAGTGTTAAGATGCAATAAGGACACATTTATGTTAAGTAACAATCAAAAACACTGAAATATAGCAAGAAAACTCATGTTACAGCTTAATACTGCTGCAATTATAATCCACATGTTTTTTGGTAGTTTGTTTGTTTTTGAAATTCTGTGCTATTTTATTTTGCAGCTCAGCAATGGTTGCATCTCCTTGCTCTTGCTGTCACTACGATGGAAAATAACCAAACAAATGCACGTCCATGTAGATTCTCATTCATCCAGGTCACTGTGTAGAGCTGAGAAATTCTCAACTCTACACAGCCAGACAGACTGATATCAGCAACACTGCATCACAAAAGCTGACAGACCAGTATCACAGAATTGCAACAAAAAGGGCGACAACTGAGTGAACACTGTGCAAGACTCTGTGTGGATATCATCTGGTAAGTAAGTAATACTGTATTTAGTAATAAAAAGAAGGCATAATTATAATGGAGATTTAATTTATTGCTTTACATTGTTTTTAAATTGTGTTTGAGATCAAAGTTAGTGGGATTTAAAACATTCAGTTAGATGCAGCAGCTTGAAGTAGGAAGGCTCAAACATGAAAAATGTTTTTAATACTTAATATCAAAACAACAGTTTCACTGTCTGCATCGTGTTTAGGATGGATGTGGAATTTTAAAGAGAGAAATGTCCAAATAATGTAGATCCTACCTGTATTCATACGAGAGAACAAGCATTTGAGCCTCCCACATTACTCCTCCTGTGAGGTGCAGAGAGTAGAGAGAGTGTATTTGTGTGGGTGCATGAGTGTGAGTGTGCGTGTGTGTGTTTCAGATCTGCTGACAATGATGCCGAGGTCAGGGCAGAGAGAGGTCAGCTGCTTAGATCTATCTCTGACCTCTCAAGCAATTCCTGAGAGAGGAAGAGGAGGAGAGGAAGGAAAACACGGACGAAGAGAAGCAGGAAAATCCAGCCTGAATTCAGAACTGCTCAAACTAGATGTTTCATCTGCATGAAAATTAAGATAGATCTTCATATTCAGCGTTAATAGTTAAAACTGCAGATCCCTGAGCTTCTTCTTGAGGCTGGCTGCAAAAGTTAACAACTCCCCAATGACTCCCACACTGAGGTCCTGTTTCTGCAGAATAAATGTGCATGTGAACAACTCACTTCTTTTATCAGGGGCTGATCTGAGACTATGTCCGTATTTGTACAAAATAAAGAGATAACTGAGAATCTGCTGACAGAAATACAGAGATGGCACAGACACTGATGACACCTGGTGGTCAGGTGAAGAGGAATGGCGAGTACACATAGGATTATAAACATTAATTAAAGCCCATATGAAACAGAAACTTTCAGTGAGCACATAAAGATGAAACACTTTAACCTCAAAGTATTTCACCAAAGCACTGAATGACTTCATCTCATGGTACTATAACAGTTCTTTGGTCATGTGACACAGGATCTAATGTTCAGATCTGCTTTATTTTCATTTTATCCACTGAAAGTGATCAGAGAAAGGAAGTTCTTCTCACTTGTTTGCACACAAGTTGATTAAGTAATTTTTAAAGCACTTAGATCCCGCAACAAATGAATGTTTAACCCGAAAACAGATTTCGATTTATTTTCTGGCATTTGGAGGTTATTTTAGAGGAAATGTCCTGGATGTTATAAAGACTTGTTGCTATTCAATGTCTGTTGCTTGGACAGTGTAACAGCTCCCTCTAGTGGACATGTTTGTAAGTACTGCAGCTCAATTTAGCAAAAAAATAAATAGTAAATATGTGCATGTTTCCTGGAACTTCAGGAACTGGAGACAGATTTTTAATTTGAACTAACATATTTTTGAATACTGGAATACTGCATACTTTTTATACCATACATCCCATCCTCTGAACCAAATAGTCTTTGGTGTGAACTCATCTATTGAACTGCTAATTCTTTTGGAAAAAACATCTAAACACATTCAGGTGTCACAGGTTACATGCTACAACTCAAAACTGAAAACTGTTTTTGCTGATGACACAATGACACCAATAAAATCCAGTCCAGACTGCAAGGTGGGCCAGAAGTTGATTTATAAAGACGGATGGAGACAATCTGAGAGACAGAGGAGGAAGAGATTGTACAAAAGGTGTTGGACAAGGACGATCAGGATAATAGTTTGACTCTGTCTCTGTGTTTATCATCTTTGCAGAGCACTGTGTGTGTAACGTCACAATGAGAGATAACTGCAAGCATCTGATACTCTGCTATTGAAAGTGGGCATGCCATTTATCTCAATGATTAATCAAAATGATGAAGGTCTGGTCTCTGCTCTGTGCGGGTATGAAGCAATCCAGAAATGATGGAGTTGCAAACAGAGATGGAAGTGTGCAGCAGTATTTTCATGTCTTTTCATCCTCTCTTTTATGCACCTGTCACGCTTTGCAAACATTTTTGTTTAGAAAAAAAGGATCAGAGGTTTCAAGAAATGTCCAAACAACTGAAAAGACCAGACAACCGAAAGACAGGTTCAGTCATGTTTTAATATTTATAGATTATTTTATTTTTATTTTGTAAATATACAGAAAATAACTGAAATAAGTAGTTTTTGAATATATGGATGAAAGGTTTAAGGAGAGGATTTACATGTTTGTCATTTTTAAGTTATCTCTCTGAGGATCATCTCATGTGGACATGAGTCTAAGTCCTTTGGTGTTCCTTTTGCTTCTTATTGTTTTATCTTTTTTGGGGGAAAGGTCCTTATACAAGCCCCCCCGGGATTATAAAAACATGCAGATCCAAAGTTCCAAAAATTTCTCTCTCTGGGTTTTTTTAGCCCACCTGTCGAGCTGCTTACCTATTCACATTCCCCTTGTGCAAACATAGCCTGGCTGGGCCATCCAGTTGCGTGAATCACTTGCCGTTCTTTCCCACAATAGGGGAAGGAACGGCAAGTGATTCACGCAACTGGATGGCCCAGCCAGGTTAGTGCAAACACCCTTTGGAGGGATTACATGGAGGGGTATGAGAGGTCTGCCCGTGATGCAACAGTGTGAAAATGTCATCTTGCTGTCTGATACTGCAGCTGAGAGAGCGCAGGTTAAAGATAAGGTGATCTCCCCGAGGCTGAGCGTGTCAGCAGGAGAGAGCAGGGCCTCGTAACAGGTGAGATAAGCTGATAAGAGTGGTCCTAAATGGTGGCCTGACTCTGTGTGTGTGTGAGGTTGCGCTCCGGTTGAATCACAACCAACACGGGTTCAGCTGTAGCTCTGCTGTATGAACTGCAGCTGAACACCTGAGTTTGGCTGTTTGGTTCCTCCTGAAGTATGTGGGCTGTGGAATTGAGCGCTGTGTGAAATGTAGAAACATGGAGGAGCTGGGGGGGTTTCAGTATTTGTAGAGCAAAGTTTGCAGAGCACACTCACACTTTTGGACACATTTAGAGGTTCCTGAACAACCACATGTTCTATTTGTGGTGGGTGTAGGAGGCTGAGTGGTGAACCAGAAGCCCCCCTTCCCTCCCTGTGGGGATATGTCTGTACAATGTGGACTTCTGGGAAAGCTGAGCAAATAAAGAGCTGTAGAGGCCCCTGGTAGCACAGAATAGTCAAGAACATGAGAGTAGAGTGAGTGGAGATGATCAATGACGAAGTTTTCTCAAAGATGAGGACAGCTATATGTAGATACTCGTCTTGAAGGTATGGATTTTGGTACAAACAATCACATGTCAGGCTTTTGTGTTTGCAGGAGAGAAAGTAGAGCTCTGTCACAGCACTGCTGCAGACCCGCACAATGTTGCAAATGTCCTGGCTGACATAATCAAGTTTTGGATACTCTAATGCTCAAGATTTAACACCTTCAAAGCTATTTAAAACTACTTTCTAGGAAATATATAAAACATCAATGTACAAGAGCGAGCACAACTTTAGAGATTGTTGAATCGTTTAAAGAATAAAAAATGAAATGCAAATAAGAACTCTGGATAATCACTGTTGTGCTTATTAGCTATTGGTCTGTGTTAGACTCAGCAAACTGCTTGCATAAGCTCACAGTGAAGACGAGAAGGGGGCCAAGTTTTATTTTCTGGAGTTCCCCGAGAAGTCCAGCACAGAGGAGCCCCGTCTGCTGGCTGCAATCCCTCAAGAAACCAGACGGATGCTTCGTCATCTTCATCTCCAGACTGCGGCAGCCCAGTCTGCAAGTTATTTAACTCTTCCTGCATTCACGGTCCCAAATAAACAGCTCTGGTCTGCAGGGTCTCATTTGCCCTGGAACAACCATGGGCCCATCGTAGAAGCCAGCGAGCTGATGCATGTTCGAAACAACACAGAAACCATAGCTGAAGGCTCGCTGAATCACGAAGATTTTCAAGCACAATTTCAGTATAGTTTGATTCATGTCGCCTTTCTGTATTTTTTACCAACTCAACATTTACTTTATGTGGTTTAATTTGTATCAAATTACTAGAATAAGTTTGCAAAGCAGCCAATGAGATCTAACTCCAAGACTTTGTGAGCTGCAGCAAAATCAAAAGTTGAAAGTAAGCTTTAAAGAGACAGCTTTCCCGTTACTATGGTAACTCACTGACATGCATGCATGCAGTCTGCAAGAAGAGGAAGAGGTGAGTTTCTCTGTAGCTGCAGACATAGTACACTATAATTATATAATTTAATAATAGTGAAGATATAAAACCGATATCGTCACCACTGAGCTATATGCTGTCATTTATCTAATGTGTGGACGAAGGTTGTTGCAATTCAGCAATTTTGACGATAACCACCATTTCTGAATAGATATATTATTGATATTACGAAAAATGAGTATAAAGTTGAGCCTAACCTCACAGCAGAGGTCCTTACGTAGACTGTATATAGTATACACAGTCTAGAAGTCCTTCACACTGGTTGCCACATCTCTTGAAACAGTGATTACATGATTCCCTAATTTATGATCTACGGGAAGTAGTACACTTCAAATAAAAGCATCGTCAAAGAATGCAGAGAATAATGCAACCTAAACTCAAGTCAGAGAAAATATCAAATCAAAATCAAAATTGAGGCAGTGAGGTTACTACCTTAGTGTGGCACCGACTCAAAGACAGCACCCAAAACCGTCCCAAACGTTTTGCTGTTGCATCACTACTAAGACTTAGTACTTTGGAACTATTTTCTTCAACTTTTCTAAGCAGGAGGTTCTGAATTTAGTCCTCGGTGGGTAAATTATTGTGGTTGCCTAGATTTTCGACTGAAATATTTCACTTGCTGAGTTCTGGGATGTGATTTAAGTGTTCCCTTTATTTTCTTTGAGCAGTGTATAAACTGGAACACAAAACAAACCAAAAAACAAAGCCGCAGTATTCAACCCAGAGCTGGTCTACATTAAATGTGATCAGCTCTGCGGTGTGGCAGTAATTAAAATCAGAGAGGCCAGCTCTACATCAACAGGGAAACCAGCCTCCATCCAAACAGTCTCTACAAAAGCATGAGTATGGGAGTTTTTCTTTTATTGGCAACAATCTTTATTATCTCTTCCAGTTTTGGATGTGAAAAGAGGCATTAATTTTCTTTAATTAAATATCTTTTTTAATAAAGTAAAGCAAAAAAGTATTTACAAATTTTCAATTAAACCGTAACCAATGACTCGGGTTGGATAATTACAAGCACCTTCTGCCAGCTGAGGAGAGAAAAATATAAATACAGGGAAAAGAGCATTTCTTCTTTGAAAAAAAAAAAAAAGAAAAAAAAAAAAGTTTATCCATCATATATTTACAGAACTCTCCTGAAATGCATTTCCACTCATGAAAGCAGGAAAGGCCTCAGGATTCGAACTGTGAACTTTTTTAGAGTCCTTCTTCCTTGAAGTAGATTTTTTTATGTAGATTTTTTCAAGTTTTCATTGTGATATTTCCTCTTTTTAATCTGATGACAGGCTCTGTAGGAGGGTGCAGCCGTGACTCCTTACTCTCACTCTCCATTTGTCCATAGTTTGTCCTCTAAAGCGCAGGAAAAGAGTGAAACAGACACAAGGGAGGGGGTGTCCAGGGGGTTGGGGTTTGGGGGTTCAGGGGCGTCAGGGAAGCATCGTCATCCTGAAGCAGCAAAATGGTCAATGTTTGTCGCCCCACTCCCCAGCGACAGCATCCAAGTTAAGGATGTGTATGATCCTCAGGGAGTCCAACAACCGTTCCTTAAACTCCTGTCTGAAATGTCCGTTAGACAGCACTCATCACTTTTCTTTGTAGTTTTCTTTTTTTAATATAAAAACTCACTCCAATCATCCAACACTGGAAAGAAGAAGAAGAAGAACCAAAAGCTAACTGTCTACAGAAGCGCATCATGTAGATCAAACACCGTACATGAGGCATGACAATGTTTCTGTGTCACATCCACACAATAAAGGATGAAGTCATCAAAAATATAAATGTGAACAGCCTTTTTAAGTTGATGTTTTCTTAATATCTGTCGTTAAGCAAAGTGTCTTGGATAGTGTTGCCGTGGCGAGGAACAGCCATTTGAAAAAAAAAAACAGGAGATAAATCTCAAAAAAATACTGAAGGAAACAACATTATCTCCGCGGCTTGCAACGCTGCTCAGCATTCTCTCTCAAATCTAATCTCTCTATTAATCTTGTTATTCATTCATTTCAAAAATGACATTCAGTTGCACAAGGAAAAAACAAGGAACCCAAAAAAAAGAAAAAAAAAAAATAACACGATCGAACGTTCGATCCATAATACAATCTCTCCCAGTTGAAGAATTTTTTTCTTGCTTTTTCTGTTTATGCAGAAGGTTTTTTCTTTTTTATTCAGAGTCCTCTGAATCGTCCGCTAAACATTCACACCTGCTCCAAGGACCCTTCTCTAACTCCCACAGCGTGTCCCAGCAGGTCCTAGCTGTTGTCAGACTCGTCCTCAGCTTCTCGGAGCCAAGTGAAGAAGGCGGTGACGGACTTGAGGGCCACGCCCTTGCCCTGCTGCTCGGCGGGGTCTTTGCTAGACTCCCACTTGTAGAAGGCCTCCTCTTTGATCACATCCTCATCGTAGAGGGTGTCGAAGAACATCCGCAGCAGATCTGAAGGAGGGAGACAGAGACAAAGGAGAGTCCTGGATTAGTTTTTATTATCATTTTAACTGAAACTAAAGCCAATGTTTCATAAAAAGCCTTACAGGAGGAGAAAATGGGCACACATTACCTTTCAAGAAGAATAAAAATGATGCACAGAGATATTCTCATTCAGTAAAAGTTGATGCAAACTTGAAAACACAAGTTTGGGATTAGCTACTCACTGGCAGGTTGCTCCATCTGCACCATCAGGGCCTGCAGGGCGTACAGAGCCTGCAGCTCCTTCTGTTCATCCTTCAGGTATTTCTGCAGCAGCTTGGCCCTCTGTTTGATCTGCTCTCCGTCCACCTTGTAGGGGTTCTCACCTGTAGGTCAAGAATTTTGAAAACTTCGTCAAACTCGACCACAAAGCCACGCTGACTCAATGACATTCAACCGACTCCATGTCTTTGTCAACACTGTCCCACAGTCCGCCACAGGTCGGCTCTGATGGGGACAACAGAGGGTCTTTGTGGACTCACAGATAACTGCTGACTGGCAGATGGAGGTCATCAAAGCTCTGACGAAGGTGTTGGAGGAGATCTGCTGCTCGTCCAGGTTAGCCTACACCCAGAAAACAACAATACTGAAGCCTTATTCATGTAGAGAACAGAAACTGAAACAAAAACAAGATCTAAAGTATCAAAATACAACATATATAACATGTGCAACAGCACCTCAACCCAGTCAAAGACCCTCTGGTTGTCAGCCTGGTCCTGGATCAGTCTGTCCAGCTGTTTGGTCAGCTCTGCAGAGCTCATCTCCTTCTTTTTACTCTTCTCAGACTCATCGCCCAGAGTGAACTCCATATCCTGGTTCAGAGAAACATGATCAGCTTTTTGCCTCATAGTGTTACCTCTAACTAGACCTGCTGAACTATGACTGAAATTCACCGTAAAATATGTAATATAAGTCACAGAGTGTGTGAGACACAGTGGAGATTTACCGAGAAGGCTGAATTGTCTATCCTCTCACTAAATCTGCTGCAATGAATGTGCAGTTTTTATGCAGCTCTGTAGGACTTCAGCTTTAATCTTGCAGCCCCCCTCCACTCTACTGGTAAAACTGTGTGACCTCTCACCTTCTCTGTCACAAACTTGTTGACGTCGACATCCTCGGGGAGGAAGTCTTTCCACCGGAGGCCAGCTTCCCTCCACATAGTGCCTGCTTTTTTATGGCTCTGATGTGAAAAAAGATCAATTCAAGATTAATTTTCAAAAATGTAAAGACTGTGCTTGGTCCAATATGAGAGCCAAAAGTCTTCCTGTTTCCAAAATATTACAAACCAGTAACAAACAAATTTTCTCTGTACAAGAAAACATGAAATGAGGCACCATTGTTGTTTTGATCTCACCATTCCTTTGCAGAGTAAAGTCAGGATGTGGACCAGCAGGACACCAGCCTGGCCCAGAGGGATCAAAGGCTTTGAAATCTCCCTGAAGACCAAAAAAAAAAAAAACAGTTAAAAATCCAGCTATGAATCCAACACAGCCCACATGATCAACATAGTGATGGTCTGAGAAATGAGTGGGACGTACCTAAAGAGCTCTCCCATGGGGATGCCTCCCTCGTGGAGCATGGGAGTGATCAGCTCTGCCAGGTACAGCCAGATGTGGGGGATGTCTATGGCCATGTCTTCAGCCACCTCCAGGATTTCCTGAAGCCTAAAGACACACACACACACACACACACAGCACATATTTTAGGAAGTTTTGGGGATTTAAGGAGGATGAATGGGGTTCAAACTCTCAACAGATGGTGAATCAGCGAAAACTGCCACCAAAATGATCCAAATAAACAGAAATTGGCTCACAAAGCGTTTTTCTACTTTGTCATTGTACTGCCTGCTGAGAAGTGTTACTTTTCAGACATTCTTTTGGTACTAAAGAGCAGCAGTGCTCCCATGGGTGTCTGTTAATTAAAAACCCTGCAGTCACAAACTGTGTTCATTTAAGGCTGAAACTGCCATTTTTCATCTCATTGAGGAGTTCAGTCCATCTTTATGGGGCGCTAACACCAAGCACGAGTAAAAACATCTACTCGCTGAAGTCGCACAAATCTAGACGCGTGGATGAATAGTATTTACTCGCTTCATTTCATCGTTCCTTGGATACTGGTACCATGGATACAAGAAATCCAAGCATGGTAGAAATAAACCGCATCGTGAAGATTGCTACTATTTTTTTGTTGTGGGGAGGAGAGACACCCTGACATAAAGCGCCGCTTTTACTGCCAAGGCTGCTGCAACTTTCCAACTGACTCCATAACCACAGGCACACATATGCACTCACAGGATTACCAGGTAATCCGACCTCCTCACTCATTTGCCTCCAGACGAGCTCCTTTTCATTCCGGTTTCGATAATTGAAAGAAAACGCATCATATAATTCGGGGCACCCACACACCAACACGATCAGTTTGTTCCTTCATTTTAGATACCAGTGAACAACCGTCCGTTTTCATACATCACCCGGCAACCCTATTGTGACACGAATATCTGCTCAAGTTGAGACATTTTCAGCTCCTGTCGAATTTGCGTCATTTGCGCCACTAGAGTAGTAGGAGCGTCTAACCATATCTTTGCATTGACTTAACGTGTAATTCATTCACAAGAATGATTTTACTTGCACTTGTGTGGAGACAGTCATAGCTTCTTGAATGTATATTCTATTCTTGGTAGTCTTGTTCGTTTTCTTGTTAGCTCTCTCATGCTGTATTCATACATGCACAGACTTGTCCTACTGACCTTGTTAGGGTAGATTGATGTGTCATACTGACCCTTTGTAGTACTGCTGTGTTGGGAGGATGCTGGCTTTGATGAGCTGGTGCAGGAGCAAGCCCATGTGCTCTCTGGCGATGGTGCTGCGCTCCAGCGTGGACTCCAGCCCGTTTCGTACAAACACAAACAGCAGCTGAGTGCTATTCATCTCCTGCACACATTGCAGAGCTTCCTGTTGGGCAGAAAGAGTGTAAAGATGTTTCTGAGTCTGACAGAATACTCATCAGGGCTGAACCAAAGATCCTTTGGACACAGAAACGGCAACATTTACAAGCTCATAATCACGTACCTTCATGTCATTGATGTGAAGGTACTCCTCGATGATTGCTGTAGACTTCTTGTTCAGCTCCTCCTCGGTCAAGGCAGGCTTGGTGGGGGTCTGGGGTGGTGGAGGGGTGGCAGCTGTTTCCCGCTTCACTGCTTTCATGTAAAACAGAAATAACATGAAACTCAATCATAGGAACTCAAGTTTATACCAACTTTTTCTGAAATAAAACTCTTGTAATTTTGTACATCATTTTGGTGGATCTTGTCTGAGCTCAAAGTTCATAGAGGGCCAAAAAAGAAAAAAGGACCCATGCTGTTTTTTCCTCTGGAATGTCCTTTTCTTGGTTTGAAATCAATAATTGATTTGAAGATGTCACTTGGACTTTCAGAAATTGTGTTCTTTGCATGGTTTAACATGTATATAATCGCCTACCGTTGTCTTTGCTTCTGGCTCTCTCTCTGCTGCCTCTGTCTCTGTCGTCCGTCATGCTCGCTACCCTACGGACAGGATCGGCCGACCCGCGCTGCTCTCTCTCTCGACTCCGCCCTTCATTCTCCCGGCTGAAGCTGCGTTTGGTGACCTGCAGCCGGTTCCGATCGCCGCGATCGTCACGTCGGTCATCCCGTCTGTCATACCTGTCGCCGCCCCGATTCGAGCGGTCGAAGTTATCGCCGCGCTCTCGACTGGAGCTGTTCCTGTAAGAGCACAGAGGGAGGAGCGGAGGCAGAGGAAGTCAGCTGATAGACTCAGTCTGAAACATTCTCTCTGAAAGCACGGAATTATCTAAAATTGGCTTTGACAGTTTTGGTACTGCTAACCTCTGAGGAACTCGTCTGTCTGATTCCACTGATGAGGATGATGAAGGCTGCTGTAAGGCGGAGAATCTGTTCAGAGTGCTGGTGGCTGGACGGCTGCCTGACTCTGGCCCTGCAGCGGGATAAAACACACACATCGAACATGTCAAGATTCATCTTTTTTAACTTGTTTGCAAACTTTTTTTTTTTTTTTAATCCACATTTTCTTGAGCGTCTAAGCTGTTTTGGAATTAAGGTCATAGTTATTCGTTTGTCGGGGGGGAACCTACCAGATTCTGCAGGCTTGGTGCTTGTCCCACCGCTGCTGCCCTTACCCCAGCTGCCCCATGTGCCTTTACCTCCAGGGGCCAGTAACTGATTGTTGAGGTCAAGAACAGGAGTCTAAGAGAGGAGAGAGCTGGTTAAAACCTGCTGTTTACTCTCAGTAATCAGTCAAACTCCAGCTGGGACATGTCAAAAAAACTAAGTAAGGTGAAAAACCGGTTTCCTCTCCTACCTTGGTGAATTTGCTAAGGCGAGATGTGTCGATAGGTCGGTTTTTGGAGATGGGCACTGTGTTCCAGCCTTCATCCTGGGATGGAGCACCGCGGCCTTGAGTATGGGGGCCCCCACGACCCCCAGGGCCTCCTCCACCTATCCTGCCACCGGGGCCGCCGCCTGTCTCCTTCTTGGAGACGAGGGCTTGCTGCACCTTCATCTGCTCCCTGTGCTCCTCCAGCTCTGCCTCTTTGTGGATCTGGTCGATGGTTTTGGGGCCCTGGTCGCCTCGCCGGGGGACCCAGTTATTCTGCATTGAGGTAAGGGGGGTTATATTATGAGTACAGCACAGGTAATTGACAACTACATATTTCATTAGAGGTCAAATCTTAGTCTTGGTTTGTTTGTTTTTTTGGGTTATAATTTGGATTCATTAAGAAATTTGTCAAAAAAAAAGGAAAAAAAAAAAGAGGTCATAACATGAATTTCCACCACACAAATCTACATTTAAACATTAAAGTTATAGATCTCAAAGATCAATCACAAAAGCCTAAGTACATGTTGGATGTGTTTAACTCAAAAATCAAGTTAGAAGAGGACCACATCCTTGAGACGCTGTGCTCCCCTCTTTTCCCACAAAAGAAACTAAGTGTGTGTCTCACTGTTAAATTGGGCCACTGTGCTGACTTGGAGCAGCTGATTTTTGGCTTGTAAAAACACTGAAGACAGCAGGTTTTGTAACAGTGTGTGGGCGGGACTGGGAGCATAACTACAGGACTGCAGCATTCCTTCAGCGCGACGACACTTGAATGAAATGACTCTGAAACACAACTTAACCTAGAAAAGCCCTGACACACTCAGACTGTCTGAAGACATCCAGCTTTAGCAGAGGTGAATGAGGACACTACTGCTGCTGCTGCTGCTGCTGCTGCTGCTACTATAATGTCATGTCTCAGCTTATGGCACAGAGCAGCTCTGTGTTTAGGAACTGTGCTGCATTAAAGAGCTGAGGAAGACCTTTCTTTCTTAGCCCATGAACGAGACTCACACTAGACCAAAGCTGAAGGACCAGTGTGGACGTCTCTGGGGCTGTGGATGTAAGACACACCACACATGGTCTCTAACATCATGCAACAACTACAGGTTTGGCATGAGGAATCAAAGCCTAATGAGTGGGTTGGAGTGGATTCCTGTCCACACTGAAATGACGCAGGAATATGAGAAAAGGGGCGGGACATTCGTGTGGACAGTCTAGACACGAACACAGACACTCACAAGAAAAGTTTTTGGTTTGTTTTCCGTCAAACTGCTTTCTTTGACTGTTTACATCTCCAGCTTTGTGTTTCTCTAATTATCAGTCATATGAGGATACTTAATACATGTTTTTTTTTTTTTTTTTTTCCATTACCCGTCTAAGGTCCAGCACATCCTGCAGCATGAATCGGATCCTGGAGCTGGTCTTCCTCTCCTTTATTATCTTCTCCATCTGATTGAAGTACTGGTCCATACGAGGCTGAGGAGAAGCACAACAGTTTTACTAAACTTTAGCAGAGGTCTTTCTTTAAAACTCGAGTCAAAACACAAAACCACATTTCCCTGCATGCATTTGTAGATGGCGTGTTCTGTACCTTGGCCTTTTCGAAGTCTAGGTCCTTCCCGATGGTGGACAACAATCGACACAGGCACTCCAGCGACTCCTCGTCGTGGTTTTTGAGCAGCTTGACGATGCAATCATGCATGATGACCTCTGTGAGCATCTTGAGCTTGAACAACTCACCGATAAACTTGATATTGCCGAGGGAGCGCCTCCTGGCCTTGTCTTTAGCATCCTGTAGCTCCTCCATGAGCCGCTGCTTCTCCTCCTCCTGCCAGAGAGAAAGAAAATAACCGTTAATATCCTGAAGAGATCCTGATCAGCCGGAAATCTTTCAGAGCTTTCTCCTGAAGTATGGACGACTTAAAAATCTTAAACAGCTCCTTTATGCACAAGTCAAGACCCTGTCACAAACGTACCACTGTGGCAGCCTCCAGCTCTTTCTGCTTCTTCTCGAAGATCTCATCATCATCTTTGTCCTTCTCAAACTCTTTCTGGCACCGATTTAGTAGCAGCTTGCGGAAATTCACAGTGGTTCCCGGCTTATCTGTGGCTTGGACTTTGAGCTGAAAAGAGAAATTCATTGTTTCTCAGAAGGAAAGAAAGACAAGGAGACGGCTCGTCTATTCCTCAATACCATCTTTGGATCAGTGCACTCATCAAAGGTCATCATCTTCACTGGTGGAAACATTTCTAAACCAGCACAGTCACCAGATAACACCTGATGACCATTGTTAGATGTTTGTACAAATATCTATGAAGGTTTTTTTTGGATGTAAAATTGAAGCAATCTGCTCAAATGTTTCTACAATCCAAGTGTTTCTTCATTACACAATAAATACTGCTCAACTACTGAGCTCAAGTAACAATATCAACACCTGTACATGTATTTGTTGCAGCTATGACACATCTTTGTTTTCTGAATATTTTACTCATTTTGGCTCCAGGTGATGAAGATGCAGTGTTTCTGATATTCTGTGAGTCTCCCAGTCACGAAGCTGAAAGTTACTGATCTTTCGAACCAGGGATTATTTATTCTTGACGTTAACGTGGTTCCTTTGTCTCTCTTTCAGCATGTACTTGGGGAGCCTTTTATGAGTAGACAGTGCAGCATCAGTTTTTGCTTGTAGCTCTAATGTTATGAAGTGTTTTCTGAATCAGTAAGTTCATTTTAAACAGCAGCCTTTTGTGTTTCTGTTTTAGTAAGGAAACGAATCCATAACCAATCATTTCTGGAGCTATCAGACGTCACTTCTTCAATGTCTGAATGCCACTTTTTAATTTTGTGATAAACTTTAAAAGTCTATCTACACTTGAAAACGGTTGATTTTAGACTCAACAACCAAACCCAGCATTGTCCAATATAACGGGCCAAGACCTCGACATTTTCAGAGAGGAATTCAATTCAAGAGGCGTGTTATCTAAAGCACTGACTTTTTTTGTCAGTGTCTGTTTTGGCGCCCCCCTGTGGACAAAGGGATTATTTTTACGTCATGTCCTGTGCTTGTGAAAGTTGTGTTTTCAGACAAACTCCTCACTGTGTTGTCTTCTGACATTAAATGCTAAAATCTATGGCTTGATCCTCTCTTCACACATGGCAGTTCAGAGGAGTCGCTTCGATTCAGGGGTGAAACAGCAACATTGATACACTATCATGAAGTTTACTTTCACACGACCAACAAACCAAACTGTCTGGACAACTGCAGAAATCCAACCTGTTTCACTGGCTTATATACCACAAACGAACAGTATCTAAGATGTCCATCCCTCCATCAGACACTGTGACACGTTGCCGTGGTTACACCGAGACAGTGGTACACAGATGCACTGCATGTTATGTCACTTCTGTCTTGTTTGGTTGTTGGTCTGCATTGCTTTTACACCTCAAATGAGCCTCACCAGAATTCACGAAGCAAACTTAAGACCCTCATTTTTGAGAGGACAAAGATTCACTTGTTTTGTCTGCATCAAAGTTTAACGGAGCTTTCACACCACTCCTAACAAACCGGACTTTGCAGGGAAATGCACCAAGGACCAAACAGCTCTGGTAAAAATACAACTGTTTAAGGCTGGTTGTTAGTTTCAGTCTGTTTCTCGACCAGCTCAAAACTCCTCACTGTGCCTGAAGTCATCAGCATGAAAGGGTAAAGCTCTAAAATACCACAACCCAAGGCTGCCCCCCTGCCTTATTGTAATGAAAAACATACAATTTTCTTCTTTTACAGCTTCACTGGTTTAGTTTGAAATTCTTAGTTTGGTTCAACGTTGAAATGGTAGAAAAGCAGAAAAAACAGCTGATCCTGTTTTAGCTGCGAAAGCCCCAGTTGGTCTCAAAATCTAAACGCACAGACATCAAACCTTTTACGATGCCAAAGCACAAAACAGCTGCTCTCTGATTGGGCCAATCATACAGTGTCTGTTCTGAATACATCAGCTGTTTTTCTGAACATGGTGAATTCAACAGGTCTGAGGTTCGCCGGGACGACATCATGATGCAGATATGGAGAGGCTTGAATGACATGATGCCTGCTTTGTGTTTGTTTTGGTTGTAGCCATGGATTAAACGTTCAAGAACACACATTAACCTGTTGTGTGCTGAGTCACTTACCCCTGAAAGGCAGCGGCACATGTTGGCGTAGGCCACAGAAAAGTCTGGTTCAGATATGGCCTTTTCGAAGATGAGGTCTATGACTCCTTTTAATCTCTCCTCAGTGTCAATAGCCAGGTCTGTCACCTGTTTCATTAGCTGTTGAAACTTTTGGGGAGTCAGTTTGTTGAGGATGCTGCGGACCCTTTTAAACAGCTCCTGGGTCTTGATGTTTTCTGGGTCATTCTCCTCACTCTCCTCTGGTCCGCGGCCACGAACAGATTTCTTTGTGGAAGGCTTCCAAGCCTTCTCTGCTTTGTTCAGCTGCACATCATCACTGAGGGACATGCTGGTGATGATTTTCCTCGGCTCTTTCCTCTGCATTTGCTGAGAGCGACGTGGACCTCCGACTCCCATGCCCAGTCCTGGAGGCTGAGGGAGAAAGGGGGAGAGATGGATCGCTAACGAGGCTCAGCAGTTCAGAACCACAGAGTTCCTCCAACAAAACAAAAAAACATCACTTACTGGTCCTCTGCTTCCTCCTCCCATGCCAGGCCGACCAAGGTTGGCAAAGGATGGTGTGAAGTCAGGACCGCAGTTCATTCCTGGTAGACGACTGGGGTCAAGTTGGCGAAGAGGGGTCTTGTTAGCCTTTTAAGGAAATAACACAAAAAGGAAATTTCATTCAGGAGCCTTACATATTGCAACAAGAAGATACCAAACCACAGTCTTCACAAATGACAACAGCCCAGCTCCTTAATAGAAGAGTCCAGATGCTTAACTGTCTCACCCGCTTAGAACATTTGGAGCATTGAGAAACAAAGAGTAAGACAATCAAACTGTTGAAAATAACATTAAACCCTGTTTTCCTTTACATTCACTCAGCAATCCTTTCTTTAAAGAGTCGGGGTTCATATAAAACCAAAAACTGAGTGTGCACCTTGTCCAGGACCACATCACTGATGGCTGGGAGACCCTCAGGCTTGTTCATGCTGGCAGAGATGAACTGGAAGCCCAGGAGAAACTCTCTGTCGTATTGCTTCTTCTCCTCTGTGTTGATCGGCTTCCATTGATCTAGAGAAGATAGTGATGTCTTTTAATGAAGTTATTAAGCTCACAGTGTAAACTCAGAATGAAACTGAGGCATAACTGGCACAGACATGATGTTTCTCACACACCTGCGCAGCGGATAAGAAAAGACAGCATGAACAGTCCAATGTTTGATGTAATGTTGTAATGTTTCATAATGTCCACAAGGTGGCAGATATGTTAGCAAATTAATCATCAAAGATCGGTGGGCAAACTGCATTTTTCTTTTTGGTAACTGTCTGTGTCTCGTCTAAAGGAAATGACCAATTATACTTCAACATGGTAAGTTCTGTTTAATGTGTGACTGTGACTTAAAGCTGCAGTAAACTGTGATGACCTCAAATCCCCTAGAACTTGAAAATCTTTGGGCTTATCTCTAAAGTTTCCTTTTCACATAAATGTTCATGTCCACAGAATCAGATCAGTGCCACTCCCTGTGTTTTCACAAAGTACACATAAACCGTCTTCTGACGAATTGTTAACTCTACCGCTGAGGTGATTGGTTGTGCTGAATTGCTGGTGTAAAGCTCAGAACAGTTTCAAGGGTCAGAGACCCACCCTCTTTGTACTGGTACTTCTTGTCAGGGCCGCTTGCTTTGTGAGGATCTGGCTGAATATTCTCGGCATCCAGCTTGTCCTCCTTGTCCTCCCAAGTCAGGTCTGCTTCCTCTGGGGCAGGAGGGGAGGCAGCAGGGGGCTGGGTTTCTGGCGCAGGGGTAGGGGCAGGCTCTGGCTCCGGAGGGGCCACTACCTGCTCCTGGTTTAGAAATAGAGGAAGAGAGAAAGAGGGATCTCATGACAGTGCCTACAATGGTCATTTTTCTCACTGCGGTGTCATTTCTGTGCTTTTTTTTAATGAAGTGTTGATCAGAGGCAAGTTTTTAATTGATTAGTTTGATATGTAGTTAAACATTTTGATTCAAAGTATGCAAAAGCTTGTTTGAGTTTCTATGGAAAAAGAAGAAAAACACCATCTGCATTTGATTTTAAAGTTATCCTAAAGTTAATGTTCTTCTTCCATCACAATCAAACAATCAATCAATCAAAAGTTCACTTTAAACAGACTGTAAAATAATGATGATGACAGGCTGTAAAAGCACACACACACACACACACACACACACACACACACACACACACCTCTTTAAAGGCATCCAAAAGGTCTCCTACAGCCTCCTTCTTGTTCAGATCCTTCATCTTCCTCTTCTTCTTTGGCACAGACATGGCAGCTGCAGAGAGAAGATGAACATAATTTTCAGAGCGATTCGAGCATCATTGCAACATCACACAAACATCTGAGCTAGGAGATGTTTTGGCACGCTGTGATTACTGACGTTGCATAGTAGTTTCTGCAAGGGCAGGGGTGACTGCCTCAGGGGGAGGAGTGTCGTCCCTCTCCTCTGCTGTTGGAGGGGGAGGTGTGGGCACTGTTCCTGGGGTGCTGTCGGGGACGCTGGAAACCGTCTCTGTAGGAGTTGGCTTCTCTTCCGTGACAGTGGACTGGGCCACTGGGGTTTCTTCTTGGACTTCCAGGGCAACTGGAGGAACTGGATCTTGGGTCTCAGGCTGGGCAGGTTCTGTGGGGACGACGGGATCAGCCACAGTCTCCTGGACAGTGGGCGCAGGTGCCGGCTCCTGAACGGGTGCAGGCGGGGTTTGGACATCTAGTGCGGTTGCTGCCTGGATAATGTCTGTAGGGGGCTGTGTGGCGCACTGCTCGTTGATGTCGGGCTCAGCGATGGGGCTGTCATCACGCTCTGCTGTGCTGAAGGCGGGCACCTCAGGGTCTTGAGGAGCTGGAAGCGGCAGGCCGTTGGGGAGGCGGAGCTCCTCTGGCTGAGCGATGGGTGATTCTAGAGGAGCTTCCATTTGACTTGTTGGCAAAATTACCAACAGTTTCTCTGATTCCGCCTCTGTTACACCGTTGGTGGTGGTGGAGGAGGTTGCAACAGGTGTGTCCAAAGAAGCAGCTACCTCTTCTGCTTCTTCTTCCTCCTCCTCCTCTTTCTCCTCTGTGTCAGGTTTGTCTTGTGCAGCTGAGGAGGGGACAGGGTCAGGAAGGGGTGCAGGGTAAGCAGGCACCTCAGGAGCTGGTTGAGGGGTCGGGGTGGGTTCCCTTACAGGTGGGGGAGCATCCATCACATCTGCAACAGGATCGCTGGGTGCAAGTGTGGAAATAGTGTCTTGAGGGGTGTCCTCTGCTTCTGATAAGGGAGAGGGTGAAGTAGGTTTAGTGTTCGTGACAGAGTAGGCAGCTTCTGTGGGGATGGGGTCACCCTTTGCAGCTTCAGGGGTCTTTGATAGTGGAGGGGGTGAAGGTTTTCCTCTGTCATCTGGAGGAGAAAAGAAAAAAGAAGACCTCTGTTAGATTAGTGAAAGGCTCATTTTCTTCACTTGATCTGCTCTCAATAACTGGACCACTGTGACATCAAGTGAATTTATTCAATTTATGATGATGTGGCTCCAAACACTGACTGAAAATGTAGGTGAAAATCCTCTAATTTGACCAAAAAGCACAAAACATCATGTAAACATCTTGTTTTCAGAAGTGTTATTTTCAGGTATTTGACCCACCCTCTCCTTCAACATCCCAAAGCCGCATACCTATTTAAAGCCCACCGCTTCCTGCATTAAATATACTTTAAAAATCACATTACATTCCTCCACCAGAGAATGCAATAACTATTATCAGCATCAGCTCGGTTGAACTCCTGAGTTCCTTACTACTCTGAGGAGGCTGCAGGATATCACTTGGCTACAAGTTCCCCCCTGCAGGCTGTAATGCTAAATGTAGTGAGTAAACTCATTCATGAAACATGAGATCATACACAGAGACAAGATCGACTCTGACCCTTCTGTTAGTGAAGAGATTCAAATCTCAGAGCAGGTGAGTGTTTCAGGAACTTTGGGTTTTAATCATTCTGTCTTTAAATCTTCATATTTAGCATCTTTTTGAGAAGTCAAAGTTTATTGCAGCTGAGTTTGTCTTTCAGAAATAAATCATGTTTTTCTGCAAATAAAGAAGCTTGTTTTCGCCACATTTACTACCCTGATTGACTTTGATTATGATTTATACACGTATGCACCATCTAAATGCCTGTATCCTCCATGGGGCCTGAGCTTAATTACAAATCTTTAACTCATCATCAGTGTATCTCAGTAAGCCTGTATGCTAAATCACTGTTCACGTTCTTGTTTGTAAGGTGATTTTTTATTTGGAAAATGCTTTAAACTACACTTTCTGCTCTGTGACTCAGTCACATGACTTATTTATGTGTTCCGTCTCCAGTGTGTGCTTTGATATGGGGGGAACAGTTTTGGGTGCCATGCTCCTGCAGCTAAGAATTTCCTTTAAGAAGTCTTGGGACAGAGGGAGCTGGTCAATCTGTGTATCATTCGTTCATTTGATTTCAAAATAAAACCAAAAATGAAAAAAACAAATTGTTTTCCAAATATTCATCTCCAAAAAGAAAATGGAAAAACGGATAGCCGTTTATTTTCTGATTTCCGTTTTTCTTCAGCTCAAATGAAAATGGGATAAATGGATAATGACAGTTCGATATCTGATTTAGACTTTCTCGTCTGTAGAAAGTTACCCCAGCTGTGTGTCTGACATGTGTCCTTTTCTCCTTAGAATCTTCTGACGGACATTTTAGAGCACCTTGGCACTCCTGCCTTCATGGTGGAAATCTCTGCACATTGATTCAGTTATGCCATCCTGAAAAAAGTGCCGTATGAGCTCTGAATAATTCTCAAGTCCAGCCACAATGCCAAAGCCCGTTTCTTGTTCTCCTGACGTCTGAGTAAGGTTCACTTGAAACTTTCGACATACGAAAAAGTCTAAATCAGATCAAACTATTGTTATCCATTCACCCCATTTCCACTTGAGCTAAAGTAAACAGATATTGGAAAATGAGACATTATCCGTTTTTTTGTTTTTTTTTTCATTTTGATTCAGAGACAAACATTTAGAAAACAATTCATTGTCTTGTTTTTTCATTTTTGGTTTTATTTTGAAAACCTAATGGTCACTCTGAAATTCTGTTTGAGGGCCTTTTAGGAAGATGCATCAGACTGCAGATACTTTGGCTAACTTTCTGTAATACAATCCAGGTAACGTTGGCGTGTTATTTGTTTGGTATTTCTGTGACTACGTCAAACATGCTGGCGTTAACATGAGCACTCTTGTAAAAATAGATTTTGAATCTCAATGAGGATCCCTGTTAAAATACATTTCAACTTAATAAATAAAATGAGTAGTTTGACAGAGTCATCAACAGATACCTGCTCAAAAACCGTGTTTTTGGGCTGAAGAGAGTCCACCAAAGCTAGGAAAATTTTAAAATTTTGTTAGGGTGGGATAATTTTTGAAGAAAAAGAAGAGAATAACAGCTGTCACAAATCTAAATGGAGTTTTGATAAAAGAGCAGGGACCTCTCTCAGGATTATCAAACCACAGTTAACATATAACAATTCAAGGTGGTGTGAAATGAGAACCTTTGTGTTGAACCACTTAAAATGTGTGTTTGACATGTTCAGATATTTTCATTAATTTACAAACTTCATCAGCAAAATTTCCACCCTACATATTTCACAGAGCTGTAATCTGAATACACAATAGCTTTTGTGTCCTTTTCTATTTAGCGTTGTTCATTCAGAACACAATAGTGGGTCACTTTAAAACCCTGACCCTCAATAACAATAATACCAACCGTTAAAACCGTTAAGAGTATCATGTGGATAAACATGTCTTAAAAATCCTATAGAAGCACATAAAAAGAAAGATAAACTACCTTAGTACACACGAGTAACACATTTATAAGTAGAAAACAGCTGTAATGTCTTTAAGTCTCTTTTCATGCGGCACTCACCTGGTCTAACCAGCGCTGGTGTGGCAGCAGCTGGAACGCTCTCACCGTTGGCCTGGGTCACAGTATTTTCTGAATCAGATATGGCTGTCTGTTAGGGGACACACACACACACACACACACACACACACACACACACACACACACACACACACACACACACACACACACACACACACACACACACACACACACACACACACACACACACACACACACACACACACACACACAGGAAGGTAAGGTACAGTGTGACCTTAAATGTTGGGACAGCACTTGATTTTCCACATGCCAGTGGGGAAAAAAAAGCTGCCTTCACTCAACTCCTTGGTTGGCTGTCTGAGTCAGACGTCAGAGCTCCTTAGAGCAATCACTGTGATTTTGATGGACAGCAGTCTAACACGTGTGCCGTATGGGGGCTGGATGTCTGCAGCATTCCCCATAAAGTTATAACACATGGACAGTATGGGCAAGTATGTTCCCGCCATGAATAAGAAGACATCAACACAGTAGAGAGAATTCAGAGACGAGGTAAGGACTACGTCTATTCGGACGTAAGAGAAGGAGAAACCACGCTTAAGAAATATGTCTCCTAAAAATGTCACAAAAACACATCCACTAGTGCGGCAGCCTTCTCTTATGTTAAAATCCAAAGAAGAGTTTCCCCATGCATTGGTCTACAAACATTTAAGCTTAGTTTTTCTACCAACACATGATGAGCGCCTTATGATAGATAAACTAGTGTGTGATCTTCTCTCTGGAGATAACCCCTAATTTCACATCTCACCCTGAATATTAACTCTTATTATTTTAATCCTTTCTGGCATCTTCCTACACCATGCTAACCATAATGTGAAACTGTTGCATTACTCCACTTACTAAATATCTGACTATTGCTATCACTTTTCCTTTCTGGCGGTCCAGCACTGTTGCTTTGGCTCAGAAAGGAGAGTGCAAACATGATCGCAGCATGTTTCATTCACTGAAAGTCACTCAGTGTTGAAGGGTGTATTTCTCCTGTCTCATCGATCACCATTTTCTCCTCTGCTGGAGAAAGTCTTCAGCTTCCTCCTTGCTCCTCCTGAAACTTTTTCACCTTAAGGGCTTTCTTAAGGGAGAAGATGCTTGGTTAACAACTGTTATCTTGACTGGGATCTACTCTCAACCCTTAAAAGAGATTCTTAGGAAAACATAATAATGGTGGGGATGTTTAAAATAGGATTACTTTACTTCAGGCTGACAGGAACGCAGATAGGAATCCACCCTCATCAATAGCATCCATGAGTTTCAAACTGGTGTTAGGCAGCCATTGAAGCTACTTTGACAACCCTTCAGTTTTACAGTTCTCTGGAGCTAATTTGTCTAATACTAAAAACAAAACTGCAGTTTTTTTTCTGCTAAGGCTGTTTATCTCACCTGGGGTGGGGTGGGTGTGGAGCCACTTCGCCCCCCTGACATAATCTCTTCTGTAATATCTCGACCTCCTTGGTTAGGGTCTCTTATTCTGATCTGTGGAAGAGAGGGAAGAGATCTAGAGTTAGGGTTAGAGCAGAAATAATGACAGAAAGGAAGGGAGGAAGACGACTAAACAGTCAGGGAAGTATAACCCCAGTTATAAGGAGGTTGGGACGGTGTATTAGGTGTGTATAAAATGTTGAAACTGAAAAATCTGTATTTCAACAAACATTTTAAAACGGCTAGCAGCCCATTTTCAAAACAGTAAGGACAGGGACATGTTAACCAGCATGCTGCATCACCTTCTCTTTGTTAATGTTGGGTAACCAAAGAGACCAGTTTCTGGAGTTTATACAGTGAAATCTTATCCCACCCTTGCCTGATATAAGACTTGACCTGTTCAACACTTCAGATTCTTTATTGTCATTTCATATTCATGTGGTCCCCCTTCTCTTTAGGCAACCATGACATCCAAAAACAATGTCGTATTCTGATATGTTAGATAAAAACACAGTTTTTCAGTCTGTTTTAAATGAGACAGGGACCAGAGAAGTCCTGGATATTTCTATTTCACGACATTTTCCTCTTTGCATAGTACAATTTAAACCTGCATTCATGGATAACGCAACATACTGTGTTCAAGTGATTTCCACTACAGAGTCATGCCTGTTTATGATGTGGTGCTGCCTGAGTATCTAAAGATCATGGTCATCAAGTATCAGTTATAGAACTTTTTAGTGCAGAGATTTCTCCAGATCCTCTGAATATGATGAAATCCTGTCTTTGGCTGAAAAACATTCTGAAACTGATGAACTAATTGCCTGCGTAGTCTCCCAGATCTTCTCCCGGCCTGTTTCAAATTAATGTCATTAGTTGTTGTTGCTCCTGGCGTCATTTTCAGTATTATAAAAACTTTTCAAAATTGGTTTGTTTGTCCCTGTCCCAAGTTTTTTGAAATATACTGCTAGCATTAGATTTAAAATCAGTGTGTATATTTGACTGAATACATTTTACTAGTGTTAACATTTAAAGTGTGGTCCTGCACTTTTTAAATAAAATTTGGGGTTTGAATTATTTGCTAAGGTTCAAATTCTGCTTTTGATCAGCAGGTTAGAAAGATCTCGTCTTTTCTGGATTTGTGGTTGTGCTTGAAAAATGTCAGCTTCCTTGCTAAAAAGAACATGAGAAAAGCGAGGGGTTAAAATGTTTTAGGGTAAGGACAGCGCTTTGCCATCCCGTGATGCATTGCTGTTGTACAGTCATCAGCCCTTTTTCTGCATTTATGACTCGCTAGCTGCCTCTGATTCAATGAAAGCTCCATTTCTCACATTGTGAACACTGAGGCGCACCAAATCCAAACACTAACCGCAAAGCAAATTCCTCCGCTGCACAACTGAATGTGTTTTAGCCTGTTAGGCACCAGAAAAGGCTGTTAGAGCGAGGATCGAGTTGACCGACTTAAAGCCAAATTGTTGAACAAATTCCACTGCTGGTTTAAGTTGTTGTGGAAATTCCTGAGTCATGAAGGCAAAGCACAACAGTAAAGGGAAAAAGCTGGGTTAAAAAAAGTCTGATCAGACACTCACAAGGAGTGCCCATGGGTTACTAACACATGCTTTTTATTCGACTCCCTTTTTCTCTCACTCACACTCTACATACTTACTCTGCTAAGTCAGAGCTGTCAGAACCTGGCATGAGTCAAACTGCAGCTGAACCAAGTCCCACACGTACACAGTTTTCTGTTTCAGCTGCGAGCTACTCAAAAACTGCTGCTGTCTGTCTGCCCTACTTTTGACATGAGGAGCAACAATATTTGCTTGTTGCTACTGACCTTTACCTGGTCCAGTCCGTCAACGACTCCCCTCTGGGGCCATTACATACCCTAGCAGGCCTCTCTCATCCTGGGGCTGGAGTTGCAGTTCCAGCGGACTCTGGGCTGGGCTTGAAACCCCTTCAGAGCAGGGTCGCTGGTAGATGCAGCCAGTTTAGTTTCACTCTGACCTGACTCACACACATCCAGGCTGTGTCAGGAGAGCAGCACACCGGCAGAAGAGGACAGAGCAGGGCTGGGCCTGGCTGTCAAGCTAGCTAGCAACTTGACTCTTTCTCATTCGCTGAACAGAACAGGGTAAGGGAAAAAAAGGCTAAAGCGACTGGCCTTGTAAAGCTATGGTATTGGAATGCACGAGCCCGCCCACAGAGACTAACAGACAGTTAAAGGGGCCGGAGGGGCAGGCTAAGGGGGGCAGGGTGGGAGGGTTTACAGGAAAAAAAAAGTTTTGTTATCAAATGAGCAGCAGCTAGCAGAAGAAACTCCCCCTCTTCCTCAGTTCCTGTGTCTGCTCTGTCATCTCACACACTCAAGTTGCTCCTCTGATTTTTTTCTAAAAGGCTCACCCCTTCTGAGGAAAAGAAACTAGCTCAGGGAGGAGGACGAGGAGGAGGAGGAGGAGGAGGGTGAAGGGGCTGCCACAGCGGCAGAGGAAGGCTGGTTGGTCAGCCCTTCCGGCTCAGAAGGGGGAGGAGACCAGTGGCCACGTGGAGCTGAACTATGTGCTGACATGTCCTTCGCCCCCCTTTCCCCTCCCCTGTAGTTTTCTCTGAGAGGAAGAGCAAGGAAAAGGAAAGTAGAGAAAAAGGCAATTTGCAAAGCTACAGCTTTTGCAGGTCACCAGATAGTCCAGGGAGTAGAACTAGAAACTGGGGGCTTCCAAAAATACTTCAATACAGAGCAGGAAAAAGTTTCAGTTTCATTTTTGAATCCAAAAAGTTACGACACTAAACTTTCATGCTGCTACATATGGAAATAGAGCTCTGAGCAAGAGCCTCGTGGTTCTCTGGATACAGTGCCACAAATTTAAGGTTACAGGTTGTGCACACTAGCGCCTTGTGTCTTGTAAACACGTTACAAGACACCAAATCTCCACCACCAAAACTCAAGAATGCAAGACTGTGATTTGTCCTTATCACACACAAATGTCCTTCCCTTCAGTCTGGCAGCTAAAGAGCTGAAATCAATCACTTTATGAGGCATGAGCTGATTTTTTGTTCAGTTTCTGTCTTTTATTTACAGTTACAGCAGAAGTTTGACATTTAGTGCACATGTATGTGACAGAGACAGTGAGCATGCTCAGAGTCTTAAAGCCAGTGTTACAGCAGCAGCAAGTGCCCATGGGAATGAGCCAAAGTCCACCCAAGGTAACTACAGCTGCTGATAAGCTGCCAAGTTCCCCCACTGAGAGGTACCGAACATCATGCAACCATTGCAGCTAAAGTACAGGAGTCACAGTTTTGACTTGGGAAAAGTTTCAGAGGTTGACACTTTGCTGAGCTTTCAAAGATCCAGGAATCAATCAAGAAATGATGGATGATGAATTTCCCAGTTTTGGATCAGTAAAGTATATCTATCGGTCTATCTATCTGATGATGGCACAACATTGTTTTCCTCCCACAAACAAAGCAAAGACTTGATTTGGAGAGTTTCATCAGATAAAGACGTGACTCAAGTGTCAAAAGGGTTCAGTAAACAAGGACAAAAGTTGACCTCAGCCCACACAAGCAGGGCATACGTGTTAGCCCAGTTTTTGAAATCCAACACTGGATTTCATTGGGAAATTTATTTGGTAGAGATTATCAGAATTTTTTTAAGGAAAACAACATTTGGAAAAAATGTGTCATGATGCAACAGACGTCACATATTTGCTTAAAAATAACCCAGAAGCCAACTCTCAACAAAAACAACAGATGAAATTAACTGGGCTGATCACCATGGTACTGAAGCCATCCACATCGGCTGATATCTGAGCTTATGAGACCAATTTTGAAAAACAAAAAACAAACATCTGATGTTTGTAGTCACAACAGACAGTGTTGGCTGCTGTCAAGCAATTGTCACATCCTCTAATATGATGACAAATCTTTCCATCCTGAAAAATGGAACAAATCCAACCACTACTGGCAAGAGTTAAAATGTACTCTGCTATCATGTATTCAATAACGAAGTCTAATATTGCCTCAGAAATAAAAATGTCATGTTCATTTATCTAGAGCATAGCCATATATATAAATTTTTTTCATAGTTTCATCCGAAACTTATCTCAAGCTTTTCTAGTTAAGGAAATTATGTCTATTAGACTGTGATGTGCATGAAATAATAGGTATTGTTACGTTTAAATTGTTCTTTTTTGATGAAATAAAAAAAAACAACTTTATGATGTTTGTGTTATATATCAGCTGATCTGTTCTCTAATCTGCAGCATCAGTTTCCGCCATTAAAAAGCTGATATCAGTCAACAATTTCACTTTATACCGATAACAAACATTTATGAATACCTATTCTTTGTTATGATTACCCTTTTGTTACCTATGAATCATTTTTATTAGACTGAACTGAACAGCTATGTGCATGTTAAGTGGGCTAAACTATTTCATGCTGTCAATCTCACAGGTTGACACCAGAATCACCCGTCAGTTCAATGAGTCATCAATATTTTTATCATCCCAGGCCTGAAACATCAGTAAAATATTGTGTGTGAGCTGAAGCACCAGGGTAGAAAATATAAAAGGGGAAGAAATTAATACAAGGGATTAAAAAACAACATTATTGTGGAGAAGCATAAAAAATAATTCAGCTGCAGAATAGTGTCCTCTAACAAGAGAGAAGAGTCGAATATTTCCTGCATCGGACAAGTTTGGGATGTAGAAACACTGATAACATGAGTGGGAGGCACAAACTGGGGCTTCGGTTCACAGGGAGCTACCACATACCAGGCGAGGGCCATCTTACAGAGCGGAGGAAACACTAGACATACTGTGGAACTGGGGGAATATGTCACACAGCAATTTAGCCTGACAGAAAGTTAAGGTCAAGTTCAGCACTATCTGTTTCAGTGGGTAAACTGAACTCCATGTCCTGGATCTAGAAAGACTCTGGACTCATCTTCAGATGGGTTGCAAAACTACAATTTCACTTAAATCCATGAAATATCATTTTTCATTTTTCCGTTGTCACTTTGGGTTGTTGAGTGTTAATGTGGAATGGCTAATTCAAAACATTTACTTTCTAGCAAAGGTAGAGCATTTACACAGCCATCAGGTCACACAGTTTATTGACCTTTTATTGATCAAGAGTTGAGCTCTGTCACGCAGCTGGAGGCGGTTTATAAATGCTGTGATTATTGAGACACTAGTTTGCACAGTAGAGAGAATATATAGTCTGCAAACTCATTGTCCTCACTGATATGTTTACTGTGAATGCTGATGTCATGGTAATACACCTGAAATTCAATGTGAAGCCTTACTGTTGATTTAATATTATCGACAGGCAAAAAGTGACATGCAAAATGACCAGATCAAGTAACCTGATTACTTATGTAAGATATCTGCATCATATTTTAAAATTTAGAGATCTGTAACGGAAGGAAAAACAAAAATAAATGAACATATTTCAGCAAAAACTTTCAAACTGAATAAGTTTACCTTTATTCTTTACCAAAGCATTCCTGTCCATTTAACAGGATTCATACAGCAAGAATACTGTGATTGTTAGGAGCTAAAATCAAATTTGAAATTGAGATTGGATTTATCTCCCAGCCTAAGGTGCATGCCTAGACTCATCTAATTAGATATAATTCTAATAAAGAATCAAATTCACAAAAATAGGATGACTTTGAAGTCAAAGTCTGTCATGTTTGTCCCAACATGATCCAAAGCCAAGTATCTATGTATTCAGGGTAAAACTTCAAGATGGCTATCGTATTTTTTTACACTGGAGCTGTTTGGTGCTAAAATTTCCTGAACAATAAAAAATAGAAGTGCGATGTATTTAAATGGGGTCAAAATTGAAAAAAGACTATTTTGGTAATTGGTATTAGCCAGGCAGCTCAACTGGCTGTTGGTGACAAAGATCAGTAGGACTAATCCTTAAGACAGATCTGAGAAAACAGAAACAAAGTGCCCTTAAAGTGTCAGCAGCACCAGCACATTTACTGCTGTAGCATGAGGGGAGCTCACTACAGAGGCTCAGCAGTTAAGAGACATTTCACACCTGTTTAAGGGAAGGCTGTGGCATAGCATACTTAAACAGAAGCCAGGACAAAAACATTAATAATGTGAGGTGTGACTAACGGTAAGTAACTTCCCAGGATTGTTTTAAAAGCATGAAAATAAAAGAGGAGACTGGATTGGTTGTTCTGGGTGAGAAACATATGCTGATGTAATGCGATGTTTGCCGCAGAGACGAGCTTCCCAAGTAGCCTGAATTTTTGGCCGCCAAGCATAACTGAAAACCAGATTTACATTTTTCTTTTATCCTTTTCAGATCGTCATCTGGTGTCAATGATTTGGACAATCTGTTGTTACTCTCTGTCCAAGCATTTGCAGGACCCAGACTCAGGTTTTGCAGGTGAAGGAGAGGGCCCTCGGTACATCTCTCCTACTGATGCACTGATAGGTAAACGGCTCTTTTGAATCAATGGTAATCTCTTTCTTATATTTTTGTATTTTATTCTCAATTTTCAACACATATTTCTTTTGAAATGTTCGTATTAAGTGTAATGAGGAAACTTGAGTCTGAAGAATGTAATGTGGAAACCCTGAGCTGAGCAGTTTTAAAGGTGTAAGGAGTTTTGTGTAGCACTGTGTTGACCGTACCTGCTTGCGTTCCCGTTTGGTGGGGATGTGTTGGGGAGGCTGAGGTGGAGGTTGCTGCTGTTGAGGGGCAGGGTTCATAATTACAGGTGCCGCCTGCACTGGCGGGGTGAACTGAGGCTGGGTGGGGTAGTAGGCCCCAGCTGTGGATCAGAGAGAGAAGAATGTATACTCACACATACTGATTGATCAGATTTCTATTGCTTGACACAAACACATCAGGCTGCCGTGCAGACATACAGGGCATTACACACACATTAAAACACACAGCTTGTGTTTACACAACAACTTATCTCAATAATTCTTGGATAGTTAAAAAATCTAAATGTGAAGGTTTGATTTCTTGATGACTTTATTGTGACAGCTGGTGTGAAAGTTGTGATGTCTTTACTGAGGTGATTGCAGTTTTTTAAAGCGAGTCTTCTTCCCGCTTACTCAAGAACAACGCACTATTTTGAACTTACGTAAACTTCAACTCCTAGATTACAAAATTAATTGTGTCTGAGTGTGCGCTCTAGTGTCCCAGACATTTTTAGTACAAGTATGGGGATCAATACAAAGTCTAAGGAGTGCCAGGTCAAATCTCTCTCTCTCAGCCCATTTTGACCTTTTGAAATCAACAATCCAGAGTAGGAGTGTTCGGTCAAATATGGATATTGGATATCAGTCTGATATCAGCAAAAAAAATGAACATTGGAGTATATCAGCCTGCATCTAAAAATCTTTGACATCAGCACTCCAATACAAGCAGTCCAGTCCAGAATCTGCTTCAGTACCTCTATCTAAGACCCAGATCCAGCATGCAGAGCTCCTGTAATCACAACAACAGTGTGAACTAAAGTACCTGCTAAGTAGCAAGGAGTCGTAGCGATGTCAGGTGTAGGGTTGGGAATCACCAGTGACACCACGATGCAATATTATCATGACACTTGAGTCACGGTATGATGTTATTGAAATCTTTTTACATTTTGCAATATAGTGAGTTTTGCGATACATTATATTGTGATTTATACAATTTTTCAACTGTTAAGCTAATTTGGCATTTGTCTTTGCTTTATGTTTGTCTCACACAGTGTTTTATTTTCATGAAGCACATCTTGTAAACCTTATGTATACATTAGTTGCACTAACTTTCTCCTGCTCTATGATGTCACCTCTGCCAACATCACTGGACAGTTGATTTTATTTTTTCATTATCATAGATTTGACTTCACATTAACAATTAATTTGAAAAAAAACGATACTTGGTTAATGAGACAATACAATATATCACCAGATAAAATATTGCGATACTATGCTGTATCGATTTTTTCTCCCACCCCTAGTCAGCTGTGTTGCAATATCACAGCTAAATGCAAAACTTGTCACGCACAAGTTTGTGCTAACATCGGATCAATATCGGTATTGGCCATTAGTGAAGGCTAGAACATCGTTTAAGTATTGGAAGTAAAAAAAAGTTGTATTGGGACACCCCTACTCCAGAGCTTCAACCCCTGGCATCCCTTTTGGCGCCCCCTCTGGACAAAGTGATGTTACTAAAATCCTTGCTGACTTTGCCCAGTATCTGTATTCAAGATCCTCATCTTGCTGTCTTTTTCACAGTAAAATCAATCACTCAGTGTGAATCCTTGCATTAGAAAAATTTTAATGAAGCTGTTTCATCTTGTCTGACATCTACCCGCTCACAGTGGATACAGGCATCAAAAATAGCAGCATCGAAACATTTATCTTGTCAAAGATGATCTTGTTTGCTTTCATAGGCCAAAATAGAGGTTAATGTTGATCTGTTTTATGATCAGTCAAAAGCTACTCACAGGGTCTTCAATGATAATGTTTCTGAGTTTACAGTAATATGACAGAAAAGTATTAATTTTTCACTTGCCAGCAACCTTTTGGTATTTCTGCCTGATTAATACGCATTGTCAATCTCTTATCGAGAGAGATGCGGATTAGCTTTGTTGGAGAACTGATTTATGAGTTGATCACCGATTCACTCAAGTGATTTAGCATCACATGCCTCGGTGAAATCCAAGCAACAGATGACTGACATCAAGCATCAGGTGACTGTGATTAAACAATTTCCATAAATACCACAAACTTCATTTGCTTCCTTTCCTCCACGCTCTTCTCTTGTAGCTGCAGTTCAGTACTCTCTAAAAATGGCAACTTTAGAAGACACCACTGCCTCAAAACTGAATTCACCACTTCAAAATCCCTAACCACCCCCATGCTGTATTTCAGTGAAAGTTACCAGAAGTGGACATGGCACCTGAGAGGCCCTACAGGTAGGCCTTCACCATGACACAGCAGTCTGTCTGTCTGCACAGTCCTGCCCAGATTTTCTGGTGTTAAAGCTAAAAAAAAAAACGTCAAACATGCATTAAAAAACTGCTGCCAGCCTGACAGAGTAAAAAGTTACCACAAGTCCAAAGACCATCTATCAGCCCACCCGGTCAATACTGTCAACAAAGCATCCAGCCATCCAGGGATATTACCTGGCCTTGTAAATGGCCTCAGCAACAGTTCAGAACCAGTTGTTGCCCACTTTTACAGGACTGGGGCCAAAAAGAAAAAATCCCCAGATTGAAGAGGCCTCTCTTCAGCTCAGTGGTTAGCGAGCTCCTGCTCTGCCTCGCTCCCCCTCTCTGCATGCATTTCAGTCTAACTCACATTACTGAGTCTGCATTGTTGACCAGGAGCAGCACAGCCTAAATATAGTCAAAACCCCACACGGGCTGGGGGAAGAGAGTACAAGAGAGAGAAAGGGAGGGAAGACAGACAGGGAGAGAAGGAGCAAGCACAAAACCAGACACCCAGAATGAAGGATGAGACTTCTCATGGATAGGGTTGTAATACTTAAAAAACAGGCTTCAGATCAGACTCACTAAAGTGCAGGAGATAGGGGAAAAAAAGGAATGAGAGGGAAGGTAGTGCAAAGACCTACCCTCAGAGTCCTGCTGCTCTTGAGACCCTCGGTTCCCCATGCTGAAAATCTGCTGAATGCAAAACTTCGTATGTACAGAAAAAAGGAGAGGGGGTCTCTTCAAACCCCCTCTCTAACTTCTTCCTGCCCTCTCTACAGGTGCCCTCTCAGAATGACTTCTTTTAATGCTCAGCCCTCCCTCTTCCAGCGTGTCTCTGTTTCGCTCCTCCCTTTGACCTTCCTGATTCCTCTCTGGCTTTCCCTTTTTTTCACCTTCCTCCCCTCCCTCCCTTTTCCCCTCTGCTGAGGATTGGCAGGCATGCAAAGTTATTCAGTTCTCATTCAGAGTGTCTCAGATTTGCTTTAAAATCTCCCCACTCTCCGTATTCTTGTATAGACGGTGAAAACTATGAGAGGTGTGACACCCATCCAAGGTAGTCATACCTGACAGAGGTTTGATATCAGGAACATTAAACATGTTCTGACATTTGTTTTTCTTCTCAAAAGTGGCTCTTCAAATTAAAAAACAACCAATAACAATGTGTGGAAAGGCACTGCTCAGGAACACTTTTGAAATTTCTAATGTTTTCTTTTCTTTGTCGAATCAGAGCAACAAATAAGAAGTTAATTTGGCAGACAAGGAAATCACCTCTCTTTGCATTTACTAACCTTAGCCTGTGTTTTCAGGTCTGTTAAAACACTTCATATACTTAGAATTAGAAAAAGTCTACTGTAATTCTGGTATTTTTTATCAATTCACTATTTTTCCACAAAAAACTCATTTAAAATCTTTTAACCTGATAAAGACTCCCTTCAAATCTATCACACACCATGTACACAAATTGTTCCAGAAAAAGTTCCAGGATACGTTCACGGTTTAACAATATTTTGCTTCACTGATTAGATCCACAACAGAGATTGTAAAAAAAAACATTGATCTAGTCTCAGTGAAATGTATTGGTTTCTGAAAAGATGTTTTAGGGTAATAATCAATACTTTGATCATTGTAGGCTGACATGCTAATCACATTGTGCTGAAGCTACAGCAGAGCCACCGGCCAAAATTCCTCAATGATGGATGTAAACAAGCACATAATGGTGACCGATCACATGTTATACTTTGAATGTTCTCTGACCTTTAGGAATTGAATTTTCCATTTACATTATAAGGAAATTAGCTGCTTCTACGCATCTCTACTGTAGAGGAAATTGTGACTCAACATCACTTTTAACGTGGAGGGCGAATTCCAACAGGTGGAGCAGAAACTAACCTTGAGCCTCCTAGCAAACCACAACTTCATGCTGTCAATGCACCCCCTTATGCAAATGAACTCAAAAGTCTTGGTCTAACCTAGCCTGGCATTGCCAGACCCATCAGGCAGCTCATATTCATCTTTGCTGGCATGTGGGTCTTGAACCGCATTCATTCTGAACGTTTTTCTCGGTGTCAGGTATACTGACCCAATCACACTCCTTGAGTTAAGATGACGACACAGGAATGCAGTTTTAGGGTGTTGCTTTCTGGAAGGTTTGGGGGTCATTCTAAAACATCTGAATGATATTTTTGTTCAAACAAAACCGAGCAACTGCACATACAACCTACATTTATTCATTTCTGCTCATTTTTCTGACCTGCAAAGAGCACTTAACAATATTTCTTTCTGGCTTGAAGCACATGTTCAAGGTTGTTCCTGCTACAGTCCCAAACACTCCTCTTTCGTGGAACAGACTACTTTAGATGTTTCTGTAACACGGCCTAAAAGATGTCTGGCATGGCTGTTTAAAGTTTATGATTTGGTCAAAAAGTCAAGGTAGTGTTTGGTTTACGAGTAAAAAGCTTTTATTGAGAGGGACTGTCATTCAAGTCTCTGCATTAATGAACTCGAATGGGCTTACACGGACCAAAGATGTCACAGATTTGGACCAATCAAAATCATGTATTTAATCGAGATTGGCAATTAAGAGTTCTGGAGTATTTTAAGTATCACAACTGCATCAGTTTTCCTTCGTTTTATTTTCTTACTTGAGGAGGACCCCTGTGGTCTCTGCTTTAGTTGGGGTCCACCCTCAGAGTTTTGGCTTACATAATGCCCCTGCAGCCAACTACTACAAAATGGGCGGGCTGTATGAGGGATGGGTTAGGCAAATCCCTAAGCCTGGGGGTGGGGGGTCTTAAAAATAGACACCATATTTCATCACCACTGTGTATGTGTCTTTACCTGACTGCTAGAAAAGGACTCAGTGGTCAGAGAGCCTGCACCATGTCATGGAAGACCACAGGGGTGGGGGGGTCAGACTGATATTCTAGGATTGTTACTATGCAGTGACCAGGACTTAAAGATGGGTATTAAAGATTTTGTCTTGGAGCCCATGAGACAGTTCTGCAACTTGAAACTCTCATCACCAAACTCTAAAGCTGATTTATCGCATCAGGCAGTAAAGAGAGAGTAAAGTTTAGGGGGGCCTTGTTGTCTCACAGTCACATGATCAGTTATTTAGGGTCATGTGCCATGTGACATGCAGGATGACCAATGTAACACACACCCTTCAGCACAAACACATGGGACATTATGTCCTGTGTGGTCATACAAATATCTGACATAAATAGCAACCCAGCTCTCTTATAGCAATAGAAACAGAGATCCCCTGAATTAACACTAAGCCCGCCATAGTCACTCTAGTAAACATTACAGAGATATTACAGGCACATGCACAGTCTTCTGATAAGCTACTGTAAAAGGGAAAAGCAGGGAACTATCTCAGGGGTTATACATTTGAGCAGTAAGTGTTTAGAGGGAACACTATATCTGATTTATGCTTCTAATGGACATGATGCTGCTAATATCAGCTGAATCAAAGCAGCTGTTATCAGGCTGGTGCTGTATGAGACAGTGCAGACACTGTTCCAGCTTGACTGCTACCTCGATCTGGGATGCTAGAACAAATGAGTCTTGCTGCAGCTTCTTTTGCTGCCACAGACTTTCGGCTAGCTTTGCTACAGACAGTTCTTGACAAGCACTTTGAGACAATCAAGGAGCTTTTAAGGGGGGGATTTTCCTCACTACTTCAACTGCTACAGCCACGTTGAAAATGTATCATGTGTCCGAGCTGTGTCTGTCGATATCCCTCATGTTACTCAGGATACCTGACACTCAGGAAAGCAGTGACCTTTATATACTTACAACCGGAGTTTACATGAAAACAGACCTTCATTGTTAAATATCATCCCGTATGACGGCTAAAAACAACATTTCTTGTCCAGTTCTGCTGTGGGAAGAGATACACATGATCATTCCTATTAGACCCAGGATTGTGTACCCTATGTTGACCATTTTAGGACCACAATACTAAGAAATTATGGAAAATCAAGGGTCACCTTCATACTGAGAACAGGGGATGACTATAGGGTTGGAAACCCAGCAATGACTTTTCTTTTAACTAAGTTTCTACCAAGATTCTTGTGTACATTTTACAAGCTTAGATACCTGATGCAGGTGAGGCAAAATAAAAAAAAATAAAAAACCTTTGTGCCTCCAAAACTTACAAAACTAACAAAAACAAGGTGGAGTACAGTTCAAACACTAAAAGAGAGTTTAACCTTTAACATTTTTTACTAAGCGATTTCAGAAAAATCCTGATATAACAGAAATGTTTTTTTCTAGAAAAAGCTGAAAAATGCAAAAGTTTCTACAAGTTTTATCATCATACTAAAGGAAAAAGGGACGCTTTCGCTGATTTGGCATCGCAGTTAAATCCTGCATCCCAAGTTTAGAGGCATGGGTTCCATTCTGATCCTCAGCCTTTCACAGCACAACATTTTCCATACACTCTTCCCAGTTTCCTTCTTGATTTACTGTCGTACTGTGTCTGAGGCATAAACAGTCTTAAAAAAGGCAAATAAACTTAAAAGAGATAAGGAAATTAAATTAAGGTCCATTAAGACTCAAGGAGCACATCATTTAATAATAAAAAAAAAACAGGGGGATGCTCAAATACAAAGTACCAGGAGTTTACAGCTTCAAATGCCAGGTTTGATCACTACTGAGCAAAGCACACAATTCCTGACAAAATAACAACTTTTTGCAGCTTTATGAGCCAATTTGGTCTCAATTCAAACTGTTTTAAACACTGAATCACAGAGCATATAATCTACACTGTTTTTTATTAATGGCAAAAAAATAGAAAAAAGAATCAAATAAGATTTGTCTGCTGTAATTGACATGTAACTGAATTAACACATATATGTTCTGCGAAAAACCCAGAGAGGTTGAAATATACAAGCAAACTTTTTTTTTCGTAAGAACTAAGGAATTAAAATCAGTTTCTTACCATTTATTTTTCAGTTTTTATTTTTCTAGCACACCCACAGACTGGTGTCCCTATTTAGGGACTGTTTAAAGTTGACCTGCACATAGTGCAGTGCACATACACTGATGCGCACAGGGCATGACATGGAAAGCCTAATGGGAAAGAATTGTGTTTTTACAGTGCTGTATTCAGGCCAGTGCATTCTATTGCTGATGAGCTACAGTTTAAACAAAGACAACACATAGTTCAGATGCCTGCTAGTGGGGGGTCATCAAGTTTGTTTTCAGGGCATCCTAGCGTCTCTTTGTGTAATGAGCCTCGGCCACCTCTAGAGGGAGTGACAACACATGGGATCAGCTGAGCAGCGGCAGTAAGGAGGTTTGTGTGTGTATGACCCATGAAAACTACATTCGATGCTGACTGATAATACTTTTTTATTTCTAACATTCTTAAATTAAGTTTTACAAAACCAAATTTTACTAAATCAATCTCTGATGGTAAGTTCCTGACTTCAACAGTGACAAAAACCCTCCATGATGTCTCCATATCACTTATACCAAATCATCCCAGCTGGTTTTTCTCATATGCTTGAGTTGTGTGTGTGTGATTAATGCCCATTCGTCTTAGGTTGCATTATCCAGCATGTAAACCCTACACAAATCATCTACCAGTTATTTCAGAGCAACTAGAAGTGTTTAAATATGACTACTGGATCCATATCAACAGCCTACAGTCTATAAGATTTAGGTGGGTGTTTTCCTATAAACATTAAAATGATAAAGATTAAAATAAAAAACAGTAAGCTTCTAACAAAAGCTTATGAATAAGTTTAAAAAGAGGGATTAAACCATGTACTGTTTGACCATAGTAATGGAAATGTATACATATGAAACAGTCATATCGTAGGATGAGCAATGTCAGTCAAATGACCTGAAACACATCATGCCACCATCACTGTCTTATCTGATGCGTAATTTAAGTCGATCTGATCCTATCTTGGTCATATTGTTTTATTTCTTTATTTTCAATAATATTTTTTTTCTCAAATTTAGTTGTCCAGTATTGTGTCCTGTTTAATAGTGAACATGACTGTTAAAAATTGATAAAAAGTAGAGATCAGGGTGAAAAGACGATCTCAGAACAGCCTTTAAAGATTTGATTCAACGAGTAGTCTCTTCTACGTATTATGACTGTTGCAGATTTTATGTTCTGCTAGCCCATTTAGTACAGAAAACTGTCTGTGCTCTGTGAAAACCGTGTCCACTGAGTGTGTCATATTTGAAAATGCTGCTTAACCCAAACACTGTCACGCACATTATTCCTGTTTAATCTTTGATGGCCAAGAGTGAATCAAAAACATAATAACTTCTAAATGCTCTCTACAAAACTCAAAGCAGCACCTTCCCATCATATTCACATGGACCCTCACTGAAAAAACATGATTGAATAAAGGTTTTCTCCCTGTGCCTTCAATAAGTTTCTCAGACAGCCAATGTGCTCTCAGTCACTGTCATCCTTCAGTGTCTCCTTTTTAAAGCAGAAGTTGTCTGCAAACCTTCACTTGGGTGCAAATCACAAGGTTAAGTGAAAAAAAAAACATTTGTTGAGAATTTTTAGATGTTTTTTTTTCCAGTCTGTCTCTCTCTTTTCAAATCTAAGAAGAACCCATTTTCTATCTCCTCCATTCGGTGCATGATCTCAGTTTGTTTTTACATTTCCTATTACCATTCTTTTATACTTGTGATTTGCTTCTCTCATGTCATGTCTCCCTTTGTGTATGTGTGCTATTGTGTGTCTTGTGTATGTGTGTCAGGTGAGGCCCCAGGTAGAGCCTCTTACCATAAGTACCATATTCAGCGCTGGTGCCGGGGAAGAAGCCTGGAGTTCCTGTGGGGACTGGATACTGCTGGGGTGTGGGCACATATGTTGGAGACGGATACTAATGAAACAGAGGAGGAAAAACAAAGAGGGATAAACAACACAATGACTTTTTTTCTGCACTGACTTGAGTAGCTGAAACAGAAGCAAATACAGAATAAAAAGTTGCTGTTATAAACTGTTCATCTCCTTAGGGCCTTTTTATTTGGGGTGGAAATCACCAGTGGCCCCACGATACGCTGTTATCACGATACTTGGGCCATGATACGATATAATTGCGATTTTTAACGTTTTGCAATACAGTGAGTATTGCGATACAATATATTGCGATTTATACAGTTTTTTCAACTGTTAAACTAATTTCGCTTTTGTCTTTCCTTTGTTTGTCTTATTTACGCTGTATTTTATTTTCATGAAGCACATCTTGTAAATCTTAGATATACATGTTGTATTTACTTTCTCCTGTTCTATGATGTCACCTCTGCCAACCTCAATGTACAAACAGTTGATTTTATTTTTCCAATTTTCGATTGAAAAATCAATACTTGGTAAATAAGACGATACGATTAATCACCAGACAAAATATCACAATACTATGCTGTATTGATTTTTTCTCCTACCCCTACTTTTTATGAGCTGAATGAAAATAACTAGTCAAATGTCAGCTTTTTAAATTACCTCATTGATGATGGACTGCACAACTGATCTCTGTATTTTGACCACTGAAGTTTGTGTGTAAGATAAAAAAAGGCAAAACTAGACATACACTAGGTCAGTCAGAGATATTAACCTCACTCTTAAATGTGTTTTACTACAAATTAACAGACTCCTACATGTCTATTCTTTTTATCGGTAGAACCTAAACCCAGTGTGCTCAGTTTATAGCAGCTTGCATGAATGATCAAGCTAAAATGATCAGCTCAAATTACCAATCCCTGATTGGTTAAGAAAAACGCCCAGATTGGCTTTTGAGATCAAGATCAAAACATTCCCAATATCCAGTCTGAAACAAATGATTCAACAGGCTTTATATATGATTTCACTTATTCTCATGGTCTGGTGCTAAAAAGCATCTAAAAGCTGTATTCAATTGTAAAATCAAATCATAATACAGCATTATCTTAAAATATGCCGACACCTGAGCATTAGGAACAGCATCAATACAGGAAAGATATGACTAAGATCTCACTTCAATCGCTCTGTATTTCATCTGGGGTTGATAAAAAGTACATTTCAGCCGCTCTACTCTCACAACCAGATGTGGCGTGCCCGTTGAAGCAGGCGCACATGCCCCACCAGATATCTTTATCTTTGACAGAGATGTTCTTGATACCTCAACCTTATCTTTATACCCTAACTTTATGTGCACCCTGAATCAATCATTTTGGCTGGCATGACCTCGCCCTACCTGTCCAGAAATGAAGTAGGCGGGTCCTTGTGGTGAGCTAGGGAAGGGCAGTTGTCGCCCAGGGATCACCATCATTTGGGAGCCAGGGCCTGGCTGGTAGACATGGGTGGGTGTCACGGGCCGAGGGCCACTGCTGGGAGGGACGCCCCGAGGCCCACTGGTGGGAGGCAGGCTGGCCCTGTTGGTGTAATAGGGCTGTGGAGGGCAGGGGAGGAAACCAAAGTGGAGGATGAGGGGAATGAAGAGAAGTAGGGTGGTTGCAAAGAAAGGGAAGTGAGGACAAACAGGGATGGAAATAGGGGTACAGCACAAGGGTGAAAATAAGAACTGTTAGTTACCTTTTGTAAATGAGAGAGAAAAAAAAAACATCCCCCATACTCTAGTTTCATTTTATCTCCAGGACCAAGTGGAGCTAGGTTATCCCACCTTGAAGCTAGCTTCATAGTTTATCCATCAATCAATGGCTAGACTCCATCTGGAAACATATTGGCCCTGCCTGCCAGAAGAGATAAAGTGCCTAATGCTTGTTCATTCAGAGTCTCCTCATTGACATTCTGCTGCTGGCCTAGGAGCTACCCGCCATGTCCAGCAAAATCACACCAGGCCAACAAAGCAAAACCCCACCTGCTATTAAGACACATACAAATATGTTCCTTAACAGGGTGAGGGAAAAAAGAGGAGAGAAAAACTAGAAGAAAGAAGAAATTCAGTTACCTGTAGTGACCTGAAGCTTCCCTTCAGCAGCACAAATACAGATCGCACACAGAGAAACACCAAATGGAAGCGAGAGGAGGTGAAAAGAGGAGGGTTGAGAGAAAGAGAGCACCACAATCAGTTAGTGCAAAGCGCCCAGAAACTGTCTGCTCAGAGCCAAGCAGTGAATTAACATGCAGCATGCACAGGCAAAACTCTGAATCCAAATAAACAAGGCCTAGTTACACTTGAATTAGAAGAAGACTAAGAATGGAAACCTATTATTGGGTGATCAGTATTTTAAACTCACATGTTGTTTGTTTTTTAACTAGGAGACCTGGGTGTTTTTTCTTTCTTTTGCACAATGCTAACTCCATAAAATTATGGAAGCTTTATTTAATGTCAATTATCTTTGAAAACTATTTAAACCCTATATTTAACAGAAAATGGTTTAAGCCTGAAAAAAAATACATGATTTGAAAACACACTTGTATCTTAAATTTGATGCCAGCAGCACCTTACAACAAAGGTGACCCAGGGACAACAACACACTAAAGAAGTCGTGTAACAATGAAAGAAACACCTGGAGGAACATTTTCTGAGTAATAAGATTAATCCTCAACAGGTTAGGAACATGACTGGGCAAAAAAAAGGACTTCCAAAGAGGTTGAGTCTCTCAAAAGTAAAAAAGAGGAAGAGGTTAACCACTCTGTGAGAGACTGTGTGGGCAAAGAGTTGGGCAATGGTAGAACATTGTTTCTCAGTCTCAAGTTACAAAAAGTTAAAGAGTCAATGCTAACGCTACATAATTTCAATAACAGATTTAAAGAATTTAAAGATATAGTGCATAACTTCTATTGCCCCCTAGAGCAGTGGTTCTCAAGTCCAGTCCTCGAGGCCCACTGTCCTGCATGTTGTGGATGTTTCCCTGCTCCAACACACCTGATTCAAATGATAAGTTCATTATCAAGCTCTGTAATGGCTTAATAACGAGCTAATCATTTGAACCAGGTGTGTTGGAGCAGGGAAACATCCAAATCATGCAGGACAGTGGGCCTCGAGGACTGGACTTGAAAACCACTGCTATAGAAGATATCTGCGTTATTACAATGATACTAAAATGATCAAAATGACAGTAACCTGTACACAGAGTAACAATCGTGACTCACCGTATACTGCTCGTCACGGTAAACAGACTGTAACTGTCCACACAACGTGTCGGCTACCAAAGTTACTCGTCAAAGCGCACACAGGTAGTTACACACAGCGACATGGACTACAAGCTCAACACCAAATATAAAAAAAAAATACTGCAAGGTTTTAAAGGAGCTATACGGCTTAATCAGCGTTGTATCATCGCCTCTTGTAGTGGCTTGGGTGAAACAGAAATTTACAGACACGTAAAAGTTATGCACTATAGCTTCAAATGCACATGGCATAGGTAGCTTACAAATATGGGAAGGCTTCATTGGTCCTTAACAAAATGGACATGTTTAGATAAAACCCTCTGTATGCTGGGATATAAACAATGCCTTTTTTCAGGGACAACCTTAAATGCATATTCCACCAAGATGATGCAAAGACAAAGACGCTGGTTTCTTCAGTATCCTCAGAGCGTTGTTAAAAAAAGTGCAACATGATCAACATGTCTCTGCACCAACCCGTTTGAAATGTGCTGCTGGCATCAAACTTACAGTGATATTTGTAACAAAACAATAACATTTTTCAGTTTCATCTTTTCACATGTTCTTAATGCTAATTTCAATTCCATTAAGACTTCCAAACCATCATCAAACTCTTATTTTAAACAGCAATTCACACAACAACACAGTGAACTTTGAACTCCAACACATCATATGTAAATAACTAACAGGTAACTTCTAAAATTTCAGAGGTATATAAAAAACAGATATGGTGATATTCAATTTTAGCGACTGGGTAAAGACAGTGTATCTCTCATTTAGAATGCCCACACTTCAGTTGTCCATTAGCCTTAGAACACTTTCTGACCCCTCAGATTTCCAGGCTGCTTTTAAAATGTTTAGATATGACCCCCTCCCACACCCTCAGTTAGTCAACTGTGCTGTTAGTACCTGTTGATGTAAAGGTCTGGGCCCAGGGGCAAACTAGAGGAGGAGGAGGGGCAGACAAGACAACGATTAAAGACAAGAAGCAGAAGATCTATGCTACACTCTCAATTTGGATGATATGAAACTCCTTCAAAACTAACACAATAAGGTTTTGGAAGATCAATAAGAAGTATTTGCAGAGGTGTCCAGCAGCTGCTCTATGCCTATCTGAACATGCAATGCACTCTGGGAACTTTCCTGGTAATTTTTTCTGCATGCATGAACAGCAAATGTCCACATTTTTCACCCTGATTCTGACAGGACCTTTCCAGCCAGCTCCCATATAAAATGTCTGTATGAGTTGGGGTCAATACCATAGACTGTATATACTATGGACAACTTGGTTCTCCATCACTACACAAATTTGAAGCTGAATTGCTCTTGGTTTGTCTGGAATTTTCTCCACTTCCTGGAACCAACACTTGAGCAGTAGCATTGTACGCATTCGGCAGGAGAGTCGCTGTGATGACACTCGGCTCAAACAGCGTATCCCCGGTGAGCTACACAATCTTTGTACGCCCATAGGCTGCATCAAGTGTCAATCATAGTAAACATGAACCCCCTAATAACTTTTGAAAATGGAGCTGCACAGAAAAAAAGAGGACTTGAGCACAAATCAGTCTTACAGTTACTACATGTCAACATCGCAACCAGGGGTGAGAAAAATTTATATTCTGTGTAATTCATTTCTAAGTTTGTCCACAACTCCATAGGGATTGCTGGAGGAGGCGGGATTTATGACCTATACTGCAGCCCGTCACCAGAGGGTGCTGTTCTCAAGGAATCCAGCAAGGAGGCAGACTACATCCATTCTATATACAGTCTTTGGTCAATACCTAAAATAAGACATGTCATGAGAGTGCTGACACAGCATCAGACTTCCAGCTATGGAGCGATTCTTGAAATTACAAGGGACTGAAGCTCTTGAAATAATCTAAAAAATTTCAGGAGCTCATGTGTGAAGAGAGCCGCATAGACTGGCCGGTTAGTGTTTCTAGCTAGGTGGTAATACACTAACTATTATAAGTCCCCAAGTACTGATGATGAGCACTGATTAGTACAACCGAACCTCAAAAATTGGTGAACTATCCCTTTGAGGAAAGAGTGTTTGTAAAGTGCAGACTGGGTCAGTGTGAGCCTAGCTGTGATACTGGGTGAGGTAGAATAAGAAGGACAGGCTGCCACTGAGCATTAAAAATGATGCAGATCTAGTGAGGAGGAGTATGCAAACAGACATGCAGGCATGCTAAGAAAGTCACAGAGGGATACAGAAGCCTGGAGATTGTTTTTCATTGGGAGGATTTTAGACAGACGATGAGCCGCAAGTGGACAATTAATATCTCTAAGGGATATCGGCTGCAGTAAGATTACACCTTAAACCTGAAGTCTGGATCCTGTTGTCAGAAAACTCTTTCCACAAAAGGGAAAATTTTAAACAAACTCAATAACTTGTAACAAAAGGGGATGGAGCTGCCGTGAGGTTGACTGCTTAAAAGACTAAGGAGCTACGGACTCTGATAGCTGTAACGAAATGAAGCAGAGTGGGTGAGCAGTGGGAAGGCCTACCTGTCGGGGCTGTGGTGTTGGGTTCATTTGTGGAGGCTGTGGGGGGGCAAACACAACAGAAGGGGGCTGCCCAGGGGGGAAGGAGGGCTGCAAGAGACAGAAGTGATATCAACAGCAGAAGAGTGGGACACAGAAGGTGTAGGAGGGTGAGGAGCCAAGACTGCCAGGAGAGGAGTGGTCAAAAAGCGCTGATTCTAGGTACATCGTTTTGAGTCATGTCGTTTTATTTTTTGACATCAGGGTCATTCCCTGTCTAAGTCTGTCTAAGAGGTGTTTGCATACAGATTCAAGAATCAGAAATGCCTGAAATGAAGCCTAAAATGAGGGATCGGGTATCAGCAGGAACAGATGTAGACTAGACACACAAATTAGACTTTGAAATAAACTTCACACTCAATGAATTTAACTGCCCAGAAACCATTTTTTCTTCTAAAAGCAGGTCACCTACAAAGTCTTCTGTGCTGGGTAAAAACCAGCAACAATTCAGGTATTTTCTGTCCTTTTCTACATACTATAACTGACAAGAGTATCTGATGTTTAACAGCACCCTTGAAGAGCTGATTTCAGGTCAGTTATCAAAGCAGCTGTTTGATGTTGAAACTGCGTCAACTGTGCTTTTTAAAATTCCTTTATACAAGGTTATTAAAATGATCAATTCAGCTCAGAGATCCCCTTTTCTCCAACACAAGTAGACCTGGTAATTAAAACTGGTATAAACACCCATTACATCAGCTTTACACATTAAATGTTTTTCTACAAACACGAGAAACACAGGAATGTCAGTAATCTTCTCCAAACTGGCTTCTTTACTTGTTTTATATATCCTTGAACTTTGAGGTCAGAAGTAACTGCTAAATGAGAAAATTAAAGAAAATAACAGCCTGCATTTTCTAAAGAGGTTTTTTTTTTTGTACTTTAATTGGCTCTAGCAAAGTGAGACCAAACAACCCTAATGAGTATTCACACCTGGATCTGATTGGTGCTTGGTATCAGAAGAGGAAAAAGGTATGGGCACACATCCATGGTTTTGTCTTAATTAGGAGCACCCCACTCAAAACAGAAAGGCCTTCCCTTTGCGTTAATATGACACTTTTGTCAAAAGGAATCAGGTAGCGCATGTATACCAGCTAATTGCTTTTCATTTATCTTTGCAATGAAACATCAGTGAAGATGTTTAAAGGCCCCCGCATGAAGGCGTGAGCTGTGAATTCACTGTTAACACAGCAACAGAAAGGGTGGCGCTCTTAAAGGATTCCACTCTGGGACCTTGTTTCAAAAGTTTGCCTTTTCAGCACAAAACATGAACAATATTTCAACTTTTTCTTTTTTTGTTCTCAGAAATGTGTTTTGGGCATTTGGCTTTTATTTGAAAGAACAGCATGGGAAAGAAATGAAATATGGGGAGAAAAAGAGAGAAGGGGAATGACATGCATCAAATCATGTCAGGATCAGGATTCTACATAGGCAGTGAAATAAAGACTGGGGTGTGCAGCTAGACAACAAGTGGCCCCAGTTTAACATTCTCTATCTCATACATTTCCATGTAAACAACTTCTAGTTGCAAATATGTTAACAGAAAATTGAAAAAGTTGTGTTCTTAGGTGTACACACTTAATCTGAGGCAACGAAGGAGAAAAACCTAAGAATTCAAATACTATTTTTCTGACTTTTGCCCTATTTTAAAAGAAACTCTGGAGGATCAAACTTTTGGAGTCTATCAATGGAACAGAGTTGCTGCACGCTGGTAAAGCTGTCAGCTAAAAAAGTGAGTGCAAAATGGAAAAAGACACATCCGCATAGTAAGAAGCTGAGCATTTCTGACTACTACAATGACTGTATTGCTGCTGCATGAATGACAGTTGTACTAAGACAGTGCCTGCAGCAGCCGCATCCATCCTGCACCACAGAAGCACTGCTGTGTATTCTGCTTCTCATTAAATACACAAAAATGCTCCCAAACGGCTTTTTACGCAATAAACTAAACAAGACAGCAAAATGTCCTTGAAGAGTGGAGACAGAGGGTAAAGCAGCAGGGATCCTTACCTGTGGAAGGCCAGGGGAGGGGGCAGGGTGGGGGTTGGAGGGGGGTCCTGTTATAGGCTGTGGTGCTTTATTCATTTCATGGAGTTCTGCATGGGGAGGCAGATGTGGACCTGTGTACTAATCTGACAAAAAAAAGAGAGAGCGGTTGGTTGTATTTAGACAGGGATTTGATTGAAATGATGACAAGGTTTTTTAGAGGCTGAAGGACCGAAAATAAAGAAAATTAACAAACACAAACAAAAATGATAACATATATATGATCAGGTTCAACATGTATAACACCAACTTTCTGTTAATAGGCAAAACTTATTTTGCTTACTTACATTTAGGAATCTTAGGTCCTTAGTGTGGTCACACTGAGGAACAAATTTTCCTGAAAACAAACAAAACAAGGAGAGAAAGAGAATTTTAGTAAATATCGAGTGTGCAGCATCTCTACCTGATGTTTGTTTGACAAAATCACATTTACCAACCAACATGCTGCACTAACATCTTAAAGCAGGGAGATCAGACTTTACATGGGAGGTGAATACTTTGAAAAGATCCAAAGGTCTCAGGGGCTGTTTTTTGTCTTATATATTCCAAACAATTAGTCTTGTTGAAACTATTCATCTGGGAGTAATTACCACAGAAGGTCAAACCAGGGGAGTCTTAACCAGCACCGCCAGAGCAACCTGCAGGTGAAACGCACTTCGGGAAGCAATTTCATCAAAGCCTGGGACATCAAATTATCCCTCATGATGCATCTCAACAAACAACTGTGCCAGTAAATACAGGAATACATGAAGGTAGAAGGTTTGTGTGTAAAGCTCCTGGGAGGTTACGAAACAGACTGGAACCAAACCAGCTGACGCCTCATTCTAACCAACAAAAGTGAACGAAACCATCCACATAAAGGCAGTTCCTATATCCTGTAATGCAAAAAAAAGTGCCAGAGAGAGGTGGGAAGTAATTCACAACTGGCTGATTTACGAACCTCTTTACCCTTAACATATCAAAAGGTACAGAGTTCTGGTAGGTTAATTATTTTGGTGTTGAAATAAAGCATGGCAAGATTTTTTTTGCACAAAAAATACCAACAACAAATCCTCAGGACCACACAAGCAAAAAAACATAAGGTACTGTATTTCAGTCACAGGGCTACTGATATTTTAAGACAAACTATGGTCTAGTAAAAAGTAGAACATGTTAAGGGGGAGGGGTATCAATACTTTTCCTCATTTACAACAAAAACTGCTGAGTTACAAAGTTTGGTGTCTGAATCCTGAGGTAAACGTATGTTGTCACAGACTATACATAAACAACTTGGTTCCGCTTTCCATTATTATACGAATTTGAAGCTGAATTGCTCTTGGGACTTTCTCCACTTCCTGGAACCCCCACTTGCACAGTAGCATAGTGCACATTTGGCAGGAGAGTTGCTGAGAGTCGCTGTGATGGCGCTCGGCTCAAACAGCGTATCCCCAAGGTGAGCTACGCCCATAGGCTGTATCAAGTGTCAATCATAGTAAACATGAAGCCCCTAATAACTTCTAAAAATGGAGCTGCACAAAAAAAGAGGGCTTGAGCACAAACCAGTCTTACGTTAACTACATGTCAACGTCGCAACCAGGGGGATAAAAATTTATATTCTGTGTAATAGTTTCTAAAGTTTGTCCACAGCTCCACAGGGATTGCTGGAGGAGGTGGGATTTATGACCTATACTGCAGCCTGTCACCAGAAGGTGCTGCTCTCTCGGTGGCTTTACCCAGCAAGGAGGCAGATGGCAACCATTCTATATACAGTCTATGGGGGTAACACTTCCCCGCTGACCACAACAGAAAGAACCGATTTCCGGAAAGCCTCCAGAGAGGTGGCCAATCAGAAGAAAGTAGGTTTGTGGAGGGGGGCCCTAAAGAGACAGCAGGTAAAACGAGACGTTTAAGACAGAGGCTGAAATAAGTAAGAAATTTGAGGCTTATTTGAGCTGAAAATCATGTAAAACTATTAAAAGAAGAATCAGATAAGAAATATAGAGTCTGAAAAAATTGCATGATTCCCCCCTTTAATCATATTTTCCAAGAGTTCAGCAAGATATCAGGAAATGTTTCATATTTGCATAATAAAACCCCAAATTACAATGACAGTCAAAGATGATAACAAAAATTTTCCATCATTCCCAATGCAAGACTTCAAAACTGGGTATCTTATTATAAAAGTTGACTAAAAGTTCAAAAAATAGTTCCCAAGTAATTTATTTTTATTTCTTTGTGGGGCAAAATGAAAAATAAATCATCCTTGTCAGTTTGATTTAGATTATTTTCTTGTAAAATAAAATCCAGAACAAAAAATGTGAAGAGATAAGTAATAATAACAAACACTGCAAGAAGCAGCAAATCAAACTCCTGTTGGGTCAGGGCAAGTCCAGAAATAAAGTTTTAAACATGCAGAGTTTTGGTGTTTTCTCTCTGTCTGTAGGTCAAATACAGAATTCCTGACCTTATCCTTACATAACATAAGACAACATGAGTCTGCATTCAGTCCGACTTCAGAAACCATGGGACAAAGTTAGCTTTGTTTACCATCTACAAGACAAAGAGCTGGGTATTATCGCCAAATGCTGGAGATTTGGAGGAGGGGAAATCTGAAGATTGGGAGGTAGAAAGCAGACCTCATGGGACAATGACTATGGAAAGATAGTGAAAAAGGCAGAAACCGACTTGACAATATTATTTTTACTCTTATGATAAATTGAGCAAAAGGAAAGATTAACAAAAAAATTCACAAATGCATACGCTGGGATTTTTTCAAGCACAGATATACAAGTAAGGTGACAATCACACTTTTCACATTGTGATGTTTTTGACGCTTGTCCACAACTCCCATCTTACTTATACCTGAACGACTGTGTCCTCTATATTAGTCTATGTAGTCAACAGGAATACGAAGTCAAGGCAAACTGAAAATACGTTGCCTAACTTGACCCAGGCCACATGATCTGTGACAGTAGCTGCGTAGTATGCATGTTTACATGGAGACCCTGCTTGCACAGCCATTTACTGGCAACACGATCTGCTCAAGGACTGTACTTGTTGCATAATATCAGGCCAACTTTTCTTGCAGATCAGTCATAGTATCAGAGCGGCTTGGAGATGACCCTAATTATAAGACACCCTCCTTCTCAAGATTTACATTCAGGGAGAGACTTTTTGAAGGCCTACTCTATTTTTTAATTAAGTATTTTGATTGACTAAGGCAGTAAAATAAACTCAATAAACGCCTTCTAAAATAAACTATCTGATTGTAGTCGTAGGAGTAGTATCTGATTGGCAGTCTATCAGATAGATGACTGGTCTGCTCTACCTGAGCAAACCTTAGTTAGATCCAACATATGCACACACATTTTTAGACAACCTTTTCAGGCTGGCTCTCTTCTGGCATTTCACTCTGTGCCTGTTGTGAGTTTGAAAGCTGTTAAAAACCCTGCTGCATTCAGCGCGACCTGTATGCCTTCACGCTGTTAAGTTTTTCCCGACAAAAAAAAACAACAACACATCTTTGTCTATTTTTAAAAGACGAGAGGGAACATACACAAACTAAAACTTCTGTACAAAGACAGTGAAAAAGTGACCAGCTCTCTGGCTGAAGTGGCGAGATGAAAGATCATGAGTAAATCACAGCGCATGGTTCAGATCAGCATTACAGTCCCCCACAAGCTGATCAGGAAGAAGTCATTAGAAATGTGCGTAGGCTGACCTCGGTCATGAGGGACATGCTCACGAACTGATCAACTCATGGGAGACTGGAATGCTTATCAATGCTGTGCTTGAAGTTGAAGTTCAGCTTTCCCTCTTATTTTCTTAAAATCGACTAAGAAATGTTTCCCTGAAGCTTTTGAACCTTGACAGCCTAAAGTATTCAGGTCACAAGGTAATATAATAGAAGCTTGTCCTTCTTTTAAAGTCACTCTTCAAACGTCTCTGGGGCCTGTGTTACAAACTGCATGTTACTGATCTTTCTTGGAGACAATGCGATAGTCCCAAAATGAACATGTTCTTTCAAGCTTGGGCATGAACTACATCAGAGTTTGTCCAGCAGGGGACTTCTTCTGCCCAATAAAATGCATCTCCTCTCGATTGGTAGTCAGGTGTCACGGCTCCCTACCCTAGGTTTGCATTAATGTGATTGAGAAAAGGGCAGGTTGCTATAGTACATACAAATAAACACCAGCTGCTGACATGGCACAACATTTGCGGATAGGTACTCGTCTGTAACAGGGTCGATATTTGACTGATACACCAGTGCGTTCCTATCGATTACTGCAGCCTTTGTCCATTCACCTGACAAGAAACCTTACATATCACACTTTCTGTCAGGGTTAGCTACACAGGGAGACAAGTCCAGATTGAAAACCACAACCTTTCTTACACTTGTGACACATTTTAGTATAAATAGCACAGGCCTACTATCTCTCCCCCTGACCCACTCACGCCCCTTTTCACGGATACACTCTCTCCCTTACACACACTCACGGAAGCAGCAGTGTAAAATGCCTGAGTCATGATGAATCAGAGTTTTTTTTTTTCCTTTTTTTAAAGAAGAGGAAATCATGCTGCAGGAAAGGTTATGATCACTTCTGTTTCCATGACTCTGCCGACACACAAAAACAAGACCACGAACAGATAACTAGTTGAGGGTTTTCCTACAGCTGGACAGAAATCCCCAGCTTGGAAAAACACTGTCTGACAGACATTGATGGTAGGATTGCCTCAGGTGCTTTGGAGCCCAGGAGAATGGCAGCAATATCAGTTAGGGTTAGGAAAGACTGTCATCCAGCAGCTCAAAGACTTCTCCACAAACAGAGAGATTGTCAGACTGAGCCGAGCTGGCAGGGAGATAAAACGCTGAATAAACAATCTCGTGGCTAAAAGAGTCTCAGACTAACAACCTACACTGCCTTACAGACTGGACGCCAGTCAGCAGGACACACTAACAAAACCTTCACTGTTTAGAGGGGATTCCTTACGTTGGAGAACATAAGGGTATCTCTGAATACTTGTGTGTTGATGACACACTCTCTGGATACCATACAAGTTCAACTGCAGAAGACACATATGAGTAATCGGAAATATCCTTGGACCCATCTGCCGCAGCAGAGTTAGAGCAGAGAGGGGTGTTTGGGTGGGCTTTGTTTTGCAGGGTTCTGTTGTAAAAATAAGGCACCTCCACCTCCTAATCACACACAGCCGAGTCATTCGAGCCACTCTGACGTGCAGCCCTGCTGAGATCCAGCTGCCGGCACCACTGCTGGTGAAACATGCTCCTACAACTGTTGCATAAGCCTCTCTGTGCGTGCACTCCAATGACCCACAAAGGAGAAGAGGAGCTGAAGTTGCTGCAAAGAAATTGGCTAGCATATCACCTCCAAAGCCTTACCACTGTACATGTATAATTTAAAGCAGAACCTCCGTTCCAAAAGCACAACTGTTTTCAAATATATCTCAATAAAATGAACTTTTCCAAGCTGTGCAATGCAATATAATGAGAGCTTAGCATACTCTGCAGCCTGGCTTTGATCAGGGGAAATATTAAATGAGTCACTGTCCTAATGAGTTCATGGCCTGCTGCAGTGTTCGAGATTCTTTGTGGGGCCAGGCAATATAACGGAAGTACATTCCTGTTTTTTCTTTCAATAAGTAAAAAAATGATTTTAATCATCATGATGAATTCAAATGTGATGCATGTTTTAAATCTGCAATAACAACAGAGATCTAAAGAATCCCTGTCAAGTCAACTTTATTCCCTTTTTATACTTTTTAAAAAGCAAGATATCTGTCAAAACCACAATATTAAGAAATTTTAGGTAAAAAATCATCCATGCAACACTTTGTTCAGCAAGTCAAGCTATCACAAAAGACCCTTTTGCATTCAGCCTCGAACATTTCCTGATATTGTCTAGCTAAGCTGCATGTGTGAAGGCAAATATGCCTTTGACTTTAAGTAGGCTTTCTCCTAGAATCTAGGAAGATTCTTCCTGCAGGTGCTCTCCTTCAGTCGGCAGATCAACCAAACCAACCGTCAGCCGCAGCCATACAGAACAGCTACCAGACCCATGCTCTGAATAGTCATAAATACCTAATAACCTACAGTTACCAGAAAAACAATAAAAAAATAATAAATCAAAATTTCTAAATAAATCGAATTCACTATTAGGATTATCATGCACTGAAATGATTACTCTAATAATTATAATAAAACATACAGCAAAGTGATTAGTCAGCTTAGTAACTACGTTGTCAGAGATACTGGTTAATGACTTTACAAGGATAAAATTTTGGGAGACTGCGAGATGATTGACACCTTGCTTGTGCACTGTAGATTCATTTGCAAAAACATCCGGGTACGTCACTTAACTGTCACTAACATATGTTTGAAAGAACAAGTCTAGACTCGTCACAAGAGGATCCCTCTTTTTCTCATGTATTTTCAAGAAAATAAAGTCTTTAATTGGACCAATATGGCTATTACTTTTGGAGCAGTTTTCCCAACTAACTTTCCAGCAAATGATTTCTTTGTTTTACAGCTGAAAATGAAACGGTTCAAAAGCCAGTAGAAGAGAGAGTTAACTGTGGGACTAAAAATTGAGAGCAATTCATCCATGAAGAGGACTAAACACACATAAAGTGGCCATAATGGACCAATTTTAGAGAGAATTTTGTAATGTTGTAAGTACCATGGGGTGTCACTTTACTTGTCATTTTCTTGTTCATTTCTGCATTTCTTTTTATAAAACACCTGCTACCCTACTACCCACTTTTTCAGTCAAGAGAGGGTTTGCTCTGTTGTATCCATCCAAGGCTAGCCAAAAAAATTAAACCTGCAGACTGACTGCTGTCATTAATTCTTCTGTGTTGTTTGGTTTGTCCAAAGAGTTAAACATCTGTGGTATATGATTATCATAGGCTGACATTGTATTGCTTCCTTCTATCTTGACAGATTTGTAAGCCTGCCCTCTTAAAAAGAGGACCATAACATACATTGATCATGTATACCTGTGAGGGTTTTTAAGCCCTCTTACTCACAGTCTGTTAAGCCTCTGCTAAGTTATCGACCCTTGATGCTTTCAGTAACTTCTCTGTTATATACGGCTCTCTGCCATGCAGACTGTGATGGCAGGGTGTACCAGCCACAGAGCCACAGTGTCTGCCCTTACAGCAACATCAGCACAGAAAAAGCTCTGCTGGTGGCAGGCTTCACTTGACTTGACAGATTTCTTTGACTGTGGAATTGTATAAATACTGTATATTTAGCCCGAAAGTCACACCAACATAAACCCTGTAACTTACAATGAAAAAATCCTTCATAAACACAGCATTGTGAATTGTGTTGCATCATGAGTTGAGAGCTAAGACAGCTTCTGTCAGTACACAGAAGTGATTAATAAATACTAATTATTAGTTTAATAAGGCTTGCACTCCTCATGATGAGCAAAATTCATGTTATTGATGATTCGAGAATGCAAAACTAACCAAATGCACAACTTACAATACATCCTTTCCACTTAAAAGGTCCACTACTACCGAACAAAACATTGCTTTAACAAGATCGTCACATCCAATAAGCAAACGCATCTTCAGTCAGTCAGACATTTCATGCTGCTGAGGATGTACAGTGAAAGTCAGGCTTCAGTGACACAGCATCACTCCAGCACAGCTTGTCCCTCCCGGCCCTTCCATGTTCCTCTAGTTAACTAACACTCTGCCAAAACCCACACATGCCTGGACTATGCTTTCACACAGTTTCACACCAGGAAGCTGCGTGGTGTCCTTATGTCAGGCAAACTGTGACAGCCTGGCTTTGACATATCATGCATTTATCCTACAATTGTTCTTCTCAAGTCAAGTTTCATTCATTCACTCTGGCTTGCGCATGCCACATATCACTGCATTATATACTGGTGGACTGAATGTAAACAAACGTTTGGGAGGGATGTCTTTAAAATTGCTCTATGGTGACTGCACCTACGTTTTCAGCTTGAGTCACATGCCTGCAGTCCTAAACATCAGCCTCACAGCTGCAGCAGCAGCAGCAGGCATGGTCAAGTGATCAACAACCGGTTTCAACATGACTACAGGAGCGATGATGCCTCCCTGTAAACCAACAATCTCACACCATCACTATTAACAACCAGCTGCTATGCTAATGCCCTGTAACGCCAGTGTTGCACCGGTATAACACCGAAGAGCTTTTGCTTTGACACAGGGGCGTGTCCACACACACACGCATCGTACAATAATGACAACTATTTGCATTGCATTTCAATAAACAAACACAAATCAACTGCTCCACCTTGCTAGAACATCTACGAACACGGGTGCTGCGTGCAGTATGTTGTGCTGTTAGCCTTTTGCTAACTTTCCTAGGCCAATCTGGATTTAGCACGTGGTTTTGTCCTGCTGTTGGCGCGATGCACTACCCGGCCATGCCAACCACACCTCAAATGATGTGGCAATGATGCGTTTCATTTGTAGCACAGCAAATAAACAGAACAATAATGACATCAACGTAGTCAGCAGTGATCGAGTCGATAAAACGTGGATACTTACTAGATGACTGACAGGCAACGGAGAATGCTACTGGTAATGGCTGATAACATCACCATTCAAAAACACAATCATTTACTCATATATCCGAACACTAAGTTTACTCAGAAGCTTCAGACATCCCGGTTTATCACCGCGGTGGTGCTGTCAACGGTGTCGTGAGTGCCGAAACAAGCTACAATGAGTCAGACACCTCCGTTTCACCTCGGCCCAGTTAGACACCAGCATCACCACTGCGACAACCTACGTTTACATTGATGCAGCACAAGCAGTGGGAGCAGGATACTCAATGATGCTTTAGGAAAATCCCATACTGATCAGGTGACAATATGGCACATTGCACCTCATCAGGACCCAAACCAAGGTGTCACATGCAAAACAAGTGTCCTGTCAGATCAGTCTGACAGGGAATTAAACAGGCAGGGTCACAGGATTATCCCCTACACACTCCAGCTGTTACCTACTTACACATTTGCTCATGTTTTCTTTAAGCTTTTTGGAGTTGTAACAGTGAGACTCCTAAAAGGCTGAGCTATACACTACATCAATTTCCTATACCACCCAGCACACTGGTTTCAGATCGCCGGTAACGCCAGCAAACATTACATGGCAACCACATGGTTTCAGGTATCACGTTAACACCCGATTTACTGTCACAGCTGTCAAAACATGCCTTTATGGATAACTCCAGTCTCCCGGCTTTCTTTAAAGAAGCTGACACAAGGAAAGACACAGCTTCGACATGAGTGTAGTGGTTTGATCCTGCTGCTGCTGCCTGTGTAGCCTGTTATGGAGCAAGCTAGCAGGACGGTTGGAGGGCTGAACGTCTGTAACGTTTACCGGCAAAAACACCAACACTGGAGCGCGACAGTTGGTTGGTCTTCAAACGTAAATAGTACTTAAAATAAAAACGTCCCTAAAAGGCGGTGTGAATGAGTTATTTTGGTTGTCTGTAATAATGTTTGACAGGGTAAAGTAAAGAAAGAACACCCACGTCGCATTAGCACTGAATGCTAACAACCAGCTAGCCTGCTAATCCCTGAAAACAGCAGAAACAGACTGAAGAAAGTCACCACAGCAAGCACAATCTTCAGACTAAAACAACCACACCTACACCTCAATAGACCTCTCGGCACTCTGCGTGAAAGCCATTCAACACTTTTCATCACATATAAGCATTTTTAAAGGAGATTTTAGCACAGGATCGTGGCCGTTACCTTTCTCTCCTTGAGTCCGCAGAGCCGGACGGACGGAAAATCTTCCCGGAAGCCGGTAGCAAGGTAATTCCGGCAAAATCCCGTCACGTGAAAGTTTCCCAGTAATCATTTTATCGGCTGCAAAGAATTTACTCACTCACCCAATGATATAACGACTTAAATTTCATCAAATGCCTAATGGTTATTTTATACTAGTCTGTAATATTAATAAGGCAAATAGTTGTTAGAATATTGAGTTTATTGGTTCCAAAGGGATTCGCTGTATAATGATAATAAAAGAAAAAAACGGACCTTCTGTAAATAATTTAAACCTTATAATTGAAAATTGTTTAAAGACAACACAGTAAATACAAAATTTTAAAATAGTTCATTTTTTATGAAAGGCAAAAACATATTAAATTGGATGCCAGCAACACGTTTGGACAAATTTGAACCAAGGGCGTGTTTGACATTATGTTGCATCACCTCCTCATTAATTTAACATCCCTCTGATAACCTTTTGGGACCCAGGAGACCCGTTTTTAAAATTCTGAATATGAAGTGTCTCGTTGTTGCCTGAAACAAATTTTCCCTGCTTCACAGTTGCTGCCACCTTTGTCAAATTTTTGTCCATGACGCACCAAATGTCAGGGCAGCAGGCAGGTCACTTCAGCACCTAGACCACAGGTGTCAAACTCAAGGCCCGGGGGCCAAATCTGGCCCGTGGAACAATCATATCCGGCCCACAAGATCATATTGTATTTATTATTGGCCCACCAGTATGAAGTCTGCAGATTTCCTCCAGTATAATAATGTGAACTTTAGCACCATTATTTAAAATGTCCTTAATAAACCACGAAAATCTGGGAAATTAAAGAGTAAGGAAGATTTGATAAATAGTCAAGAATGTGGGGGAAGAAATGTTATAAGGTATATATTTGGTATTTATTTAATGTTTTTAATCTTGCATTTCAAGATGATAAGTCAAACATGATTGGATTTTTTATTTCATGCTTTGATTTTGTTCAACTCAGTTTTTAGACTCGTGTCATTTTTATCCTTTAGATTCCAATTTTAAATTTTAAGTCATATTTTGACCTTTTATACCTGATTCAACTTTCTCCTCATGTATTTGCTCTTTGAAAGCATTGTTTTCTATTTTTAATATTCTGCTCTGATTTTTTTAACTAATAAATAAAAATAGAATAAAAAATTAAAATAAAATAAATTTTTCTTTCTCAGATTGCCTTTAAACTTATCTTTTTATCTATTTTGAATTTCCAAATGTTTTATATTCATTGCTGTTTTTTGTCTTGCATATTTTTTGAAAAGGAGGTTGACAGTTTTGGTGAAATGATGACCCTGATTGGCCCTCAGGTTAGATTTTAATCCAGATTATGGCCCTTGCTGTGTTTGAGTTTGATGCCCCTGACCCAGACTCTTCTACTACAGAGCCATAATGTTGTTGTACGAGCAGAATGTGATTTGGCATTGTTTCGTTGAAATATATCAGGTTGTGAAAAGGCATTGAGTGAATGTCAGCATGTGTTGTTCCAAAACCTGTATTATTCAGCATGGAGCATTTACAGATGTGTAACTGCCCATGCCATGGGCCCTTCTGAATCCTCTTACCATCACAAATGCTAAATTTGCTCATGAGACCAGAAAACATGGTATCCACAATTTAAAAAAGATGCCAAGTTTTGATTTGTCAGACTGCAGGGCAGCTGTCAGTTTCTCTACAGTCCAGATTTGGGCCCAGAGAAGCTGCTGGAGTTCCCAAATCTACGGTATTCTCTTTGCACTATTCTGGTCATGAGTAATACACTTAAAGCATTTGGGCTTTAATGCCTTTATTCAATATGGAAAGGACAGTGGATAAAGCAGGAACCCTGGAGAAAGGGGTGGTATGTAGGAAATGGGTCACAGGTTGGACTTCAACTCATGTTGTCTGCTCACTGACAATGGCATCTATACTGGGGGAGTGACCAAACTACTAGGCCAGCAAGTGGTTTAATTTGGATTTGTGGAGGCACCAATCAACTATGTTACACAGGCAGTGGATTTTGGAAACAGCCATGATCCAGCAAAGACTTTGGAAACTCACGTGGTGATGTCCAACACAGAGTCATGGCTGCTTTTAATGTGGTGCCACCTGAAGGCCTAAAGCTCACAGCCATCTGGTGCTGATTTCAACTCTGACCCTTTTCTCCAAGTTTGTTGTATATTTTAATGATTTTGTGATAAAAATCTATCAAGCCTTACATCAGCCACTATGATTTACTTCAATGAAAAGGTGTGCATAGCTTTTAACATTTCAAGTTAAATATTTGTCCTCTACAGGGTAGTCAGAATATTCTATTGCAACAATTTCTTCAGATATATAGGTACTACAGCATATATGCACATAAAAATGCTTATTTAACTGTTTAATAACAGCAAGGACAGCATATCCTTCACTTAGGTGGCTGTAATTACCCAAACCACTCGGTTTACAATTACAATAATACTTGAAAATATGACACTTGTTAACTATTGCTTCAGTATTGTGTCATAAACTTAACGTAGTCACATGGAGTGAGAGATGGGGAAAAGTAGAAGAAAAACCTCTTAAAAGTAGTTCAAGACATAAAAACCATTACACAAATCCACCCCCCCCCCCCGCCCCCAGTCCTTTCATAGCAAGATAAATTGTTTCCGCTCTCATCCCTTACAGATGTCTTTAGCACAAATCTGCATATTATAAAATTTTCATTCTTTCCACTCTAAAATTATGAACACACCAGTGAGTACAGAGTACCTGCTTGTTATCTAAGACTGAGACCTTTCTTTCCCCTAGGTGGCGCTTGTAAGCATCTTTGGACCTGTCTGAAAATGACTAAGCACAATGCCTGCCTGTCTCAGTTAGAATGAAAAGCTTGTTTATTTGATAAGTTAAAATAAGCACCAGCAGTCACAAAATTTCCACCTGGTGGATCAGATTTTTTATTTTTGATTCAACCTTTTACAGTACTGTAACAAAAACCAAAAGAAAGAACTTGGAAAGGAATACATACTTCAAGGGCTCTAATTACAAAAGATGACTGAGCATGTAAGTAGTGGGTGAAACACATTTGAAGCACTGATGTGGTCTGAGCAGTCGTTATTCATACACTGATGAAACAGGTTCTCACATCTTGAAAGGTTAGATTAAAATTAGAGCAAAAATCTTATTGAGTGTATGAGGTCCCAGTTTTACCCTCCCTGTGTCATCCAAAACCAGTTATCCAGACCCTGATACTCCATTTTTGATGACTGCTGGGGCTGGGCGGTGTATAACAGTGAGAAGACACGGGGAGGAAGAAGGATAGGCCGCCTAGCTCTTCTCAGCCATGCAATAAACAACTAAATATAACAACTGCCAAGAGCCATGGAGGGCTATCCTTAAAAACAGAGAGCGACGCCAGTGAGGATGGGACAAGGGCAGTCTAGGTTTCATAGTTGGGATTCTTGCGGAGGATAACAAAGCCCTCCAGGATGGGGGTGACGGGGAGGTACTCCTCTGTCGCCAGCTCAGCCCTCTCTCCGTGAGCCAACAACACTGGCGTGGTGTGAGTCTGGAAACCTGTGATGGCCTTTGGCTTTCCTGCTTGGCCCACTACATCCACAGCCTGAAGACAGATTGCACAGACGAGCTCATGTTAAACAACCATTTCTCTGCATACTTCTCTACCACAGTCTGTGTGTGAAGGGTTCTAAAGAAATGCATAACTTCTCCATTTCTAATTCACTGAATCACCAACCATCATCAAAGATTAAAGGAACAGTTATACATTTTTCTCCATCTTGGAAAATGCACCTCGTTGTTTTCTTTTGCTGATAAGCCACATCACTCTTTTTAAAAAATATGAAATGTACAGTCAGCACACTGTTAGCTTCAAACACATGGAGGTTTGATGTTGTATGCCAATTGAGACCTTTTACAGCAGTTACTGTAACTGCTTTTTGCAGCTGGTTACTCTTTAAGTTCTGCTGCACTCAGTTTTGGATGTTTGAAACTGCTATGCTGTGGGTGAAACTTTCAAAACGGGAGTTATTTATAAAACTTCCTACAGATGTTAACAGTATAAAGAGAGGACACATACAGGCAGGAAAGGCCTGAAAAGACAAAATGGAACAATCTCCTTTTGTTGCCCTCAACCATACTGTAACTTGATGAACATCGGAGTAGCTTTTGGGGTGCTGTTCCGCTTTGTGGGATAAATGTATGCTACATAGACAGTGTTTCCCCCAGGACGGGAATCCATCTGTGGTGGCGTGTGATTATCATTATATATTTTATTTTATTTTATTTTATTCATTTATTTATAATGAATCAACTGTGTGATCGCAGACGATAACTTACTAACTAATGCTAAAACTTGAAGTGCGCGTGCTCAGCGGTTCACCGTGCGTATGCATACTGCTACATATGAGTCTGAGGTAGAGCCACATGAGAAAAAATAACTAATTTTTTAAGTGTGGCGGCTTTTATTTAGCTGTGGTGGTGCACCATGATCAATGCATGCAGGGGAAACCCTGCAGGGGACTACAGTCCTTGTCACCGAGGCCACTGGTTCAGCTCCAGGCAACAATCCTTCCCCAGCTCTCGACTGTACATATTTCCTGTTACCATTCAGCTGTCCAATCTGATTGAGTTAAAAATGCCCCAAAAGTAACTAGTCTTGGGAACTCTAAAACCTGATTTTGTCAAAATTACAAATAGTGGCTCTGTCCTAGGTCCTATGCTTTTTTACTCATTAGACAAATGGTATTATGTCAGCTATGTCTGGTTGTAAAATTCATCCTAACGCTGATATAATTTTGTATTGCACTGCTGCTTAGGCAGTCTGCTGTGCATTATCTTCAGTGCTGCTTCTACAAATTAGAGGTTGCACTCTTTTGCACTTGAAGAATCACACCATCACTCCTAAAAGTGTCACCAATAAGGGTCACTGTATATAGGAATCTCGGGATTGTGCTTGATAGGACGGCTTCCTTCAGAAAAATCATGTTTCAGATTTAATCAGTACACTTTGGCAAAAACGGGGCCTTCTCTATAGAAGGCTAATTTGGCAGTGATAGTGGTTCATCTGCAGATTAGTAATCTACTTCAAGCTGTTTTGAAAATGTCATGCTCAATTCTGACAGTTTTCTGGGTTTCCTTTACTTTTAGTTGGAATTGAAATTTCTGTTTAAAGCTTCAGAACATCATTCGTGTTACACCTGTCATCTTGTCCTCAGAGAATAAACGTTTGGCCTTATAAAAGTCAAATCTTTCTCCATATTAGGGAAAAAAAATTAAGTAACAAGAGTCCCTATAAATGAAGTTTTCACTGAACTGTCATACAGAAACTTAGACTAAATAAAAAGTTGATCTCAAATTGAATCATTTGGTGAGGTGGGAAACCTGGACAAATTTCTTCAGAAGCTGAATTCTGCCACAAAAAACTTATTTCATGAATGAAGTGGAAAAGTCCTGGTATTTTAAACCTTTCTCACCCTTTCAAAACATTGTGACTGACGGCAATAGTTGTGCTATATCACACACTGTGAGATGTTAAAAGTGCTACTAGGTTACATCCCTATTGGTTTAAAAATAACTTTTTCATACATGCATCGCAGTCCCTTAACCTAAATGTTACTTGCAGAGGACTCTACAAAATTATACATTTCAATGCAAAATATCAGAATTTCAACAAACATTGTGGTTTTAGTAAGTGAATCACATGACTTTGGCCTCACCTGTCCAACTCTGACGGACACGGGCAGCGGTCGCAGCTCCTCATCAAAGGTGACCAACATACGAGGCTGCATGGCTGCTACCAGGCCATAGAGAATGTAGTGAGACTTCCCCAAGATAACTGTAATAATGACCACCAGAGGAAGAACATTAACAAAAGAGGAAATTAAACACAGAGTGCAGCTTTTAAAATGAGAGGAGAGAGTGGAGGATGTTCAGTGTGTGAAGAAGCACGAGAAAAAAAGAACTGACTGTTCTTGACGTCAAGGAAGGAAACGAGCACGGCAAGAAGTCCAGCCACTGCAACCTGACTCATCAGCTGTCTGTCGCTATGATAGGGACAGAGTGTCAGTGTGCCTTTGCCCAGGTGAGTCAGACCCTGCGGAGTCACATACAGCACACAGTCAATAGTATCTCATATACAGACACACACACTTTCCTTTGAGTTTACGTCTGTCTGGTACAGAAAGCCTCGTGTGTTGCCACATACCTGGGCCAGTCGGACCATGAAGAGGTTGTTGGGGTCTTTGGCGTGATACTGGGCCAGTTGCCGCAACATAGCAGCCAGACGTGCGTTATTTGTGCCTGAGGAGATGGAAAAAATGATGAGGCTATTAAATACGCAGAAGAAAGTCCACACCAGGGGCTCTCCCTGAGGAGGCACTAATGTGCATCATCACTTAGAGTAACAAATACATTTCACCTTTAGTTTAAAATGTTATTCTGATGATTTATTCCTGTGGCATTAAACTGTAGACACCGAAAATTAGTCACTGAACCAGACCGCTTGGTGAAAACACAGCTGGTCATGAGCAGCGGGTCCTTCATTAACGTTATCAAAACTACTCAGTACTGTGTTTAAATACGAACAACATGGCACTAAGAAAGAGCTACACAGCTGCATAAAAACTGCACACTGCGGAACACAACAGTGGAGGAAATGCAGGAACACAGTTTCAACTTGATTCCTTCAAAAAAAAAAAAAAAAAAAGACGAATTCAATCAATTTATACCCCAGGCTTTATGGTACATTTGACGCTCTTTGAGGTTACTCATAATGCGTACTTTACTGTTGAAGCAAGCTGGTACCAGAATTAACTTTTATTTTTCACTATGTATTTTGTTAGTTTTATAGCTGCTGGAATAAAGTCATTGACGGCACGTTTTAAATCGCTGACATAAACTTGTGTTTAGTTTTTCTTTTCCATTTTCTATGAGGGTCTTTATTAAACATGTTCATTAAACAGCCAGCACAGTAGCCATGGCAGAAATGCAATGCTTTTATCATCATAAATTGCCTCTCCAAACTGGCTATACCACATTACAGTAAAGTGGTGCATATGTGCTGCAGAGAGCTAATGTAACAATATTAAAAAAAGGCACAGGTTTGATTCTTCCTTCAATAGAGACCCCAGGTATAACATTTCTACATTTGCTTCTAACCTAATCACCAAAAACAGGAAAGAATATGCTTATTGGTAGTTTGTTTTTGAGACTATTTCACTTTAAGAGCTAAATATTAGAGTGAATGACAAGTAACATTAAAAGAAGAGAAGGAGGGTGATCACACCTTTCCCAAAATAAAACCACTCATCTTCTGTTTTATCTCTCTTAGCATGCTGAAGACTGTCTGTAAATGGACACATTTATCTGGACAGCAGCTTCACTCATGTACAAATGTGTGCCAAACTCTTAGGCTTATGATAGTGTAGCTACAAAGCATCCCATGTGTGTCAAAATTGTGTCAAATGTTTCTGGTGCCCGATACTGGATATATATCAAACTCAGGCTGATGGCAGCACTAACACATAACACTGTGTAACCTGAGCGTAGGCAAGAACTAAAACAGGCAAAATTTGAGCATCAATAACAAAATTGTGACTGGTATAATGAATGAAACAAGGAAAACTGGCTGTTTTGTTAGGTACCCTTACTGATGTGTTAATTTAGCTTGATTATTATGAACAAGTTCTTGAGCAAAACCCCAACTTAAAAACAAACAAAAAAAACACAACACTTAAGAGACAACTAAGGGTTTAGCCCGATCATTATATGTAACCCCTTCATTTCACTCTCATTTGGACAGAATTTGAGCAATTCATCTATCCTAGACTCTGAACTCACCGCTTCCCACCATGCCCATGGCAAAGATGGAGTTATGGGACACCTCAGGGTCAGCGTCATGTGAAAACTTGCTGAGCGTGTCCAAGATGTTCAGACGAGGATTAGAGACTGAAATAAGAGCCAGGGCGAGGGGCACTGCTCGCCTCAGGGTGGGCTCACCATAACGCAGCTGATAACAGAAAATAAAGTAGTTATGGCGAGGTACAACAATCTGGCTTTAACCATTTCAACTGCACACTGAGACTGTTACTGACATATGATGAGAGAAAACAAGAGTGATGACACATGAAAAAAGGAAGAGATGGATCAGGTCTTAAAGTATAGAGCACTTGAAGTCATGATAAACAGAGTAAAAGTTTCTCTTTAAAAGACCCAATGGAGGAGCAAAGAATTCAAAGTGAGGTGGTGTTGAGAACAGTTACTTATTCAAACAGTCAAAGAAGAATATTCAACAAGAATAGAAAAACTGGCCACAGGTGTTGCTACTAACCAGGTGTCCGAATGTTCGCAGCGCCATTTCAGAGCCGATCTCCTCTCCCATTGCAATGAGAGCGATACCAAGAACAGCTACACCCTGAGAGGAACACGTTGAATTAACAATAAATGTCAGCAAATAATTTTTATTTAGGTATAACCTTTGTCGTAGTCAAGCCCTTACCTGGTGAGAGCCCATGTCAGAGGCACTCTCCTTCTTGTCCTTGTCTTTCTTATCCTTCTTGTCCTTGTCCTCCTCTTTGTCCTTCTCCTTGGCTTCATAGTGCTCGCTGCAGATGTGAAGGAGCTGCTGCACTTTCAGCACATTACCAGAGCCTGAGATGGAGGGGTAAAGGACAGTTTTAGAAAGATCTGTGCACACTAGGCAGTCACAAAGAGAATCCGTCCACCAGAATAACCTAAGAATTGTTGAAATAGGGATAATTCTGAGACAAACCTGCATATGCACAAATATCCACGAGTGTGTTGGCAAAGCTGCGGAAAGGTTCAGGTACAACCTGAAGAGCTGCCAGGGTCGTTTCAATAGCCTCTCCTTTACCTGTGAAAGAAAAAAAAAAATACAAAGACAACAATTAAAGTAGCTGAACAGCAAGAAGAGTAAAGTAAAAAAAAAATATTACATCATGTTTTCATATCCAACTACCACTACATCTTTCTCTTTGAATGCTTTGCCAATAAAACACTCCTTCATGAGGGTTTGGAAAACTATGAGTCACGTAAGTCCAGTGCCAGAGATATATACAAGTACTGTTTTACAACTATTCATTCAACACCCCAACCATCATCTTTGATAAGCTGTTTTGATAAGAGTTTGGTTTACAGTCCCTTTGAGGCACTTTTTCATGCTCCTTTTAAATAAGAAAATGTGACATCTTTATATATATATTTATGTATGACTGAAAAGGGGGAAAAAGTTACAACTGGTTTCATATCAAAGACTACAGCAGCCGGTGCTCACCAAGGTGGTTGAGGCCCAGACCTAAAGGTAACCAGTGAGCGTATGAGTCCTTCAGCTCCTGTTCATTCTTCTCCATGATGGTCTGAACGATGGTGGAGGTCACGTCACCGTTACAAGAGCCTACTGCGATCATACCACATGACAGCGCCGTCACTCCCACCACCTGGAGATCAGAAACATTTGCACTTAAATTTTGCCGGGCTGAACATATGTAGAGCGAGAGGAATTACAGTCAAACATTTATCTGTACCTCCATGCTGGATTTAGAGTCTCCCATGACAGGGAGAAGCAAAGACAGGACGTCTTCTCTGTTGGAGCCGGCATAGGCAAGACCCAGTCTGAAACCAAGAACACATAGAGGGTCAATGCGCAGCTATGGGAGTGCACTTAACTGGTGCCTAAAGGAGAGACTTGAGAGTTAGAGACCAGAGAGACAGAACCAGGAAAAGAAAAGAAAATAATACTTAAACAAGTTCTGAACAGTTTGATAAGATTCTCCATGTGAACGGTCTCCTCACCCAAAGATGGCACCTATCCTCATAATGTTGCTGTTGTGGAGGACGTAGTCAGAGAGCAGAGCGAGGGCCGGGTCACATTCATTCCTCACACCTGAGTTGACAATGCCACAGGCCAGAAGGGCACCAGACTGAAAAAGATGACGCAGGTTAAAAATAAGACAAAACACCGAGATGCATGTAGGTTCTTTGTTTTTTTTTCCTCCTAAGTAATAACCTTTAGAACAGCTATTACTATATGAGCAATAGTTTAAAATGATGCATTTAAAATCCAGCAAGGAAACAATCATGCAAACTATTCAACAGAGAGCTGTTTACCTTGATGTAGTCCTCAGAAGAATAGAGATATTTGTCAATCTGAGTCAGACCACCATCCACGTCCCACAGCAGGATCATACCCAGGGAGGCTGCAGCACTTAACATTCCTGGGAACAATAATATCGCCTTAGATTACATGAAGATTAAATAAAATGCACTTAACTACAAAAGCTATACAAAGAGTCATTTGTAAATGAATGAGCGTCAGTTGTAATTACTACTGAAATGTCTGTAGGGCTTTTATTGGAGCACGACAACTTACCGTGGTCCTTGTTTTTGTACAACCATTTGTTGCCATCATCTGTGAGGAGCTTATCTTGTCCAAAGGCAGCATTGACAAAGCCGTTTACGAAGGAGGAGGCCAAGTTCATACGAGCGGAGTCCACCTGGGATCCACTGCCTCCGAACCCTGTCACACACGGGTCATAGAACACATCACTCAATAAAGAAGCGATGGATACAGAATATTCAAGACTAAAGATGGAAGACAGAACTCACTGTTGTTTTCCAGGTGTGTTTTGTAGATGTCATCAGGGACTTTGGGTTCCATGATGTCCAACTGTGGAGGACAAAGATGGGTGTAATTAATGAAGGTGAAAACTGAGTCATCATGCCATTAATGGTGAGCTTAAGGGTACAATCCTCCCCCTCGTTCTATGAATCATTCCTGATTACACCTGTGACACATGTATCCCCACAGGACCACTTTCCCACATAATATGCTATTTTTTGTACTGTTATATTTTTAAAAGGACTTAACACTTCAGACCTCACTGCACCACATGACACTACTTCATAAGTTATATCTTTAAGTAAATTGAGGAGTGACACTTCTTTATTAGAAACAGTTTTGACAATAATTAGCATCAGAGCATTAGAATTCCCTGCTATATCTAATCAATTAGTTACCTAGGCTTTAATGACATCAAATGTGCCATCTATTGGGAAAAGACTTAAAGCCTCTTGTGGGGCTGTAGGAAATTTAACTTCGATGTGCTTTTAGTAAGTTGCTCTACTATGAAGTCTTTATCCGGGGAGTCTTTAATCCAACAGAGAAGCTGAAGTCAGGTGAAAAAAACTGTACGTGTGTTTGAGCGATTATATTTGAGTGTGTTTGTGTCAGCCTGACCCTGCAAAGCTCCAGCAGTGAGTCAGCAGAGAAGCTGCAGCTGAACAAAGTAAAAGCTCTCTGGTTATTTTGACGAAGTGACAAATTTGGTACAAATATTTACCTGTAATGTGGTGAAAACACTTCTGACATTTACTCAGCAAACACAAAATCTAATCACGTTTAGTGCTTGATATGGGGTTAATTTCAGACCCTGAATGACTTTTCTATTCTATTTATTTATTTTCAACCTCATTTTAAAGGAATTTTTTATTTAAAATGTCAAGAAAAATCTGAGCGGGCTGACAGTCTGAACTGTAGACAATTTCTAAATTTTCTGTAAGTTCCAATTAAGGACAAGAAATTTTATGTGTTACATTAGCTCATCTCACTGAACTGAAAATGAACCAAACTACGACTACAAAACTACAAACAGTATCAAACTGAACATTTTTTGTGCCATGACCAACTTATCATCATCCATAAACTTAAATATTTTCTATTTTCTTTTTAGAAAACTATCTTGCAAAACAAGTAAATTCACAGTAAGTACTGCGACACCAATATCACAGACTTCCTTTTAAACTTAACCCCTTGAGTTGAGTCGTGCTTGGTACTCACCTCTCTGGCCAAGGCCAAGAAGTTACTGTTGAGCTGCACGTTGGACATGATCTCTGTCAGGTCTTCATAGTCTTCTACATCTTCATTGAGCTCCAGAAACATGCCGTGACGACCTAGCATGAACGCCATCTGCTTCTGGATAACTCTGAAAGGCAAGAGAGAGTTTTCATAAACCACCCAGTTTACAAACAGTGGACCTTACATTTCAAACACCGCATGTCTGACAGCATACACATGTGACCATTTCAAGTTTTGCAAGATCCAGTTTTACCCTAAAAATTTAACAATATTAAATTGCATTCAAGCGTCAGATTGGAGAATCATGGGTTAAAAAACAAATCTTGTTTGGGGCCAAAAATCATTAATATATGTCGATGAAACCAGTATTTAAGAATATGTAACTTCAATTAATTATTTTCAAAGCTGAACATAAAACTAACCTCAATTAGAGAACCAAACAAGTGGCTGCTGGAGGAGAGTGGGCAAGTTGTGTTTAGTCTCTTTGCTAAAGAAATCAGGCAAAGTTAAAAAGATGTTTGGTGGCTAGTACTATGGCTGGGACACTATATATACTGTTGATGAAGTTAGGTGCTGTTCTGAGCATTATTTGTGGCTACAGAGTGGCTTTTTGGTTGAGGTCTGCGCGTGGAGACATAGACAGCTGTGTATTGCGGTCGTTACTGAAGATGGTATAACTACAGAAGCAAACAGTCGGCAACATTCATCTCTCAAGGGGGTGTCATACTCGGTGTTCAGGTGTGTTTGACCCAAACTTAATTTTACGCTGGAATATCCCTTTAAGCGAGTCAGCTGAAGGTTGTTCTGTACTGAAATTTGGAATATGTTTTTATGCAGAACAAAAGTTGAATTTTTAACCCTTTGACGGTAAATATCAGACTTGGAGGAGTTTGTCTACCTTTAGTCAATGTGTGGATCTGACTATCATTAAAAGTCAAAGTCAAAGATCAGGGAACCATGCATAAACCAGTATAGACACATATTCATGACACCCTCATGAAGACCACGAATGGAGGTCTTATCATCCTTACATGTCTTTACAGGATGTGAAGATGTTTTCGACCAGCTCTACATCATTGAGCATCAGAGCCAGACGCAGGGCCTCTGGGTAACGGTTAAACTTCCTGAAGATGTTCAGGGCACATCGCAGCAGCGCCGAGTTCTCTGGCTCAGGAACATAACTCACACAGCTGGGGATAAGAAAATCAATACATGATGAAAGTAAATAAAAAGGAAATACTTCAAAGATAAATGTATTAATGGCCCCTTAACAGGAAAAATAACATGCTTTGTGTTTCCTGCACTAAATGCAAAACTTAAACATACCTGGTGAGATACAGGCAGACTTTGCCGTAAGCATTTTCATCGATGTAGTCCTCCAGCATGTCCAGCCTCTCGATCTCCATCAGCAGGTCGCACGCCTCATGCTCAGCATTATGGGCCATGTTGTAGGGGACAATCTCCTTCACAAGTTTGAGCAGTGTCTCCTGTTGTGCCTTGTCATTCTCCTCCACTTCCTGCCACTCCTTGGCCACCTCTCCTGCCAGATGCCTATGAGACAACAAACAGAAAGGATGTAAATCAGTGCCCTATAAATCAATTAGTAAATGCATTTTATTCCTGAGGTGACTTTCAACCCACAGTCCACACACTGTGCCCTGTGCCAGCTGCAGTGTGATAATCTCTGTTGTGGCAAATAGATTCTAGACTGATAGGATTTCCTCCACTGACCCAGTCTGATGAAAGACTGACACTTTTCACTTCTTTCCAATATGTTGAAACATAATGCAGCTTTCTGTTCAGATTGAAGGTTTAATAGGCTCAGCAACTACTTAGTCACAGCTGTTATAACGGACGACTGGGAGGCTGTAGCTGTATTATGAAATATTAAGAGTCTAAAACTTAACAGCCTGAGACATCATCATTTATTTTTATTGTCAATGGCAGATTTTCCACCCACAGATGTAAGAGTGAGCCAAATAACTTCCAAAAACCATCCAAATCTTGTTGCCCAATTACAGCTCCAAACCCTAGATTCACATTTGTTTTTGTTGTGCTGAGTCATGTCTTACCTGACGTATTCATGTCCCCATGAGGCCAGCTCTTCCTGGGAGCCCAGCAGTCGGTATTTCAGGCACTCTCTCTCACCGCTCATGGTCATGGCTAGCACGGATACTACATCAGCACAGAAACGCTGCAAAAACAAACACCAACAACAGTTTGAATTGAGTGATTGTACTTGTTACTTATTGTTTGGTCAGTCTTTACACATTATTCAACGTTTTGATAATCAATTACCCGATAAAGTCATCTGCCAAGCAAAACTGACAATTTAGTTTTTATTTTTATTTGTTTTGGACTATCAAACAAACAAACAAAAAGAGAAGAATTCACAAAGTGGTTTATCATAGTGATCCGAAATTTATTTCCAGATAAGATCTGTGAATAACTGGTTTGTCCATCTGTATTAGTTTGACAGTGTTTTTAAGTCAAAAAGTATAAAATTTCATCAACAATAGAAGATTTCAAATATTACATCCTATATTTACAATAATTCTTTCCAGATTTTGTGATAATAAGCAAAGCCTAGAGCATTAGAAAATACATAGTATGAAGGCACTTAAGCCCGACCTTATTCTCTCCAGGAGCCATGCCATCGAAGATTTCTTTGAGCTTGCTGTAGTGAGGGCGCAGGAACTTGAGGGGCTTGGGCACTGACGTCATGGAGGTGGTCGAGGAGCGGATCAGTCTGCGCAGCTCCTCCAGTGCAGGACGGTACAAGGCTGTGTTCTTTTCCTGATGAGGTTGAGAAAACGTGAAGGGTTTATCATTTGCAACTTTAAACCAGAGACGGAGTGTGTTGTAAAACATGGGAGATAAATCTAATACTTACACCCAATCTCTCGACCATCATCTCCAGATCCTCTTGTAACTGCTTATCTTCCTCTGACTGCAAAAAGGTGAAAGAAGATACAATGTCTATGAGAAGCTTATCAAAAAGGCAGAAGCACAGTAATGGAGGTAGAAATGGTTAGATAGCAAATAAAACGATAGCATACATGGCCCAAGATGGCAATAATGTCATAGCCGCAACTCTGCTGTGGACAACAAGTGCCAAATAATAATGAAAGTGAAGTGAAGTGAAGTGAATGAAAATGAAGTGATCAGCCAGTTGACCACTAACAGATATAAATCATAATATTTGACTATCTCAAGAATACAAAACTCCTTAGAAGGACTTTAAAATCATTTAAAACAAAGGAAAGTTTGGTGAAATTATCATTTAAATGTATTTACATTTTGCAAATCAGTTTCACATTTCATTAAAAATAGTACAAAGACAACAACAAACGCAGGACACCAACTTCTGGAGTTTGGCTTAATGTCTCTCCTGCAGTATTTTGTCATGAGCCCATGCAGTGACTGCTACTACAGAGTCATGTCTGTGTTTGATTCAGCACTTTCTAACTTCAGAGTCCTAACACATAGATTTTTGGTTTTATATTTCAGTATTACATCACGTGCTTTGATATTTCCTATAACAATTACAGAGTACTTTAAATTGTTAATTTAACTTCATGTTAGCTGCTTTGTCATGTCACAGACCTGCTAACGCTGATGACAGCACACACAACAACTAGCATGCTAATGTTAGCTCACCGGCTAGGCTAAAGTTAGCTATCTGGTTGGGTTTATCATGACGGTTCAAAAACTGCATCCAAGTAAAATAAGCTAATATAATTTAGGGGATGTCTCTGGGTAACTAAGAGTCTGTCGGTCAGTTATTACGGACGGTAAAGGAATCGGCCTGCTCTCTCATGTAGTCACAGCGGCAGTGACTCAGGCAAAATAACCTCTGACTCCCACAACGCAACTTAGCACATATTTGAATGAAAAAAACACCACAACCTACCAACTCCTGCTCCTCTTTCTTATCCTTATCTTTCCCAGAGGGCTGCTGCCCCTTTTCTTTCTCCTTTTCTTTCTCTTCGGTCTTTTCGGGCTGCTTTTTCTCTTTGTTTTTTGCCTCCTCCATCGTTGCGGTTGTATGAACTGTCGGCTAGCAAAACGGAACTGTGGTGGACTAATGCGAGCGGATTTCTTCTTCTTTGGTGCGCAATATGTGTTGCAATTTTTCTTCAGCGCCTCTACTGGTGATAAGCTTGTTTGGCGGCTTGGTGGCAGTGAATGTACCACAAAAGAGTACAAAAATATCTTTTGGACTATAAGGGGCCTTTTTTAATATAAGAATAAGAAGAACTTTATTAATTCCTGAAGGGAAATTCAATTGTCTGTTGTCTCACATAATATGTCTCTAAAAGTTATCTATTATTTACACAAGAGTTATAAAGTCTAATGGCTGTTGGTACAAAAGATCTTCTGAATCTTTCTGTCCTGCAGCGAAGAGAGAGGAGCCATCCACTGCCATTGGCCCTTTGGTCCATCAAGGTGTTGTGAAGTGGGTGATCCATGTTCTTTAGAATAGTATCCACCTTCCTCAATGTAGATCTCTCCACCACATCCTCCATTGAGTCCAGCTTGAGTCCTACCATAGAGCCAGCCTTTTTCACCAGTTAAGACGATTTGCATCTTTGTGTTTGATGCTTCCTCCCCAGCAGACTGCAGCGTAGAACAGAACACTTGCCACCACAGACTGATAAAACATCTGCAGCATCTAACTACAGATGTCTATTGATCGGAGTCTTCTCAGGCAAAAGAGGCGGCTCTGCCCCATTCTGTAGATGAAGTCTATATTCTTAGACCAGTCCAACTTATTATCCAGGTGTACACCTAGGTATTTGTCCTATAAAAATAGGTATATAAAAAGCAGATCTTATACAGGATGAACAAATAATGACAGAAAGAGACTGAACAGCTGAATTGCTCCAATCCCACAACCTATCAGACAAAAATAATAAATTTCGCTTTGAACTGGTTTCTTCGGTTCAAAAACCTTTACATGGTGTGGTCAAAAGGAGAGGTGATGCAACCATAGAGTGTATTTACTGTGGATGCAACACAATGGTTAACATGCTCCTTTCACAACTGTTTTGAAACTTGTTGCTGACAAAAAAATGTTAAATGGGGTTATATTTCTTCTTTTTTTTCCCATGTAATTTATTCTTTATTTATTAGACATTTATAGTTTCTTTCATTTTTTTCATATTCATTTAATTCTTTATGTTTCAGTACAATTATTTTTTAGCAAAGCCACCTAAATATCTTAAAAGTAAACAAAAAAGACAACTGACAAATTTGGCGGCTTTCAGAGACTTTTTGAAGTAATTTCAGATTTTTAATGAAACGGTAGTTGTCAAATAAACCATCAATAAGCTATTTGTACCAGATATATGTTACTCCTCCAGTATCGGGGTGGTCGATAGAAACTCAAATCTCCCATGTTTTTATAGTGTCCCTGAAAGCCTCAAGAGAACTTGTCATATGACTGCTCGAAGGTAGTCACATGCTCCTGTCTGACTGCTCCCCGTATGCCAACATGGCTTTTCAGGCGTGCAGGTTGCTGCTCTGCAAATTAACCCCCATTCTCCTGTTTTCTGTCTTTGCTGTTGGAAATGCTCAGTTTAAAGGTTTCAAGAAGTTCAGCCGAGAGCAGGAAACCAGCTATGGAGATGTGTCAGAGGAGCAGTGGTTCATCCAGAAACTGGATCACTACAATGGTGCAGACAGCAGAGAGTGGAAACAGGTAAGTTTCGTTTTTAAACTTGCATAAGAGCTGAAGTATGCAAACGGAACAAAACACTAAATTGATTTGACATAGTTCGTCCCTGCTTTGGGATGTAAGGGTTAAGAAAAGCTTAAAAACAAGGTCAATATCATTCCAATCAGCACAGAAGTACAAGTGTAAAAAAGTGCACCTGTCTATGCATTTACAGGAAACTCAACTATATCAGTATTACATACTAACTGAGAAAGTGAAGGTAGAAGTAAAAAGAAAAAGACAATGAAGTTTTACTAAGCAAAAGAAAAAGCTGTGGTACAAAAGAAACTTAAATCAGTGAAGTATAATAAAAATTGTGTTAAATATGGAAAGCCTAAGCAGCTTTGCATCCATGTTTTTAATGTACTTTTCCCCCTTTAATCAGGACTAATTTCTGTTGTTTTCTGCAGTTCTCAGTTTATGTTTAGAGGATTATAACTCCATATATCGCTAGAGTTGGAAAGATGCAAAACAAACACAGAAATAGGCTTAACTCACCACACAAGTGTGAGCCATGGCTATATGGTAAAGCCTATTGAATGGCCTATTAGAAAAAAGAAATTATTGCAAAATAACAGATGCATAAGTCAAGATCTTAAAGAAACAACCATGTTTTTTTTTTTTAACCAAGAGACCATAGAGGGAATACAATGTTTGAATGCAAATCCGTGTCCATGCATAAAATGATAAGCTGGTATGGCAGCATCAAGTGCAACTACACTTGTTACATCCAGTAAATTGTAGAAATTAGTGAATAGAAACTGAGTTATGGTCGATCAGTGCAATATTGCCCCAAATCTAAGAAGTGAAAAATTAATCTCTTAAATCCTCCTTTCATTTTGGATTTTGCACTCATGGTAACTCCTTTACTCTGCTCCCTCCTTTGCTGCAGAGGTACTTTGTAAATGAAACTTTCTACAAGCCGGGTGGTCCAGTGTTTCTAATGATTGGAGGAGAGGGCCCAGCCAATCCAGCCTGGATGCAGACCGGCACCTGGCTCACCTACGCCCAGAAACTTGGAGCTCTATGCTTCATGTTGGAACATCGTTTTTATGGAAAGAGCCACCCCACAGCGTGAGTCTGTTAAATCCCTGACCTTGTAGCCTGTTCAAACCACTTCATTCAATCGGTTTTGTGGTTCAATCAGACAGCCGGGTGATACAAAACCAGACTGAAGAGAACTGCAACACTATTCTTCCCTAATTGCAAAATCTTCACCAGAAAGGAAGTCAAATGCATAAGGAGACAGTACGTTTGGCAGCAAAGCATCAAAAACAGGGATACTTAATTTTTTAATGAGTCCCTCACTAGTTCAGACTCCAGTGAATGCCACCTAAGGTAAAACATATAAATTAGTATGTAATAGTTTTAAAAACAGAATTAAACTGATACAAAATCTGCAACTTTTCAGACCAAATATTTTCAAATTCTTCCAACACTGCCACTAAGGGTGTGTTAAATCCTCTCTGAGTGGAGGGTGGAGGTTGGTATTGTCACCCAAGCATGAAAAGTTGTAACATCTTTATTTTTGTAGAGCAAAATGAGAAGTTCCTTAATGCAAATAAGTCAACAAGACAGGAAGTGGTATTGTGAACTGCACTCTGTGGATTTTTACTTTCTCAGTACCTTCCCAGTATAATCAGATCCAGGTTTATTTTAAGGCTTAAAACTTGTATGCGGAAAAAGAAAATATCATGACATTGAATTTTACAGCTTAGGGTGTGGTGCATAACCATGTAACAGATCTGCATCTACTTCTGGTTACATTGTTCACATAGTTGTGATATTTCTGGGAAGATTTTATGTAGTGTTACCTTTAAAATCTGCACTAAATTTGGAGCTTTGTCAAACATTTATTCAGCATCAGTGGTTCACATTTATCATCATGAGTCGGCACAAGCTGAGAAGAACCGTATCATGCAGCCTACTGGAACATTGATTAATGTGCATTTTACTTTAGATTTAGCAATAATGTGGTTAATTTACTGTTTAAAAAAGGCCAGAAAGACTATTGTAATTCCCAAGATACCAGAATATTTTCCTTAAATTTCTCATGTCTTCATAATTACACTTAAACCCCCTGAACTGCTCACATCTCTAAATTTGTTAAAAAAGAAAATATTAGATTTTTGAAAATGTAACAAGTAATTTTTTTACATTTGTTGCTGGAACTTTAATAGTAGATTAATAATTTAAGATTAATAATTTACCATAAAAAATATGCTCTTGTATCACTCACAGTGATTTTTTTTAGGACAAAGTGACTTCTTGCTCAGTGTGCTGTCAATAACTCAGTGCCACATCTTTCCTTTCCCAGTGGGTAGGGGCATTAAAAATGACAGTCCAGAAAATGTCAGTCTTGTTGCTTTCGGTGTTGTTAACTACTGTCTATCAAAGGCATCAGTGTGAGTTTCATTGTTTCATGAGCAGCATTCTCGGTTTTGTAACCCTGGAGTTTTCCCACCAACTGTAAAAAGGAAGTCTTAGGATGCATTTTTTTTTTTAACTTTTATTCTAGGACCCATTCCAAAGGTCAACCATAATATCACACTTAAAAATGTCCCCACAGCAGTTTGAGAGATGTCAGCTGCTCAGATTGCACAATACAGTAAGATCAAGAAAAGGACACAGGCTGCACTATTTAATGTGTTTAGGATGTAATGTAGATTATTCACCACAAGATGGCAGCGCTGTTCACAGCCATTGTACCATGAGCTTGAAATCTTCAGATGCTCCCTCTTAGAATTCCTTCCTCTCTCTTTTAGTGACCTCAGCACAGACAGTCTGCAGTACCTCAGCAGCCGCCAGGCGTTGGCTGACCTCGCACACTTCCGCACCGTGATGGCAGAGAACCGAGGGCTGACCACCAACAAGTGGGTGGCCTTTGGCGGGTCGTACCCAGGTTCTCTTGCTGCTTGGTTCAGGCTGAAGTTTCCTCACCTGGTCCATGCTACTGTAGCAACGAGTGCACCTCTTTATGCCACTGTCAACTTCCCAGGTATGAAGAGACAACCCCCTGTAGATAGATTGTTGCTCCTAACTTATATTGTCTTTCTGAATCAAAATCCCTGTGGGGAAAAAAAACAGGCATGAAATTGAAATTCGCCACACATTTCATGTTCTGTTCAGTGTCTATGAGTAAGTGAGAGTCCCAGACGGATCCCAGCTGAGGAAGGGTTCACTCTCATTATCTGTGTTGTGTTTGGCTGAGTCCAGTGTTTGCCTCTGGGAGGCTTTAGTTTGAAACTGAGGGCTTTGAAAATGAACCTGAATTTTCCCACCCACATACTCGTGCTATCTTAGAGGCACTATCACACAATCTGGCTCTCTGTCTTTGGTACTGTTGGAAAACAGCCGGTACAAGATCAACAGAGGGTGGTACAGACAGTAAGCTAAGGTCAGATTTTTTTCCTATCCAGTCTATTATTCCCCCAAACACCACAGCAGTTAGTCAGAAGTAGGAGGCTGACTTTCCCTCCAGGTGGAAATATTCCTTGTTGTTGTAATGAGGAGTTTGTCCTCTGAGAGCCTGTTTTAGAGCTTCATAAATTGTAAATTTCACTCGGGTTGTGACTCATCATTTCACTTTTCACCTCATAAAAACATTTTTAAACAAATCCTTTCTCCTACACTGGATGAGAACTTCAATCAAGCGTTATTTTAAAGATGAATCTGTTCTTTTTCAGTGTCTATAAACAGTCTTGTATATTTAACCGGGGTTTATGTGTGTTATTGTGGTCGTTGTAAGGCATCCCGGGTTTAAGTGTCCTCTCCTGCTGCCTTCTGTCTTTATGTTTTGTCAGAGTACTTGGAGGTTGTGTGGCGTTCGCTGGCTTCAGAGAATGCGGAGTGCCCCCTATTGGTTAAAAAAGCTTCAGATACCCTTTTGGAGCGCCTGAAGGATCCGAAGACTTATGCCAACATCACCAAGGACTTCAAGTACAGTCTTCTATATTTATCCTATAGTTTAAAATAATGGGAAAACAAATCCCCCCTTAAATAATCTGCATACCCCTCTCATATCAGTGGAATCAATAAGAGGTCAGTTAAAAGCAGGTAAACCAAAACCACACCTTTTAATCATATTATCAAATCTAAATATGATTGCTTTTGTGCAACATGATCTGCTGAAATTAAAAATGGCCTATAAACTTCCACTGCACTGATTGTTTCCAGAAAAACTCTGACTGAAAACTATGTTATTAACTGAGCTCTTTTCAGCCAAACATTTGTCCTTTTTTTCCTATTTTGGTTTTAATCACGACACTCTTCTCGGCATGCTCGTGCTTCATCTGCAGTCATCTTGGCTGCCTCCAGCTTTACTTTATACGACTGTCTGGATTGCTATGGTTAATCTCAGGTCAGTCATGACAAATAAACAGGTTAAAATGTCATTTATAATTGTGTGGTCATTCTGCCTAAAGTAACACAGTCATGGAGACACTCTGCATCCCTGACTCTGTGTCTGCAGCATCCTGACCACACTGGACATCTTTTATTTTGCTTCTCTCAGATCATAGCTGCAGACATGTCCTCATGCAGGAACAAACACACAAAAGGCCCCAAAGGGGAGTGGCGGCTTGCCTCATTTCCAAACCACAATGTCACATTTTCATCATGGAGGTAGTTATCGCTCACTGCACACCAAAAAAAATCATTATGAATAACGCTGTTTTTGATATCTCTAAATGCCAAGAGAGATAAGTGTAGACCTGAAATGAACTTGATATGTTGGGAAAGGAGAGGAAATAAAAATTGGATGCATGAATTTCTTTTGTAGAAATGGGTGAGGTTTTTCTTTCATCTCAACAAGATTCACTGTTTCGTGGCCAAAACACAGTCTTTTCTCACAGTACTTTCCCTACACTCTCCTTTCTTCTTAAATTTCTTCACTTCGTCTTCATCTTCCTGTCTCTATCTGTAATCTCTTTGTCCTTCCTTCTCCCCATCCAGCCTGTGCTCCGAACTGCAGATCCAGACAGAAAGCGATTCGGCCTACCTGCTGGAAACACTGGCGGGCAACTTCATGGATGTGGTCCAGTACAATGGAGACAACAGGGCGTTTGAGGTGAGAGCGAGTAGACAAGTTCTACATCAGAAAACATACATTTTGGAAGTAGGTTCTTATCTTTTTTAGCCAGTAATAACCATGTTAAATTTAATTTTTGACTGCCAAAATAATCACATCGCAATTGCAGCCATGAAAACATGTTTGGCGAACGCTCAAACATTTAGTTGTGCTCAAAAAGATGTTGATTTTTTTGCTTTCATGCCAAAGAAAATGAGTGGATCAACAGTGGACGATTAGTTTATCTTACCATTATTCAGATTAGCTACGTTTCTGGAGTTTATGGAAAATCTGTGCAGACTTAACTGTTTTGCGTCCTTGTATTGACAGTACCATATCAGCAGACTTAAGAAAAACAGTCTGTATGGAGAGCAAAAGCACGCAGAGATCAACCTGCTGTTGCAAAGACAACAGAAATCTCACTGGTGTTAAACAAGTGCAGCTAAAAACCTGATCTGGATTCAAAGTTTCAACCTGAGCTTCAAACCAGCTTCACATCCATTCGATGAAAACATTTAAAAAAGACGGACCAGGTTTGCATTTTAATTTCAATATTTCTGCATCATGTGATTCCAGCTAACTTAAGACCTATTTCTGCAAGTGTGTCACAAGAAAACCAGTTTTTTTCACACATTCATGTCTCTGTAGCAAGCTAGGGCAAAGCCTAAGTGTGAGTCAGTACTTACAGTGAAACTGAGGCCTATTATTAAGATAAGTAGGTCCAAGAAATCTTGCATCACATGTTTCTCTATCATGAATAAAAGTAGGTCACTACCAGAGAAATATTACCAATAATTTAAATTTGGTAATGTAGTGTAAACACTGCTGATTTATGCATGTTTAAGTGAGACTGCTGAAAGTGAGGGTCTCTCTGAGTCAGGGGTCGACCCAATGTCCAGTCTTGGTTGAGTGACACGCAGGTATGAAGGTGTAGGAGGGTTACACACAACCCAAGCAGAAAACTGAAACTTTACACTGCCTACACTGTTTAAAGGGAGAGGCCCACAGATACCAGCCGCAGAGAGGGTCTGCCGGACCACTTTCTTTTTAACTTCACCTGGACCCCTTAATGAGTAGAGGTCTGAAGAGGCCCCTCTTTTATAACCAGCACAGCAAAAGTGGGACCTAGTAACACTTAAAGGATTTGACGTCTGTTTTCGAAGCTTTATCAGACTATGTTTACAGTGAATATGTTCTACTTAATCCAGTTACTTAAGACTTCATCACAGATAAGGTCCAGATAAAATACAACACAATACAAAGACATACAGCACAAAAAAATATACAAAAGGCACAACAAACGTCCTAAATTTTGATTCAGTTTGAAAATAATGAACAAATCTAAATTATTTGAATTTACTCAAAGGGTGTTTCAATTAAAACATGATGACACAGTAAAAAAATGTGACACCCCAGACCGCAAAACAAGAACAAACTGTATCAGTAATTTCAGATATAGTGTTTCAAAATGGGATTTTTCACGACATCTTGTGGTGAGACTCTAGATTTTGATTCCCCTTGCTCACCCCTCCCATCAGTGACATGATGGTGGTCTTCAGGGACAAAAAGTTGCTGTGATACACAATTAATATAATCCTCTATTTGTCAAGTTTATACCATCAGAAACATCTATCAACAACATCAACTTTTACTCTTCTCTTCTTTTAGCGGGTTCATTAGGACGGCAACTCACTCAATACAAGTGCATGAATTACAAGTTTGTCCACTCTGTGTCATTTCCGACAGCTTGTTGAAGTGTCTTGTTGAATAGTCCAGTATACACTTGACTTAATATTTGCTCTGTATCAAGGAGTTTTCTGTTTGTGTTGATTTTGGCGCCCCCTGTGAACACAGCAGTAGCTCTAAGTCCTCATTTTAAGACATTACAAATGACTGTATACGTATGTGAGACTTGTCAGTGTTGGTCTTGTTTGCTATTATCAGTCATAAAAACCATCAATATTAATTTCAGTCTGTTTAGGAAGCAGATAAAAACTCACACCTCTGTGTCTGTAAAACTGTGGAAACTGTCCTCTTATGCTCTGCGTAGATGTACTTTTAATGTCAAGGAGACAATAAAATCAGCCTTTAAGCTTGAAAGCAGCTTTCCAAAATCCACATTTAAGTATTTTCTTCCCCACAAAATAGACAATGACTTACATTGACAAGCTTGAACTTGTGGACAAACCCAACAGTCTTCCAAATAAGCCCTAATTGTGGTGAAATGTAATTGTTACAATATGTTTTCTCCTTTTCTTGTCATTTTTGGTGACCCCTTTTTTAAGACTGGTTTTCCTCCTCCCCTCCCTCTTTTCATCCCATCCCCTCTCTGTCCCCCTGGTGCCTCGAGGAGACGTGAGTCCGGTTACCAATAAGCTAATGTGAAAGAGTAACAAAAGACTCTGTGGTCTCTCTGGTTTCCTGTCGCCCCGAGCTAAAGAGAAGCTTATAAAAGATCCGAGAGGAGCGGTGGGCAGCAGAGTCTGCAGCACCAGCAGCATAAACACAGCCAACAGCTGCCTCACTGACACAAAAGGCCACGAAGAGAGCAAACGACAAGGTTTTAGGTACCGCTGAGGAATGTGGGCACGATCTCTGGCGGAGGTGTAATTTAATCAGAAGAGTTAGAGCAGTGGCTTCACAGTTGAGGGGTTATCAATGGGTGCTTTATAAAACACGGAAGGACATTATGTAACACCACAGCCTGAAGATAAAGCAGCAACAGTTTTGCTTTCTGAAGAAGATGCAGATGGGGTATGGGAGTTGTCATGGGTCATTTAAAGTTAACAAGTCACTCATTTTGTACCAAAAGAAGAACCTGTAACCCCTCCTCCAACCCTCTTTCCTGTACTACAGTTTGTTTTCGGCAAGTTTGTACCTGAGTCTCAGACTGATGCAACTGAGCAGCAGAAGTGCATTTCCGTGAAGGATTGTGGGTTTATGTGCAGGTCAGGAGGTTATTACGGATATCCAAACTGTCAGACACACCAATACAACTTTTGTTCACTTCTTTGTAGGGCAGGTCGCTTCAGTTGTGTTCTGTTGTGTTCAGGTTTTAGGAATCCAGAAAGGGGTTATCATTGAACTGATTCAGAGGGACATCAGACACTATTTCAAAGTAAAACACCTAATTAGAGGATGGCTGATATGAGATCTTGAGGGCTGATACTGATGCCGATTATCAACAGTTTCTAAAAGCAGTCACTGATATCAGCGTTGTGGTATTCAGATACTCATCAGGTTGATTCATCATCAGAGTTAGCCACATTTCTGCTGCTCATAGCAACGGACTCTATGTCCCTCTGTGTCAGATTGGATACATGCGATGTACCGCAAAGGTGGTTAACTCAAAGACAAAGTCTTATTCCACTCTTGGTCTCTTTCCTGTTTGTGGTCTCTTCCTGTTTGTCTCCATCTTTGACATCAACATTAACTTACTTGTGCACTCAGAACTGACTCACATCATGTTATTAGCAACAAGTGGTTCTGAACTGTTGTGTAAAAACTTGGGCTGGTAAATGTGTTTCAGTTTGTGAGAATGTGTTTAAGATCTGCAAAATGTGCGAACTGGATAAGGCCACTAGATTTGTATATTATATGTTTATTATTGAATGCTTAAGCTGATGTATTTTGAGTTGGATAAATTCATCATATAAAATAGTTTCTGTCTTCTTTTTCCTCTTTTTCTGCTGTTGTTTATTTAGGGCGTGGTGGGTACCAATATCACTATCAAAGTGCTGTGTGGCGTGATGAGTGACACCTCTCTAGGGGACCCTTATGCCCGATACGCGGCTGTGGCGCGCCTCATGATGGACACTTTCTCAATGAAATGCCTGGATGCCAGCTTCAACAACTACCTCAGAGACATGACTAATGCGTCCTGGAATGGGACGGCTGCAGGAGGAGGTGGGTCTGGATGTCCTGGAAGTGGTGTTTAATGAGTGTAAACAGGGTTATTTCAGAGGTCTCTATTTTCAGGAATAACGTCTGTAACGTCATGAATGTCCGAGAAGTGGTGTTTTGATTCTGCTCTGAAGTTTGGCAGGGTTGCATGACTTTTTCTTTTGCTCCTCTGACAGCATAACTGGCTTAAACAACGCTGTGTCATGTTCAGAACTTCTGCCGTCAACAAACAAAATTTAGGAGCAGTAAACTGAAGTAGAAGCACAAACATAAGTGGAGTCAAAGGAAGAGAGTGTCTCATGGCAACAAGGGGGGCTGTGTGAGATGAGGGGATGTGGTTAGAGTCAACAAACCCATTTTGGGTGTTTAGACTGACCTACTGTAGGTTGGATCGAAATTAGCATGGCATGGTCCTGGCAGAGTCAGTACACCAAAAAAAGATGTCTGAAACACTTCTGAATATGACAAGCGTATTTTCTTAATTCTTTTCTTAAATGGGTACAGTTAAGTTAAGGGTGTTAGATAAATCCAGTCTCAGTTAATCCTGTACTTTCTTGAGATTGGGTGTGCTAACTCTTGTTTATTATGTTTTCTCGTATTGGGGCAGACAGTATTAAGTAACAGCTTTCTATGTTAAAGCAAAAATGGCTTTCCATGATGTACCTTTGCCCCGGGCTGCGGTTCTAGTTCTCAGCTTTGGTTTCATGAGTGGGAGGAAAAACTGGAGCAGGAAGTGGTCTCTTAAAAAGCCACTGGCTTGTGTCTGCAGAAACTCCCCCAAACAAGCTCTTTTATCATGTTGCCTTCAGCTCCACTCTGTTCTCTGTAAATCACAGCTGAAATAACTGGAAGGGGGGGGGGGGGTACTTTAGCAGGAGCTGGTTTAATCTATGTGTTAGTATTACATGCTCTCTGTTGTGATTGCTTTGATTGGTATGAAGTGGCTCAATGTTCTGTCCGCTGATGAATCTTGTGTGTTTGTGTTTGTCTGTTGTCAGGGAGACAGTGGGTCTACCAGACCTGCACTGAATTTGGATTTTACCAGAGCACAGATTCACCAAACCAGCCATTCAGCGGCTTTCCTCTTGAGTGAGTCTCGGCCTGATGAACCCACTTTTATGTTTTTGAGAAAATATCTGCCCCAGCTACACTTTACACTACTTTCTATAGATACACAGGTTTTTCTTTGCTTTCAGATTCATTAAATACAGCTGTTCTCTTATTCAGGTTTCACGTCAGTCAGTGCGCAGACTTCTACAATGTCAGTGCCAAGCAGGTGGCCGAGGCGGTGGCACAAACAAACGAGTATTACGGTGGCTTTAACATCTGCTCCACCAGAATAGTGTTTCCTAACGGGTCCATTGACCCCTGGCACGCCTTGGGAATCACCCAGGATGGCAATCCTGACCTACCTGCCGTTTTCATCAAAGGTGAGAGTGTGAGATGGCGAATCCTGCTGCAGAGGGAGAACTGTGATTAATAGGCTGAGGCCTGATAAGGTTATAATCAGGAATATTAGTTTGTCCCATCTGATCTTTAAAGTCATAAATTCCAAGATACCCATCCAAAAGGTCACCCAGAACACCCTTTTGGGGTCAGAATTCATATTCTGAAACTCAAAAATCAAAGTCCAATATCCAAGTTGGTTGCTCCCTGCAGGGGTTGTAACACAACTGTTCTTTTAATAGTGTTTATTGGCAGAATGGACTTGTTTTCTGTAATTTAGCCAATCACAATGATATTATCTTGCAAGTTTTACCTTAGGACATGTTGTCTTGTTGTTTCCATACACAAACTATCACAAAGAGTGTTGTTCTTGACAAGTGAAGCTATCATAGTCGGGGAGTAGGGGGTACCTTCTTACTCTGTTTTCAACTCCTAACTAGAACACAGTCTGCTCAGGTGTGACGTTATTCCCAAGTATGTCACTTGACTTTGAGGTACACGGAAGGTGCCACATAGCCTCATACTAAAAGGGCTTTGAGACCCATTGGCTCCAAAACAGAGACTCAGATATAGCAGTAATGACCCAGACATGATGAGCAGAAAGACACAAAGTTAAATCAATGCAATAAGCACCCAAACAAATAACAGCATAAAACTTTTTTAGCTTATGTTAAGCTATGGCAGCGAAAGTGCTCTGCCATGTTTAGAAAAAGATCCTCCTGAGTACAGATCCCAATGCAGGTGAGTGGGATATATCTTTTAGGCATTAACAAGACCATATTAATATGAATGCATGCCAACAAGAGCATGCATCAAGCACTCAAAACTGTGTGCAAGGCAACTTCTTAATTAACCATAACCGTAGGAACTTGAAGGACACAGTTGCACATGTACACCCAGCAAGCACTGACTTGAGAATTTGCTCCCCTGAGTCTGTCTATAAATAAAAGTCGAGTGAAAAGTAAAGCTGGAAATACACACCAGGGTAACATCTTGTCCTCAGAGCAAGTGTAAATGCAACAGTGCTGTGTGTATGTAAGTGTTTGGTTTTACTTTGTGTCTCCGGTGCTTCTGCAGCACTGGGATAAGATGTAAAATCACACAAAGGAAGCAACTTTTGATTTAAATTAAAATTTGTTTTGGTCTGTTGACCAGTCAGAAACTGTATTTGAGATCAGCTGACCTATAAAGGTCCAGTTAGAAGCAAGAGCAGCCCAAAACAGACATCACAGTATAGATATGGGAAAGATAGGACTGTTTTGAATGGATTCAAATATTCTCACATCCCTGCTGTGTTATTGAAAACAAACCACAGAGCACAGCACAAAACCCAATCATACATGCATAACGTCTGATTCCAACCTTAGTCATATGTTGTGTTGTTGTTGATATACCATAGGTGAAACAGCTACCTTGAGGGTCTGCCTCTCATTGACCACAGCTCATCAGAAGTCTGTATCGTAGTTTTAAATGAGAGTATTTCCAGGCCTTGAATCTGTAAAGCATCAGTTAATGTTACTCTGAGCTTCTTGAGCTTTTCTTGACATTACTGAATCTAATCTACAGTTTCAGAACAGAACAATGGTGGACTTGTTCAGCTCTGACTTTATTAGGTGGATAATAGTAACTAAACTGTTTGTTTAGTTAAATTGTTTTTTCCTGCTGTATTCATCGTGTTTTCTTTATCCATGTCAAGTCAAATAAGCTTTATTGGCAAAACAACAAAACACTATTAAAAAGTGTACAGATAATGGAGTGGGGGTATTCAAACATCTCATACTCTTTCTTAAAGAATGAATTACAGTTTAGTCGACTTTCATAACTAACAAGTTTGTCTCTCATTTAGGAACAGCCCACTGTGCCAACATGTACCCTGCCAGGGATGATGACCTCCCACAGCTGACTCTGGCCCGGGAACACGTCCTTCTGCTTCTCCAGCAGTGGCTGAAGGAATAACTGAGCAATCACAGGCCTATCGCTGCACTTTAATCTACTCTATTATTTTTTTCCTGACCACTGAAAATACAATGAGACTCCTTTTTCCTGCCACATAATTTGACTTCTCAGAAAAGCACTTTGCTCAAGGATCAGCGGGTTCTAGGTTCAGTATTTTTTTTTTAAATGAGATAATTTTCACCTGATTAATAAAGTTGTTTTTTTAATGACTGTGGAAGCTATTTCTTTGTGTTTCATCAGTTTCATTTTGAGACCTTCTTGCAAGAAGGAATTCACAATTACAACAACGTCATGCTGACTTTCTGGGAAGAGCAGGATATGGATATGGAACATTGATATTCTGATGGCAGATTTTAATCTTTAGTCCAACAGTAATCTGTTATAAAGGAAGTCATATCATCTAAAGTATGGCATGCGTCATTACCTTTCATTTTCCACAGAATATTTTCTTAAGTACTGACGTGCAACGAACAGGGAAATTCCTCTGACTTTCCGTAACTTTAACTTTTGGCTCAAAAATAAGGTTTTTCTTTTTTGGCCAGGGATTGGCAAATACTTTCTGCAGAGGACACTCTTTAGGTCAGTCCTTTTATGAAAATAATCCAAATTCAAGGAAAAAGGAGGATCTGTTAAATGCTAATATAAACAACTTTTAATGGTTTGCATATCATTTAAACCCTTTATTTGATTGAAAATAATGCAAAGACAACATGTTAAGAATTTAGGGATGTATGAAAAATAGGTGCCCATACAGAGGTTAATGTCAGCAACATGTCTCAAAAAGTTGAAACTACAAACACTGAAAAGGTTCTGCTATGTTAAATTAAAACATAGCATACAACAGACAGAGTATAAAAAAGACATTCAGTCACATTTTAGTCTTGAACGATACAAATATATTGTATTGTATATTGTATTGATGTATTGATGATATCTGCAGGACACGGTAAGAACTAGAGAAAATTCCCTCAAATGGACTGAATATTGCAGGGTACCTGTGCAAACATGGGGATTTTGTTGTTCAAAGGCATAAATATCCTTGCATGTCATGATTAGTGCACAGCTGTGTGTTCATTCAGTCCCTCCTCAATAAACAGACACAGTGACCCCTCTGTGCCTAGCAGTGTTTATTTTCACAACAGTCCTATCTCCCAGCATCCCAGCTGGACCTGCAAGACCCTGACTCTAAACACAAACTCAAAAGCCTCTAAAGCTGTAGACCAAGATCTGGCTACGAGTCCAGTCTTGATGTGAGTATCTCGTGCTGTGGCACTGAATTCTCAGAGCCTCTACTTGGGCATGAATCCAATGCATTTCAGCAGAGGCTCAGTGATTATTTACTCTAATGACAGCCTAAAATCATATTTTTCTAGAGGTACACATTAACAGTGGACATAGTCATAATTGGTTATACACTCTCATTTAATCCCCTGTAATTTAAACCCTCTTGCTCCCCGATAATCCCCTTTTGGCTTCAGCAGGGGTGTAATTGGGCCTCAGACATTTTTTTTAAGTGTGTGTGCTTTAGTGTGTGTGTTGCCACCCAACCTGGTCCCCTGTGATAAAGTTTCAGTAACAGACTGAATGCACCAAAAATGACCTTTACTCCACTTAAAAATGGGTTAAACCAAAGTCTGTTTCACTGTCGCCCCTTTTGAGACTTCCCTGTCTTTTGTTCTAATTTATTGTTGTGTTTATATAAAACTTTTTCGATTGGCATTTGGCATTTTTTCCCAACTTGTGCAGTTTTATGGCTTTTGTAAACTTTGCTCTTCAATATTTTTAATCGATGATCATAACAAAGATCCTCAGAGTTTAAAAAACACAAAACAAACTCAGGTACAGGTTTAACATACCTTATTAGAGTCCATATGAAATGTTGTGGTTTCAGCCAATCACAGTGACCAGTCTACCGTTATGTTATATAGTGTATAGGAAGTGAAATATTTAGCAACATCAACCACCTGGGTTTAAGACTAAAAGACTCCCTTGCTCACCCCTTCCCAGGGAAACGATGGTTTTGTTCAAGGACAAGGCGCTTCAGTGATGCATGATAATGTGAGCCTCCACCATCAAAAAATATCTGTTAATCCAAATCAACAGATATCTTCCTCTTATTTATCTGACTTCTTTGTCTTGCATTGGTTAATCTTGCACTGCCTCTCACTGAGTACAGTATAAGTATATACTGTATGTATAACCATATACCTGTTCTGCTAATGTGGCACACTGCACCTTAAAATACCGAAGAGTTATCCTGTTATCACCAAGAGACAAGCTTAGTTTTTTTTTTCTTTTTCTTGGTAAGACAAATATATAAGTTATAGTGGGAAAACATGCCTTGTAAAAAGTTAAGATCTTGAGAAAACAATAAGAAACTACATGTTATCATGGATAAAACTGAGTGACTTAAATATGGCATGTCCACTCTGGGCTTTTTATATTTTTGGCTTTCATCAGGCTGAAACGGACTACGTATAAAATAGGCCACATGAAATTATCCCTATCTAATCAGTATATATATATATATATATATATATATATATATATATATATATATATATATATATATATATGTCAATTTCTCCTTTTTGAAAAAAAAATGTATATATTTAAAAATGACAAAAAAAAGTCGTATGCAGGTGTTAGGTGGTGTCAGTTTTCTTGATTTCCACATTAATCTTGACATTACATAAATAAATTGATTTTAAAGATCTCTCTTAACGCCCCACCTCCTGTTGTAAACACCTTGTGAGTTCGAGATAGAGTCAAGCTCGTCGGCGTTAGCTAAATAAGAAATTAACGGAAGCAGCTGCTTGCACGTAAATTTTAAAACTTTATCACCCCCTTATGTATAAAAGTTGTCCCACTTTTTCCCGAAAAAAAGGATTTTAGCTCCTCTGCAGCACGAAGTCTCCTTTATCTCCCCCTTATTCAGTAAAATAATTTTTACTGTCCAAACTTTTATAAACGTAGGCCTATTGATGTCACATTTTGAATAAGAACAAAATTTTCAAAAAACTCTTTTTATACGTCTATACATTTTTTGTTTATTTCAACGATTGATTTAATTATTTTCTAGATAGATAGATAGATAGATAGATAGATAGATAGATAGATAGATAGATAGATAGATAGATAGATAGATATGACAAAAAACTAACTGAAAATTGAAATGAAAACTAGTCCGAATAAATAAAAAGCGAAAAAACATTTCATAAAAGTAAGCCTTACCGACCTTGGTTTGTGATTATCTTGGAATTATGTTTCATTTAATTTTATTTTGAAAGGAAACCGGAAATATGCTTCTGTTATGGTGGGTTTGACTCAAGTACTCTCACTTCATGCTCCGCTGTTGGTTCAGAGGCGGAGTTCAGTGTAATAAAGTCCTCTTTGAGACAACAGTGGAGTCCGGAGTTTTTCTCTACATCACTGGAATACAGATTTATTTCCTCTACATCCCGGATTTATCAGCGTTTTTCTTTTGATCCACAGCAGAAAAGCGGAGGAAAAGGCTCAAACTTTCACCTGCGGCACAAGTCAAACTAACGTCACCTCGTGATAGGTAAATATAGCCGTTTTTTATACCGTTACTTTTACAGCAGTCTTATTAAATACAGGTCAAAAGGCAGGTTCAGGTGTTAAACCCGCCGCAACAAAATACAAGAATCTGCCCTGTTATTTCCAGAGGAGACTGTTGCTGCCGTTCATTTCAATGAAAACTGCATTGCCGTTTTTCTCGGCTGCACAGGTGTGTTTTATTTGATGCTTACATTAGCAGGTGAACCAAAGTGTGGGGGCATCAGAAAAACACATCAATTTATCTGAATTGTTTACAATTTGCAGCTCCAGATGTGTTTCTAAGTCCCTGCAGGACTGGGTGCAGTTTAATTAAAGCCCTGCGTCAGGCATGCTGGTCAAAGACAGCTTTTGTTGTTGTGACAAACATTTGTAAGGCGATAACTTATCGACATCCCGAATCGTGCGATATGTAATTAACGCCAAATCTGATTGGGTGGAAAGAGCACCAACATACTACCCTACTCAAGTAAAACTAACTACGTTATTTAAAAGATTGCCAACCTAAAGCACATGAGGTACTGAGTACCTTGTAGGTTTCTTACTTTCATCCAATGGTGATTATACCCCCCCAAAATTATCTTAATGCATATTTTGCTAATCTAATTGTTGTAATATCAGCATGACTATGTGAATACATTTTGACATTGCATCTGTAAGGGGTAGATTATTGAGTGTTTTGCATCTCATTGTGTCATTATTGCACTTTGTAGATGGTCACAGTAAATTTCAGTCATAGACGCAACATTAAAAGTAGCAAAAGAAAATACTTAATTTTAAAAAAGTACATTTTTTAAAAAGCAAGTACACAGAGGAGCTGCTGAATAACAGTTACTTGTACAATTTAATCAGTTACTTTTCACCTTTGATTTTTGAGCTTTAAATTAATATGGCATCAGAAACAGCTTTGGTGGTACTTTATGGCATTGACCCACCTTTAGAGGATATTTTGTATCCTATCCATCAAATCAGACATTGTGAAGCATTTTATGATTAATTCATAATCAACATATCAGTAAGCAGTGTAGCCAACCAAGTATCCTATAGTATCATGAGTTACTCTGTGATTTCCACCCATACATGCATTTTATTTCCTGCATAAGTTACCTGTGGTTCATGATGTCAGTGCATGTAAATGTCTTCATCTGAAATATGGCTAAAGTACAAATTCAAGTTTGAAATACTTTCAAACTGAAGCTCTTCGTTGTCTTTATCTAAGCCTCTCAAAGCAAACAGATTTTGTAATGGAGTTTGGTTCACCATAAAACTTCTTATCATTGATCTTTCACAAGATTACCATTTGCTTAAATGTTGTCAGAGTAATTATGAGATTTAAGGACAGGCAGATTTTTGCAATGACGGTAACAAGTCCCTCCAAGCCTGCTGGCATGTGTCCTTGCTCCTGAGGCTTTATGGCTTCATGCACTCTCTCACACAGTGTGGCGTAAAGGCTGATTCACTCTCCTGAAATTGTCTCAACGTTCTAATTTAGTCAAAAGTTGAAACAAAAGAAGGGCCCAGTTTCACTCGACTTATTATGGTTGGAACGTAATGATTAGACGGTGTGAGTAAGAGTTAGTCAGACCCTGGAGAGCTGGGTAAGTGGCTTTGTTGCATCAAGATGCAGGGCAAGGGCGGGTGGGCAAGTGGTCATATTATTTGTGGTTAACCATGTAGAGTCACTTGAAAGTAATTTTTAACTCAGTTGGATGTTTTTAAGGAAAGTCTGATGCTTTCATAAATGATACTTGTTTAGATGACATCTCATGATGGTTGAATATAAGTCATGCTCAGGTAACAACATTCACTAAATTCATCTCTAATACTCTGTTCTCTGTTTCTGTCCAGGTGCTCTAGAGGTTAAACATGAAGCACCTCTCACTGTTGCTCCTTTTCACACTGGTGAGCTTCTATAGCCATAAGGGGGCATTGTCCCAGGCTCCCACCTATGGTGAACGGGGCTCAGATCTTGGCATACAGGTGTTTCAGCAAGTAGTCAGCTCCAAGCCCCTGGACAACGTGGTTCTTTCACCTCATGGAATCGCTTCAATCCTTGGGATGCTGCTTTCAGGAGCTCATGGAGAGACTCGGAAGCAGGTCCTCAATGCTCTCCGCTACAAGAAAAATGGTGAGGAGTCTGGTTTGGCGGTAGAAGCTCAGGCAATAGCTAAAATGTGTCAACTGTTTATTTTTGCTATCAGACTCATTTTCAGAAAGTTGGACAGGCGTCTAAACTGAAGCTGTCAGTGCTCATGCATTTACTGTGGTGTGATTTAGGTCCAGAAATTATGTATTTATACCCCAGTATTTTGGGATGTGCAAATCAACATAGACCTGCAAATGAAACTGAAATGAACAAGTTTGCATAACTTGGGGGCAACTGACTTTGGACTTGTGAAAGACTTTGGTCTAAAGGGCATCTTTAAGTTGGGTTTTGAGACAAGGCATGTCGTGCTGGGGGCAACATACAGGACCTGTAGGAAACACAGGAAGCAACCAAACTGGAACTCCTGAAAAGAGCAAATGCTGTTGCATGAGCTATCAGATTTGATCAGAATAACAATCCTGAATATTTCTTTACCTGTGACTGTGTTTTTGTTGTAAAAATTAAATAGACATCTGTTTGATTTTGAAGCGGTCTTATACCTTCAAGTTATGGCTTCAGATCACATTGGTGTGATACTGAAGCCATAAAATACTTGAAAAATGTAAAAGTCAAGATAAAAAGAAAACATTTTATGGCATTTATTTGATTCTCAAATAAAGACACGGGTAAGAACTGCTTCACATTATCAATATAGACTTTGACAGGTTTTGAACTTTCAAAATAAAGAAATTTTAAAATTTAAAATCACAGTTAATTGGTAATTCTGCATTTGATCACATTTAATGAATCAACTATTTGACATCCCTTATCTAAACCATTAAAAGTACTTGAGTTTTAATTACTGTTTATCAAAGAAGTTAACCTCCACTGTCCAGTGAATGGTGGCGCCACTACTCTGGTGCCTAAAACTTGCATTCTTTCCTTCTGCCAGCAGAGGGCACATCACATTATACAAAAACAGAGAAAATAGCCCTAATAAAAACCTTTATTCTCGCTTGATTCAGAGGGAGTTTTACAGTCCCAGTTGCTTCTTTATTACAGTATGATACTGACTTATGGATTGATTTTAGGCCCATTTAGAGGACAATATAAATGATAAAGCTTGGTGTGGTTAAGGACGTCGCTGCCTTGTGATTGCTAAGAAGCTGACATCGCTACCCAGGCTGTGACTCAAATAAAGGGGCAGGAGTGCATATCCATCCTTTTAAACTGAACAGTCACATCTGGCTCTGAAAGTGCCAAATACTAGACCTAAACAACAGTCGCCTACAAACTAACATGTGGTATCATGGTGGTAGATTCAAGTTGTTGAATACCAGGGCTGTACAAAATGTTGGAACATGGATGTATTGAGACATTTCTATTCAGAATAGATTATCGATTATCTCCTCCCTTTACATTGATACATAAATGAATTAGAAATGTCCTTGTCTTTGTTTCAGATTTCACTATGCAATCTCTGCCCTTTAGATGTTGCTGTTTGGCGACTGTGTTGGCTCCTTGAACCTGAAACTGTTGCTAGCTAGAGATAAAGCAGTGGTGGTTGAGTGACTTGATAGAGGCGAGTGGTGCCATGAACACAGTGCAGAAAAACGAAGAAATTTAACTTTAATTTTGACATTTTTCACTGTTATCTCTCTGCTGTTAAACTCAGGCATAGCTCACATAGCCTGATTGCTGTTTTCTTTTGCTCCCATTCTGAAGTTTATCTTTGACCTCTACACCTCTATGCGACAACTATCCTACAGAAATGCCCCACGTGGTGCAACACTGTGATTCAGTAAATTATGAAGAGTACTGCAAAGGATTCAAACCTCTTGTATTTTGATAGTAGTCATACTGTGAAGTCATGCCAGTGCCCAGACCTGCTATGTTTAGTCTGTGGATATTAGTTTCAGTTTTTCATACATCACAGGTCCCTACAGGATGCTGAAGAAGCTGCACAAAGCCTTGACAGGGAAGGCCAACCAGGATGCCGTGCTGATCGCCAACGCCATGTTCACCCAGGAGGGCTTCCCCATGGAGGCGTCTTTTATCGCCACCAACAAAGACAACTTCCAGTGTGAGAGCAGGAGCCTGGACTTCGGCAACCCTGATGGGGCTGCAGAGGAAATCAATGCATGGGTCAACAACAAGACCAAAGGTAGGAGTCATGCATGTGCTGTATAAACAATTTGGAATATACTAAAACTTTGTATAAGCAAACACGGGCAACAAAACAACATATCAAATTTACCAGCAGCTGTTAGTTTTATATCAAGTGTGTACATTTTGTAAGTTTTGAAAGGAAGAAAGGAAAGAAGAAAATAGGCACTTCATAACCTAAGGAATAAGCGTAAATTGATATATCAGAAATACAGACACAAATTCCACAGATCTTGCAGCATTTGAGCCTGGTGAACATAAGTCAGTTTCCTTGTAGCCTTCAAATGGTAAGAATTAGGTCAATTGATTTGGCTTCAGTATACTGGTCTGCAAATATAGGTTATTTTCAGCCACATGTGTTCTGAAATCTTTTGCATGACCACGTACAAAGCCCTGGCTTTGCAACACTGGAAATGTTCTGGCGTATAGATTGGTTTTCCTGGAGAAAAGGCCTCGTTTCTCATTTTCTTCTTTCAGATCTTTGCTGAGGTGAATAAAAGAAGATGTGGTTGATTTTTTCCTATCAAATCTCCCTGTCTAAATAATGCTTCTGTGTTGCATAATTTATCCAGGTCACATCCCCAGCTTGATCAAAGCAGACATGCTGGACTCAGTTCTGACCCGTCTGGTTGCTGTCAACTCGATCTACTTCAAAGGCTTATGGAAATCTCGCTTCCAGCCCGAGAACACCAAGATGAGGCCTTTCAACGGGGGCGACGGAAACGTATATAAGGTCCCAATGATGTCCCAACTGTCTGTCTTCAACATTGGTGAGATGATCGCCCATCATATTACTAACAGAATGAGTTTATGGCAGCTGATTGGTTAATAGATCAGCTTTCACACAGCATGATCTTAGATTGAACTCCCATAAGCTGGTGGCTGCTGAATTGATTTATAATATTGATAACCAGTTACGTTGTGCCATTCAGTGTGATCTCTTTTGTCAGGGTGAGTGAAGCCAGATAAGCAAGATATGTTGACTTGACTTTGTGGTACAGGCCCCCGGTCCACCATCCTGAAATATTCTAGGTTCATTGATTTATGAACTTTACTTGAGTTCGTTGTTATGACATAATTACAGCATCTGCTGGTATGTGACTCACGAATCGGCTTGTGTAGAGTTGTTCAGAAATGCAGGCCGAGACATGCCACATCCACAGGACACTATTTAGCTCTGTGTGAAATGAAGTGACACACCAATCAGTCGTCTATATTTAGAGGAGCTGTCAGAGTTGTGTTGGCGTGGTGAGTGTTGCAGATAGATTCTCACACTGTGCTCGAGTTAAAGTGAGGTCATGCACTGAAGTTTGTGTCTGTCCTCAGTTTCCTGCAGTGTGTTTACATTAGTCTACAGTTTCTGATTTGTTTACTGGATTATGGTCCTCACAGGCCATAAGGGGAACGGGACTCTGAAAGAGTTTCATGCTCTGAGCTTGATATATGTCATGACTTGGGAACATGGTGTGTTGTGATTTCCTGTAATGTCCATATAAAGCACGAGGAGCTGTGTGGTCCCTGTGAAGTGGATGTTTGCAGTCTGAGGCTCCTGTTGTGACTTGTTGTGCTTTCTATGGCCAAAAGTAACTTTGACGTCAAAGTGGAGCTGAAAGTTTGTCATTCTCAAGTGCTAAATCAGATGGGAGCATTTTTTTTAAGTAAAAGGACACAAACAGTTTTCCAATCCAAACACACGTCAAGGTTCAAGCACTGTTATCAACATATTTAGAGAGGGTGAAAAACTTTTGAAAATGCATCTGTGAAGGTCTCGTACATTAAGAACTCACTAAGAATATAGTGTGGCTGCTTACAGCAACAAGGATTTGCAATCTATTCAGCCTCCAGGTCTGATTTACTCATGATAATAAAGCAGAAGCATGCCAATGAAGGTTTGCAGCTCTGTGCAGTTTTTATCTGGTTTTGCATCTAGTTTAAAGAGGAAATAGTAATGAGAGGAGTTATTTTCAGGCAAAAAGATGTGAATTCTGTCTCACTAGTCTTTTCTGACTTTTTTAAAGTTTTCTGGGACAGATAAATCTTTCAAAAAGCAATCATATGGCTGCAACCCTTTCGACAGTTGTACGAATTCAGGTGAATGATTGCAGGACTGAAAAGCATCTTGCTTGACAGTCAGTCACCCACGAGTTGATCCTGATGCCTTTAACCCCTCTCATCTTTACTCCTCTGCCAGGTGTTGCCACCACACCTCAGGGTCTGAAGTATAAGGTGATCGAGCTGCCCTATCACGGCGGCTCCATCAGCATGCTGATCGTTCTGCCTTCTGAAGAGGACACGCCTCTATCCCGAGTTATCCCACACATCAGCACCGCCACGGTGCACAGCTGGACTTCACTGATGCACTCGAGAAAAGTCCGCCTGCTCATCCCCAAGTAAGATACCTGCACACTGTAAAGACTGCTCTGTCAAGTACAATTGCAGATTTAACATAAGAGAGTGCAGATCGATTAGAATCAAGTGGTAATTCACCTCATGGTCAAACTTATTTTTTGGACTACTTGGACTTCTTTTACCTTCACCACCAGACTTTGTTTGGCTAAGAAAAAATTACAATATTGTATAACTAAAAACATTTTCCTCCATCTCCTAACTTCCGCTTGATTAAGTGTTCCCTTTTTTTTGATTAACCATTCATGGACTTTTTGGACCATTTAGATAAAAAAAAAAACATTGCCTGTTCATCTGTAAACAATTACAGCTAATATAATTAATAGAGCTTTTCAAAATAAGCAGGCTGCACAATGAATAACAGACGCACTGCAACTTTTTATGGCCTGTAAGGTAATAAATGCAAAAAAAAATGTTTTTCCACAGAGACGGTAATGATGACAGGGGAAAAGCTTGCACACAAACTGAGTGTGACTGTAACATTGTGTTCTTGTGTGCTTTCTGTCTCCAGGTTTACTGCTGATGCCGAGGTAGATCTGGAAGCCCCTCTTTCAGCACTGGGAGTAACAGACATGTTCAGTCAGGCCAAGGCTGACTTCAGGCACATCAGTGAGTGAAGCACAGTCAGTCAAAACACATGGGTGACAAAATGTTACTGAATATTTACAACAGGTGGTTTTTTAGGGGGGGCGTGAGGCTTGTAAAATGGGAATTGTCTCTGTTTACTGACAGATCCATTAAGAGGCATGAACTGTGTCTCACCAGTCAGTGCGAAAAACTGAATCACTTGGTTACCAGCCAGTCTCTTTTCTCCCTGAGTCAGAGCAGATCTGATCAAAGCTCTCTGGTGCCATCGTGTGGTGAAATGCTTAAATGACTTAACATGATGTGCAACATATGCAACACTTCAGATTCCACCAACATAGCATGCAATGGACAGAGTTCAAACAAAAAAGATAGACAGTTTGGGGCGCTATTGGCCTAGTGGTCTAAGTGTGTGTCACATTTACGGATGTTATGCTTCAAATGACCGTCTAGGTTCAGTTCTGTCCTGTTGTGCCTTTCCCTTGTTCCTCGTTCCCTATTTCCTGCTCTAGCCAGGTCTTATCCTCTCCAGTAAAGGCAGGAAAGCCTTGAAATAAAATATCATCTAAAATAGTTTAAAAGTTGAACGATTGGACCCAAATACAAGACTGGTGAAAATGTGAGAAAGTCAGGTTGACAGGCCAGGGTCTAAACTTTGCAAATACCAATATCTGTTCACAGTAGAGGACAGCACCACTTGTCTGTACCCTTCATGAAGAAGGGCAGCTGTCTCCCACAACCATGGAGAGACACAGTGACACAAAAGCTGGCCAAGTTATTCATCAAGTTATGGTGCTGTTTTTGAGATGATATTATTAAATCAGCAGGAATGTCCAACAGCTGTCTGGCTGTTTGGAAAATTGTGTCACCGGGTGTGATGTCTGCAGATGGAGAGCCAACAAAAGATGCTCAAAAATGTTTACAGTCTGAGAAAATCCAAACATGGTTTTCATGCTGCCGTTTTCTGGAAATTGTAAGATGAACACCGATCCCACAAGTGCTTCATTTACATGTGATTAAATTTAAATAAAACACTAAAATGAAACACTAAAAATATATTGAAATTACGATTTAATCTGAAAGGTATCAAAATCAGTGGATAATTAATTTTTTATTTTTTGGAATTGCTTTTTGTTTAGTGTCTAAGCTCGCCGTGTGGACTGTTGCTGTTTTCTCAGGTGCTGAGCCTCTCTATGTATCCAGAGCTCTGCAGAAAGCCAAAATTGTGGTGAATGAAGATGGAACAAAGGCAGCAGCTGCCACTAGTGAGTATTTTTGCAGACAGTCTCATTTTTGATTGAAATGTCCAAAATCCTTCTTCACTTTCAACTGTTCTTTATCTGTTTGTGTTCAGCTGCCATTTTGCTGGCTCGTTCCTCTCCACCGTGGGTGACAGTGGACAGACCTTTCTTGTTCCTCATCAGACATAACCCCACAGGTAAAGCACAATATTTGCACCTGGATTTACTCACATTTAACTTACAGCTATATTTCCACCAAAAGCACCAGAAACCTTTAGTCCCATGAGAAGGAATGAGAGGTTTGTCTGCACTCCTAGTGCAATCTGATGGCCCAGGGAAGGTGCTGACACAGGAAAATACATCTTGATGTAGTGATGTGACATGTAACATTTTTAAAACTGCATATAAAATAAAAACACAAATGCATGATCTGTTTAAAAAAACTATTTTTGCCTCCATCCCCAGGAACCATCCTTTTCATGGGCCAGATCAACCAGCCTTAAGTCCAGACATCACTGGCCAGCCCCTGGTAGCTTCATCGGCCAGTACGAGAAATGCTTCTACACTGCCACACATGAACACAGACGTCCATATAAACACACACACACACAGACAGACTATGCTGTAGACTTGTGTACAGTGTGGACATACGTTATTGTTTGTTTTAAATATTGCTTTTGATGTTCCCTGTTTTCAGTAACTCGTAACATGCTTTATAAGACACTAAAATTTTCAGCTGTTTTAATTTTTTTTTTTTTATACTTTTTGAATTTATTACATTTTTAAAAGACTTTGAATGTCCGATTTTGTGTATTTTCTGGACTCTGGAGTAGGATAATAAGTTTGTTTGCTGTGTCATTGTTTCAGTGTTAAAGTCCCTTATTTCAAGTCATGTCACTCCAGCCTGTTCAGTTTCACTTTGAGTTATAGCAAAATGTACGTCCTACATCCTGGTTCTTAGTGATGATTGTTTCCCTCTCAGAGGAAGTTTTCTGTTATTATTCTGCTATCATATTTGCTCCAATAAATACACATATTTATAACATGGGGGATTTGGCATTACTTATTTTCTGGAAAACTTGCGGTGCAGCTATGACCACTGTCAAAGTGTTAATGATGGGAGGGTTTAAAGGAGATTATCCATGCTACTGCATATTGGAATAAATGGGGTTGTGTTTGTCAAGGGGATTCTTCTTCACTAAACATAAGGGAGCTGTAATGTGAAATGGAATGTTTAGTTTTTGTGCCATTTGTTGCATACATCAAATGTGATCCAATATATTAGTATTTTTCTAACACAAAAGTGTTAACACGGTTAATCAGAGTTATTCTGAAAAGATCTCTTTTTTTAACCATAATGATACTTCATCTCAAAGTTTTGACCTTTTGATTCCAAAATTGAAGTTTTTATTATTAATGTGAAAACAATATGACAATACTGCCTTTTACATGGTAATTGATCATTAGTTATAGGTATAGTTTTGCTTTAATACTTGCTTTAATTCCTTTCATCTTCTCAGGACACAATGTTCTTACTTTTATCTTATGAATGTGATTGTAGCATAGTTTTGACTTTTTACATCCCAATTAAAGAAAAAATATTAAAACTCTACAACTTTTACTTTTTATTTTAAGATAAATAGAAGAGGAACCACACTTTTTTGGCAGGGGAAAAAGACAAGAGAATTTTCATATTACAACTGAAAATTTATGCTTGATAATTTTGACCCTTTTATCATTACATTTATCTTCTAACTAGTCATATAACATTTTATACAGTTATTATGGCTTTCTACAGAATTATTTTTTCACTTCTCTGGCCTAAATAGACTTCCATACCCGTGGAGTTATGTTGCTGTTTACGCCACATTCCACTTTGTTCCAACCTGATTGTTGCTGGGCGCATTCTTGCCGTCATTATGGTAATCCTACGGTAATCATTACGGTAATCCTGACAGCGGATCAGGGTGTCAGCTGATCCTCCTTTGCTGGCGAGTGAGGAGGAGAATCAGCTGAAGGAAAACACTGCTGGATACTTATAACCATGGCTGCGGAGATACACTCGAGGCCCCAGACCGCCAGACCGATTCTTTTGAACAAGATTGAGGGACACACAGACGCTGTGAATGCAGCCGTTTTGATACCGAAAGAAGATGGAGTGATTACCGTCAGCGAGGACAGGTGAGCTTGCCGAGTGGGCTAAAGGTAATATCTGGGAGTAGCTTTCGGGCTCCGTCTATGTGCTGGCCATTTCACTAATAAAACCGCCCGTGTTGGTTTTAATTGGACAAAAACAACACAGAATTCACAGTTTTTAAGCCTCATGGTAACACTTTATGTTTTAAATAATCCACACGGACCCATGGTTAGCATAACAAGAGCAAAGTAGAAAAATATATCCAGCAGAAGAGCCCTAAAAATATCCATAAATATCTGTAAAATGCCAACCAGCCGTTACAGTTAACGGTTCGTGACAATTAGTTTCATTCACCAGCGTTGTGATTTATGACTCAGCCTGTGTGTTTGTTCAGTTTTCATAGCTGTGTTTGGGTTTGTTTTTTCTTAGCCAGATAGCTAATGCTAACAGTAAACATTAGTTTCTCAAACAGTAACAGCTCCACGTCCTCTGGTGTGATGTTTAGCCGCTGCAGGTGCTCTCAATGAAACGCTTTTAAATGTAGGGGAGACTGGGAACGGCTGCAACACTCTCAGAAATTTCTTGGTTTGACTCAGGCTCAGCAAACAAATATGATTTAGCTAAATGTAAGCCTTATTCTCATTATGGAGGCTTAAAGCAGACATGTATCCATACATTTGTTTACCCTGTTTTCTTCCAATAACCATTTAACTGTACTATATTTCCTCACTTTTATTTGGAGAGTTGTATTAGCACAGAACAAACAGACATGGGTTCAACTTACATCATAAGTGTGAGCAATGGGAGCATAAGATGTCATGGACAGCCTTATCACAGTGATTAGTGTGTTGGTTTATTATCTCTGCTTTCCAAAACTAAACTCTGTTTACCTCAAGATGGGAGTTCAAAACCCATAGAAAAAAAAGTACCTTTTCAAAAATATATGCACATGTGCTAGATTGGGATCCTGAAAATAACTAAAATTGACTCACAGTCACAGGAAGACCAACACTGTTATCTCAAGGGAAATAAAGAAGTTGGGGTCTAAAGGGTAATAAAGAAAGCAAGATTTCCAAAAACAAATGCTTATTACAGTACACTAGAGCAAACCACATGTATGGATGCATGTCTGTTTCAGCCTAGCATAGAGAATCAACCATTCCACTTTTGTAATACAACATATTGTTCATAGCATGATTTTCCAACAGACCCAGACTCCAGGTTAGCTGTGGTTCATAAATGGTTCCAATTGACATGAACTGAACACTTTCATTTGCAGTAAAAACTGAACTTAAGGGTGTTTGTTGGTATTCAAATGACATTGTCTTCTGACTCAACCAGTTCTTGTAACAATACAAAAGTCTAAACCATGCTGAAGTTAGTATCTGCTGTCTTCGATTTGGTTAATGTCTCTTGAACTGTGCGGTATGTTCTATCTGTATTTTCTTGTCATTACTTTGTGTCTTCCTATCTCTGCTATGCAATTTGGCATGTCTCACCACCTTTCCTCTCAATATAAAGAGTCAGTAAGTGTTGTTAAGGGTTTTCGACCAATCAGAATTAGGTATTTAATACAGCTGAGTGACGATATTCAATCAGCATGTTGGGGACTCTTTTCTCTCAAGATTTTGACATATCAGCCCTTGTTGAAACCCTCCCCGGTCTCCCCTATTTATTTTTTTTATTACCAAAAGCAGGCAATTTGCGTTTGTGAGTGCATTAGGTTATTTATGGTATTTGTAAGTTGCTAAATAGTTTGTTTCATAATTGTATTATTGTGGTTAAGAAGGATTATCAATAACTTTGGTACAATATTTACAGCATGAAGTGAAGCCAGTGAAACTTCTCATTGTGTGACAGACACTTTCAGTACAGCATTATATGTATAACCTCAGCCATGAAGAGGGAGAAGTGGTCGCAATAGTCCCAAACATTAACTGAGTTTTGCTTCAATGAAGTGAAACTCAAGCTAACATTCGTGATTCAGAAGTTCAACAAACCAAATTGTCACATGAAGAAAGAGGAGATTAGTTTGTGTGAAGATGTTACACAGTTTCCATCACGTATCTAACCCACTTTCATGTTTGAAAAGGAAGTTTAGGGCTGCTTTTGGTATTTTTAATGAGGTCATTTTGCAGAAATTTACAGGAAAAGAAGTAAAACTGAAAGCTGACTCCTTTAAAAACAGGCCAAAGGAAGCTTATTTTTTAATGCAATTGAACTGAAACCTATTGTGGTTTCCGAGAAGTAAATGTGGTCCTTTCAAAGGAGACTTGTGCTGTTTGTTGTAATTAAACTGTAATGGTTATTGATTCAAAGAAAAAGATCAGATTAAATTAAGAAATGCTTCATACTTTTGACAACAAAGTGTTCAACGTTGGTAAGGTCCAAAGGTTCAGATGAGGAGTGGTTGAGTTGATAAAAAGTGACCTAGAAAAAGAGTCATATCAAACAGTCTATTATTAAATTGTCATAGGAACACTTGAAGCTCTGTCCTGTGATCTGAATCAAGCATTGTGTGTAAACAGAACCAGGGATCGCTTCCAAGACAAGGACTAAGCCAAGTCCTAAATGAGGGCCGTCTCTACTGGTTATTTCCAGCAGTCAGAGCCAAGTTTCATTTTAATAAAAGAAGGAAAAATGAGTCCAAGTGCAGAGGGAGATTCTTAACAGGAAGTAAAAGATAAGACCACATTTACCTTTTTGTGTCTCAGAGTTAATCTCCATCATCAGAGATAGACCACTGAGTGAGCTTTGAGAGACACTGAGCTGTGCTTTCTTTTTCTTCAAGGACAATTCGGGTTTGGCTGAAGAGGGACAGCGGTCAGTACTGGCCCAGTATCTACCACACAGTGTCCTGTGAGTCACACTACAGTTATTCAATCAAAATGATTTATGAGTAGCGATGTTCTGATGCAGTCATGTCCTTTTCCATCTTTGTCTCTGATACCAGCTCTGTGGAAAAAAGGCTGAAAATATTAACATTCTGAACTCTGTGTGACTGTGTGAGTGTGATAGCTGTTGTTGTGTGCGTGTATGTAAATTATTACCTTTAAACAGGATAAGCTTACATTAGAGGAAGCTTGACTCTCGGTCTCTCTACATCTCTTCAGAGGGAAGAGAAACACTGTTTACTTTTTGCTGTTCTTCCTTTTTTAGTAAAAGAATTTAATAAACAAACTCCTGCACGCTCACAGAAATACATCCGCAGGAACAATGTTTTGGCATTTGACCCTCATCAGACATTTTTGTTTTGGTGAGCTGAAGTACTAGTTGTTGTAGTATTTTTACAGGAAAGAAAGTGTGCATAGGTTCGTGGAAATATTTTTATTAACTTGTTTATTTCCGCAAAGCAACAACTGATAAGACGTGCATATTTTTCTATTTATTACTGGAACTTGAGGTAAGAAATACTGCCCCACAACCACCATTCCTGTGTAAAATGTTGATGGAAACAGATTTAGATGATATGCAAATCATTTCAGTGCTAAATGTAATCAGAAAAACTAACCTCTAAAAACATGCTTTAGCATTAGAACGATGCAGTATTATAGTCTAAAACAAATGCAATAAATGTTCTGCTCCAAATTGAAGAAGAGGACACAAAAAGCTGTAACAGCTGCTTTGGCAACAACAATGCAAACCAAGCAGCAAAAATTCAGGACAAAAATAAAAACCGTAGAAAACAGCTGCTGAAGAGAGACTGCTTATCTCCAGGTGCACATCTCCTTGGAAGTACTCTGGACTTTTAGGGGTGTAGTGTTGACCGACTTCTACTCTCTGCTGATAGCACACATAATGACCTGCTATCAGTTCTTCTGTGCTGGTTATAAACAGCAGCCATAGTTTTCTGTACGTCTTCAGTGGTTTGTCTTTGGCTGTATGAACATGTTTTATTGTGGATTTAAGGAAATATATATGCATCTGTATATGAATCTACTTTTCAAGTGTGTGTGTGTGTATTTCTATATAGATGTGTGTATATGCATATGTATAGATAGATAGATAGATAGATAGATAGATAGATAGATAGATGTTTTAAGTGTTATTCCTTCAAAGCTTCTTTTGTACTTACTTACCTTTACCATCCCCCATATTAATCTTTTTATAATTTCCTTATGACTTTAATCTTCTTTTTGTCCAAGTCATGCTTTATTATTTTATTACCTTATTTAGTTCCTCTATTTTGGTTGTGTTATTATCCCATCTTGATTTTTAACACTCATTCTGTCACCAGTGTTTCCTCATTTCTGTGCTGTGACACAGTTTCCTCAGTTCCTCAGCTTCTCTTTACCTTGTATATTAGTGGGGAGGTGGGGGGTCATGGAGGGGACTGGGACAGGGGAGATGGTCTCCATGTACTGATCACCTTTTTTAATGTTATCATTACTATTATAACTTAATTACAGCTATTTGTGTTCCATTATTGTCGTGTGAAAAGTGCGTAAGTTCAAATACAACCTGATCAATAGATGAATGGATTGATGTATTAGCAAACATCATTCTCCGGCTGGTATCAGAATTTTCATTTCTTTCAATATTTGAAAGTCTTGTTTGTGTTCGTATGAGTTCAGCTGTTTAAAGACCTACACATGAATATTAACTTCCTCCTCATTGCAAACTTCTTCTTCTGCAGCTCCATGTTCTTGCATGTCTTACCATCATGACAGCAGACGGATCTTCATCGGCCAGGACAACGGAGCGGTTGTGGTGAGTGATGCCACATGAAACAAATAGCTCTCCCTCTTTTGGTTGTTCAAACACATTAAAGTTAAAAAAACAATCCTGCTGGTCTGGTTTTTGTAGGCTACAGTTTCAATGTTTAGACTCCTTTTAAATGCCTCTGAGGGTAGGATGGTTGTTTGACCTGAGCCTTCTGTTTTTTTGTTTACTCACCCTTCAGGAGTTTCTCATCTCTGAAGATTTCAACAAGATGAACCACGTCAAAACATATCCAGGTGACAGAATGAAATCCAGTTGCATATACACACCTGCTAGCAGAGCCCTTAACACTGTGACTCCTTTGTGCGTTCGTTATAAACTGATTTGACTTAGTAATAGTAGTGATAGTAATTCTGTTGTATAGAAATACATTATTTTGTCATTCATCATTGTCAAGGAAATATCGTCAACCTCTCCACCTTTGTTTTAAGAAAACTAGATGTCTGAATTGCCATTAAGACGTTGTGACATGTACTTCCTGATGAATAATGAAAATCATTTTTGATTACAAGCTGAGCACACTTCCCCCATCCGTGATCAGCATATATTTAACCTCCTCAGCAGAAAAAAAAAGAAAAGAAATTAATCTTTGAGAGGAAACAGTCAGCCTGTTGCTCCAGAGTCAAACACCACATGTTGCCACTGGAATGCTCCATCTGGTTTCGAGCTTGTATCAAATTTAAGCCTGAACAGCAAAACCATGACTCGCAAACAGATCAGACATTAGGATGTGTGTATGTGTGTGTGTGTGAGCACTTAAGAAATACACACACAGGATTTAATATCTCCAATATGCTGTCAGCATTACTTTGTTCAGAGCTGCAGAACAAGAAATGATTTTTTTTCTTATCAACTCTTTGGCTTGTGAGGAGAAAAAAACCACACGTGTTCAGTCAGATTGAAGTGTGGTTTAATAGAAAGATAAAGTAACTGTTTTCTGTCTGATCTCCATCACTTACCCAGCAGGTACATCTTTCTCTGTTATGGCACAAGGACAGTGGTTGAGTTAAACTGCCTAATTGAGGATTGCCTAATTGTAACCCAACTTAACTGTGCACATTAAACTGCACATCAAGTGTAAGAAGAAACAGTTCACTGCAGGTCACCAAAACATGCTTGGTTCATGTTTCCCACTGCAAAACCTCACAGTGAGTTCGAGTTATTTGAAACAGGTCTTCCTCAGGTGTGACGCTTGGCTCTGCTGACAGCTGTCTCAAAATGTAGAGGTTTAAGCCAGGATTTACTCTGCACTGATGATCATCAAAGTTTGGGTTATTAGTTAAATCAACAGATGAAGCTGTTGGTCTGAGTTTGAAGTGTGTCACAAAGTGTTAAACCTGCTTTTTCTGCTCTGTGTTAAACGACAGTCCTTGATCATATAAACAGTTTTGACCTTAGAGTCCTGCTCCAGATGGACAGTAAAGACCGATGAGTCTAAATCATCCGGAGGGATCCGTCTGTGTAAGACTGAATTACAGTGACACTAAGCAGAGCCTCTGATCAGCTCACAGAAGAGGGAAATTAGTCCTCAATGGTCTTTGCTTCATAGCAGCTCAGACACAAAAGCCCAGGAGAGGAGATTTAATCCTGTTTGATGTTTTGTTGTCTGATCAACCTTCTGTGCGTGTTTGTGTGTGTGCTTTGCAGCTCACCAGAACCGGGTGTCAGATATGGTGTTCTCCCTGGAAAGTGAGTGGGTGGTGAGCACTGGCCATGACAAGAGTGTTAGCTGGATGTGCACTCAGAGCGGCAGCATGCTGGGGAGGCACTACTTCACCGCCTGGGCCTCCTGCCTACAGTATCCTTCACTCGCTCACGGTAGAGCGGGCATGTCCCAAGTCCTTTGAGAGGTCCTTTGAGACAGTTGTCAGCTTGCATCTTGAACTGTACTTTTTATGGCACAGAAATTAAACCCATCCTGAATTGTGTGTAGATTTGCATTTGATTTCAAGTGAATGCACAAAACAAAAGAAAGTCCAGTAATTTTCTTCAAAACTACACACAGTCTGAAAAGGTTGAATGATTAATTTCAGGTAATCAATCCGGGAGGCTGAAAACAACTGGCCCCCAGACTGTTTTTACGCTAATACCAGCTTTTTTGGGACATTTTCTGGACAGGAACATTTATTCACCATTTCTCTGCAACTTTTGTTCAAATTCAGTCACATTCGTAACATTAGGGTTGTCAAAATTTACCCCCTTTTGATAGCAGTTGCATTCAAATGATGTAGTCTCTATTATTTTTATGTTTGATTGTATAAAAAAAGCACTTGCTCATGAAAAGTTAGATCTTCAGTCATCCAACCAACAAAAGGAGGGGGAGCATCCGTGGTCACTTGACATAGAGGTTGAGTAAAGCAAGAGAGAGTGCTGATAAAGCAGACAATAAGGGGTTGTTGTCTGAGTGTTTCACAGCAGGTACGCTCTTAAAAATACTTGTTAGCGCTCAGACATCTCTGCATAACCACACAGGAAGGTGCCGGCTTTTGTTTCTTTTAGTTACAGCCTTGACCCCCTGCTCAGATACGACCACGAGACGCAGCACGCCTTCGTCGGCGATTACTCAGGACAGATCACGCTGCTAAAACTGGAGAAGCAGACGTACTCAACCATCACTACACTGAAGGGTCATGAAGGTAAACACACACACACACACACACACACACACACACACACAACTGCAACTGTTTCTCACTCCCGTGTGCTATGGAGCAAGATTCAGGAAGTGAGGCAACTTTATTCTTTTTTTAATCATGACTTTGGTTCAGTCTTTACTTGAATACTTTAATGACACACATTTACATACATGCGCCCACTGACTAATTAATTTCCTCAATCAATCCCTGAGCTCCCCAAGTAAACAGATCATAAGAGGGGAAGAGCGTAGGAGTGTTTTCAGAGGAGCACAGATGGGCTTCCTCTAATAATTTTTCATCAGCGGGTTTCTTTGAAAATTGAACTCTTTGTATTTGCTGTAGTGATAAGACATGAAAGTAAGTCACCTCACTGCTTCCAATTAGGACTCTGTATATTTTTTCAGTCGCTCCAAAGTTTATATCAGGCTGCCAGGGCTGCACAGGAAGGGAAAACACCCAGAGAAAATATCCTGGAAACACATCATTCACTGGAGTACAAAGAAGGGATTTAATTCTGCACATGCCTGCTGTGATATGCAATCATATTATACACTGGGCTTTATTCTAAGAGTGAGTAATTTCCCCTTCTGTTGTTAGCCTGAAATCAGTGTTTAACCCTTTAAGACCTGTCATAGACACAAATACTTGACACAACCATGTAAAAAAGTCAAAGTGACATTTTAATGGTAACAGAAAAAAAAGCAGACAGGAAGGTTTTTACTTTACAGTTCAGGATTTTTGTCTGTACTCTACAATTCCAATTCCAAAAGAGTTGAAACACTTGAAGTGAAGTGTGCTACTAGAGTTTTCATTGAAACCCAGCTTGCTGTTGATTATGGTGGCTATGGCATTTTAGGAAATATCCCAATCTGAAGAGCGTTTTTAAAAGTTACCATTTTAGGTCAGCTAAAACGTCATTTCCATTATCACAAGAAAACAATCTTTGTTATATCAAGATAACGAGATAATAAGTTGTTATCACGAGATAACAGTGCATAAAAAGAGAAAAATCCATGGCTGTTCTTGTCTTTCTTAAAACAGAAACATCAAAACACTTAAAAATGTGTTCAATGCTTAAGTTTCACTTGCAACAGGTTTGTAACACAACTGGGTTTAAACAAGTATCTGGAGATGCTGAGTTTCTAAGAGGGAAAGATTGGCATAGGTTCACCACTCAGTCAGAGACTGTGTGAGCCAACAGTTCAGAGGCAGAAAAATCATTCCTCAGTGTAAAACTGCCGCAACTTTGTTTTTTATTTTCATTTTCAGTCATTACAAGATTCAGAGAATCCAGAGAAATCCCTGTACTAAAAGGGACAAAGCGGAAAACTGATATTGTAATCCTTGGACCCTCAGCTAATCCTGCAGGACTCTGTAGTAGAAATCATTTCATGGGCTAAAAACCATGTCTAGAAATTATGGTCGGAGAACAGTTTGTCGCTGTATCCATGAATCCAGGTTTCAACTGGACCATACAAAGAGGAACCTAAAAACAAACGTGATGCAGAAACACCCTCCACTCTGAGGATTCTATTTGGAAATCATGCACATTACATCCTCCCTTAAGAGAAGATGGACCACCCGGCTTGTTATCAGCACACAGTTCAAAACCAGCATTCCCAAGCTACCCATGCCACAATCTTACAATACACTCTGGATGTGTTACACCAGTATGGCTCTGTAGTAGAGGAGTCCAGATGCTTAAAAAAAGGGTTTCAGTATTAAAAAACAAAAACATTTTTTTCTGTTCTTGTCCCTGATGCTTTTTTTGCTCTAGAAGTCTACTTATGCCAAACCCACGCATGTCCGAGGGAAAAAAGTCCAACTCTGTCTTTAGTGTGAAGAAAATTTCTCAATGAAAAAAGATCCTGGATTGTTCAAAAAAACATCAGGCCTCGATGCAGTCAAGCAAAATTTCAAAATGACTGAGGCTGCGTCAGCAACATGTGAAACTTCTCCCCCACAAAAATCCCAACATTTGGTTTAGATGAAGATGACGACAGAAAATACCAAACACACTCACACTGCTCTGGAAACTCCCATCTATCCTAACTGGATTGTAGATGTGGCAGGAGGTTAAGTCAGTCTAGGGACAGAGATCAGAATCTGGTTCTGTAAAGGATTTGGTTTCACATTTTTTTAAACCTGGAAAAAACCTCAAGTCAAGTCACCTCATTCCAACCACATCACTATTATACATTCAGTTGTCTTGTAGAGTTTTTGAGTGAACTTTCGATGTTGCAAAATAATTTATTGCAAGCATTTATTGCAACCACCATGACTAAGCACATCAGCATCATGCTTTAAATCAAACCAACATGCTGAACCTCCCAATGATGGGCCAAACAAACTCTAGCAGCTCCTCCCGCTGCTGCATTTGATCATTTTCAGAAATGTGGTCATGAGTTGAAATGGCAGTGTGAGATGCTACAGTTGTGTACCCTAGAGTGCTGTTTGACGATACTGTGTGTATATGGCACTAAAGAAAGCTGTAAAAGCCAGTTTCCATGGTAGTGCACAGAGGTGTGTGTGGTTTCTTATGTGTCATGTAGATACAGTCGGCCTACCACCAGCTGCTGCAGGCTATTATTCATCCTATGAGTCGTCTGTCTGTGCCGAAATTCACTCTTTGAAGGGTGGAAAAATTGAGTCATTGTGAGGTCGCTTGTCGGAAAATCTGTGATTCAACAAAATCAGAAATTCAGTCGAGGGATTTAAGGTCAAGCTGTGCGCTCTTGACTGTAACGGCATACTGTAACGTGCTATTTTTAGACACAGCATTGAAGAGTCGTGATTGTGGAGTATGTTTATGTGTGTAACTAAGCCACTATTAGTGCGAAGCATTTATATTGTGTACCATCCGAGCAGATGGTCCATGTGGGCTAAAGGCAGCTGTTTCTTGTCTAATAAGACTCGTCTGAGAACAGGAAATAAAAGCTCGGCTGGTACAAAGCTAACAAGAAGATCCAAATGCCAATGGTGTTTTCAGTCTCAGCGCTCTCATGGTTCAATATCCCGGCATTAGTTAGTAACCCTGGAGACTTATATGATCAAATTCCTCGTTTGATCATTCAAAACTTCAGGATTAAGTCCAAGCTGTTGATGCCTTTTTTTCTCAGGAGTGTTTACACAGTAGTTAACTTAAATTTATCAAGAAGGATGACAGCATAACACCAGGTTTCCATTTTGAACTAGTTTTTAGCATCTGCAGTTCAGACAGGGAACTTGTTTTGGTACATTTTTGATTAATTTCTAAGTCTTTCTTACATTTTGTTCCTGATAAGCTCTTGACTTCAGGCTGCAAAAATCTTTCCTTATTTGCTGCTTCATTTTGATCTCATGAATCAAAATGAAACAGCAGTCGGAGTCATCATAGCTTTTTAAAAAAATTTTTAACCCAAAAGCCATCAGAGGTGCAGAACTACATTTTGGTTTTGTTTGATGCACAATGCTGATGTGTTTTGCCACAGATGTTGAGTCACTTCCTTGGCAGGTAGTGATGTTGCACCACAAATTGTTTCCAAAATCTTAACCTGACACTCGATGTTTGTTTATTTGTGCTCTGTTGCTCTTCTGTGGCTCAACCCAAGATATAACATGATGGCTCTTTAGCAGCAATGATGCTGAGTTCATAGTAGACCCAGGTTTCAATACCCAACCATGCTCCAGAGCTGGCTTTCATTCAAATCTTGCTTTTATCCAGGGTTAAAAGAGTCAAATTAAAGGTAACCTTGCTAAATGATTTACTCAGCCAACTCTCCAAAACTCAGAAATAATTTTTTACAACTGGATAAACTTGAAAAAGCAGGAAGTCCTCAGTGATAGGCAGATCTCTACCTTGTAGCTTTCCCAGCAAACACCAGGTGGAGCCAGAGTTCAAACCATAACTAGATCCTTGAGCAGCCGCCTTCAGTGTATAATTAACTTTTATTAAGGAGAGTTTTCTTCTCTATCCATCCTCTCCAGGTAGTATAGCAGCCCTCTGGTGGGACCCCATCCAGAGGCTGCTGTTTTCAGGGGCTGCAGACCACAGCGTCATCATGTGGGACATCGGGGGCCGCAAAGGACGGACATTACTGCTGCAGGGACACCAGTGAGTCCTTCATTGTTTCTTCTTTGCACAGATGCTGCTTTTGCGTGGTCTCCTCTGTTTGTTTCAGGGCTTCAAAAATAGATCACAGGAAAAAAGAGATGGTGTCATGAACAGCTGGCCCCCCAGGCTCTCCCTGTTTGTTTTTCTCCTCTTCATACATTTTTCAGCACTTCCTCTTCCCCCACCCATCTTACAGGAATCATCAACAAAGCCCCTGTACAGTGATGCGTGTCAGTACAAACCACCGCAGATCCTTTTGAGCCCCAGATTTACAGAGGATTGTCTCTTAGAAAAACCACAAAAATGATTCTCATGTGACTCTGACGGGCTCTTCTTCCTGTGTTGACTTGGTCTTCATCAGTTCACTGTTTATTTTTCACATTCTCTTACCTTCCTCTTCTTCTAATTTTACTATTTTATCAAACTATATTTGTAACATTTATGTAAAACACCCAATATGAAGAAGTGTTGGAATGATATTTAATATTTTAGTGAAGTCATTTAATAGTTAATTGGCTTTATTTAGAGTTTAATGTAGACTCTGTATGATATTTGTTCAAGGAAAGGGGCCTCAGATAGTACATAGTGGTTTTTTTTTCTTTTAAAATCATAGATTGAGATGAAACTATTAAAGTGCTCTGTCCTCTCTCTCTCTCCCTCAGTGAGCGTGTTCAGGCCCTACGCTACCTCCAGCTGACCAGACAGTTGTTATCGTGCTCAGCCGATGGAGTAATGGCTGTTTGGAACATGGACGCACAAAGAGAAGAGGTTTGCAGCGCTCTTATGAAATTATCCCATTTGCTTCTCTCCTTTTCATCTCAGCTATGCTCTTTGCACCGGGAGGAAGCTTCATTTTGACAGCACTAGGAGAGTTCATTTAGTAGGTGCATGTTAATGACTCAGAGTGACATTTAAAAGTTCCTTTTTCTCTTTTTTTTCTCCCTTTTTAAAAATCAAAAAGATCAACTTACATTTATAACTTGTGACATGAGCAGTTTTACACCTTGTTTCGACCTTGATAATTTGGGCTCATAGGTCGTGAGGATTAGCAATCCAACATGTCATATTATCAGAGTATTTCCAACTAAAAAAAAAATTTAAACACAATGAAAATTCAAACTTCTGCTTAGTTATACACTTCATATGTGGTTGGCTATAGCTGGTCTGTATTTTTGGGTTGGCTGTTACTCATCATCCTCTCTTTAAGTTTAGGTCAGGCTAGTTTGCTCGCCAGTTAAGAGCAGCACCATGGTCAGCAAACCACTTGGTAGTAGTTTTGGCGCTGTGGGCAGGTGCACAGTCCAACTGGAAAGGGAAATTAACATCAAAATCTCCTGGCAGACTTTAAGCTGCGTTAAACCTGGACTCAGTGGAGCAACACCAGCAGATGACCTGACACCACAAATAACCGTAGGCCGCTAAAAAACTCACAGTGGACTCCACACAGTTTGGAGCCTCTGCTAAATTGCTGAATTAACTTTCATCTGAAATCAGGACTTAAGAACTGTAAGCGATAGTCCAGTCCTCTTACTCCTTTGCAGAATGAAGACTCTGGTTCAGGAGTGTCTCTATGTTAGGGATTATGGACAGTTGTAGTCTCTCTCCTGAGGATGTCTGTGTTTGGTGGCTCTTGATGCTCCGACTCCAGCTGAAATTCATGAATGAACTTTTCATGACGACCCTCTCATGACTGCAGGGGTTCCTGTTGGTCACTTTTTCCTCATAAACTTTTACCCTCCAGTCAATTTTCCATCAATATGCCCTGAAACGGCTCTCAGCCTTTACAACAGTGACTCCCTGTAGCTAACCCTCTTTAGGAAGGGTGTCCATGATTGTGCTCTGGACACCTGTTGAGTCGGCAGTCGTGATTGTGGTTGTTTCTACTGAGTTAGACGAATACAGTTTTAACCACAACATAAAATGAGATGTTCTAATGTTTAAGGTTCGATATTTTTTTACATTTTTTGAGCTGTGGGACAAAACTATCAAGATTAAATAGACAAATGTTTGAAACATTGATGCTCCACCTGTGTTTCTTCTGCAAGTCTCAAAGTAGTCTTTACCGGCATGTTCCTCTCTAGGCGCCTCAGTGGTCAGACAGCGATTCTTGCCAGAAGTGTGAGCAGCCTTTCTTCTGGAACATCAAGCAGATGTGGGACACAAAGACCCTCGGGCTCAGACAGGTAGAACAGTCTTTCCTCTTTCTGAAATCAGTCCACCGGTGAATCAGCTGATATTTTGTGTATTTCTTTATCACTCAGCACCACTGCAGGAAGTGTGGAAAGGCCGTGTGTGGGAAGTGCAGCTCTAAACGCTCCACATTCCCAATCATGGGTTTTGAGTTCCCGGTGCGGGTGTGTGATGCGTGCTTCGACACCATCAAAGAAGAAGAGTGAGTTCAGAGCTTTTCTTTCCTCTGGATAATACCAACATTATGAATCAATTTTGAAGTACATGACATTTCTCTTATTAAACCCCACCTGTGTGTTTGTACGTGTCTTTGTGTATGTGTCTCTGTGTGTGTGTGTGTGTGTGTGTGTGTGTGTGTGTGTGTGTGTGTGTGTGTGTGTGTGTGTGTGTGTGTGTGTGTGTGTGTGTGTGTGTGGTACAGTCGAACAGCACTGGCCACATTCCACGAAGGGAAGCACAACATCGCCCACATGGACATGGACCCATCCAGAGGCCTGATGGTCACTTGTGGAAGCGACCGCATTGTTAAGGTGAACAACAGTTCTGTGATAGCAGATAATTCATGCATGTAGTGTAGTTTATCCCTCACAACAATAACAATAACAAACAATATCACAGACTCATGTTTCTCTAGAGTCTGAAATAAATCACGGGCTTTATCTCATACTGCTATTCATGCAAAAAATGATTGAAGTTAAAAAAAAGTTAAAACTTGAAAGAAGTAAAAGAAAAACCAAAGAGTGTGAACTACTGTGATGAAAACATGTAAATGTACCTTTTTATGATTAATTATTGATTTCAAATACCTGCCTTTATATAACCCTGTATTACAGTGTTATAGTTGTTTCTTTTACTTGATTACTTACTAAATATACGTACAGACATGAGACTGCTCATTTAGGAAACCTAGAATTAGCATTAACCTCTAACCTCTGGTGTCAGTCTTCAGCTAAGCTGCCTCAGAGTCTAATTATTGCAGATTAATAACCTGAAATTATTGAAGCTTCGACAGTCCAGCACTCTGGAGTTTCGTTTGTTGAGTTCTGCTTTGAACCCCTCGCCTCTCCTCTTACTGTTATTGGTTGTTTCTCTCCACAGATCTGGGATATGACGCAGGTGGTTGGCTGTAGCTTAGCAACAGGCTTCTCTCCTCGCTGATTGGCCTCGGGCTCACTACATGGTCCTCCTCTCCCCCCACCTGCTCTGTGCTCCTCCCACTCTTCCAGTGTCATGGAAACCCCTCTGTACAGTTAATCTCCCGCTCTGCCGGAGACCTTCAGCCTGCTCTCGGTGAATGTGTGTGTGTGTGTGTGTGTGTGTGTGTGAGTGTACGAGTGTGTGTGTGTGTGTGTTAATGGTGCCGCCCCACACATTCCTTTTGCTCCTCATAATGAATTTTTCCTTAATTTCTCTGTCAGTGAGCGCCTGAAGGTGTGTGACTGATTTTCGCTTCGATATAAACAGAACCCTAAGCACAAAGGTGTGTGTGTACATGTGTGCATGTATTGTGATGATTTCTCCTGTGGGAGGACTGCTATTGATATTAATGTTTATATTATACAAATATTTCCAATGCTTTTTCTGACAAAGGTCATTTTTTATTACCCTTGCACTGTAAATTTCACTAAACTGCTGACCTGCCATCCCTGTACAAACACTAGCCTGCTTCTTACTGTGACCCCTCATCTGCATATTACTCAGTCACTGTAACATGTACAAAACCCTGACCATATGTATATAAACACTTGCATCATGTGTATTGTAGATAGTTGCTTGAATTAACTCTCACTGACCAGAGTGAGCAGCTTTTTTCCTTGTTTTCAGTTTCTTTCCTTTCACTAGTTGGCCTTAAATCACTCTCAGGAGGTTTTACATCACAGGGCAGGGGCTCATCATGTCACTTGTGACCATTATTCATGTGTTATCTCTCACTCATAAGAACAGATCCTTTGGAAATCTCATATAACGTGAAAAACGATGCTGCTGCAGCAGATATTTGATGAGTTCAGGCTTGTTTGCATGAGAGCTCAGACCCAGGAAACTGGCATATGTTGAGAAAGTAAACTTGACTCACATGGGCGCAATCAAACAGCCTGTCTCAGCAGCTGACTGTATTCACTAGGGGGCCATTTTCCACTGACGTCATGCTCAGGGTAGGAAGCTCAAATGCTGTCACAGAGTCCTACTTCTGTGCTTCATGTGGTTTTTAGATTGATCAGGAGTCTCTGTATAAATAGGTGGTTGGCCTAGAACCCAAATTACAGAGACTGTAGTCCTTATCACAGCAGTCTGACTCCCAGCCATGAGCATTTACAGTCTGTTTTACGCTTTACTCCCCACTGTCTCAATCAAAAAAGTAAAAAATTAACCACATTACAGAAAAGAAAAGGTTAGGCCTGAAAATGGTCCCAAAAGTGAAGACAAAATATTGGAAGGTTCCCCCTACTGGCTGGTTGCGGTTATAAAACCCACCTCCATCACATGCCACAAACTAGAAAATCAAAATATACACAGAGTTTTTTCTTGATCATGGTTTCTGTGATTCTGTGATACAGGAAGTGGAGAATTTGGCTTTTGACAACCATGACTAATATCTAAGAAAAATCTCACAAAACAGTCAGAGTTAAACTCAGTTTATTCAGCATGGCAAAAACTGGAGCAGAAACTGCAGGTGAATTATGGAAAAACTGGTTTGTGGTGTGTCGCTTATGTGAGTAGAGCTCTCATCAACTGTGGTCCGCCTGTTGGTTAAACATTGCACAGTGGTACAGCTCAGACACAGTCTATGGCATATCTGGCCTACAATGTAAAAAATGTTTCTATTTTAATTAACTGGCTCAAACAACTAATTAATTTAGTTACCAGGTTGTACTTGGACCTGACACCACAAATAACCATAACCACCTTGGTTACCAACGTTAACCAAGTTTGCTAATTTGTGAGTAATGAAAAATATGAAGATCGTCAAATTCTCTGCACTGAAAACATACTAATAAGAACAGAGTTAAGAGACATAATGAAAAAAATTAGAGCTGCAAGATTTCCAGTGGAAAATGGCTGCGATGTGGATACGTTGGACTTAAGTTACCACAGTATGGAAGCCCTGAAAGGCAAATAACAAAAGTCAGCCTGTTCTCAATTTGGCTTTTTCCAAAAACGCTGACAAAGTATGTGTTTAACCTTTGCACATGTTGTCAAAACTCTCCGATTATTTATACAAAACACACAACAAACTTAATCTGCCCTGGTTGTGTGTGGAGTACATGAGAGTTAAATTAAAACTTCTATCAAGAACATTGGCTGGTGGGAGTGGTGCCTCTTGTGGCTGAACTAAGTATTATGGGTACAAACACATTAAATAAATTTTCTTGAATTTTCAAATATATTTGATCTTTTTGCCTCTCAGGGCCACCATACAGATCTTATTTTTAGAGGGAAATGCTTTAGAAAAAATCCATTATCACCACCTCCTAGAAATGTATCACTCGCAAACACATAAACAAAAAAGAAATAAAATCATGCAGGCAGATACCACAGGACATGATTGTAAAAAACCAATACTCTGATGCCTCCTATAAGAGTTCTATATTTTCTTGAGTGGGAATATCAGGTTTTGTGGTGCGAAATTTCTCCCCATTGAAAGGCACTTATCAGAAAGGCTCTCTAAGTAAATGTAGCACTAAAAGCTGAATCGCGCTGCCTGTGCTCCTTCAAAAGCCTTAAAGAGAGAAGGACATGCTCACAAAGCCTTTTTAGTGTATTTGTTTTCAGTGCGTACGACTGTTCACTCACTCATTCACTCACCTCTTTGTGAAGCTTCCTTTCAGCCTGTATTGTGTTTAAAATTCAGCTCTCCTGCCCCCCACACATCTGTGCATCAAGGATGTCTCTCATCAACACTGCACTGAATTGCACAACTCTTTGTCTGCGACTCTGAATTTCAGAACATTTTTGTAAGTTCATATTTGGGAGGGATAATTCCTTGATTTGATGTAGCGTCTTTGTACATAGCAGCTAGTATCTTCTAATGTTAGACTAACGCTTGCCTTATTGTGAGTGAGGAAATGAGCATTATAATGTATGATTTCCAAAATGTAGCCACATTCCAGGTTTTTGATCATGTAGTGTATATTTATATTTGTAGTAAAGTATTTATCTGTTATCATTGAATGTGGTCGTTTACTTTTCTTTTCCTTCCTAGTTTTAACAAACATTATTTAAAAACCCTTTTATTGAAGCACATGCAAACGCACATCATCTAGTATTTACATCATCAGCTTCACAGATAGACAACAATAATGAAACATTAAACTATGGAAACTATTTGAGTTTGAGGGAAATTGAGCGTGTGAAAGTTAATAAAGTGCAGAAATGTTACTGATCTCTAATTGAAATATGTAATAAAACCTGCAGAAATCTTCTTTTTGATGCTCAAGTGCTGCAAAACAACCTGGTAACACTGCGAAGGAACATTGCTTTATGCAGCTCATCCAGTCAGGAGGAGCTGACTATTTTTACTATCTCTGAACGAAATGAGCTGGATACAAGGTCTGAATAATTGGTGCCTCGAGCTAGAGAAGCTTAACTGAAGGATCTCGATGGTTTAATTAGCCTTCAAATTCCTCTGTGGACGCATCAGTTGCAGGAAAATAACTGTGCTGTGCTGTTAGAACATCATGATTTAAAAATGAGCTTTTACTGTGAAGCTGATGTAATTGATTAAATAACCCCACTAACTATGAGTCTCTGTTTGCACAGACATTGTAGAAAATACTATGTCCAGTTTGCGTCACGTAACTATGATAGCAACATTAGAGTATTTAGTAGTAATAGTATAAGACAGACTGTTAGACCATCCTTCTCCAGAACAGACACGATTTCCTGTACAAGCTTTCAGAGGCCTTCAGTACAGTTTTGACCCGAGGTCCAGCTCCATATTTTATATTTCAAAACTCACCAGAGTGTAAAAGTGCATCACAACTTAGAGAGTAATATCTGAAGTTCAAATTCACAGTTTAGAGAATGATTTTCCTCTGTAACGATGTTATCATAAAGCCTTAGCGCTCCTGTGTACTCCAGTTTGGGTTGATTTTGGCGCCCCCTGTGGACAAAAATGTACATTTGATCTTTTCCCTGATTTTGTTCTGCTCATGTGTACCTTCTGCTTCTTCCCAAAAACTTATCTTAGTCTCTTTTAAAGTCCGATGTATAACTAAAAAAAGTCTTAAACATGGAACATGTAAGAAAATCAGACACTTACCCCCTGCCAATAGTTTCAGCCTTCAAGTCTCTCTGCTTATTCTTTTTTTAGCAGTTTTAGGACAAAAAGAGAAATCTGTATTAATTTTGGTATGATTCGTGACCAGCTAAAAAGTTCTCAAAAGAAGCTTTTATATGTTTTTAAGGCTTTGAGCTGATCCATAGTTCCCCTAAGTGGCTGACTGACTATTTCTGAGCACAAAAAAACAACAGCCCTAAAATACAACCTTTACTCATAAGATAATTGCTTTGTTCTTATCACATAATAACTTTTTTTCTTGATGTTTGTCCCTAATATGGTCATTTTTCGCCTATTGTTGAAAAAGCCAGCAACCGAACCACTTTCTCAAATTTTCATCTATCTTGAGACTGTATGTACAGGACTGGAATGAATGTGAGTTTGTTGTTGGCTTTGGAAACACAGGTCCCATTGAAAAATCCAGAGTTAACAAAATTATTGAAGCTCATTCATGTTTAAGTTCCCTGAATACTACTGAACTTTTAGAAAATGGCAACTTCAAATGTCACAACCCAACTTATGTCATAAAGCCACACTGGGATCAACAGGGTAACAGAGGAAGCTGCTGTACAGTCAGTGTCGTAGATTTTCATCCTGTCTGTCCTGGTTCTTCGGCCAGAGGACGAGATAGTGGATTTCTGCTGTTTGATATTTTCTTTGATGCTGTTTTTAGACCCTTTTTCTTTCCAGATCAACTCTTGGTAAAAAATTGCCTGAAACACCTTCATCTCAAACTCTTCTCCATTAAATTCCTTAGTCTAACTTGTTTTTTTTCCGGCTGCTTGTAAAAGTCACTCACTGTTCCAACATGTTGTTGCTAATGAATATCTAAAAAAAATGTATTTTTAAACACTTTTGTTGACAATACAGTAAATACATTACTGACTTTGGTCTCTCTGTGCGCTCTGTCCAAGAGAGAAAATACTCAATGCTTAATAAAGACCAACTGGTATGTTTTTTCGCTTTGGTTTTGTTTTTCTGGAAGTCCATGTGCATACAAAGCAAAAAGTCAATGAATTATATTTATAGAGTGTTTTTGTGCAGAAGAAAGTCACAGTGCTTTACATGAAGATATATGGAAAATATTTAACTAAAATCAAGGAGCAACATCAGAGAGGTAATGTGGAGTTTTTCATGAGTGCTTAGGTGCGGCTAAGACACAGAGCATCAGTTTTTTTCTTGATTTTAACACGCATTTACAGGACAGGCTTAAGCCAAAGTCACAGTCAGTAAAGAGCTTCTCGAAAAGGTGCAGTACAGATAATATAATATAATACAATAAGTGTTTTTTTTTTATTGCACATCAAGTGATGCTGACACAGAGAGCACTTCACCAGCTTGAGCTCAGTCTACAGCAGGACATTTTTAGCATTTCACTCTTCTACTCAAAGTGGCTTTGCCCATATGTCTAATTTCAGTCAATCAATAGAAATGGTTTGCTACCATACACCAATAATAGTTTTTGAAATATAGACAACTTGTAACCAAATCACTCGGCTGTGCTAAAATACTTGATTCTGATTGGTCAATTCCCCCTAAAATAGTTATGAGTTGCAAGAACAATCAACGTCTGTCAAGCAGATCATGCTTCATACCAAATCACTCCACAACAAATATTTGCAGCTGATTTCACTTCTTCTCGTTGACACTAAATATGTTAGCTTTTGTTATAATGCTAACCTGGCAGGCTAAACCATAGACATAATATATGAGGTGTCTACATGTATTATGTAGACACCTCATAGACTAATGCTGCCTATTAGAGCTGACGTTTCTGTACGGCCCCCTAAAACCTGTCTCAGGCTACCCTCATGTGAGGTAGGGTGTTATAAGGGTGGGTTGTGGGAAGGTGGGATTATAAGCAGTCAAGAGGGAGTAGGGTGAGACATAAGGAGTGGCAGGGTGAAAAAAGAAAGACTCTGGGTAGGTTACTATGAGAAGGAGTTTAGGTAGGGTAGGATGGGTGTGAATTGAGGTAGGATGGAGTGAGAAGGAGTGAAGGTAAGGTGGGATGAGTGTGAGTGGATAAAATGGGGTTAGGGTAGAGTGGGTTCAAAATGAAGAGTTGAGGTAGCCTACAATGAGAACCAATTATGAGAGGGTGGGATTAAAAAGGGGTTGAAGTCTTGAGACTCAGATTTGATGCAACTGTTGTTCCACTTACCCAGATGAGGTGTGGGTTTTAGTGGGAAAGGGAGGAATAAGGCCAACCCCGCAAAGAGTTGACCCGCTGAACAGACACTCTTGCTAAGTTTACTAAAAACTGTCTGAACTCATTCAAATGATCTTTGGAATCAGTCTTTTTTTCTGTGTTTTCGACAATGAAACACCTTTCTGAGAATCTTTAAACAGGATGTGATGAGACTACTTGTACCTGTGTTCAGGACATTAAATGAGTGTTTCAATAAAAAGTGACTCATCAGCAGGATTTTGAAGAAAAAATACACAGATTATTGCTCATCAGTTTTTGCGATAAAGATTCAAAACACACTTGTGGACGAAATAATGTCACAGAGTGTCCTGACACAGTGACTCATAAGAGCCTGCGAGTGACATTAATAATGCACAGACTCTGTGAAAGGAGTCTGGTGACTCAAAAGGAACACACACACACACATACACACACACACACACACACACACACACACACACACACACACACACACACACACACGAGATGTAGCAGACCAGAAAACTTGGTAATGAGGATGTTCTTCTGTCAGGATGACACTTCAAAACAAAATGTTCAAGCAAAGAAATCATAGAGGGTTAAAAAAACAAATGAAAAAATCCCCTAAGATTTCAGACATGAAAGGAGAAGTGACCTGTAATTTTTAGGGTCTGCTCATCATGTTTTAAATTCACAATGTTGTGCTTCTCTGTAGAAAAAGCGTGATGGAGGAGTCCTTTTCACCTTTTGTGAAGTTTTAATTTTAATTATTGTGTAAACTTTGTTTTTGAATTTTGCTCAGGCTTCATTTAAATTTCATTGAGCTTTGATTCAGGATTTTGTTTTTCTTTTGCAGGTAGAATTTAGATTTTTGTGGGAGTTAGTTTATAATCTTCTTAACATAGACACATTATAAGGAGGTCAAGACTAGTTTTTCATGTTGTGTGTCTTGTGGGCTGATACTAGACACCTCAATTTCTCTACCACATTATGCATCAAACACTCCACCTGTCCTGGTGCACTTGACCTACTCTTCGCCGTGGCCGTTGCAAGTCCCGTTGTCGCCTGTCTCCATGGCGCTACAAAGGCCAGGCTCTGGCTGTCTCATCCTTCAGGAAAAGGCATCGGTGTAGTGGCCAGTTTGGCAGAGCAGACTGTAAACCACTTGTGAATCTTCATGTTTTGCTGCTGCGAACTACTAAGTATGAAAGAAACCCACTGAAAGAGCACATAGCTTACTTTAAAAATGTGCGCTAAGTAAATTGATGTTACTTCCTTTTTTTTCAGTAAGGCCAGGCTGTTGCGGTGCAGATTTCCATCAAGTAAATTCACAGACCATTGTTTCTTTAAATTTTTAATGTCTTAATGATCATGAATACAACGTTAAAGTAACAGAAAGTAGCTCTTAGCGTAAATATATCTGTGTCACAAATGGCGTGGCACACTCCTTTTGGAAGGCGGGCCAGGCCCCCTATGGCCCACCCATGGCGACAGGTGTGATCTCATCCCTCTCCTACTCATCTGTCTTATGAAACCATTGTGCAAATTTCCCTACTTTGCTACACTGACTTTCCTGTGACTTTATCCACAGGGCGTATGATTTCTTTGATATTTCTCAGATGTTTAGTGCTTTGTATGGATGTAGCAAAGTCAAAATGACATCAGTATAGAGAACAAAACTGTTTGGTTAAGTGTATGCACTTAAATTTGCCTCCTAATATTGAAAAAAACAAACAAACATGTTACCTTATGTATCTTTTGGCACACTGAGATTGAGCCTGTAGCTGGTGTTGTGAGTTGATAATGCAGTGTGTGTCTGTGACTTTGGTCCTATCAGATTCCCATCTGATTGACAACTTCCATAAAGTCACTATAACAGACTGGATTGTGTTTGTGTTGGTGTGTTGTTATGGAAAGTGCTCTCTCTGTTAGCGAGATAACATCCTGTAAAAAGTCATTAAAAGGCAGCATCACTATTGAACACTCCCGTTCAATAACATGTTTAATCCTCATAAAGCTGAGCTCATTTGTTATACAAACACTTGCAAAGCGTTACAGATCTCCCTCTGCCTATGTGAGTTCATTAAGGTATCATGAGGCTGTAAACTCACAGTCTATCTTCATATTCATCTCATTTTAAGCCAGAGGATGTGTTAAAACTCCAAATGCTTCAGACTCTGATTTTTTCGTCATCAGTGGGATGATACATGAAGCTCTGCCTCGGTCAGTACATCGATGTTGTTAGTGTTGGCAGTGTACTGTTAGAAACCTTCTCTGGTCTCAGTGAGGCTGAAATGTCTTGGCGAGGTCTTCCAGTAGGGACATCAACTTCTGCTCCTCCAGGGGGGAGCTATGGGTCCAGGCCAAAGGCAGGTGGGTGGACACTATCTTTCTGTCTGTTGCACAAAAACACAGATAAATGTAATACAGAGGTAAATGTGTGATTCTTTTCCTTTACATAATGTCTGGAACAGCTTGTTTAGAAGTAGTTTAATTTGATCCTAAATTTTAGGATCAAGTTTTGAGGTGAGGCTGTTAAAAACAAGGTTCACAATTGGATGGTAACAGGTTAGCCAGTCTTATCAGTCTTTGTGTGAGCGTGTGTTTTGTTAGTTATGTGTGTTTAAGCATTAGGGTTGTATTACTTTGTGCTCTCATAGACGCACTGTACTCTCTGGCAGTATCTGGCACCAAAAGCAGCCCACTCCAGCTGCATGGACACAAGCCAAAGCCTCTAACACTCACACAACTGCACACTGTGTCGGCCCACAACCGACAGAATTCAGCCAGCTGCCCACTTCTCTACTTTACTCTTTTCTTCTCTCCATCCTCTCCACTCTACAAAAAAAAAAATCTGTGTTTTAGCTTGTTTTGTCGAAGTGTCTTTGAACCTTCAGACCTCAATGTTATCCTACCAACTCCAAAAGAAGCACCACATGAATAATTATCACAGTTAGTGGTTTAATCTTTTAAATATGTTCGACTGGAAACATTTATAATTTCAGATAAAAAGGATTCACGTGTTATCCAACACATTTTCAGAGCTCAGTGCATGGTCGACAGTCAAGGTCTGACAGCAGAAGAGATCCATTACTGGATGTTGTAGGCATAAGACTGTTAAAGGGAATTGTCACAGATAGCTGCAGCATGCCCACCTGTTGGTTAAATCAGCTATGCTATATTATGCAAAACTATCAATGTTAATAAAATCAAAATTAAATATCTACCTCTTCAGTTTTCCACCAATTGGTACACACCAAACCCAATTTTTGAAATAGTGTGCGTGTTTAATCGTGTTGTAAATATTGGCATTTTTGATATGAGCTCTATGGAGATCCCCTGGCCAGCCTCTAGTGGACTCTTGCAGAACTGCAGTTTTCATCACACCCCTGCATCAAGTGTTCACATGAGGCTGCATCCAAAAGCCAAGGACCCCCCTAGACACCAATGTTGGAAAGGCCTTTAATACAGCAGAGGTCAAATGTTTTCAGCCTGCTATAAAAATAGTTGTAGTCTTATTTGTCATCATTCCCATATTAACTTTTCAACACATTTCCCTTGAAGATATTGAGGTCATGGGTTTTGCAGAACAAGTCATCATAAAGGATGTGTTTGCAGTGACTGATAAGCATGCACACTATCTAGGAGGCCAGGCTCAACATCCCATCTTTGCCTCTTGCTAAGTTGATCTGATCAAGTAAAGCTGAGTCAGTATTTTCAAAATGGTGACTCAAAAATCGTCTCTAAATAAGTAGGTGAGTAAAACTGAGAAACTCTGCTATTACTCTGCAGCATACCCTGATAGAAGTGTCCGCTGGGGTTTTTGGCAGCGGCCTCAGAAACAGCCAGCCACACCACGGTGTCGGCGCCTTGCTCAGGGGTACGAAGGCTGTCCTTCATGGAGCGATGGAAGTCTGGCATGGCATTGGCCACCGCTGGCACAGACGCAGACGGAGAGAGGGAGAAGTTCCTGAAGTGTTGCATTATTCTCTAAAGGGGTTTAAGTTAAATTGACTTCTATTTAGGTAATGCCTGTGACTCACCAGGGGTGTCGACCCACCCGGGATGCATGACGGAGAAGTGGATATTAGTGTGAGCCTTGGCCAGCTGCTCTGTCATTACCACCTGCTGCCTCTGAAAACACACACACACACACACACACACACACACACACACACACACACACACACACACACACACACACACACACACACACACACACACAGGGTGAAACATAGAGTCACTGAGGGTAACTCTGATACTCTAAACCTGGCTTTTATTATTTTGTTGTTTACAGTTATTTTGTATTTGCAGGTGGCAAACGTGTGGAAATAATCACTTAAAAGAATTGAATATTATACCTCAGTGTGCTGACATTGACTCTCAGCCTTTTTTAAATTGAAACTGTGTAAAGTCATCACAAACTGTTGAATCCAGAGGTTTTAAGACACCTGTATTAAACAATCTTTATTTATACAGTTAGCCCTATCGAGACAAAATGAGGAAGTCTAGACCATACTTTTTAAAAATACTATTTACAGTGACAACAGGAGGAGTTCTTGATTCTTTAAGTCTCTTGTTCTGTGTTGAATATTATTTTGTGTTTCTGCTCTCCCTGTGTGTAGCATTGTTTAATTTTCTTGTGCCCCTGTTGTCCTTGTGATTTTTTTTACTGTTTAGTTCCCCAGGTTCAGTCTTCAGTGATTCCTGTTTCAGTATTAGTACTTAATCTTGGTGCGTGCTCAGTCCAGTTTACTTCCTGTATTTTTCCTCTTGTGTGGCTTTCACTTGTGTTTGCATCTGTTGCTTGTATAGCAGCATAGAAATATATATCTATTTCATTCTATGCGGTGTGCTGCTTCACTTAACGTGCACCCCTAGGATTTCGTTATTACTTCACAACCCTGTGTGTGTGTGTTATGTGTACCTAGGTGAAATTTTGATTTGTTTTGGTGGATCCTTCCCCTTTCACTATCCCTCTATCCATCTGGTAAGCCTCAGCTCCTAATCAAGTTTTCCCCTCTGTGTGAATGCTGTGTTTTAAAAATGACTTTTAATGAGTGATGTAAAATGAAGTTTATATTTTGGCAATTGGAAACATGTCTCTGGCCTCTGAGTGTAATAAACATTGCCAGGTAGGTTAAAAATATTACTTAGACTGTAAACTTCCTCCACTCGCTGTAGCTGCCAGACTTGTTTCCCTGTGTATTTAGACTCTGTGTTTCCATCTTTCTGTGTGAGGTTACTCTATCTTTTCCTGTGTTTATTCTGTGGTTCTGCTTTAGTTTCATTGTGTTTTCAGTTTATCTTTTTTGGTTCCTAAAGACTTTCCTTTTGGAATTTTTCCCTGTTTTTGTCATTTGTTTAATTAAATTCCTCTTACTTTGTGCTGGGCGTAGACCATGGTGCCGTCAAAGCGACCTCTGTCAGACTGTAGGTTTCCTGTCCGCAGCTTCTGCACCAACATCCCTCCTGATGACACTGTGATCTGAGTGTGACCAAACACAGCACAAGTCAGGGCATAAAAGGGGCAAGGGTAAAAACAGGCATAAGAACTGATGCTGGGTGATTAATCAGATTTTAATATCAAAATCCAGATTTGTCTCCCTCCAATCATAAAAATATCATGATTGAGACTGAATAATCATTGTGCGGCTAGCTGTGTTGCCCCCGTTACAGCCTCTCCTTTGATAGAAATGCACCCTCCCTCTCTTTCCTATAGCAGCAGGACGTCAAACAGCTCTCACTTTTACTTAATCATAAACAACTTGGATCAAAGCAAGACATTGTCTGGGAGTTGTGACTGTCCATCTGTGACCATCAGGTAGCCACAGGTGGAGAGAGGAGAGCAGGGAGAGGAGCAGGGGGAAGCAGGTGAGTATATCCATGCATGTCTGAAAAGCCAAGGGACAGAGTAGGCAGGATGAGAGAGGCTGTAGCAATCACAAATGCTTAAGAGAAAGTGAAAGACATTGGCCTGGAACACCTTTATATTCAATCATGGTTTCGATATCAATCAAAATAATTGTGATAACGATTTCTGACGCAATTAAGCAGCCCTGAAACTCAGTTCTTTGTGATTCTCTGTGTAAATTTGTAAGACATAACCCAGGTTTGTTCATTGTATTTCAATTTTTGGTCTATTTTCACTCTCCTTTAAACTTGTGATACAACACAGGTACGTTTCAGAGACAAAATTTACCCCTGAAAGCTCCTGCGAGGAGCTTTAAGTTTGTGCCCCCCTGCAGGCATAGTGATACCTCTTTGTTAAACTTGGTCTGAACACATTTGGGTCAGGTTTTCTGACAAAAACTGTTGGCAGTCAGTTTTATCAGTGTCTGGACTAATAATTTAAGCTTGGGCTGTTTTAGCATTGTGCTTATACTTGCCTCATCTGACACTAGCTTTACAGTGGTTTCAGGTGCAGAACATAGAAGACAAAGTGAATATTTATGTAATGTTTAATTCTCCTATAGAGGTACAAGTGTGTTTCATAACCAGTTTACAACTCCTAAAAGAAGTTTCCATACTTAATTCTGACAGCTATGCTTTTCCAGTTGTGATCACACACAAACCCTGTGATAAAAAAGCTCAGAATCAGATATACAAGAGAAAAAATGTCCACCTGAATGAGGTCTTTGTGTGTGTGTGTGTGTGTGTGTATGATGTCCAGTGCCAATTTCATCTATGCCATAAAATTATTGTCCCTCTTGGGAGGTCTGAAAATTTGGTCTCAAAGAAGGAGTACCTCCACAGGGGGCACCAAAATTAATACCAACACAAGTTCCCTCTTAAAAGCATTTCATGAAAGTCTCTGTCCTTCTGTCATTCATGCTCAAAACCTTTACTGGAATACAGCTCAGTTTGTGTAAAAACTTTCTGAGGGGTACTTTTGGGATGTATTTGAATTGAGGTAATTTCATTGATCTAATGTTTTTTATGACTACGTTTAAACTTCTCTTATCTTATCCCTTCTTTTATTAAAGAGAATATTCCGGGACTCATGGTTCATCAGCGTGACCAGCAATGAGTCATTCAATAACCCCAACCCAGTGTCCCAATCACATTGATTGCCCATTAAAATGATGAATTATGTTTACCTGTACTGCTAAATATAAGACTATGACTCGTTCTGTGACATTTATAGACCTTAACTTGCATCAAATAAGAGACACAGATCAGGGGATATTCAACCAAACACATGTCTTAGACTCACCACTCTGGGATCTGCACTCTTCTCCAGCAAAGGGATGAGACTCTTGGTAAGGATGTAAACCCCTGATGGATGAAAAGAACTTTTTACTTCAGTCACACTTTCCTCAATTGTTTTCCTCATACTAAACTCTGAGTTCTGACTTACCAAGGACGTTTGTGGCGAAGCTCTTCTCCAGTCCCTCAGCATTCACATCCCTCTGACTCATGATGGCACCAGCATTGTTGATCTGCACAATTTACAAAACATGAGGCAAATATCCATGAAAAATCTCTCAGCCTTTTTTGTTTTTCCTTGATGTCACAAAACAGCTCAGGAGAAACCAGATATGTCAGGAAAATGAAGCAGCGCTACACTAGCTTACGTCTGCTCTTACTGGTTCACACAGCGGAGCCACACCTAGAACCCACAAAATGAACCACAGAAAAATATCAGATGTGTGTATTTTTTGGAAGAATCACTCACCAGTACATTGAGGGCCTTGAACTTCCTCTTGAAGCCCTCTGCAAACTCCCAGACCTTCTTGGTCTCAGACAGATCCAAGATGTGGACAAAGACCTCCTGTAATGACACCAGACAGTTAGTGTAATGAAAAATGTCAGGTCTGGATTAGAAGGCCAATTTCAAATGTCGCTGTGTTATTTAAAATCTTTGCTGAGATGTGAGTCATGCTGTACTTTGTTTCCTGACTCCTTCACGATATCAGCTCTCGCCTCCTCGGCCTTGTCCCTGTTCCTGCACACCATGTGGACTGTTCCACCTGTAACAAAGACAGAGTGGATTTCAATCACTACCACCTGAGGAGAACAGTAGTTGACACATTTCAGGAGGAGAGGATGACTGTTGGATCTTTCGTTAACTTCATGGGAGGTGTTATTCTTCAGTTTATTACAGCATCCTCCTTTCTTTCTCATGGGTCTCAATTGCTTTCACCTGTTTGCCTGTATATCTGATGCTCTGTTAGTGACTACTTATCCTGCTGTTCCAACAGATCTACTGGAAATGTGAACAGGTTTTAACAGCAGCTTAACCAACCTCCCAATGTCAAAAAAGGTAACCCAACAAGTACTGAATATTCGCGTAAATTTCACCTGAAGGAACTTGCATGTTCACATGTGAACTCCTGACAATTTTTGGACATTTCCATAACAATCTGGCTCTGAGTTTTTCTAAAACTGCTTCTGTATAAATCCTTCTTAGAAGTTTGAGGGGCTCTCAGGAGGCATAATGTGACTTAAAAGGATGTTGAAGTATTCTGAACAGGAAAACGAAGAGAGCAGGTGAGGTGCAGTCTGAAAATGTGAAAGTTTTTGCTTCTTTATTGCTACTTAACTATTTTTTTTCACCATGTAGCCACTCTTTTAATAGAAATGGGTTTAAGAATGTGCTGGTGAAAAGAAAAGACTGTGCAGCAGCTTAATTTGTTGGTGATCTGTGGTGTTACCTTGAGTAAAAGTAAAAGTAGATATGTTTTTTGGAGACAGAAGTGGTGGATAAATGAGAGCGTGGTTGAGATAATACAGTATATGCCATTACTGCATAAACCAGAGCCCCTGACTGGTCAAAAGTCTGGACACTCTTCCTCTGCATAGAAAAACAAGGATTCCTGTCAAGACAGACAGGTAGTAGGATGGGTACCTTTCTTTGCAATGGCCATGGCAGTGGCTTTCCCGATGCCACTGTTGGCTCCTGTTATCATGAAGGCACGACCAGCCACCGACACCTCCAGGTCCTTCTCCACAAACCTCTTAGAGGTTGACAGGAAGGCATTCCTGCAGAATAGGGACACAGACTGCGTTATTAAAAACATGTCCATAATCTGTTTGTCTTCATAGCTTAAACACATGAACCATATGTGTCTGCTTTGGGCACAGAGTTAGCTTTTTCAAAATGAAAACAGCAAGTTCAGAGGGGGTCACTGTTTGAGGTCAGTCTGGTCACTGTCTCTTCACAGCTTTACTGTACAGACACAATGACGGCGAGAGTGTGCCTGGCATCGTCTCTGAGGAGAATCGCTTTGGGGTGAGACTATGTGAGGTGACAACAGCATCGGTGTGTGTCTATGTGTGTTCGTGTGTGACCTCGGTGCCACCAAGTTCTTCAATCACTCTCTTTGTGATGGACGCCATTGTTGAGGACGGCTGAAGGGGGGATAAAGGGACAGGGAGCGGGGTAAAACTGAGGCTAAATGCCCGCTCTGTTCCGTGGTGTCATGCAGAGAGCCATTAGTGCAGGGTCAGAGCGGGCTGCCGGGCAGCTCGACGGCAGTAAAGATAACACAGAACAAAGGGACGAAGGGAAACAATCACAAAAGCACCTCTTCACACAACTTGGCGAGCTGCATGGTGATGAGGAAAGGCGCCTTCGGGCTGCAAGAGATCAGATAGGACTGATGGGTCATGTAAGAGTTGTTGTTTTTGAACAAATGACTTATGGTCCTACATGTCTCCTGCTGAGTCACTAACTGTAAACTCAGATCAGGTTAAAAGTTAGTGATGCTCAAAGATGCTCTGCAGTTATCTCCTCAGCCTCTAAAGTTATTATGCCTTTAAAGTCTGATTTTATACATGATATCCCTTTATAGATCCTCAGCCCTTTAATCACCTTTCACATAACCTCATACAACCTCCAGGAGCCCAGATATTGTCTATTTCCGCTACGGCTAAAATCAATGAACACAATTATAGACTACTCCACTGATAACTCTCTGTTATATTTAATTTATAATAAACTGTGTTTGGAGTAAAAAAAACAGTAAAAAGTATCAATGACATCTTACCAAATTAAATCCAAACAATGTCAGTTTAAAATAAATGTAAAAAATGGAAATTTTCATATTTGTAATAAGGTTGGGTCAGTATTTGCATTTCTGCCCAATGGCCCCAAAGCATATGGCCCTTGCTTGACAAATCAATTCAACCTACTTGTTTCACCATCCATTATGGCACTTTATCAAAAACTTAAAAGCATGTGAGAAGTTTGGGTTCCCTCTTATAATAAAGTCCTACTTTATCTGAATTGGAAAATCATCTTTATGCTAAAAACATACTGGTACACTTGTGGTCTGACTTGTCTTAAGGTAACTTCAGTTTAGGGAATAAGAAATCTAAAATACAAGAATCCTGCATAGAAACAAGATGAGATAGTTGTAATATAATAGTATATAATAGTAACATCATTAAAATAACTGGTCTGTGAACTGCTTTGGCAATAGCACTATTCATTTGTTTATATCAATAAAGTGGTTTGAACTTGAACTTAAATATAAAGCTCTTTTCACTGTTGATTTTGACGCCCCCTGTGGACAAACAGTTTTTGCTGATTCTGTCCTACACATGTGTCATCGCCATTTTCCATTAAATATCATTTTCTTGTCTTTTTTACACCCAGACACATCAGGAATTGAGAATCTTTCCTGAAATAAGGCTGAATCAGCTGCATGCATCACTTGGTCTGACACTTCCCACCCATCAGTTTTTTTACCATTACAACTCAGAAAAAGTCACTCTTTCTGCAAATGGTCATAATAATTTCAGTCTGTTTCACAACCAGAAACAAACTCCTCATAGTAGCTTTAAACAGAAATTCAGTCTGAACCTGTTATTGATGTAAAGTTACAAAAATTCAACAAGATTAAAACGAAGTCATCAGCCAGTGCCTGGATTAGGCTACGTGTAATTTATTAGTAGAGCATAATACTAGCAGGTAATCACTGAGTAAAAACCTCAAATTGTCCATTATTGAGTCTATTGCATGGAATAAGGAGCCTATATGATGTCTTCAAGGAACACAGCCAAATTACTTAGAGTAGTGCCTTGAATCATTATCTTAATTTCTCCCTCATACAGTGCAAACAGGACTCAGTAGCAGCAGGACGCTCACTCTCTCACTCTCTGCAGTTGTAAAGTTGTCTGAAGAGCATCATGACTCAAAAAGGGCGTCTGCTTACCTGGTGAACTCGGTCAGTCCCTTCAGGAACCAGGCGGAGTTGCGGTACAGAGACATGCTGTCGCTCTGGAAGCCTCTCGGTGTGCTCGGCTCTCTCCTCCGCTTTTAGCCTGGACCAAGAACCACGTGTGGCCCCGATGAATTAACAACAGAGGGCCAGTGACGAGACAAATCCCTTCAGCCACCCAGCGGCCGTGGGAAAGCCTGCAGGGTTCAGGTTCATCTATGATACAGCCCATGATGGCCTCATAGAGACTTGAATGACTGTTGTAGCTAATATGTTCAAAGCCACAATATTTACCCACAATATGGATTCAGATCACAAAGCTATAAGGTGTAATGGAGGGTCTAAAAAACACTAAATAAGTATGTTTTTATATGACAAAAACAGAGATAGCGAGCCTACCTACATGTCTGAGTCGTTTTATCCAGATATTTGTCAGAAAATGCTACCCTGCCCTGTCCTATCTTATCATAAATTAGACAAAAAAGTCATCTTGGCAATTGAAATACAGAAATTAAGGCTACACCCAGTATTTGATGAAATTAAAAATAACATTTATTTATTCATTTATTTATTTATTTATTTTCTAAATATTATTTTATCTTTTTTCTTTTGGTTTCAGTTGGTTATTAGTTTGTCTTTATTATAATAATTTTTATTTTACATAATGTTTTGCCCCCAAACCACATACATTTTACTTATCAACACAATCAAGCGACAATATTCCTTACCATTATTCATTTTTGTTGTTATTTTTCATTTGTTTTTGTCTCTTGTTATTGTGTTGTTTTCTAGATTTCTTATTTCTATTATTATTCATATTGCACTTCACTCCTTTGCATGTCTTGTTAAATGTTTGCAATAAAAAAAACAGCGGAAAAAAAAAAAGTTGATTACTAAAATAGTTGTCGACCATTTTGATTGTCGAGCTTTAATCGATTAATTGAATGATCGTGGCAGCCCTAGCTGTAAAGATTTTGTAACTTGATTGAACCACTCTGCTTTATAATAAAGTGTTGGAACTTTTAATGAAGTTTAAATTTTATGTGAGTTATGACAAAAAACAAACAAACAAAACAACATTTTGCAGGGTTTTATAACTGCGTGTAACCCCTGGCTGCTAACAGGAATCAGTGCAAAGATACTCTGTAGGCCACATAAAACAGTAGGTTGTACCACACAAGCGCTGCGCTGCCCCCTGCTGACTCACCTGTCCACCTGTGCTCGTGCGCCATGCGCCTCCCCTGCAGCCAATCAACCGCCGGACCGCAGCGGGGCGCGGCCCTGACCAGAGAAGGTGTAAACGCACTGATTCCTGGGAAGATCAACAATGTCTGCTCATATGAAAACGCTGGAGAAAGAGTGAGGGAGGACGCTTTATTCTGGAGATTATCAGCTGCTCATTGAAAGGAGGAAGAATTTTTGTCAATGTGTGACCTCTCTCGGACATCTGTGACAAAATGGTGAGTGTCTGAGTCTCTACACTTTATTTCATCAACATGCTGGTTATAGAAGCTGTTTTACTGCCACATACAGTGTGTTGTTGTCAACTATTGTGCGCCGTTTGATTATTTTTCATCAATAAAACAAACAAAACCTTGAAAAGCAGGCGTTATCTCACTTCTACTCTATTATAGCAACTTTCTTGTTTTTAGATCGTGTAAATTATCCTCAAGTTTCGTTTCCGTATATATTTTTTTCTCATGTGGGCTGGTCTAAAACTTGGGAAACGCAGCCGGGTTGTTTGCACGCTGCAGTAAAAAAAAAAGCGCCCTGAGGGTAGAAATGATGTTAGTCGTGAGGACAAACATTATTTGCAAGTAAAGGCAAACCTCGTATTTGTAGACGTTTCTGTCTCTTTGTGTGGTTTAAACAGTTGTATTTTAATTTGACAACATAATACAGCTCAGGGATACTTGAACCCTCATCATTCTCCAGCTAAGACCTTTTCTTCTTAACTCCATGTGTCAGGCTTTATCTGGTTGCTTGCAGAGGAAATACTGCTTGCAGCTGCACCTGAGGGCAAAGAGCTCTCATTAATTGCCCCCTTGCACAACACACACACTCAGGGTATTAAGCCTGCAATTGCACTCAAGGTGTCACAGGTGTATTATTCATTCTATGTGATCTTTGTTCTCTTTAAACCTGGTGTTAGTTTTGGTTTGAGTTTTATTGTTTCTGTTGTGGGCTGTATTTGCACAGTTCTTTAATTTAATGTGTTTGTCTTCTCCTGTTTACAAGCTGCAGTATACATGAGCTGCATTTCAGTAACAGTATTTGCAAAGTGGCGCCTCTTGTTTGGTGTCTGTTTCTACAGTGATGGATTATAAACTTCTTGTTGTGTTTTTCTGCACTTGTCTCTGTCCAGATGCGCTTCTTGCTGCTGTTCAGCCGACAGGGAAAGCTGCGGCTGCAAAAATGGTTTAAAACTTACACAGACAGAGAAAAGAAAAAGGTGATCCGGGACATGACGATGCTAGTGTTGGCACGTCCACCACGTTCATGCAACTTCCTCCAGTGGAGGGACCTCAAGATTGTTTACAAGAGGTGCCAGTAGAGATAAACTTTTCATTTGAACTTGTTTTATTCTTAAATTTACACTTTTCTTCTTCATGTTTTGCCACTAACTGCAGAAACCACCTTTAACTGTGCTTCATGCACACAGAAACAGACACACCTATTGTCAACAAAGGGTTAACAAGACCTGGAAATAGTAAAGGAGGGGTTAAACACACAGAGCATGGCCTATAGCATTGATGGGACCCTGATAGTCATGGTGCAACACCACTCTTATCATCCTCCTGTTTTTTTCACCTCCTACAGCCACAAAGCTAACATGTAGTAAAAAAACTGTAGTAAGGAGTGGGCGAAGAAGGCAGCAGTGCCACATAACTATTGTTGTTCAGTGCAAATCTGACTTTAACCACGGAAATAAGTGGATTTTTTTTCATGGAGCTATTCTGTTAAAAGAGTCAGAATAAGCAAGAAGAAAACACTGAGCAAAGGGATAGACTTTTAAAGCAGGTTGAGTTTTGTACAGACAACAACCTCTTCTGCCTCTAGCTCTAGTCAAAACCTGCTTTTCTGAACATCCTCATATCATAGAAATCAGCTCTCCAACCTTTACCCACTCTCTTCTTTTATTGTAGGTATGCCAGTCTGTATTTCTGTGCTGGTCTGGAGGCTCAGGATAATGAGCTGCTGAGCCTTGAAGTGCTGCACAGATATGTGGAGTTGTTGGATCGATACTTTGGCAATGTGAGTAAAGTTAAATGTCACGGCCTCAGATTGAAAAGACACTCAGTCTAAATTTCATCTGTGCCATTATTGATTGGAGAACAGGCTTTCAATACTCTGTCTGACTCGAGATCTGCTGGGAGCAAAGTTATTTAAGGCTGCAGAAGTTGAGTGTGCAGTAAGAATAAGTCTTCAAGGCACGTTTTCAATAGAGAAGTTATAGTTGTTGATGCATACCAAGCAGTGGTGCAACAGACCGAGGGTGATCTACAGGTTGTCAACATGGTACACAACAGTAAGGTGCAGCTTTTGCAATGCTGTCTGTTATAACCTCATACACTAAAATATCTTTTGAATATAGTGTTGTTTGCAACCACCACACCCTGTTTGATAGGCAAGAGTTTGCAAGTCAAACGTGATGAAACAGGTCCAGGAGAGGACAGCATTCAGATAAGTGAACATCTAGATACACTTAGTCTGTAAGCACACACATGCAGGGCCCAGGAATCAGGAACATTTATGCATCACACTAATCAGGAGTGACAATCAGGTAAAAAAAAGTAACCTAGGTTGGGTTTATGAAGGAGCAGTATAAAATGTATAATAATTATAACATATGTTTTGCCAAATTGCAGTTGATTTAGATATTTAGCTGCAATCTCATTTCTTTCCAACATAGTTTAACGTCAAATATTACCTCAGGGAGTTTTATGTTTGACTCTCTTTCAGTTTCCGCCTCATCTCCCTTTAAATTTTCTGCTTTAGTTGGCTGATCTGTTTTAAAAATATGTAAAAAAAAGAAGTTTGTTTCGGTTCAGTCACTTTATTTAAATCAAACTAACTCTTCAGTTTCTTAAACTCATGTGCCACAGTATCTGTCAGTTTTTCCAAGTTAGTTTTAGTCATCTGTTAATGTATTTGAGACATCACAGAACCAAACCATTAGATTTGTGATCATTGCACCCCTTATAGCGCAATAAATAACAAAAGAACTCGCCAAAAACACTGTTTTTGTTTTTGAACTGTCTCAATCTTGGTAAGGAAAAATCTGCACCTAAGTTTAACTTTTTGTGAGGGTAGTCTGACTGCATTCAGACAGCTTTGTAGAATCTGTCTGTGGTGATGAAATGAAGCCCACCTTAACAAAAGGCCTCTGCTGAGATGATCTAATAATGTCAGACACTGAACTACATCTGTCTGGCAATAGAAGCAGACAGATCTCACTTTGATTGTGTAACCCTTGCCCACAGGAGCTAAATTACAGCTATAACAGCCTGTTTCAAGGCTGCGACTCAAGGCCATCAAGGTACACGCTTAAAATAGTTTGTCCTTTCATCTTTAAGACCCCAAAACAAGAAAACAAGAGCGCATGTTCAAAAAACACCAGAATACCCTTTAAATGAACCCAGTAATAATGGTAAACAATCATTACCTCTCTCACAAAACGCATGAGAACAAACTGTTTTGTGTGTCATCTTCTGGTTCAATAATTACCCGTTTACGGCCTCATGTGACACTTCAGCAGCACACTTCGACTCAGTGAGCTCATTGTGATTAGGTTATATTTGGAACAATACTGCGACAGTCGAAGGTCATTAAGTCTGACTTTGCACACACTCTGTGCACTTTCCTGTCTGGCTCCCCCTGGTGTTTGTAACCTGTCACTTCAACATTTTTATAAATCTTATTCACAAAAAGAAAAAAAGAAATGAAGCTTCAGGGATAAAATCAAGCTCATTGATTTGGGGGATGTATTCCTTGTCTGACAGGATGGTGTGTGTGTGTTGTGGCGCAGGTTTGTGAACTGGACATCATTTTCAACTTTGAGAAAGCGTACTTCATCCTGGATGAATTCCTGATGGGAGGAGAAGTCATGGAAACGTCCAAAGCAGCTGTAGTTGTGTCCATGGAGGAGGCCGACACTCTACAAGAGGTACTTTAAACCAACGTGACAGACCTGAAGACTCAGTGAGGTTCTCATTCAATGGAGACTGAAGATAAATGAAGGCAGGACTCAAGATATACTTCAGGAGGAAGAGCTAGTGCTCACTGTGGATGAAGGGCTAAAAACAGACTCTTTAGTTAGAGGGGCTTGAGAACCAATGTAGAGACTACTTGTATCTGTCATCTTGAAGGTTTGAGGATACTGTCAGTAATTCAAATATTAAAAAGCTCAGATCAGAGCTGTTTTCTGGGTGTACGTGGAAACACTCTTAAACTTGCATTATTCGCTGACGGGGTTGAAAACCATGTTAAATTTGGCACAAAGGCGACGTGATAGAACTGTGAAATAGATTCATTAACATGGAGGATGACAAGTTAAAAACACACAGCTTTAATTGGGATGAGAAAAACACATGTACCTGCAAAAATATTTGACAAGGCTGGTCTCTGATGTCTCTCTTAATGCATGATAAGCACATTTAGAAAGCCTTTTAGATGCATCTGTAAAGCTTTATAACAACTCTTATTAGTGATTATAAGCATTCATCATTTAAAATGTTTACACCTTAATTAATCCCATGAAATAAGTGTTTTTGTGTCTGTGTTTTTGCAGACGATGGAGGAGTACATGAGCAAACCTGCATACTGAGCCAGGAGAAGTGAAGATGTCCCACATTTCAGGACTTGAAGGTTCATCACTCTGCATTGTTTTCATTTAGCGACTTATTAGCAAAAAAGTCACATTTTTACAAAAAGTTTTAAAATCATTTTCATCTCATAGTGCCTCTAGAGATTCATATTTATAATATCCGAGTTTTACAGCTGAGAAAGTCTCATTTGAATGTGTTGTTATGCTTTTACTGATGCACCATGTGATAGTGAGTAAATGAAGAATCACTACACAGTAAGGAAAAATAAAGTCAATGCTTTATTAACCTCAGGTATGTCACATATGACCACATTTAGAAAGAGTTACCAAAAAGACACAAGTGAATCAGGGGGTCCAACACTGGTTTCTGCTGTGTGTGAGTGAGTGTGTGTGTGCGTGCGTGTGTGTGTGTGTATTGTTTAAAGGTAAGGCTGGTGAGTCACATGTACTGTTTTTTTGTGTTGAGCAACAAACTCATTAAAAAAGCTTCCACTGAATGTCTGAACACTCATATTTAATAAATAAGATGTTTTGTAAAACAACAGAATAACTCAAGTCGACTGCATTTTGTTGTTGTTGTTATTCTTCAAAATACTTTATTTCACCCTCTCCCTCCATCAAACTAAATATATATATATATTTATATTTGTATCTATGTATATGTATCTACAGCCTTTTCAGATTCCCCGGGCAGTTTTGGTGTCACTTTCCTCTGTTTCTGGGTTCAGGTAGCTCAATAATTTCATCAGGGCGTCGTTATCAAAGCCTTGCATTTGCGTTTCATCTCTCCTCTGGTCATCTTCAGTCTGTCTCTTTTCATTTGAACTTTTCTCCAAGTCCATCTGATCAAAATAATCCTGTATCGCCTGCTCAAAAGAGCCCGCCGTGCTCTGTTCAGCCTCGTCCCGCTTTTGACTCTGCTTCATGTTGCTCTTACTGAACACAGGGTTCGGATACTGTGCCAGCATCTGAGCTGCCAAGTACGCCGCCAGCTCATCCTCGTCCACGCTGTCGTCATAGTCATCCTTTGAAGCGCCGGGGAAGAGGCGTCGCCCCTGCTGCTGTTGCTGCATGGGAGAGGGTTCCCTCGAACTCCTCGCCGGCTGAGTGTGCAGTCGTGATGTAGCGCTTTTGTACTGCTTCCTGGTAGGAGTCTGATCCTCCACGCCCCCTAACCCCAGGATTTTCAGTATCTCCTCCGTCCTCAGCTCCTCTGGGCTCTTCTGTCTCTCGGGGAAGCGTCTGCTGTAGAGTTTGGCTTCAGGGATCTTGCGCGTCTTCGTTAAGGACATCTGAGGGAGCTTGTTTTCTGCTCTGAATAATGGTGACTCTCCTGTGTTTTCTTCTGTCTTGAGCATGTCCACCAGGTCCTCAGGTGGGATCTGGTACTTCTGGGAGATCTGGATGAGCTGGTAAACAGCTCGTGGATCTATGTTTTCGCTGACCTGCATCTGAGCCGCCCTCCTCTCCTCCTCCTCCTCCTCCTCCTCTTCTTCGATCTCCCGTTTCTGCTCCTCTTCCTCTGTTTTCTCCAGTACCTTTAGCAGGTAATAGTCCACCAGGTTTGCAACATCATCAGGATCCTTTGACCTTTTAACCGGGTAGCTTTCGTCATCCTCCTCTTCATCATCATTCTCCTCATCGCCCATGTAGTCGAGTCCTCTGTTTGCCTCTTGTTTGTTTTCCCTCTCTTCCTCCTCCTCCTCCTCTTCTGCTTCCTCCTGCTCTTGTAAGGGACCCCAGTCTGCAAGATCCACATCTCTCACATTGAATATATTATCATCTTCCTCGCCGTTATTCTCCTCCTCCTCCTCCTCTTCTTCATCTTGACGTTTATTCATGGGCTTCATGCTTGTAAGCTTGTCCAGTTCGTCAAACACGGACTGCAGGGTCGCCAGATTTTGAGGCGTGTATTTTTCCTCCACGTTCTCATTAGTGCGCTTAAAGGGGCTTTCGTGCTCCAGATCTGATCCCTCTTCATCCTCATCCCTCTCACCCTCCTCCTCATCCTCAAACATGAGTGGCAGCTTCCTGTGAGGCCTGATGCCACGCTGACTCTGCTGCATGGTAGGGCGAAGCGAGGTCGGTCTGGAGGCCTTTTCTGTTTGTTGGAGGGTGCTGAGCACAGCCTGGAGCAGCTCTTCACTCTTATCCTCCCTTCCTTCATCTTCCTCTTCCTCTTTCCCCTGTTCATCATTGTTCTGTGCAGGGTTCGAGGCCAGCCTCAGCATGGCGCGCAGCTTCTCTGCATCATCCGGTACGTTGTAGCCTGCACTGAGAGAGGGTCGCTGCTGGGTGTCCATGCCTGTCCTCTGATGGAGGTTTTCGATGTACTGCAAAGCTCTGAGCATGTCGGCGTTTGGAGCGTGGCGGACATTTCCTCCTCTCGGAGAGTCGGGTTCGCTGCCTCTCAGTCTGTGCTCTCTGAGGGAGGCTCCCTGAACGCCCACACAGGGGGAATTGAGGTAGAGGTGGATCAAGAGGAGGTTGGTGAAGCAGAGGAGCAAAGGTCTGCCTGTGGTGGAGGTCTTGTGGAGTGATGGCATGGTTACGCCTGCAGAGGAAGAGAAAGCCGTCAACACTGACCTTTAAACACGGAGCTAACATGTTCGCAACAGTTTCCACAATGGCATTTCTGAAATGTCTTTAGCGCTTATCATCACTTTAAATGTCTGGTCTGATGATAAGATTGCAGAGCAGAGACATTTAGGCTGATCTGAAAACAGGATATCAGGGTATCTATGACATTTGTGCCGCCATTGATCAGAATATTTTGATTTTAAAGCTGCTCTGAGGAGTTTTTGAACACGGTCAAATAGAGTTGAATTCAAACTGATCACCTTTTGACCTGAAAAAGTAAAAACTGATCACCAGCAACAGGAGTTACAAGTACTAACATGCTAAAGAGGCTGCATATTCGACATTTTAAAAAGCAAATGTTAACATTGACTGCTACATTCAACTGTTGCACGCGCATCAGAGTGATCAGATTCATATCTTTGCCAACGGGGGGTGCCAAAATCGACACAAACAAAGTTACTCTAAGCATCCTCAGCATAATTAATCATCTGTTAATCATATAGTGCCAAACTTAAAGAAAAGGTTTACACAAATACCAGGTCTATACTGTAACTTTTTTTTCTAAGGATCCTCGGCGTCAATGCGTCATGAGAAACTGCGTATGCTTCCTTTAACAGCCAGAAACCTCATATGTGCAGCCATCTGCTACAACAGACTGAACACTCATAGCAGCAATTTCTGCCACATTTCTGTCAAATAAACCGTATTTAACTGTTTTTAGTCTTTAATAGTCACTAAATTCTTATAACCTACCTTTTGCATTTCTCTGTTTTTTGCTCCTGTAGTTTGTATTTGATCAAAATTGAAGGCTGCATGAGCAAACTTTTTAAAATTATCGATTGAAACGATTTGAAAAACACAAATTCCCCAGTTTAGGAGGCTGTGTGTTGGTGTGCGAGTGTGTTCCCTCTCCATGCTGCTGCTGTTTGAACATCCCCGGACTCTTGCCGCCTGTTTGCCAGCAGCGGTAATAGCAGCGGCATGCAGCTCGTGCAAATCTCATTAGTCGTCAAATTGCTGCTCCCCGTGAGTCACGGCCCCGCTGTTGTCAAGGTAACCCGGTAAGGCTGAATGGAGCAGCTCGTTTAACCTGCGGAACACCTCTAAATCCAATTAGTATAGTTTTAGCTCCCTTTGATTCATATCAAACATTTTCCTTTTAAAAAAATAATCCAGTTTCTGAATGATGGAGAAATTCCGCGTGCTGGAACATGCCTGCAAAATGTCAAAATGCACTAATTAGTAAAGGAAAAATGCTCTAAAGAGGTATTACAACGATTTAATGTAGATTTTACGGACCCTACTTGTTCATTTAGGCTACAGTATCCTCGACTTAAATCACCGAACTCCTATAATTGTTTAACTAGCTCTCGAAAGAAAAGTTGCGCCTTAGAGCAACAGCAAGAAAGAAAGCAAATCTGCTTGATTTGATGCTGGATGAGAACAAAGAAGCGACGCGCAACGCAACGCAACCTCTTCCGCTCTACATCTGTGTCGGTGCATCAGGTTGGCAAACAGCCTCCCGTCACAAAAGCAAGAGGCAAAGTATCTGAAAAGAAACCCCCCCGATAGGAAACACATTTAGAGTTTGGTTAAGTGGGTCATTCAATCGTTGATAACCAGGTCTTACCTTTGTAATTAGTTTCTATCGAGGCTCGTGAGTGAACTGAGCATCTCCCTGTCTGTCTCGCGGTGGGAGTCTGGTTTCAGCACCGCGGACAGCTCTTCATGCTATTAGAGGAACCACCTGACTCGTGCGTCAGAGAGCGAGGAGAGATACGCACACACCAACACGGAGCCTCATGCGCGTGTGTTCATCTTGAGTCAGCCAAACAAAAAAGAAAAAGTGCTTTGCTCTTAAAAATTATTTGAGATGGAGACAAGTTCTGACCCCGCGGCGCTTTTCCGTGTCTGGCCACTGGTGAAAATGAATACATTCATCATGGGGCTATTTATAGGAGCATTAACCGAGTGGAGGGCTGTACAGCATGTTTTATTTGGGGGTTGTGTGCAAAAACGTGACTTGTGAAGGAAATTGTGGGACTGTTTGTGAAAAAAGACGTATAGGCACGTGTTTGAAATGACTTTATCTCCAAGCTTCTTCGTCACTTTGGACTGAAGTAATTTAACGATACACGAGAAAAATAAACGATTACTTACGACTGTGGGACTATCTGACTATCATTTATTGTTTTGTATTCTAAGTGTTTTATGTCTGCTGTGATTGACTGCTATTGTGTCTCTGCTGCAGCACTAAGGGACAGAGACAGTTCAAGTCCATCGATGACTCACATATACGGATCCGCCAAAGATCCAGATGGGCGGGGTGGTAGGGGGACTGCAGAGGGGAGTGTGTGCATATGTGTGTTTATGTGTGTGTATGTGGGTGTGTGTGTGTTTGTGAGTGAGAAAGAGAGAGAGCATTGTCTTCGTCAGTAGGCTCCCACTGTGGTCTCTATTTTTGGCTGCCTGTCAAATCTGGTCGTGTGTGTGTGTGTGTGTGTGTGTGTGTGTGTGTGTGTGTGTGTGTGTGTGTGTGTGTGTGTGTGTGTGTGTGTGTGTGTGTGTGTGTGTGTGTATTTGTTCCTCTCCTTTTCATTCATAAGTCTCCTGTGTTGTCGTGTTTGATAAGAGCTCTCAGCCTATCCTGCACTGACCTGCTTGTCTCAGCTATCCTGATTTCAGCTTCGTCACAGTTGCTGCAAATGTATAAACAAGATTGGTTTATTAAAATAATTATTTTTTCCCCTTTTCTCGATTTAAGCAGAACCAATCCCGCACTTTAAACATCAAGCCGTTGGGTAAAGAGGTTTCGGGCAGTGCAGACAAAATAGAGACTGTTAGAGTCACCCTTTCCAGGTAAGTATCCTTGTTTCTACCACTTAACACAGAGATAGCGTTCATGCAAAGAGTTATAAACCGGAGACCAACCGAAAGACACCGGAAAGTCAAGAAAAATTGGAAAATCACATCTATTATTTTCATCAGGGTTCAAAAACATACCACTAGAAAATCAGAGGTTGATTTAAAGAAATAACATGAACATACACCAATAAGCCCCAACATTATGACCACTGACAGGTAAACAAATGATCAGTAATATGGAATATTGAGTCATATGGAATCATGGCCAGGAATAAGGAAAAACTTTTGAAGATGGAGGATAATGTAATTTTTAACGATTTCAATTTTCAAAAGAACAAAATGGGGTATTTCTGCCAACAAACACTGCATCATTTAACTGGTGAACTTAGCTCTCCTCTAACTTTTACTTTCCTAATTTTATTTATGAATAAAATTTGTATACATTAATTGAACCGATGATAGCCAAGTATAAATATGACTCAACAAAACTGATTGGCAGTCTAAAAACAGTCAAAAGAATTTGAGTTGGTGTGAACTTTTAGCCTCCTTGAAAACAGGAACAATGCATTTATCTTTTTTAAACCAGACATGGGAGCCAATGGGGATTCCTTGGCTTTTGAAGCTAGCCCTTGTGGTCACTTGAGGAACTGCAGTTTATTTGCATGTGTGTGCTGACTTGACTTTTCAGCACTGAAGGTTATTGTTGAGACCAAAACAGCAAAAAATACTGTAAATGGCTTCATATCAAAACACATGAATTCATAAATGTTAATTTATTACAGTGACGCCCCCTTTTTCTAATTATGTCAAACTGGACCAGGAGATAAAAAGAAACTGGGACAAAAGAGCTGATTTAGTATCAAGTCTCCCTCAGCCTTATTACATTTCCCTCATGACTAACATACACACACACACACACACAAACACACACACACACGCACGCACGCACGCACGCACGCACGCACGCACACACACACACACACATGTACATTGTCAGTTTTGTACTGATAAAGCCTGAGCTGTCAGGCTAATTGCTTGTGGTTGTATGTGTGGCAGGATTACTGGTAAACAGAAACCAATTACAGCACAGCTCCACCTCCATTTCCACGAAAAAAAAAAAAAAAACTCACATGGGGTTCTTCTCGGGTTAAATCAGAACTTTCTTACAGGCAATTAGCAGTTTTTTCCCATTTCACACAGCTCTGTGGTATGATCATTTGGGGTCAAATCTTTCAAAAATTATGAATCTGAAACTTTTCCTGTGCAGAAACAAGAGCACTAACTTTGAGAAAAGGTTACATCCTCATTATACAGAGAGTAAAAGGGCTGGAGTGACTTTTGAAGGGCACCATGAAATACCAACAACAGTTTCTGAAGTGTATTGGCTATTTATCACCAGCATTTCCCTTTTTTTCTGGCAGTTGTGGTCGTCTCTTGGTGACACATTGAAACGACAGTAAGATTGCCAAACTCTTCTTTTGGTTTATTGTTCCATCTCACAGCACCATCTTCATCATTCTGCTTTAAAAAGATTCCTTATGTTGAAATAAAGTTTAACAGAGTAGTTGTGAGAAAAATTAAAACATGTTAAAAAATGTAAATGTTGTAAATGAAGTTGAAATTTGAAGTTTAAAAAGTTACGAGTCTGAAATAAAGCTAAATTTGTAGGACAATGTCCATGTTTACAAAGTTAATGGTTTGACAAAAGTTTAAAATAGTTGACGAAAAAGTCAAAATTTTGCATTTTTTTTTAAGGAATTAAGAAAAGCTTTTTTGGAAAAAGTTTTTAAAGAAATCAAAACTTGGGTCAAAAGTTGGAATCATGAAAATCAGCTTAAACATTGACAAAAATCAAAACATTGAAAATAAAGTTGTGGTTTAAAGTAAAAAGTTAAAATTCTCTGTAGTTGCTCCATTTTTGTGGAAAAAATAGTTACAATTTTGAGGAAAAAGTCAAAATACCAAAGTGCTGAAAAAAAAAAATTCAAACATAAAATTGAAATCATAACAAAATAGTCCAATTTAGAGTAAATAAGGGTAAAGATGCAGACAAGGAAGTGACAAAGTAAAGAGAATAAAGGTGAAGTTAAGAGAAATTGGTCAAAATGCTTCACCGTTCTGTTTTTAAACACAGGACTTAAGTTCATCTTATTTGTCAACTTAATAGCATGACATAACTCATTATGGAAAACACAAAGAATAATAAAACAGGTAATCAAGGGACAGTAAAGATGTGACCTTTACTGTTTTTCATGATAAAACACTACAGGGGGCAATGATAGATTTTTTTAAAGCCAACAGGCCTGACACCTTAAAACTGCAGGATCAGGCTATCCCCACGTTCATGACATGTATCCTGACATTTCTGAGCTCCAAAAGCATAAAATAAAACAATGACTGCCAAGAGAATCGTGAAAGTATTCACCCCATCCTCCAATGAAGACCTTACATTATAATTCAATATTACAGTAACAAGTGTGAAAGCTCTGGAAAACACACAGGGATAGACATTTAATTAAGATAGTTGTGCTGGAAGGATTAGATTTCTGCAGCACACAGTCTGCAGTTCTCAGTATAACCTCTGTTGCAGGTCTGTATGAAATGGTGTAATAACACAGAGCCATTACAGTCAGTTAATTGGAACAGAACGCCATAATGGACAAGCTCTGTCTTTAAGCACTAAGGCAATTTGCTCAGCATTTGATGTACAAGTCAGGTATAAGGCACAATTTTGTTTAATCATGATGTCATTTAGCATTTACATACACTGATTTATAAAAAAAAAATAAAGTATATCCCCAGTCTGCTTTGTTTGCCATTCCTGCAGAAGCTTATGGAAAAATGTACCCAGTAAAGGACAGTGTACAAAGGAAGCCTTGGAGACCAGAGTTCATTTTGTCAACAAAAGAATTTGCAACGTAAATGGTAAGCAAGCTGAAAATGAAAAACACAATAATCCTGCAAAATTAAGCTTAATGTGAAGCCTGAATGTATTTTAAAAAGAATACACACAAGAAATGAAGATTCAACACAACTTTTAAAGAGCAAATAAAGAAAAGAGCAATTCAGACCCTAATCATTTCTTGTACCAAGCTGTGAAAGTGTTCAACTTTGGTGGAATCACAGCTGTTTTAACATGAGACCTGATGGGGATTCCTTGGTTTGTAGACTTGGCCTCCAGTGGACATTCATCAACTTCAGCTTTTTGCACCAGTGCATCGGCCTTACTTTACAACACTGGAAGATGCTGTTAGGGTGTTAAAAAGCATCTAATTGTAAGTCACTGCTGAGTTGCTGCAGTTACGCATAAGTTCAAACATAGCCTGGTTTATACATGATTTGAGACTTTAGTTCACACTGTGGTATTTTAAAGGTCACACTAGCTAAGATAAGTAACAACACAATTTCCCACAAAGCTCAGAGTGACAGAGTTTTCAGTGGACTGTGAAAAACATTGGCATCAATTTGAATGCCTCTTTAAGACCTGCAAAAGCAAACAAGATGGCCAGCATAAAGATCAAGTATTCCTATACAATTACTGTCAATGCATGAAGGTGCTGGAGGAAGAAGTGACTGGTTGCACTATATAGACACTTCCTTTCAGTTAGTTGCTGCAGTAAAGATTCTCCAGGAGGGACACATTTGGCTGCTAAAAGCAATAGGATGAGATTTTTTCTAAAACACCACTTACACATATGCAGGACAAAATTAAAGTAGCACATTTTGAGGCTGCAGGTTCAGCATTTTAGGGACTACAATTCCAAGACACTGTCTGCAACAGTACCAGCTAACATTGGGTAAAGACTGCACTGAACTGCTCTGAAACAATACAGACCAAGAACCCTGTGATTGGTCTGCTTGATGTAAACATTTCCAGTGTTGCCCTCATCCCTTATCCTCCTCCTCAGCTTTGATTCAAACATGGATTCTGTTGCCATGGTTTCTCATGCAGAAACAAGGAGGAGTTACGATGGGATTGGAGCACAGACATTGCGTTGTTGACCAGTGTTTGGTGGATTGATGCAGATCGATGCAGATCCCCCTGCAGAAGTACATGCAGGCATAAACCAGACTTAACCCTGACCCTTACTCTTACAACACACAGGCTCTAAAGACGAGGTAACAGAATTGCAGCCCTGACACGACAACCTCCAGCTCTGATGACTCATACAGACGAGATCAGCAAGGAAGTGAAACATAGTCTTTGTCCTGTGGGGGCGCCAAAATCAAGACGAACCAAAAGTTCCTCACAGTAGCTTTAAATCAGACTGCTTATTTTCCAGATGAATGAAAAAATATTTACTATCAAACAGCTGGGGTGCAGTTCATCTGTTCATCTATAAAAATGTGAAACAAGCCAGGCCTTTTGTTCACACACCTTCACCTCCTCTGTTTGAGGGTATCGCCTCCTTTCCCTTTGTTTGTGTGAGTGTGTGGGTGTGCGTCCTCTGGCGACTGACCGTCTGGTCCCTATTCATTTCCGGCAGTCTGACAGCCAATAACTCTCCTCCTTAACTCTGCTTGTCAGAAGCCTGGCAGGCTTGAGAGAGAGAGAGAGAGAGTTGTGAATGGGTCCACAGGGTTTGACGTCAGCCTCTTTTCTCTGGTCGATTATGTGTGTATGTGTGTCTGTGTTTGTGTGTGTTTGTGCATGTGCAGATAGGTGTTATGCATCAATTTTTGCCCTTTTGGGAAATTCGAGACTGTGGCTGAGTGTCTGTGGGGCGTTTATAGCGCACCAGGGATACGTGTGCATGTATCATCGCCAAATTTATCCTTTTTCCTTGAAATGATGAAAACAATAAAATCCGTCTCTTCCCAAAACCAAACACTTGCAGCTTTTAAATCACCCTGCAAGGTTTGCACACATCTACGGGAATTTAAAAGTGTGTTTCTGATGAGGAAAGAGAGTTAGAGAGAGAGAGAGAGAGAGATAGATAAAGAGAGAGAGAGAGGACAGGATGAAAGGAAGAGTACAAAGAGCATGACATTTATAAAGCCTTGGCTCAGGGTGCAAACCATTAAAACACAACAGGGTGCTTATTTTGAAGTCCTAAAATAATTAATGTAATGTTGCTCATAATCCTCTTTTATGTGGTGTTTCCCATTAGGATGAAAAGAAAAGGTCTGCAGCAGGTAACGGTGAATATTGTCTGTCCACGGCAGCATGAGTCACTGGGTTTGCTGACGCTCTGTGAGGAGAGTGCAGCATTGACAATCAGGCCAATTTGGCTGTTTATGAAATCAAAATTACAACGACAGGACCCCTTCCACGTACTGGACATTAAAAACAGGAATTAGGTCAGGCTTGAGGCATTTTTAAACAGACAGAATGTGTTATACATGAAACATGTATCATTAAACACAATATCACATCTCTTTTACATCATTAAATTTAACATCACCATTTTTCAGCTTGAAATAAATGATAATAAAGCTGTAATGTTCACTGATGAATTTGAAAAACTCCAGCTCATTGGCGTAAAATGTAGGTCTGTTTTTTTATACATCTAAATGACAACCTCCAGTGCTGCAAGATGAAGCCAATCAAGAAACTGCAGTTCCCCAAGTGTCCACTTGAGGCTCTAAAAGCCAAGCAAACCCTATTAAGTCCAATATTAAAATGCCCATATTCACAACAGTTTGGTAAAAAAAAACGTTTCTGTTGATGAAGCTTATTTATTTATTTGTGTACATTATGCGGCAGGTGAATCCCCTAATGACCTCTCTGCTGAGTAAATAAAAAGCAGGATTTACATTCATTTGTATAATAAAGAGAAACGCTGAGCTGACAGAAACGTGGGCATGTAACTTTTTCCTTTGCTAGAAGACTAGAAGCCCATGCCAGCTTTACCTCTTTCCATATTTTTGTGTCACAGTGGAGCGGCTCAGCCTCCCCTTGAGATCCAACTGGCCAACCTAGATGGCAAGTATTGACCCCAAAACAAGATGGTTTCCCTTCTTAAAAAATGTGAAAAATGGGATCATCTTATATTTGAGGTTTAGAAATGAATATAGTCAGCCCTGTTACATATAACATATCTGTATTTATTTGGCCTCTTTCAGGAGGTAAACTGTGTGTTCATATACAGGGGCTTTTCAATCTCACAAGGAAGATCAGTGTGTTTTTTCAGAGATTTTCAAGTCTGAGAGGCGAATCTGTGATGATTTATGAAGATATTTCAGCAGAACATTGTTAGTGTGAGTCCATTTGTTGTTATTTCAATTAAAATGCCAGGTTACGCTGTTTGTGACTGTGGACAAATCTTTGTTCTGTATGTGCTTCAAGTGTCAGAGGTTTTAAACCGCCTGTATCCTGTCAGTGTTATTTCATAAGGGCACTTTCCAGAAATACACTTTTTGCTTTTGGATGTTACTTTTTGATAATGTCAGATTTGTTTTATTGTGTTATTTTGGTCTTTCATAATGCCAGGTTTTGATTCAACACAATTACAGTCCCATGTGCTCTGATGATCTCAGTGGACTCCTCATTGCAAAGAGCAGATACAAACAGCACTTTTATTAGACCTTCAAATTTGACATCTTTGTCGATGTTATGAAAGAGTTTTCTGAAAAACTTGCTGTGTACCAGAACCATGGCTGACTCAGGATGTTGGTCTAGCTAACTGAGTTAGTATTTCATTAAATTAGGAGGCAATAAAACTCTCAAAAAGAGTGCATGGTCTTCAAATCACTTTACATTGCATATGCGTTGCACCATTCACACTAATCTAGGCGGTGATGTTTGAGGTGTCTGTGCAGAGTGCCAACCTGCTAATCAGGAGCTCTATCACCTTCAGAAGTGTCTGGGTGTCAGCAATCTTAAAGACTGTTCACAATTTTATGATGACAATAAACATGGGCGTTTCAGCTCCACACAGACTTCATTTCTTGGTGCACAACTGGGCCCCACTAGAAACCCGACAACCAGCTTTGATTTAAGGTGAATGTCTGCAAAACGAAATATGCTCACCACTCAGGTTAAGCAGTCACACAGCCAGCCTGCAACTCTCTGCAGAGTTAACTTATTATAAAAGAAAAATATTCCTTACATCTTGAAAACAATGTTCCTTTTTTATCACCACCTACTCACTGCTTCTCTTTTCCAAAGCGATCACATCGGATCACACAGCAGCATGGCTGCACACACAGCAGTAATGTTACCATGGTGCGCAGTCTTGAATCCACACGGCTTGTCATTTGACCCTGCTTTTCTTGCGTGGGGCTGCAAATGATACACAGAAAAGATTCAAATAACAGAAGTTGTCTGAAGGGATTTTAAAGAGAGGAACACAGTTAGTCTGCGTGTTAAAGTATTAGTTACACACTCCGGTTCAGTGAATTCAGTTTGTAAGAGACAAACGTCCACACTCGGTCGGCTAAGAAATACAGCACAGTGTCATCTTGCTTTTCATGGTTCTGGCTTTGATGTTGCTGCTTTGAATAAGGCCTCCGCTCCGTCCCTCAGTCTTAAAGTCACAGAGCAGATGTGTTGTCTGCTCATGGGGGAATATTTGTTGTTTACTTCCTCCTGAAAGACGAAAATAAACCCCGTCCTGCTGACATCTGTGAGAAACGGCATCTTTCTGCTTTGGCACATCACAGCGAGGACACTTGTAAAGAGGCAGGGGGCTAAATGGGACAGTTTTCAGAAATGAAGCATGCCGTGTTACTATTTATAGAGAAGAATAGAAAAGGAGAGAGGAGAGGAGAGGAGAGTTAGTCTTGGTTTTACATAAGGATTGATATTGTTGTTCAGAGAATCTGTAGGCACAGAGCCCCATTTTGAGCCCCCTGGCTACAGGAATGACTCACATGAAATTCAGTGTCTGTGTTGCTGCAGAAAAATCAGTGAAACTGTGACAAAAATCTGTAAACACTGAGCCATAAATGATCGCTGTGGGCTTCAAAGCATGCTCAGAGTTTGAAGTTGTAGAATCACAATACAAGTCACTGTGAATAACGTCATTTTTGAGTCATATTTCTAAAATTTTGCTGCACTTTTTGCAGCCTTGACATTTCAGGTCATTTCTTTTCCATTCCTTTACACCTTTAGAATATCTGTTGCTGAGAGTTATTTAGTCTTCACTGAATATCAGTGATTCCTCTGCTGCCACAGATCTCTTGAATCATTTATTACCAGTCATTTCCTTTCTCAGGTCAGAATTCATACAGGCAATCAGCTCCTACTATCTGGACTATACCTCTTTTGCAGATTACCTTGAAGGAATAAATTCATGCACACAAAGGCAGAGAGACTAGTACATGCAAAGCCACAATACTTGTGCTCTATATGCAGCTTTTTCTTCACTGGAGTGGATTTTGACTGTACAATTGGCATCTCTTAAGAGTATAGATGGGGATTTCAATTGGCCTTTTCTGTTAAAAATGCATGAAAAAGCTGAAGTAGCAGCTCCTCTTAAGGATAAAACATGCAAATTGCCTGATCAGTGCTCTCCCATGGACAAAAATGAATATAAAAAACTAAAAAAGTGCCCCCCTGGATACCTTTTCAGTGCATAAAATGTGAAAAGTTGCCTATTAGATGCCCTTCCAGTTTACTTAATATATAAAAGTGCCCTTTAAATACATCCCCAGTGCAACATCTGTGTAAAGGTGCTCTTTGGATACCCTGAATTTCATAAATAAAGTGCAAAATGTTTTGGTTTTTTTTCTTTAAAGTGACCTCTGGATCCCCTTCCAGTATACTTAATAATAAAAATGGTTCCTCCAGTTTATTGAATGTGTAAAAGGGTCTTCTAAGATAAGATAAGACAAGATAAGATAAGATAAGATAAGATAAGATAAGATAAGATAAGATAAGATAGAAAGAACTTTATTTATCCCTGATGGGAAACTCAATTGCCTGTAGTCTCATTTGTCATGTGTCAAAAAGTCATGTGTCAGAAGAGTTGTAAAGTCTGATGGCTGTTGATACAAAAGATCTTCTAAATCTTTCTGTCCTGCAGCAAAGAGAGAGGAGCCGTCCACCACCATTGGCCCTTTGGTCCATCAAGGTGTTATGAAGTGGATGATCCTTGTTCTGAAGAATAGTCTCCACCTTCTTCAGTGGAGATCTCTCCACCTCATCTTCCACTGAGTCTAGAGGTCCTTTCATTGTATTAAATGTAAAAGAATACCTCTTGATGGCCTTCAAGTGCACCAAATGAAAGAAAAAGTGACCTTTGTATGCTATTCTTGCACTCAAATTTGATAACAGACCCCCTAGATGCCTTTACAGTATGGATAATCTCAAAAGAGTGCTCTCTAGATGCACTTTCATGTAAGGAATTTTCTGAAGATGCCCATTTGGTACCTTTTTTCCAATGTATGTCACCTGCAAAGTTTGTGGGAGGCTTTTGATTACCCAGAAAGATTTTGGTGTGTTATATCAGTCATTTATATGGTTTAATCTACCCAAATAGTTTTGAAATGATCATGTGAAAAATTAAGTAAATGCTACCAGGATGTGAGCCTCATGCAGAAGAAACGATTTACTCTATGTCATTTATTTATTCACTTTGTGGGGTTTTTTGCTTTGCATTATTCAAATTGGTACCACTTTACATCGTGTGAATATTCACCGCTGCAGGGAATAATGTGTCGGATCTCTGAATCCTCATTAAAGATATTCCTTTTTGAAAAGTTCAACTCAGGTCCATTTGCTTTCCCAACCTGTTAAACGGTGTGAACACAGAGGGCTGAACACTTATCTGTACATGTATGACATTTATGCAGATGCAGTAGGAGGAAGCTCTACGTGACCTTTTCTCATTTCCACACAGGGCTTACAGATCAATGCCTGTGGGTTGGACATTATGGATACTCCTGCAAGCTGCCGACGCTGTTCAATCATCAAAAGGCCAAATGAGAATACAGACTAACCCAGCGTGAGATAACATACGTCCTTAGAAGACTGAGACACGATCAGGTACAAAAGGAGCATGCTTGATTTTCTTTATTCCCTAAACTGTCGCGTTATGGATATTTAAAACCTGAGGATCGTGATATCCCTAACTCCTGTTGGACACCCTCACAGAAACAGCAGCACCCACCCACCCACCCAAGGTGAAATGTCACTCTAAATGTTTACAACTTCTTTACTTTACCTCCCAGGCTGACAGCTCTACTGGACCCAAATATCATCTTTCAATATTTTTACCTCTGCCACTGGCCTCTCTTCAGTTCTTAACACCCCCCACCTGTCAACAAATTGCTGTTTTACTCTGCTACACAAACACAAACATCTTCTTCAGCTTGAGTTCTCAGAGGATAAAAGCCAAGAAAATGCCAGTGGTCTGAGGTTGCTGACAGAAATTTTGATGGGTATCAGAAATGTCAGGGTACTCTTGCTACACCTGTCATTGTTTCTGTTCTTACATGGATCGTATTTGCTTCAAAGTAACTTCTTTTTTGACAGGGTAGTTTCAAAGAGACAGTACATTCGATGGATTATGTGGTTTCCCCCTTTGCATGGTAAAGATTTAACCTGCATTTATGGATGCAGCGATGAACCGAGTTTACTTAAAGTGTTTTTGTAAAATCTCTTGAGTACTTTTTGTGCATTTAGGTTTAAGAATCAGGACATTAGCTTATGCAGATTTCCTATTTTGGGCTAATTCACTGGGTACCAGCAGCCATCACCTCATTGTTTCACCCAGTTCCTCTTTACCTGCAAAAAAACAAAGATGTTGCAGGAGTCTTCATTTCTGCAGCAGCTTTCATGCTTTTATCACCAGTTTTTTATTTTTCCCTCAAGATTTGACTCAGACCAAAACCTGCCAGATCTTATCACATTCACAGCTGGCTGTCACACTTTCTGTTTAGATTGGGGTGTGTCAAAGGCCACACTGCTGCCATTTAGGAGTAACATCAACTTGGCGGCAGCAGCACTTTCATGGCGTTCACAGGTTTGTGGTCATTAGCACCCGTTGGAATTTAGTTGGACTCCATTGACGTTAAATACTCCGTCAGACAGTTTTTCTGCATTTTAACACATTTGTATGGAGGGTGACATTTCTTTGCAGAATCCCAGGGGGTTCTGGGATAACTATGTCAACCTGATAATACATCACTGGACTGGGAAAGGATGAGAAAAAATACAGAGGGAAAGCTTTTTGCACTATAGGTCATGTGCAGTATGTGACGCTTGTGCTTCGTATCGTATCCTTATTGTGGCAACTTTAAGACATAATGCTCACAGGATAATTGAATCAAAACTGCTCTCTTTTTTGGTTTCACACTAAGATAAGATATTTCTATATTCGTCCCACAAGGGGAAATTCCAAATTTACAGCAGCGATAAATACAAAAGAGAAATTAAAGAATGAAGAAACTTCGGGAGTTAAAAAGATTTAGAAAAAGATTTATACATAAGTGTTATTTACAGCTGTTAATCACATGTTGTTATATTACAGTTGAAACATTGAGATATTTATATGCATGACTATATACACAAAATAAGCAGCAACCTCTGGTCTTGTGAAATGGACCTGATGCAGAAGTGCTTCAAACTGATGCAAAAGCCTATGGAACTACATACACACCCATTCTTAAAAGCCCGTCTTTACAGCAATATTTACAGCCCGGTAAAAAATGATTTGGATTTGGTCTTTTTCTATTCACACTGTAAGGAAGGCAATATTTTTATAAATCATCAACTTTTAAGATATTAAAGATAAAATTGTTGCATGATGAAGCGTAACGAGGGGCATGGCTGACTTGAGCACACTGCAGCTGTTAGTGAGGAGGTTACAGGCTTTCCTCGACCCAGGATATTATTGTAAACCAAAACTAAACTTTAATGTCAAAACCTAAAATAAACTAAAATAAACTTAAACCAACTGAAATAAATTGTAATGACAGCTGGAATACTCTTAACTTCTTACTTTAACACACAGAGCAGTGTCAGGAGTTAAAGCTCCTGTGAGAAGTTTTTATGTTCACAAAACAGACTGTTTTTCATATTTATGCCTTTAAAATTCAGTTACTTTTGCAGTTCTGACATTGAGGTGATTTGCAGGACATTTGAAATTTTGATGGTTATACTTTAACCAAAAGTTTGAATATAAGTTTATGGAAATGTATGTACTTAAAGTAAAATTAAAGGTCTTTGATGTATTTTACAGTCTTCCACTCATGCTGTGAGACCACCAGAGCTCACACCAAGCTGATTCATTTTCCAGCAGCTTTGTGGTTTGCAGAAAGGTGCATTTCCCTCCCAACCAGCAGATAGCAATTATCGGACAGCGGATGATCGATTTGGGAAACAGATTGACTGTTTCAAATTCCCATAAAGCTGTGAGTCACCTGAAGAAAGAGTGCTAGATTCACACATTACTTTCTCCTTCCAGGCTTTCACATCCAGTGTTGGTGGGTAATTTTTCTTTGATTTGGTCCTGCACTTTGTCCATGATGGTCAGTGATGACGAATTGCCCCTTTAATTGCCGGTTAAACTGGGCCTGGGCTAGCGGTTGCTAAGTGCCCGGAGGGAGACAGGAAGCAGCATTAGGACTGCGGCTGTCTGCAGCATCCATCTGTGACATCCAGTGGGTTAGGGAGGGAGGGGTCTGGAAGAACAGCCAGAATGACTCATAGGTCACATTTGCGTGAGTGAACCAGAGACTGTTTGTGTGTCTGTGTGTGTGTGTTTGTTTTTGTACCTGTGTTTGTGCATGAGGAATCACGTTCTTGCACTTGCTCATTATGCAAAGATGTGTTAATTTGTATGTGAAGGAGAGAAGGAGGCATCGAAGTTTCTCCTCTGTGCCCTTCTTTCTGCGTCGTCTGTCTGTGAAACATTCTCTGAGAACAATTTAACAACACCCGCTCTGAAACAGAAACAGAGTGGCATTTCTTCTTGATGGAAATGTACTTTTTCTGCCACATTAACTACACTCTGGGTGAGTTAGCAAGCTTTGTGACAACGCTCATCGACTTCATATTCGGTCCATGTTAATGCTCAATAGGATATGTAACCATTGAAAGAAGACTTTACGAAACAGTCTCTGCTAAAATAAGCCGACCTAATTATTCTGAAATACTTTGTATTTTATGTGAGGCTAATACCAGAGGAGGAAATTAGATCATCGGCTCTGGTGGAAAAAGTATGACTTTCAGCAGATTTATCTTTGTACTCTTGATGTCAGCTGTCATCAAGCACAAACGCACGAGTAAATTGGTGTATTTGAGTGTTTTTGGTTTACCTATCTGAATTGGATAATTTAATATTTGGCTCCAACAACTTTGTCAATAATGTAATCTGACAGCAGGAGCTCCTCATGTAAACACACTCAGGCCTGCCCTTACACACACAGTGCTGTTCCGCACTGCCGGACACATCGCTGCCTTCATTCGCAGTTTCTGCCTCTGTTGTCACCTCTAACATTACCTTACACCAACTGTGAGTCTGCTCAAGAATGAAGGGGGAAAGTGCAGCTTATCCAAACAGGGCCACACAAAGATCAAGAAACTATGACAGCAGTAGCAGCAAGGGAAAAGTGGCAGTTTGAAGAAATTTCCAAACCACTCGATGAAGTAGTTGATATTTTCAAGTCTGTTGAACTGGATGGAGACAGAGTAATATCAGCCCATTGCTAAACCTGAAGAGAAACAGCCTTTTCTTCTGGTGGCTGGATTGATTGTATTCACTAACACCTGTACACAGCTTGAGTGGATCTGTTCTGCATCAGAGTGAGACGTCCGTGTTCACAGAAGACCTGCACTCTGTTTCCAAACACCTTCTCCAAATGAGCCAGGTGTGAAAGCACTTTGGCACTTTGCCGTGTGCTTTTGAAGAGTTTCTTCATCAACACCACAACCCCTCTTCTGCTACTGCACACACCTTATCTCCTCTTTTGCAGATGTAGCTACAGCGTGTTTTCATTCTTTACTCACTTCAGATCACCTTTCAATGTGAGAGGTCAATAAATCCTGATCAGTTGGGTCCAAAGTAAAGATGTCCACATGAGATGAATTATTCAGGATCTGGGATTGACGGTGATTTGAAACTGACGAACTATACTGCAGGCTGTTTAAGCTTTAACTGAACAGTCTCCTCTCTTTAATCTTTCTTTAATCTTTCTCCTCACAAACCTTCTCCGGCAGACTGATAAAGTGGCTCTTTCTTACTGTCAGGATCTGTACACAAGTCCTTTTTCATCTCATGCCTGCAGGGCCTGAACAGAAGCTGATATCTCTTTTCATTAGTTGCTTTGTTTTATGTCTCCCTTGGTGAATAACACAGCTGCAACCTCCAGACACGTTGCAGAGGTGTGTTGGCTGGTACATCTTCAGGCGTGTAAACCCCATCTGAGATCCTTGATTCTTGTCATGTCAATGCTCACACAGACTGAGTTTCTGGAGTAAAAGAGAGAGGGAGAAAGTACAACAGTGCGGTGCGTGTGCATGCCTTGTATCTTTGTTTAAAAAGTCGTCGTTTAATTCGAATCACTAAAATAAAACCTTTGTGCAGGACTCAAAGACTTGCACACACACCTGCTGATTTCATGTTTAATCTCCGAGCTTTCTCCTTCTCTCCTTTTGAATGTTGTATTCCACTTCCCTCAGGTGCACTGCTGGTTACCATGGAGACAAAAGATGGCGCTTCTCTGGATGACTGCCCTCCTGAAGAGAGGCTAACATGTTGTGTCACCGGACCGGGTGTGAGACTCACAGGAGGCACAAGACAAACAGACGCACAAACACTCACACCAAGAACTTACAACTCCCACTGGTCTGTACGCTGCAGAAGATAAAAACAGAAGTTCAAGTACTTACGTCTTCAGGGGAAATGTGAGAAAACACATTTTATAAAAGGCTGTTACTGATCTTGAATGAACAAAACTACGATCTCACCACACGTAGCTTTGTTTGCACTGAATGAAACCCCTCTGGTTGAGTTTGTAAATGCAGGACTTCCTGTTCACAGTCACGGTGCATGAAGAAAAGTTTCTTCTGAACTTTAAAGAGAAAGAAGTTATGGAGGCTCGGAGCTCCTCATCGTGATCATTCAACTCCTCTGAGGCTTGATGGTGGAGGTGGATTTGATCGGTCTACAGATAGTCTAAATTGCAGGGTTAAAGCGGTCAACACGTCTGCGTGGTTTTCGTTCTTTCTCCAAAGGCATTTTGAGACTTTTCCAGGGGTTTGTCCACTGCAGCTAATAATACATGGAGAGTGCAGCAGTCCTGGCTGCTATCACCCGTAAACTCAGGGTATTCAAGCTCTCCTCAACCCCAAATTGTTTTGAAACCCCTTTTTTATATGGATAAGACTTCAAAAGGTGTTTTCTAAGAGATCATTTAATCCATGGGAAGTCATTTTTCCTCATGACTTTGGTGGTATAACCGGGTGATAAGCCACTCTTTGAACCTTCTTTGAACATTTCAGCACAATAAGGTTGAAAGATTAATGGATCTCAGCATGGAAAATGACATTTAAAGATCTGAGTAGTAACATTTCTTCTACAAAACAATTTTCAAACCTCTTTCAGATCTAAAATTTCAAAGCAAAGTATTTCCAGAGAGTAAGTCTGGAGACCAGAGTGAAGAAGAGCAAGGAAACTTTATATCTGTCTGATTTATTCCATCTTTTTTACAACAGAAAATAACAAACTTGAGGCTAATTTATGCTTCTTAAATATATGAATATAACCATCATTGTCACACATGCCCTTTACTTTGGATTGAACCATGTGCATCTGCTGAATGTTTATTTTTCTTTCTAAAACAAAACACAGAAAGACAATCAGCTGTTTTGCTGTTTCGGTTTGAAGACTTTGTGCTCTCTCCTCTTTAATTAAATGAATTCCCTCTCTAGAAACAGAGGGATGTGAAGCAAATCCATGTTTCCATGCCAATTATCATTTTGTGACATCTGCCTCTCAAGCTTATCGCTTTGTTTTGCCCTTTTGTCTATAAATACCCTGAGAGGATGAGTCATAATTTACATCTCATATAATAGACTGCATCATCCCTCTCTGACCAACCACACAGCTGTACTCAACAGGCGACAATCAGATGTAAACTAAAACTTTTTTAATGAATATGAATATAAAGAACGACAGAAAAAATTGGTCATTAGAGAGTCAGGCGGCTTCTTTTGCTACAAGTCTATTAAGATTTGAATCTTGGACGTCACGCTAATGCAATAACTTTATTCTGGAAATAAAGTAGCACTCTGACTTTGATCTTAAGCTTGTGTGTCTCTGATTTCAAGTGTATTTATTTTGCTGCCCCCTTTCAGTTTTCATATTTTGTAAAGTTGCCTCTTGCAGCAACACACTCAAACTTCGAGTCACCTGTGTTGTCCTCTACCTGTTCTGAGAGCACCAGCAGCTGCTTTAATTCCTCTGGCTTTTAGATGTTTCTGTATTAAAGGCTCATGAGATTTCAACACAAGTTATATTAAATATCAGCTCATGATAAACAATCGGCCTCCTGTGCTAAAGACTTAAACACAAAGAGGATTAAGAGACTTATTGATGGAGCTGCTGCGCCGACACAGAGGTATCAGATGCTCTTAATCTTTCTGCTGGGAGAACATTTCCTTTCTATGATTGGCTGTTTATGCCACTTGTGTTTATTGCTGACTGTATCTGTGTTCAGCTCTCACACACACACATATAATGATGCAGACTCTTGCATTGGTGTGTGGTTGGTATGGAAACAAGCCTATAGGGGGACAGGTCTTTGAGTGGCTAATTAGCCAGTGAGGCTCAATATGCCGTTCATTTGACAGGTGTATTAAACAGGCGGTCGAAAACATTGTCCTCCGGCCATGAAAGACGAGGATGAAACTTTGTACTGGCTTTTCTCAAGAAAGTTCCTCCAGAAGAAACAGAAAGATGGACATGTTTCTTTCCTGCACTTTGACAGTGAAATATGACCGTGTCAATCAGATGTAACACAGATTAAACTGGTTGGAGGCAACAACGCCACCCACTGACTAACAGATTCACACCTATGGCGCTAACAAAACTGTGACCGTATTTTCACCTGGGTAACACCTACAACACATCATGTTTTCCACACCGCGCACTCTCGCTGGCCTCATCCACACATCTCCATAATCTAGTATTTTTGAAAACAGTTTTTCTCAGTATTTTGACCTCCTGTACGGGGTTAATTATGGCAACTATTTTAGATTAAGTCTCAGCACTTAAAACAACTTTCAGTTTTAAGCACGATAAGCAGAGGATTAGTATTATATCAAGACCTCTGGTAAATTGTCAATTATCCCCTAATGATAGTGTTTGGTGTGACGCATTCACACACTTGTTCACAAGTCTGTAATTTACTTAACTTTACCAACATTTTTGAGATGCTGCGCAATATTCACCTTGTTCTTTTAGAGCGGCATTATTCTGTAGAGTGTGCAGCCTGCTGGAAACTGATGAAATGAGGGAGACGTACACGTCTGATAAGATACACAAAACATGTGCATCAAAAACATTAGGCCACATTCTAATAGGTGAATAACTTTATGTCATTTACATTTTACTAGCTACAACACAGTCAAACAGTTTGTATTTAACCCAACAAATCTGATAAATTAAATTGAATATGTCTAAATGTTAAAATTAAGTCTAATTGATTTTCAAAATGTGGTTCATCAATTTGAAAACAACTTTTGATTTTTTTTTATATATCTAGATTATAATAAATAATTAGACAGTCAAGTATGAGTAAGAATTTTTAAAAACAAAGCCAAAGCACAAAAAATATATATTTTTAAAAAAAGTTAATCAGTTAAAAATGTGCTGACGTCTCCTACATAAATAATGTCTTGGCCTTTTTAAACCGTATAATGAAAAACTTAGCCACTTTATACTGACTTTCTTTGAACCTTGAGCAGCTCAGAGTTGCACCGTCAAAATTAAACGTTTTTTACGTCCCTCTGTAGATTCATATGCAGCATCTTTAGGTAATTAATTGTTCTATTCATTTATTCAGCATTTTAGAGCATCTCCTATTTCAAGGCTTGAGGCTGTGATCCCAGTGGACCAGCAGCACAGATGCAAATTAGCCTCTGGCCGACGTTTCCATGGTAACACTCATTGGGTAAAAGGTTGAGGGCTGATGCCTGTTTGTGTACCGGGAAAAACAGACTGGCCACATAGTGAAAGCATCACAGGCAAACGTTGGAGTCCATTTGTTTTCTCTTTTGTTTGTTTGGACAGGCGTGTGTGAGTTTGTGTCTATGTGTGAGTTTGTGTCTATTTGTGTGTGTGTGTGTGTTGAAGTATTATTTTGTGTGCTTTTCTGACTGTGGATGAAAAACTGGCAGAGTTCAGTTCAGCGCACAAACAAGAAAAAAAAAAAAAGATGAGGAACAGCTCTCGCTTTGAGCAGGAGTCTCATTAATTCAGTAGAGGTGAGGCGTCTCCTGCAGACACCTGCCATTGTCGGGACAGTTATTAAGATCCTCTGAGGGGGACGGCACAGAGGAATCAAACACACAGTAATGAGAAACTTTCTAAGATTAGACTCTTGTGTTCACTGAAATCCACCGCCAAAGGTCAGAAGTGAAATGAAAGTTGTGGTTGTTGTAATAAGCTCATCAGTAGTGTCTGTAGATGTATGAGTACATTTTCATACCACTGCATCTCGACTTTTAAAGGCCAGATCGTTGCTTCGCTACTGTGTCAAGAGACAAAGTGAATACAGGTGCAGCAAAACATTTGGATACTGTGGAAAAGTCCAGTTTCTTGAATGAAAAGAGCTCTAATTAGCTAATTAACTCTGAACACCTGCAAAGCTTGAGTGAGCCTTTATTCTCTCAGTCTGGTTCAGGCAACCACACAGGTAGACTAAGCATCAAGACTCACTACACACAGACATGTCCAGGAAATGGACTTCAAACATCATATTCCTGCAGTCTAGACACTCCTGAACCAGGGACGTCATCATATGAGTTTCACCTTGGCTCAGAAGAAAAACAACTAGCCTCTATGATCCAAAGTCCTGTTTTCAGATAAAAGTAAATTCAAGGTCCCAGAGCCTGAAGGAAGATCGGAGAGGCCCAGAATCCAAGGTGCTTGAAGTCCAGAGTGAAGAGGGAAGTAAATTTGAATATTTGAACCCAACGCACATCATTTCTTACTTCACTGTACTTACTCATCACATAAAATCTAGGATACGGGTCAGTTGTTTGCCTTCTGAGCAGCAACTTCTGGGTTAGTAATTCTTCCTGCATGTTACTGGTACATTGGTTGGTTGTGAAGGGTGCTGCTCTTTCTTTACATTACAAAAAAAGTTAATTAAAAATGACTCCCGTACACCAAATTTGACTGTAAATAGTGTTGCTTTTGAGCTGAAACTTGAGTGTATGAGGTGAACTATGGTTAAAAAGACACAACTCCTTACATAGATGTTCCTCATTAATAATAATAATAGTCTTCTTCTGTCAAAGTCTGAGTCACACAGAACTGCTACATATCTGCAATTACTGTGGTGTCATATTAAAATGTATCCTCAGTCTCCATGACCCAGAAAAGATGTGGTGATTAATCAGAGTCAGGACAGGCTTTCATACCAGCTCATAATCAGTTTGGTTATTTTAAGGTGGACTGAGTCAGAAAACCAGTATTATGGCTCTCAATTATGGTGGAGGGATATCAGGTACATCAGCAGCTGCTGGTGTCTTTCCTCCAAGAGAAGCAAAACAAATCCAGAATACAGCCTGCAGTTTTTTAACATTAAAGACCGAGACAGTGTGTTTATCTGGACAACAATGTGTTACAAGGCACAACCTGATCCCACACTTAAAATCAGTCTTTAATTCACTATGATCACACTTTGCTTTAGATAAATTTGTTTGAATAATGTGATTTTTTTCTAACAGTTAAGCACATTAGTGTTTGGATATGATCGTGAGGAAAAGTGTTCTGAACGTCACTGATTGCTGTAATGGAAAAGCTTGGCATGTGATTGGACCCTTCCAGGTCAGCTGGTGGCAGATACACCCTCTGATTGGTCGACAGTTCTAAGATTTTTGGCACTTTTAGTCTGGAACAATCTTCAGACTGATTTAAAACAGCAAAACTCAGTTACCCTGAATTTATTTAGACACCTAGTCAAACCTTTGGAGGCCAGGCTTTTGGTGAGATAATGTTTCAGCTGTTTGTCTTTACAGATTCATTCGTGTGAGTGTGATTTTTTTTTTCTGTTTTTTTTTTTTTTTTTTTTTTTTTTTTTTTTTTGGTGAAACACGTTTTCAACAACATTTCATGGTAATTTGTTGGTAAAGTATATGGACATATGTTTCTCCACTTGTCCTTCTTTACTGTGTTGGTTTACTGTTGAATTTTCCATAAACATAATAAGCCCCATCCCTAGTCTATGGTGGCCCTTAGGTGCAAAACACAACGGCAAATCAGAAAACATGACACAAAAAAAGAGAAAACACAACGGCAAAAGAGAAAACACAGTGGTTAATGTTGTTGTGTTATCTCTTTTGCCGTTGTGTTTTCTTATTTGCCGTTGTGTTTTGAACCTAAGGGCCACCGTACTGATCATGTGTTTGGTTATTTTCTCCTTAAAGTGGTTTAGACGTTGAAATTCAAGCCCCTGCTCGTTATGAGGGTTTTGACCAATCAAAGGCAAGTATTTCTCGCAGTCAGCTGAGTAACAACCTTCTCACTATACATGAGCACCTACGTTCAACTCACCCAAATGGACAGAAGCTTAAGAAGGAAAGTTGAAAGGGAGGGAGTAAAACTGGAAACAGGAGGAGGCATGGTTTGACATGACTCACTCCCAGACTCATTTGTCACTCTCCCAGTGTGTGTGTGTGTGTGTGTGTGTGTGTGTGTGTGTGTGTGTGTGTGTGTGTGTGTGTGTGTGTGTGTGTGTGTGTGTGTGTGTGTGGCCTAAGGCAGGACTCTGGCCCCACAGGGAGACACTAATGACAAACATCCGGTTTAACAGTGGAGGAGTCACTAAATGCATCACATCTTCTTTTTTCTCACCCTGCTGATACTCTTCCTCATTCTTCCTCCTGAAAAAACGTCATCCTCCTTCCTCTTTATCTCTCTCACACACTCACACAGCTGCCACTAATGAGGACAAAGCAGTGTGCACTTCTTTTAGTGCTCCTTTAAAGAGACAGAGAACGCTTTGTTTTGTTCTCCTTGTTGATATGAATGAATTCTTCACCGTGTGGCGTTTGCTGCATTAAATATTCAGCAGGATGTTTTTATTGTACGGGAAATGAGACTTTAAATGCAACTGTAGGAGTCTGTTTGCGTGTCACACAAGGAACTTGCTCATAAAGGCATTCAACCCTTTCTTAAGTTTATTGTACAATAAGATACAAAAGGGATGGAGAACCTTTATTGATCCAGTTTGGTTTTTAACAGTGTGTTCAGTTCAAATGAAGACCAAGGACGTACATGCAAAAAAAAAGGAAGAAAAACAAACAAACAAACAAACAAAAAGAATAAGAACCCTCAGTTATATGTTACACCTTGTTTCATGTAGAAGCCTAAGATCTTTGGCTGCAAAGTTCAGTTCTAGCATTTGTCCTCTGGCTGTTGAGTTTCATCGGCTCAAAAATGATCCTGAGAAAAAAACTGATTTTCTGAGGTGTGTGACTTTGATGAAGTGGAAACTGAGTCTTATTTCCTTTTACAGTGCACAACATATGATGACTTAATAGGTTGTTATGAAGCCTAATGTACTGCGGTGGCCTGATGCAAGAACTATATTGGCTGTTTGAATTTGACATGTTCAAGCTCACTAATTCTGTCTCAAAATCCTGGGAAAGAAGACAAGATAGCCTCTTTAACTAGTGAGTGTTCATGTATTTGTGTGGATTTTGTTTAATCTTTTTTGTTTTATTTGATTGACCTGTTATGTGCTCTGACTCTGGAGTAGATGAACTTTTGGTGTATGCCCGTGCAGGTAAGGTATATGAACTGTATGATACAATAACAAAATAAAATCTTCAAATTGAAAGTTTGTCTTTTCTCTGCATGGGTGTGATGCCAGATGCAAAAGTTATCTATGACCATTTGTGCAGAATATAATCTTAAATGATGTTGTTGGGCTGCAGCAGTATCTTTAAAAAGCTGAAGTGCACCTGGTTGCAGACACAGCAGAGATTCATGAGGACATGAACTACAGTTTGAAGTTAGATCTCTGCAAACAAGTCGACCTCACCGATGGAAGATGATCTTTCTTTGCCAAACTTTATCAGGCAGTAGAGTTTTTAGAGTTTAAATTTTCATCTTAATAAGCTGAGAATCACTTAAGTATACAAATAAGGTACCCCTGCATGTAAAGTGGGGCGTTTGTTAGCGCATAGTCAGTCGTGAGTTTACCTCCCCTCGCTCAGGTGTAAACAACCCTTCCCACCCGCGAAAGTTGTTAAATGTCTTTTTTCCCCTCAAACTAGATCAGTTAATAGACTTTTGGAGTTTCACCTTTAGTCTACAGGTCTGCATGACTCCAATTTTGCATCGAACTAGTTTATTTGTTTTCCTTATTTACTCCTCTTGTCCACAATAACTGGTTGAAATGTTACCAGAGCGCCCCCATGTGGTTAAACACAATAATACACCATCTGAGGAAAAAGGTTCCAAATTCTCTACAATCTACAGACTCATCACTACAAACTGCAGCATCATAATTTTTTAATTCATGTAACTGAAATACTTTACAGCATTTTAACCATGAGACTATAATACCTTCGTGTGTTGTAGTGTATATATAAAGGAAAATCTCTTTGTCTTTGTAAACAATGATGGCTAAAAAAACCTCTGTTTAAACACAAAAGAATACCTACAATACTATAAGACGGTTGAGTACTGTTATCAGATCATGTTGGAAAAGGTATCTTTATATTTTGACCAGTGTTGCTTCAACCCTGACACAAGTTTTCATTTTGGTGTCCGATAAGCAGGTAGAAAAGCTGATGTCATACTTCTTTAAAAACCAGACAAAATATGTTCAAACTGTTTCCAAAGGAGAGCCGAAGTGGTTGAGAAAAGCTGTAAGCACGTTATAAAGCGGCATGACAGCGCCCCCCATTGGTGAAACACCAGAGGACAGAAATAAACACCAGGCCGGCATCAATTAATTTTTTATTTCAGAAACACTACAAAGACTCAATTTTAAATTAGAGCTAACAAAGTGAAAAAACAAACTGTATTTACAGTGCATGGCTTTCATCAAGTAAACCTACATCACTGACCGAGTGTGAACAGTGTCAAAGCCTTCGGACAATCGTTCAAGTGGGTTCCAGGACAATTCAGTGCTCCACACCGTGTTGGAGAGAGCAAGTCAAGTTGTGTCCAAACAAACAGCCTCTGAGTCTGTCTGCTGCAGGGTCAGTCTTCAGCACAGGCAGGGGGGAGTCACCCTCATCAATAAAATGATGTGAAAATACTTTAGTAGCTTTTATGGCTCCACAGGTTTTAAAAAATGGATATTTCAGATGATTTTCTCATAGATTAAGAAAAAAAATCCAGCACATCCTGCTATGACTTTATCTTTTTGATACCATAGTTTTTAATTTGCTCATCTATATGTTCTTATCATGAGTAAACTGTCCATGTTGACCAAAGAGACGGAACTGCTGCAGTGCTGCTTTACAGAGATAAATTAAGATATTGTCTGTATGAGATGCTTTCAATACAGCTTACCCGAAAATGAAATTTTTTCATCATTTGATTCACCCCTGGCTCAATAATTGATTATTTTGCATGTAAATCTCTGATTGGATGGATGGGCAAAATAAAGAGATACATCTGAGACTAGTCCAAACTGGCCCCAAAGTCTTCATGCAGTCAAAATAGATGGTATTGACACTGTCTTTAACCATGAATGATGGTGGTTTGAGGAGTTTTCTTTGGACACAAATAGTTTATGCTGGTTTTTGGACTGTCTGTGCAGCTGTGTAATGAAGACTCCCTCTGGGCTTTCCTCCGGCTGATGTTCCTCCTCTCCTTTTCTCGTTTGTTCCTCCTTCTTCTTCTCCTCAGGTTAAATCACAGTCTTCCTGCTCGGTGATCAGCCTGAATCATCTCCGCTGTTCTCGGATCCTCCCTTCATGCTTTCCTCCTGCTCCTCCGCCGTGCCGCTGTCCGTCTCCTCCTCTATGGCGAAGCGCGTGTCCGCGGACGAGCACAGGGAGCTTACGCTGCTCTGCTCCGTGCACAGCGCGCATGCGAGCGGGGAGGGCAGCGCGCCCTCGTAGCGGAGGTGTCCAAAGTGGTTGCTATGGTTACCACAGAACGGCAAGGACACCTGCATTGACTGAAGTCCCGAGACAGCTGTGGGGAAGGTGAGGCTGTGTTTTTTGGGCAGAGCGCCCCACTCCCGCTCCTCCTCCTCGTGCACAAGGCGCGTGAAGATATTGACTCTCCTCTTCTCTCTTCTTTTGGAGCGAAAGTAGCCCAGCATGATGCCGCAGAGGAAGACTCCGTAGAAAGACATGACTATTAATATGTAGAGGGATGCGTTCCCGCCGGTTTTAACATCTGCGGAGTTCGCGTTGCTCTGCGTTGAGGCGATCCGTTGAGGTGAAGCTGTAGAGTTTTCCATGAGCTCCATTTTCAGTGCAGACTACAGCAAGGGACAAAAAGTCTGCTGAAAGGAAGAGCAAAGCCATCAGTTTGAGTTTTGGTTTTAGCTTTGCGCACACTTATTCATATTTTACGCACACTTTACGCACGGTGACAACTTCCCAGTGAGCGACTTTCTGCACTAGTGAGTATCAAGAATCGTCAAATTATGACAACAATGTTTGTCTTCTTACAACATTTGACTACTTTGTCATCGGAGAAACTACAGACGCTGTTAAATGGTAAGTATTTGGTTGAGGTATTACAGAAAGCAAAATATTGCGCACAGTGGAACTGTCATTTAGTTCTTGTAGTTTGCGGTCTCCCGGCATTTAAACTTCTAGTACTTGAAATATTGCTGTAATGAAGTTAAAGTACTCTCACTTTAAACTAATATGTTGACTTTTACCGTGCAGTTTTGTATTTGCTCACTTTTCAAGTTTCTCTGTGGGGAAAAAAACGAATCCTCAAACAGTGAGGAAAGTTTGCAGAAACTTTGAGTAAAATGAAGCACATCCATTAAAACAAAACAAAACAAAACAAAACAAAACAAAACAAAACAAAACAAAAACAAGGACAAAGTCACACTGAACACTCACCAAACTGAAGAGCTGAGCCTCATGTGAACCTTTCTGACTCCTGACTTTAGTGCAGCGTTGGTGAGGAGGGAGTTATTTATATAGAGACCCCTGAGCGTCATCACGTGTCATGTGATGAAGGCTGGTTGTAAAATGAATCCCATTTCTTTGGAACCCTTGAAGGTATGTTTAATGGAAAAAAGAAAAGTTTCAAAGATGTCTTGTGCATCATTCACGCTTCTTTTAAGGGGCGAATAAAATGTATAAATGCCCATAAGTACAATTAAATGATTCACTGACTTGATAATCACTAGAGTCCAGCAGAAAGAGGCCCAGAGGGGTTGTGATGGAAAAATACAAGAAAGAACTGCATCAGTTTAGAGACTGTTGAACAAATAAATATAAATGAAGATCTTTCATTCAAAGTTAATCTTTGGATGAAAAAAGTTCTGGTGAAAGTTTTCCATCACAATAGAGTAACACGCTCTATATACTTACACACTATAAAGGCAACAATGCCAACAAGGAAGTGCAAGATAAAGAAAACTGCAGTTCCTTGAGTGTCCACTAGAGGTTCGTCCCAAAAGCCCAGGATGCCCCATTCACAACTATTCAAACAGTTTTACAGTTGTTGGAGATGGTCGTAGTCTTAATTTGTGTGAATTTTTGGTATAAAATGTCTGATTGTTTGAGATGTTTATTCCTTTTTTGTCTTTAATTGAGAGGACAGCTAAGGAGATGCCGAGAACAGAGAATGAAAAGCAGTTAAGGGTGTTGGCTGGGAGTCCAATTAGCAACTGCTGGAACAAAGACTATGGTCTCAGTCCAAAGGGTGAATGATTTAACTGCTCAGCCAACAGTTATGCAGCTGTTTAGTTTATGCATGGATTTGCAAAATAAGAATAGTGCTGATCTGACTGACTGACAAAGAAATGGACAGGTAGATTGTTGTTTGAATTTCACAGTTCCACCATGTTCCCTTTGTAAACATTGAGGGGGCGGAGTCTAAAATCTCAGCTGCAGTCAGTCAGCAGGGGGAGCTCTGACTGTTTGCCCTCATTTGTAGTCATGCTCTTAAGAATAAAGGATTGTCATTGGTTCATTTTAATCTAGCTCTACAGGACGGTCACAGATTTCTCTTGTTTTTTGTTGTTGCTTCATTAAAAGGGAGGTCACATTTCTCTAAGAATGAGATCTCTAAATGATTTAATTCAATATTTTGCCTGAACTCCTCCTTTTTCATCACACACATCTTAACATCAGTCATTCAATGATAGGTGATTACACCCTGGTATTGTTTCATGTGGTGATGAGCATTAAATGCAGAATTAGATTACGTTCCTCTCAATGATGACGGTTATTGAATCACGACGCCTGATTTCATTCAGTTCCGCAGGAGAGACATGGACGTCATCGTCTGCGTATCTCTTTCGACTCAGGCTGCAGGCTTCACAGGCCGCATTTGAAGATGTCACAGACATGCCAATCAATCTTTATCTATAAACCACAGATTCACAACAAATGATATCTCAAAAAGCTTTACGAAAGGAGCTGATCTAGGCCATACTCCTTATCATATTTATATAACACAACAAAAAGATGGGATAAGACTGAGTCCCATCTTCTAAGATCAGACCCTCGCTTATTCTATCTTCATCCTTATGAGTGTAACACTTGGTAAGTTTAAGTGAAAAGGAAAAACTTGCTTTAACAGGCAGAAACCTTGAGCAGGACCAGACTGATGTTAGACAGTAATCTGCTGAGACTTAGCTGGGTTTAGAGAGGGGGAGAGGAAGATGGAGAAAGAGAGAGATGAATAGAGACTAATGACTACAGCTCTTTGACAAATAAAGAGAGTGAAATTTCAGAGGTTTAACTCAAAAAAATAATCAATCACATCTGTTCGTAGACCAAGTACAACCTTTATTTACTTCTTTTGGAGGCAAATTACAAATAAATAGCTGGTTCATTTTTTACGTTACAAGGCAGACTGTAGGTGCAGAGAGGGAGTGGGGCTCAGAAACACGTCCAAGTTTTAACAGAGGCTACATGTGTGCTTCCTCTGCTGGTCACAGTTCCATATACTGTATGTAAAAAGGTGCGACTCACAATCACGAGAGAAGGCAGCAGGTGAGGGATGCTGGGATCATGTTTGTGCCATTTCAGGACCTCTTCATTCACACACTTGGTCACAATCATGCAAAATAACATGACAAGGCTTTGGGCTGGTAGACAGTCCTGTTGGAACAATAAGTGTCAAAGACGATGCTCCCACAGTGTCCTAGTTTTTAACCCAGGCATGTTAGGAAAGCTTTGTTATTCTTCTTAAAATCAACTGCTTTTTTTTTTTTTTTTGGACAAAAATGATAAATATTGCACAAAGATTAACAAGCAAGCATGAAATGTGCTCACTCGTAGCTCATAAAAGCTCATAAAAAAGGAACTCCAACACTTAAGGAAAATACAGTAGACTAAACAGTGCATCTTTTTTCTTTTAAAGGAGACTACTGGGTGCATTTTTTTATCATTTTGTTTAAAAAATCGGCTACAAATCTTCTCTCATTTGCCCTCAAATAACTGTGCTTTCGTGTCAAAGTGCTGACGGAGGAGAGACGTCCAAGGAACCACAGGAGTCAGAGTCAGACAGCAGGTGGGAAGTAAAATAAATCACTGACAGAGCTGAAAATGCGAACAAAAGAAGAAACAAAACCCTCTCCTGACCTGCAGGAAAAGGAGTAAAAGAAATCGTAGAGTTAAAAAGGGTTATTCTGGGACGTGCCTGAGCATTTTCTTTTCCTTCATACGAGCAGATCGAGGCAACAAACTCATTCACACAACCTGAGCTTCTGCTGAGAAAGAGCTCCACAGATAACATCAGGCAATCTGTTTCATAACTCACATCTGGGAAAATAAAGATCCCCAGTTCAAGGTCAAACACCTGGGCACGAAAATGAGAAAAGGCATCAGCAGATGGAGAGTTTCTATGTTTTCTTGAAGCATTTTTCAGCCTCTCAGGTTAAAAATTCCCATTTGGACAGATTTTCTTCATTCTTAGAGATCTTATTTGGGAGTCACGGTGGCTCCTAGGCTCATGGAGAAGGACTCAGGGGTGCTGGGAGATCTCAGGGTCAGGTGTTGGTCTGTTATGAGAGTGAATGCTGGTCCTTGTTTTTACTTCCCGCCGTACATTCTCTCAATATCATCCTGGTATCGTTTTTTCAGCTCCTTCCGTTTGAGCTTGAACGCATCGGTCACTAATCCTGTCTCTGGAGTCCACGGGTCAGGGCTTAGACGGATCTTGCGGGGGATCTCGAAGCGCTCGAGCTGGGCTAAAAAAAGAGGAAGCAGGAGAATCGTTAATTATTAACTCCAAGGTTAGATGAGTTTACGTGACCACTTCTTAAAGGGATATTCCGGTGTAAAATTAAGTTAGGGTCAAACACACAGTAACACCGAGTTAGACACCCCCCTGGAGAGATGAATGTTGCTGACCGCTTGCCTCTCTAGTTTTACCAACTTTAGTAACGACCGCACAATAGCAATACACAGCGGTCTCAGGAGCCACATACAAACCTCAACCAAAAAGCCACTCTATAGCTACAAATAATACTCAGAACAGCACCGAACTTCATCAACAGTGCATCTAGAATCCCAGCTGTAGCACTAACCACCAAACATCTTTTTAGCTTCGCCTGGTTTATTCAGCAAAGAGACTAAACACAACTCACCCACTCTCTTCCAGCAGCTGCTTGTTTGTAGCAAGACCTCAGGCGAGTCCATTGACTGCTGCCGGGTGACGCAGCTCAAGGAAGAACATTTATGATTATTACTTCATGGAAATGCAATCAGGCAGAGACGCTAAGCCAGAAGAACTACAGCGTCTGCGGTTTAAAATGATTTATATGGTGATTATAACTTCAAGGAAATGATGGAGTAATGATCATAAATGTTCTTTTTTGAGCTGCATCACCTCGTTGCAGTTAGTAATGGACTCATCTGAGGTCTCCGTACAAACAAGCAGCTTCTGGAAGAGAGTGGATGAGTTGTGTTTTGTCTCTTTGCTAAAGAAATCAGGCAAAGCTAAGAAGATGTTTGGTGGTTAGTACTATGGCTGGGACCCTATATGTACTGTTGATGAAGTTAGGTGCTGTTCTGAGCATTATTTGTGGCTATAAAGTGGCTTTTTGTTTAAGGTTTGTGTGTGGCTCCTGAGACCACTGTGTATTGCTATTGTGCGGTCGTTACTAAAGTTGGTATAACTAGAGAAGTAAGCGGTCGGCAACATTCATCTCTCGAGGGGGTGTCTAACTCAGCGTTACGGTGTGTTTGACCCTAACTTAATTTTACGCCAGAATTTGTTCTGGGAGCTCCCTGCCTCTGTCTGTGTGTGTGTGTGTATGAGGAACATAACAGCATTAGGTGGGGAGAGCACACCTTCACTACATTTCATGAGCATGCAAAACAAAAGAAGGGAGAGCAGCAGCAAAGACTCAAATAGCAAAGATTTTGACTATGACGCCAAAGGAGGGCATGTGAATCCACTTGGTCTGGATCTGTGAGTGAAAACTGACCATCCTCACCTGTAAGAGCAGCTTCAGTGAGGACCTTGAGGGCCAGCTCCTCCATGGCTTTACTGTTGCACAGCTCCTCTAATGGGCCTCGGATACTGTACTGTTCAGCCAGAGCCAGCAGCTGCTTCTGATTGGGCACCACAAAGCCGATCACATAGGTCTCATCACTATAGGGAGGGCGAGAGAGGGGAGAGGAGGATGGTAATGCCCAAAGGAACCAAGAACAGGTACAAAATCCACACGAAATTTGGCTTGGAGTAGTGAAACAGCAGCAATGGTGTGGAAGTTTAGAGTCTTGTGAAGCATCTACTTCTGACTGTAATTGTTTATTTTCTATTTATGCATGGGAAACACACACACCTGTTTGCATAGGCACAAATGTTGTCAACCAGAGAGCAGTTCTTCAACACAGCCTCCACTTTTCCCAGCGACACATACTCCCCGGCCTGTAGCTTCACCAAGTCTTTCTTACGATCTGGAAACAGCAGAGAGTTGTAACAAAAGCATTCCCAAGAGTGGATATGTGATCTTTCAAAGGAGGAGAGAAGTGAGGACAGAACCTTCTTTCCTCTGAACTGTGCTTATCTGACCAGCGTCATCTAAATATCGGAGAAGATTCAGGGCTCTGGCTGACAGAGGTAAACACCACATGAAGTAATTCTTGGAAGTGATGTGAAACCTTATTTGTTAAAAGGGTTCCTGTCAGACTGATGGATGACGCTGGAATGGGGAGGTTGTTTGGAGAAATCCAGGTATCTGGTGCACAGTGTTGATAACTTGTAGCAGCACAAGATCCTGGTTGTTGTATCTGCACCTGATAAACAACCTTTGCTCTACTTTCCCTCACCGATTATTTTGAGGCAGCCGTCTTGGTGGAACTCCCCGATGTCTCCCGTGCAGAACCACCGCTGGCCGTTCTCATCCACAAAGAAATCCTCCTGGTTTTTGGCCTCGCACTTGTAGTACCCCTGGGTTACGTTGGGTCCACCCACCAGGATCTCTCCTCTCGGATGTGGCTTGTCAGTGCTTCGATAACCACCTACAGGCAGAGTTTGAATTAAGAAAGCAACTATAAACCGTTTCAAATCTCTTGATACTGCTTTATAATAATTTTATGGAAATAAAAAAACACGTAGCTTTGTTTACTTTTTCTTCTTTTTCCTCTTTGGGAGCCAAAGCAATAAACTGAGCCTGATAAATATCAAGATCCAACAGATTGCAATAAAAATGAGCTATGATCCCTGTCTTACATAAAAAAGATGGAAATTGCGCAGGAGTGAAAGGGAAGAAATATGTTTTCCTTACAAGGTTGTGCACCAAAATAACCTCTCTGACCTGGGAAAATGTTTCGTGGTCTGATTTAATATAGACATGGAGTGAGAAAGATGCCGACTGTACTTTATCAGCGTGGAAAACTAAAGTCTTAAAAAGTGATTGTTCTCCAGAAACTTCAGCGCTGATAAGCTTTGGCTTCTGCTGCTTGTTGTACAACAAACGTCAGCCATCTTGGGTCAAAAAGTTTAAAGTCTAGCTGATTTTCCAGTAACCTATTTGATAAAACACACAAACTTCTTTTTGTTTCAGTCTGTAAAGGCCCCAAATTAGTAGGGAGTAGATAATGCCTCTCGTGAAAATGTCTTAACAGCTAATTCTAGTTCTCAGGATGCGAATTGCCTTAAACTTTGAAGGCCACTGCAATGACAAATCTTGTCCTGTGAAATTAAAGTATATTTTTCAAAATGTCATAGGAAAAAAAGATTAATTTAGGGAACACACACTTAATTTTCTGTGTGCTCCACTGTTTTTGAAATAAAACATTCAAATGTGCCTACTTCATTGCTTCAGGTTATATCGTCAAGCTTCATTTACCACTTCCATCCCTCTTTGTTTGATTCCTCCAGGACTAGAACTGAAACACCACATTTGAGACTTTTAAACAGGCAACAAGAAAATATGTGCATGATTTAAGAGAGTAAACCTGCATGGAAAAGTTAGTTTTATCAGGGACTGTTATAAAGTTATAAAAGCCTATTAACTCACACAGACGTGCTGGTTGTAGTTTGGATTGTGTCCTCACCTCTACATAAATCTCTCGTCACAGTTGACTCTATTTAAAACTTTGGGACATTTATTCAAGCTTAAGGCTAGATAAGCTCAAAGTTCCCATTGAATGCTAAACTTTTTCTGTGGTACAGGCCTTTAAATCTTCTTCTGTGGTGTTTGTGCGTTGTTTCTTGCATCAAAAAGCTTCATTGCCTGCTGCAAACAAACCGTCTCTTTATTGCTCTCCAGTCAGGCACTGCCGCTGCTAAAAAAAAGTGTTGCTGACCTGATGTGAATCCTTGTGAATCCACGTGACAGCCTGGATCACTTAATCAGAGGCTTTATGGGTGTGTGTGTGTATGTGTATGTGTGTGCGTGCGAGAGAGAGTGTGTCTCCTCTTGGTCTCACTCACCCTCCACCCAGTCTTTGAGCTTGATCTCACAGCAGACCAGTGGTCCTCCCACTCTCCCAGTGCTGTAATCCCACACTGGAACAGACAGCACACATGTACCATTAGAAAGCACACGAGCATCAAGACCAGACATTTATCACCATGGCAACACGACCTCGCTTGTTCCTTAACCATGGAAACCCCATCCCAAAGGAACGTCCACAAAACTGTCTTTTCCTGGCTGAAATGACCACGGAGGAGAGTGACAGGCTGTTTATCTGCCTGGGAAAGGCTGCGAGGATTTCCATTCTTTCAAAATAAGCCAATAGATGAGTTTTAAAGTTCAGACAGATCTTTGGGACAGACATCAACGACACATGACTGGGATTTCTGCACGTACTTTTAAGTCATTGGGCAATAATTTCCTTCTTTCCAAGAAGCTATGAGAAATTCCTGTAGAAAAATCAAAATAAATAAATAAATAAGGGAAAAATATTTCACATCCAACTGGCTTATAACTCTCACAATTTGCTGACAAACCTCTGGCTTACTTTTCAGTAAAAGATGAATTTTTCCCTGATGTTGACTTAAACATGTCATCCTTTTCAAAATAAATACCCTCCTCCTAATCTGCCCTCTGTTTACTACAACCCACGCACATCATATCTATTCATTTTTTCCCTCTCATTTGTTTTTCCACCCCTGCGGGAAAGATTTCTCTTCCTCCTGTCCTCCCAATGTCCCCTCACAGCTTCACTCCTTTTTGTAGAAACTTGCAATGATTCAACTTATTAGTTGTTATTTGAGTAAACTCGAACAAACCCATATCAGTCATTTGTCAGGGATTATGTCATAAGTCAGAAACCACCTGATCATAGTTAACTCAGGACCATTTAAGTTACAAGAACCATCATTTCATACAACAATCATATTTGGCTGTATGGTTCTGCTATGAGAGCCTCCTGCCCTCCCTCATGTGCACCTGGGATGCAAAAGCTTGGGCACGGATAGGGGCAGTTTGCAAAATGGGTTGGAGAGAAAGCAGGAACTCAGTCTAGACAAAACGCCTGTCATGACATCGGCCAACTTGATGCTTAGATGGTAACAAGCTAAGCTGTCTGCTGGTATGGGGAGGGGCCTGGATCAACTGATGCATGATCTGAACTCAAGCTATGCTCAACTACAGAGAAAGCTCAAAACCCTCAAATCATTTCCTGCCAATTGTATCTTAAAGGCAGGGAAAGTCTGAACTAATTTACATTACCACTACAACACTGTTAAAGCCTCTAGGCAATTAATTTGGCTGTTACATTTACAAACATCCTGATTTTCACAGCAAATTAAAAACAGTGAGTAAATGACCCTTAAGTACATTTGTATAAATCAGAAAAAAAGGGTCATGTTAATGTTAAGAGTGTTTTAAAAGCTTCTAAACTGTTTCTATAGTTCTCCAAATCGGAAAACATACAGTAGCTCTTCAGGACGATGTCAACTTGCTCCTGTGGTGATGTAACGACAGGGGGGCCTTGAAAATCACTTATTCTCGGACGGTGATTCTAGTTTCTCCTACTCCACTGAGGTTTTGGCAAAAGTTACAGCCAGACATACTCTCTGCTCCACTGTTGCAAAAACAAACTTCACATTGGACCTCTTTATAGACAAGGGCTGAACTGCAAACAGTGGCTGAGCTGTGGCTGCAAACAGTTAGTTCATCCTGTTTCGGGTACATGTAGTGATAACGGTGCAGGTTCTCCTGGAGCACTCACCAAGTTTGTTTTGGGGTTTTTCTGCCTCTGCATCCACTTGCATTGATTTATACTTTACCTTTTCTGACATTAGGCAGCCAAGTCACTCTTATTAGAGCAACTTCTGACCTCTCTATGACCCCTTGATGTCTTTCAGGTGCACTAGTAACGTTTTTCTTCTTTTAAGTAAGACAATGCTGGAATAGGGGGTTACCACGGCATCCTTTTTACCCTTTCTTGTGGTTAATGAGGCCAGTCTCATTCTTGTTATCTGATTTGTCAAATCCTCAAAATTTGTATAATTACTTTCATTTCTCTTTTTTTTTCAGCTGTCTGAGTGTTATGATCAACGCTTACGCTCGCTGATGGTTCCCGCACCGCAGGTCTCCGTCAGGCCGTATCCTTGACCCACTGGGCAGCAGAAACACACATTCATAAAGCGTTGTGTGGCGGCAGAGAGGGGCGCTCCACCTGAGAGTAAGACTCTGGTTCGACCTCCCAGGAGAGAGCGGACTTTCCTGAATACCAGCCTGGACGTAAAAACGGAAGAAATAGGACGGTTTATATGGGACACAGGATGATGAGCCAGTGTGTGCAAATGAAAATGAAAGACTTGATAATTCTGCTGTGCACACACTTGTCACATAGAGGTGTGCTGTAGCCTTTGGTGAGCTGCTCCAGTTTGTAGTTATACGCAAGAATGAATAGTGTTCGCTGGATACAGTTCATCTCCTCCACCTTTGTCATCACGTTTTTATAGATGCGATCCATGATCTCCTGCAGCCAGGAAGCACAGTGAAGACATACAGACATGGTGAGTGAAAACAGAAGAGTATACATGAAGAAACAGTATAAACAACATATTTCAATGATAGCTTTGGACTGAGGGTAAATGATAAGATATGTAGTCAACTGAAAATGACTCGTGAGGTCAGATTTTGTGAGAAACACACACCCAGACACAATTAGAAGAAAACAGAGGTGTTGATCAGTCTGTCCTTTTTGTGTTCAAAGAGTGAGGGAGCCCAGCTGAGTTTCCAAACATCTCCAAAAAAGGGGACTCAGATTTTCACCCAATGGCTGCAGTGAAAATCAAATGTAGGAGGTTTGGAGCTCATAAACTGAAAGGGCAAAATAACTTCCTCTAAATACAAAAAGGCCAGAGGTAAAAAAAAAAAAATTAGTTCAATGTGGAACAAATGTGTCCTTAAACTTGGTTGCATAACGGCGAGGCTCCCTGGTGGATTGCTGACAACAAGTGACCCACAAAGCTGAGAAAAAACAGAGGAATCCACAAGAGCGAATCTCAGAGTAAATTAAATCAGAGACGGACGTGAACTGCAGTAAACTTTGGTATCTGGACTCCTGAGAGGCAATTTGTGTCGTGTAGAACACCAACAAAAATGAGATGCATGATTGTATAATTGAGTTTGACTGTGCTATGATGAAAAGGATCACAAACTCGACAAAAAATTCAAATTTTAATGAAGAGAGGTCAAACATAACCTCAACACAACCACAGAAATAAGCTGAGTCAGGCGATGTCTTGCTTTTCGTTGAGCATCAAGAAAATTCTCACCGTATTTGAGCTCCAGATGATCTGCACAGTCGGGTTTTGGTTCAATCTCTTAAGTAACACCCTTTAAGCTGTTTCTGATCAGTCTGTTTCACTGTCAATTGTGAATGAGGCAGAGTCTTTACTCCAGTTTAATTTCATGGTCTGAAACCAACAAACCACCCAGTTATTATTATTATTTTTTGGCCCTTAACATCTTGAGTTTAGTCCATTTGATCTGACTGCTTATTGAAGTTAAACATGACTAAATCAGTGTGTTTCTCTTTTTACCCTGACATGGTAAATTGGACCCCAAACTCCCCATAGTCTTCCTCAGAAGATTTGCATATTGTTGTTGTGATGTTGCTTGTTGCAGAGGGATGACCAACAGGTACTACTGTTGGATAAAGGAGGCAGTAGGGGTCAGAAAGTGAGCCCAGAGGACCGCAAACTGGAATGAGGGAGCCTGCATGCTGTCACATCCCTCGGACGCTATCCGTAGACTGTTAGACAACAGAAGTCACCATAATAATGACACTTCAGAACGATATGAGGAAGACTGCAGGAAGTTCTTAGTCAATCCACGCTAAGATGAAAAGAGAAAACCCATTGATCTGCAGACCAGAAAAGTTTAGGACGTCAGTTTGCTCAAGTTTACTTAGGCTGCAGGTCAACAGAGGTAAAACAAATCTCTGTTTAGGTATTATGCTTAATCTTTGCATTAATCTACAGTGGCTCCTCATATATTAATGTGTATTTTTAACAGCACTGTTTTTTTTTATATCTCACAGCTGCCAGTAATTTACAGTATATCTAGTCAGGAACTTGTAAAACTGAGGTGTGAGATTTGTGCCTTGTCAGGGGAGCTAATTTATTCAACATTTTAACTTTCTCACTGATCTTTGAGCTGTTTTCATCCAGGTCTGTGACTTAAAATCTACAGTACATTTCAAAATAAAAGCACGTGTTTACTGTAAAGAAAACAAGCAACCTAAAGGAAACTCAAGAGAGAAAGACATTCAAAATGTCAAGATAAAAGCATCAAAATCAAACGTTTTATGTGGCAGCATCTTTTTTGGGCTTATGTTTATCAAGTGTGATGAGTTCAACACAACTTTGAACATCTCTAAAATTGGATGACATGTTTGTGAAGCTCTGTGAGGCTCCACCTTTGTGTTGACCTTTCCTGAATTTGACTCAAGTTTCCCATAAATATCTCAAGAACTTCATCATTGGGATATTTTGCCACAGTAGCTTTGAGTTCAAATTCAGAAACTTAAATCCATCTTGTCAGGTCCATAACCTGCTTGCTCTCTGCATGGAAAACAATGTTCAATACAACTGTAATGTGGCCTGACTTCAAAAACCACAGTAGCATGAGCTAAAATTCACTCAGTGAATGCCTGGCCTTAATGGTTCAGCTAATGTTGCATTTTCTATAAATGTCATATTGACAGGGTGAGCATGCGAACCACACATAACCTCCATGAAAAACTTGAAAAGCAAAACCAGAAGTCATTCAAGGTCATCATTCACTCTTTACAGACTTCAGTTTGGTGGACTGGAGGTAAAATAAACTGGCTTTGCAAAAACATTTGAATGAATTTGAATAAAATTTCTCAGTGATGCACTTAAAAAAATGGCCGTGATGAGAAGGGGGTAGTCAAAGGAAATGCGACCTTGTCTGAAACACTGCTTTATGAATAACTTGACTCTATGATTTTATTCCCTGATGTCAAAGAGACTAAAACACAGAGATCATGACCGCCACATCATCATCATCATCATCATGTGTCTTCAAAAGCTCAACACAGAGATATATGGGTAAAAGGGCACAGACATTAAAAAAAAACAAAACAGAAAAGGCAGCTCATTCCCCTGTGTGTGTGCATGTGTGTGTGTGTGTGTGTGTGTGTGTGTGTGTGTGTGTGTGTGTGTGTGTGTGTGTGTGTGTGTGTGTGTGTAAAGCTAAACCAGTGAGAGAGGAAGTGGACACGGGATTCAAGCAGCAGCCTGATGTCATATCACAGCAAACAAATTGTATGTGTGTGTGGGTACGTGTGTGAGTGTGTGTTGTGGGGATAACCACATGGGGCTTTCTCACGTTCTGTTTACAGCTGTGAATGGTTCCAGACACTGAGGCCCTCTGCCCTTTACACCACCACTGGGAGACCAGAGGGGATGAGCAAATGATGTGAGAGAGTACAGCATCAATCCAGTGAACGAGCTCTCCATCTGACCAACATGTGCTTCATGTTTATTTACATCTATTCAATTTTCTCTCTTTCATTTTCCTCTTCTACCTGTAAACTAAAGATGAGGTGGTTTTGATCATCCCTGAGGGGCAGTTAACTAGAGGGACCCCTGGAAAAATAACAATAAAATAATTAAATAAAAATATTTTACCAAAAAGAAAAAACTGTGGATAAATTGCTGATTTGAAAATAAGGGTTTGACTGACTTTTCTGGTCTTTTCAAGATGCATGAGGCCATGAGAACATATCTTTCTGGATGGAAAATGCAAGTTTTACAAATGTTTTAAATTTGTGGGTGTGGCTAATTGTGCCATTAGGCCACGCCCACCAACTATACCTGAATCAAATATGTCATTGCTCTACCAGGCTTCTGTGTGCCAGGTTTGGTGACCCTACAAGTGATTAAAGCCCTTCAACTTACTACTTCGTGCTTGATGGCAAACAAAGTGCTGCCATAGCAACAGAATTTAATATAGACTTATTATGAGGTCTTCAGGTGGGTTTGGGGAAGGTCTTGGAATGTACTAGATCAGTGGTTCTCAAGTCCAGTCCTCGAGGCCCACTGTCCTGCATGTTTGGATGTTTCCCTGCTCCAACACACCTGATTCAAATGATCAGCTCGTTATCAAGCTCTGAAATGGCTTAATAACGAGCTAATCATTTGAATCAGGTGTGCTGGAGCAGGGAAACATCCAAAACATGCAGGACAGTAGGCCTCGCGGACTGGACTTGAGAACCACTGTACTAGATTAATTTTCAGGGTGATGGGTGTTCTCAGACTGGAACCCCCCATAAGCATGGACAACATTGTAAGGCTTACATACAGCAGTTTAAAATTTCATGGCGACAATTGTCTGAGAGTCAAAACTCTTTGCACTGTGCTGACCACACTCTTTAGGAAAAACTCACACTTTGGTACACACGATGACCAACATCTCAGGTTTTTCCGAAGCAAAAATGATGCAGAGATTTTCAGTGGTCTTGGAGTTTCAACTCATACATTTAAGAATGACATTTCCTGCTGCATCAAGAGCACGCTATGGCTGGGATGAAATATTGCTACATGTGCTCTGGCCTGGACTCTCTCTATGTGTGGTGCTTTTGGCTGAAATTGGAACATGCATGGCTGAGATAAAAACTACTTCCTGTCTTAGTGAAACACCTATCTTGGAGTGTTCAGCGCACCCACTAGCAACGTTGAAAGGTTTGAGTACCTTTTAATTTTCAATCCATCTATAACACACCGTGAAAATTTGGAGATGATCGTATAAAACCCCTAAGAGGAGTTTGTTCAAAAAGACATCCTGAAAATTACTAAAAACTGCTAATTTTGATGTTCAAAGTTTTTCTGACTCCCTGATGGTTTTAAGGTTTGGGTGCAAGAGATTTTTTTGTGGGGCTTCATGTGACAAACATAAAGACGAAGGTACAACATATAGGTGGAAATAATTTCTATGAGGAGGGCTATTTGAAAACTTTAGAGGGTGCTATGGAGCAAAGTTTTGCAATATTTGTTACAAGGCCCATGAAAGATCTGATGCTAATGCTTCTGCGAAATTTCAGAAGTTTTTGGACAGGTCTAAGGCCAGAAATTTGCAATTTATTGTTGCAGAGATTCAAAGGGGCTTTCACAGCATTAGGTACTAATAACTGCTCAAAACTGGACTTCTCTACAAAACAAATACCGTCTTATATAATAGTATGATGAGACGTGACCATAATGACAGAGAGCACTCCCAGCATTAACAATAAAAACTTTTCCCTGGGCATATTTTCCTGGTTCACAGTTCAATAAATCTCAAAAACAAACCCTGGTTAGAAAACCTCAAATATTCCACTATTTCCCCCGTGTGTCTGATATTGTTCCGGGATGTAGAGCAGATATGGTCCGTGGTAAGAAGCAGAGACTATTAACGTCACAGTCAGTCATGAGACAGATCCTGCAGATCCAGGCCTGCTGGACTCCACAGCTGGACTCTGCACAACAACAGAGTGAGATCTGACCTGCTGCCAGATGGGGTCAAATAGCACTGTTTGATACACAGACTTCAGGGAGGGTGAGTCAATGTGAGAAAGTGGAAAGCCAAAGACTTGTGGAGCATTTAACTGTTGAATGCATAGAGTTGATCTGAGTGTACTGACATACCGGAACTGCTGCCATCAGGGTGGGCTGCAGGACGCTGGTGTCTCCCTTGCTTCCTTTCTTGATTTTGGTTGACTTGGTGGGAAAAAGAAACATCACGTTAATGTGGTTAAGATAAGTTGAGTGTTTCAGTGATGTTCCCAGAAGCAAGAGACTATAAAAATAAAAAAGTTCCAAAGTAACTCTCGCTAATCACGAGGCCACAATCACGCTACAGTATGAAGACTAAGTAGGGAAACTTTTCTTTGTCAACGACTTCAATCATAGTGTTTCAGCAAGCCAAACATGACAAAATTAAAACTTTACAGAAGAAAAATCTAGATAACTGAGACGTCAAATAGTGAATATGATATGCAAGAAAAAGAGCCACAGAGCAAATGGGTGGCCAATGGTTGCAGCCAATGCCCCTCCACCATTACAAGTTTCTCTCATGGCAAACTTACAAAGAGAAGCTAACACAGAGGTGTGTTAAACCCGCTTTTTTGTAAGGGCCAACAGGGGGGTGATTCCACTTGGTGCAGATTGTTTTAGGCCAGACAGGAAAGAAAAGTCACTTCTGTTTTGTATATTCATAACTTTAGTAAACAGTGTTCTAATGAGTCAGCAGTTTTAGTCACAAGTTTTAGGTTTGAATAGAACAAGTTTCGCTTTAGGACTAGAAAGGTTTTCCCAGTTGACGTTAGAGAAACAGAAATATAGCAATGTGTAATCAAGCATCAACCTCCAGGGCTAGGAAATAAGGTGCCAATTGTGAAATACAAAGAACGTCTATGTCCATTTGAGTAAAGGAGACCCCTGCTAAAATACCCAGTTTTAAAGCCTATTTTCCTGAACAAAATTGTACGTCATCAAAAGAGTCAAATGATGCTTGATATGCTGAAGGATATAAACAGCTTGTAGAGCAACTATGCTGCCATCAAGATAATAACTTTTTCAGGGAAGACCTTCATATTTCAGCAAAACCACATTCTGCAGGGATTACAACAGCATGGCTCAGTAATAGAGGCATCCTGCTAATAAACTGTCCTGCCTACAGTCCCAACTCAACACTCATTTAATACATAAAAGAAATGTCAAACTGTTGAGCAGCTAAAATCCATTACTACAAAAAGATGGGGCAACATTTGACTGTTTTTAAACATGTTGCTGGCATCAAATTTAAAACGAGTATACATTTTTCACTGCTTTCTACATTTGATCTGTGATTTTGCACCATTTCTTATTAAATATGGAGTTTAAATGAGACACAAAAACCATCAAAATCTGTTTAAACTGACATTTTATAGAGAATTCCAGTCGTTTTTAATATTAGGGTAGATGCAGACAGATTTGAGCTCTGTCAGAATTGAAGTGCACACCATAGCTCTGTGCAGCTGAGAGTGGAGACGCTGACAACTCATCTCTACAATTTGACATAAAACAAAGAGCAAACTACACAGAACTGCAAAACTTTTATGGGTGTTGTGCAAAAGTTAATCAAGGATAACTCGAGCTTGAGATTGAGCAGATAGTATTGGTAAAAGATGTTCAGTTCTTGGGTTACTTGCAAATGCAATCCACTCTCTGTGAACTCGCCTCTGTGGTTGCTACTTAAAAATACTGTTCAAAGGGATATTCCGGCATAAAATTAAGTTAGGATCAAACACGCGGTAACACCAAGTTAGACACCCTGTTGAGAGATGAATGTTGCTGACTGCTCAAGGAGAACATTTGTGATTATTACTTCATGGAATTGCAATCAGACAGAGATGCTAAGGCAGAAGAAGTACCACGTCTGCAGTGCAAAATGATTAATATGATGATTATTACTTCAAGGAAATGATAAAATAATAATCATTAATGTTCTTCCTTGAGCTGCGTCCCCCTAATGCACTAGATGGACTCGCCCCAAACAAGCGGCTGCTGGAAGAGAGACAGTGAGTTGTGTTTAGTCTCTTCGCTAAAGAAATAAGGCAAAGCTAAAGATGTTTGGTGACTAGTACTGTGGCTGGGACCCTATATGTACTGTTGATGAAGTTAGGTGCTGTTCTGAGCATTATTTGTGGTTATAGAGTGGCTTTTTGGTTGAGGTTTGTGCGTGGAGACGTAGACTGCCGTGTATTGCTATCATGCGGTTGTTACTAAAGTTGGTATAACTAGAGAAGCAAGCAATCTGCAACATTCATCTCTCAGGTTATGATGCAATACAGAAAAGTCATGTCTCACTGTTAACTGTACCTGGTCAGCAAGAGTCTGAGGCGAAGAATAGCCAATCCTGCAGCCATGAGAAACACATACGAGCTCTGCACTGAGCTCTAACACATGTGCAAGTGGCAGGTAGCCAATGTAGGTGTCCTCCTCACTGTAAACACAGGGACAGTATTATCAACAGCTCTGGAAATGTCAGCACCATCTCATTTATACTCTCTGGTTAAGTCCATCAAACAATAGTATAATCAGTAATTAATACACGTACATCTGTTGCATAACCTGGCTTTATAGATGATAGTTGTCTCCAGATGATAAATGATGTGCATTAGAAGGATTATGTGTATAAAATAGAGGCCAACTTTTCCTTTGTTTAGACTTTAAATGATCCACTGGTCTCAGTCTACAAGTACCAGACCACAAGTTCTCGATCCTCAGTTTTCTCTGGAATCACGTTTCACAGCATGCAGCAGGAGGAGGTTTACTCAACTATATTACTTAACATGACAAGAAGAGTCATCAATTTCAAAAGAAGTCTGATTGATATCGCAATATCCGTAACTTCCCTGACCCCTGTCCTTCTCATCCTGACTCCCTTCCTCCCTGTTGGTTTTCGCTCTGCTCACAGTGAACGCCCTCTTTCCTGCATTTCCTCTCACCCCATCTTGATCCCAAGAGAGCAGGGCTGGTGTTTGATTTAATGTAAACTTTTCTGTGGTATGATTTGAGGAGCTGGTTGACTCATACTTGAGCACGTGTTCAGCCAGCATGGAAAAAAATGACTCATGTTGCTTAAACTCAGTGTTAAGAAGGCAGCAGAAATGTATCAAAGAGGAGACCAGAGAGAGTTTATGATTAAACATTTCAACTTCATTATAGTTGACATGACCATATTAAGAGTGAAAATATTATTGTTTACACATAGATACGACATTCAGTGATGATGTTGCGCAGCCTACCACAGGTTGGGTATCCGTTCTGCCATGCCTGTGATGCCTGCGATAATGTTGCTGTGGGAGATCACCACACCCTTTGGTATGCCCGTAGATCCGCTGGTGTACATGATGACTGCGATGTCTGAGGGCAGCGGCCGATTGTGCTCATGTGCTGCTGTGATATAAACAAAGCCGAGACAATAAAACACACAAGTGAGAACAATAAAAGAGACCTTTATCACAGTTCTGGTTATGTAGTGGTTTGATTATACTGGAGGAACACAGACTAAACTCTTACAGCAATACCCAATAATACACCCATGTTTATACCAAACCCACATAAACACATTATTTAAATCAAGTTATAGCCTCTGTCTGTTCCATTTTCAAGTGTGTTTTGTACAAAAGGAGCTGTGTTACAGTTTCAACACACAAATGGAAAACTGTTATTTTAAACAACTTAACTTGTGTCTGACTGTGCTCGCCAAAAATATCCTCTCCCCTGTTCTTCAGCTTTCTTAATCCCCAATTTTTCCATTCTTGGTTATGTCCTGAATTCAACTTTCAACATTTGGTATGCACTTTATGACTGGTTATAAGGCTATTGTGCGCATTTCTGCTCATCTTTAGTCCTAAAACCCACATCCAAAACAGTTGATAAAAGCAGATTGTATTGAGTTTATGAATATATTGGATATTGAAAAAGAAAAAATAATAGTTTAATACAATTCTGATTCAACAAACTCTTTAGTAAAACTGCAACAGGTTACTAACAGGACATTTGATGGATAGTATGTAATTTTTGCCGAGCAGAGGCCATAAGTGGAAAAAAAGCCATGATGGAAGGGCCAAAATTGCAGCTCCACAAATGTCCACTTGGGGCTGTCTCCAGAAGTGGGTCAATCTCCTTATCATTCCTGTTTAACTGCAAACATAATACGTTTACAACGTGGTACAAAAGCTGGTTTTGGTCTGATTGGGTCATTTGTTACCGCTTCATTAAATCACTGAGCAAGAAAACAGTTTGAAAGGCAGTTCGGGGTCCAAATGAGCCACTCTTGTCCTTTTATCCTTCATATCCTCCTGGAACTTAGAGTAAATGCTTAAATGTTAAATCAATAATTATTTGGGAAACATGGAAGTCAGAACAAGTGAACAACAAAAAAGAAATATAACAGAGCAATGATGTCCACAAAGAAAGAACAAAGGGAGGCATAAAGGAAATGAGCGTTAATGGCTCTTTATTCAGTCGGGGATATCCTCCCTTCCTCCTGCTTCCTCTGTAGTTGATGTCATGTGAAGTTATCTGTGCAGTATGTAAACATAAACCTCTCTTATATCCCAGAGCTTCATCCTCCCCTCCTAAATCTACTGCCCTGCTTTCTATTTGCACGTGACACGCCCAGCTCCCCCTGTTTTGGGTCAGTCAGTTCGATCGGACACAGAGAGGAGTCAGAGCTCTCTCCTCATCCATCTAATCCCCTGACTGAATAAGCATCATATGATCAACATTAATCTGACACAGATGTGAGCACTTCCTTATTCACATGACCTAATGGGACCGAGACCAACTCGTGTTCAAGAAGAAACCACATAGTGTGAGTTACAGAGGACTGTCTGTTTCTGCAGAGGTTGACACAGCGGTCCATAACTCAAAACAACTAGAACACTTCTCATGCTGAAATCCAAACCCTCATCCACAAAGTTGACTTTTTCAGAGCTTTAGATGTGCAAACACTAACACGCCCACACACCCACAAGCTTACCGTTCTCAGGTTTGGCCCCCAACTTCTGAACGGCAGCCATGTTGTGGACGCTGATGCTACGTGCGTAGCTAGGCCATGAGGTCGGCGTGCTGTCAACGACGATGATATGCTGCAGCCTCGGGACTTCAAGCAGGATGGCCTGAAACAGACCGACACAAAAAAGGAAGCATGAGCACAGATATGCCAAGCATCCATGTGCAGTGTACACACCTGCACCTGATTAAAACCTGGTTTCCTCTGAACTAATAAAACTCATCTTTATCGGTTTTTGGTCTGAGATGAAGTGTTTGAGACAGAGCAGAGGAGCAGTGTTTATGCACTCATGATAAAAAACGAGATGAACTGCCAGGATATCATTCCTTGTTTGGGATAAACCTGAACTAAAATAGTCCCTGACATCCAGCACGTGCACATTTCCTTATTTTACGACTCTTAGATGACACACTCTACCTCTCCTCTTCCTAAAACAGCATTTTCTGAAATATCTCTCAGTGAAGGATAACAGCAGACTTCACGTCCCACAGTTATGCTGACCAGAAGCTTTTAAAAGACAGGTACCATAAAAAACTTTGAACCATGAATGTCAACAACCTTTGCTTAGTTTTCTTTGCTTTTTCTGCAGGTTGGGTCTTACCCTACTTTCCTTAATGTGTTGGTCTACAGAGCCCAGTGAGGTGATAACCAGCATTACAGTATGAGGTCTCTGTGTTGTTGTCTATCTCTACCTTCAGTCTGGTCTCCAGTAGCTCTCTGCTGGTGATGATGTGGGTGACCTGAGTCTCATTAAGCCCGTGAGCGATGGCTGGACCTCCCAGTGTGGAGTACAGGGTGACCACTGCAACACACACATGAAAAACACCATAAACATAACACTTACAGGCCTCGTTTCCTCTGTGTGTTTATCCAGCATTCATGTCTCACAGTTTTTCATTTCTCGACTTAATTTACCCAGACTTTGGAGACTAAATCTTCAAGAAAACCTGAGAACAGATTACCCAGACTGAACTCACTTTGACTCTTTTTTTGGTTTACTCTTATGCATTCCTAAACACTTCAAGAACATTTGAGGACAGTCTTAGCAACTATTTTCCAGCTCTTCATGATCTAAATAGTTCATTCCACCATCTGCACACACTGTAAAGAGAGTACATTTCATAATGCCTTTATCTTGATGGTTTTAAGCTTTGCAGCAGCTCACAGTTATGAAATGATGGTGTTTGTCTTGCCTTTCTTTAAAGCTCCTGTGAGGAGCTTTCCCTTTGTGTTTACTTTGGCGCCCTCCAGTGGTCAAAAACATATCTCTTTTGTGCTTGCTGGTTTTGTCCTGTGCATGTGTGAGTTGTGTTTGATGTGAAATACGATCGTTTCTGTCTCTTTGCTGTTAAACATTGCTTAGAAAAAAGTATTGTTATGTCTGATGCCTCATCCTCTCAGCAGTGTCAGACATTAAAGCTCCTGTGAGGAGTTTTTTGACAGTTATAAAACAGACTGAAACTCACATTAAATGCCCTTTTAAGACCATCAGAGACAAGAGTGACAATTCTTACGCTTGAGTCTGAATGTATAAAGAAGGTGTCAGTGAAGCTGCTGAAGAAAAAAACACATTTTAACACTTTCCACATAAAAGATTCAGAAGAAAAATGCTAAAGTTGACCATCAAAAGTCAGCAGGATGAGGTTTTTGTCAGAAGTCACTTCTAAGTCACTAGGAGGACAAGATAGGCAGAAACTGCTTTGTCCACAGGGGGGCGCCAAAGTTAACACAGAGCAAAGATCCTCACAGGAGCGTTAAAATAACAGTTTAAAAAAAGTGTCAGTTTTGTTGTCTTAGAAAATCATTTGACAATAATACCACTAGTCTGTTTTCTTTGATTACCATATTTATCATACATTAAAAATCTAATTTTGAAGTGATGGTAACTTTAATGAGGAAACATTTTTTCTCTCTTCCTTCGTTTTAATGATAATCTTCCTGTAAAGTAGTTTTTCCCTTTTTCCTGGCCCAAACACCAAGGATTACTTAACACTTGATCAGAGAAAATCACACTGACTCACTGATTTCTTGTTATCCAGGATGTCACAATCCTTGGGATTTACTGGCAGATTGCTGTTCTTTTATTTACCTCATCATATCTGTATCTAACAACGTCATTCAGATGTTGGAGCCAAATTCCAAGGAATTTGATTTTAATAGGACTGAACTCTTGAACATTTTTAGGATGTTTTAAGAGATAAAGAAAAATGTTGCAACATTTTCCATTTGGTGTCTCCCTCACACATATAAAATTTGCCATTTTGTTGAGACTACTGCTATTTCTGTTTGTCTGCAGCTGTATTAACAGCTTGTTTGAAACTTTTTGTGTTAGACCTCTTGAGGGCTTTTGTTCCGATTAGGTCACAGATAAGAGACGAGAATGTTTCCAGCACAGAGACAAAAGAAAAGCTGCACAGATTAACAGCATTTATTGACACTGGCTGAGTGCATGATTTGCATGCAGGGTCAACACACAGACCCTGAAACATGAGAGATGATGGAAATTGTACGTGCACTCTTTCAACACCCCTCAGGCTTCTTGTTTCGCCCCTCCCACATTAATGACATCACCAGCCTCCTCCAGAGGCCACAGTAAACCCTTCCAACCAATGGGAATGCAGCTTTTGCTGCTGAATATGCTCTTTGGGGAAATAACAGCGCTCCTATGAGAGGGAGTGTGTGAATTATGCCTCAGTGCATAAGTCAGATAGTCACTGGTATGTGACTGGAATCTGGAGATGTTTTATTTACTTAACATTTGAGGTAGGCCTGATATCTCAATGTATTTCATTCTAAAAAAAAATGTTTCTGAAGAAAGTCACTGTAAACCCTGTTACAATCACTCACATACATATGTGACTGTAAAATGGGTCTTTCCTAAAACCATGGGCATTTAGCAGTAGCCTAAATTCTTTTTTACAACAAAAATAACACATATGAAGTTAATTCCAGTGACAGATGTACTAAAATGTGATGTAAATAGCTTTGAATATCTAACTTTGCTACTTGTGTTTTGCTGGATCTCCCCCAATATTTAAATATCTTGATCACAGACTGTAGTAAACCAGTATGTGGTCTCAGTGACATCACCAATCAGTTTCTGAAGCAGTTTTGAAGCCTTTAAATGGGGGTCAGGTTTGTGCAGGATTTGAGAAAAAATAAGTAATAAGAAAAGCAAAAGGTGTGAAAGGTGAGTGTGGGAAAAATCAGCTGATACAATCAGAGAAAGAATATGCAGGAATCATCAGTTCATAACTTCATGTCTACTACACTGACACAGGTGCAAGGGTTTATGGTAGTTTAAGGCTTTGTGTGTGTGTGTGTGTGTGTGTGTGTGTGTGTGTGTGTGTGTGTGTGTGTGTGTGTGTGTGTGTGTGGATGAGGGCCATGACTCCAAAGTTACTAACTGAAGAAAAAAGCTGACATATTCAGGCTTCTTCTCTCTGTGTTTTGTTTACAAGTGTTTTTTAAGGAGTATTGAGATTCTTTTTAACGCACAATGAGAAAGACAGGAGAATCTTTGCTGTTTGTTAGGTCTCTTTTGTTAAATTAACTCATTATTAAACATGCAAAAAGTCCATCACATATGGAATCTACCCTCAAACTCACACTCATGCACACTCTGTGAGTGTTTGAGTTCACTGGGGGCCTTTGGCTGACTCCTTGATGCCTCTGTCAACATCAGATGCTCACGTAGACCGTCTCCCCCCTCTTCTGACGCCATTACCCCTCTTTTTCCTACTCTCCATCCCTCTCTCTAACCTTTTACTCCTCTCTAACCCCTCCTCTACGTGTTACCCCCCGCCTCAGGCTTTCCTCTGTCTCAGTGTTTGTGTTTGCAAGAGTGAAAAATGCTTTATGAAGATGTCTTATCGGCTCGTACTTACAGAGCACTTTTAATACGTGACAGTTTAATGGAGTGTAAACCTCAGCTCACACAGAAAATGAAGGGTCTCTCAAGGACAATCAGAAAGATTTAATGAGCTTAGAGTGCTGATGGGGATGCTTAAAGTAAGAGAAGAAAAAGACAGAAAGCTGCTCTGCTCTGAGGTCACTTGACCCCCCGACATAATTTATAGAGTTCACTTTTCCTTCATCATAATTGGCTGTTTGAAACACTTGATTCTGATTGGTTGACATCCTTCGATGGCTCATTTGTGGGAGCTGAAATATCTGAACCCTAGTAAATAACCTCCAACGTGATAGCCAATCAGCATAGAGATCCCCTAAAGACATTTGCCAACAACCAGTGGAGGCCTATTCATGGAAAAATGGAGGATAAGTGAGGTTAATTCACCGCAGGCAAGTGGTGCTCACTCTGCTAACTGTAGCTCTGAGATCCTGTTGTAAAGGAAAACAGAGAAAAGCGTGTCAGAGAAGATTTGCCCAATTCTGACGGTTTTCAAACTTTTTGACGGTCAGTGGACATTTTGATTCCCGGAGAAAATTAGTCACTCTTGAACCCTTTTTGCAGAGCATGAACAGGGTACTGGTGTTTCTTGGTGTTTTGGGCCAGGCAAGCACTGACTGCAAAAATGTATCATTTGTCAGGTCTAAGTAATACAACACTACAGATGTGCCTTATAAGATGGTACGACCTAAAATTGCCTTGTTGAGGATTGTGTCAATTAGAATTAGGAGATAAATTCATGATTGCTTTGAACTGGAAATCATTCAAAGTGACTCTAGATGGAAGAAAGAATAATTGGTTCTCTATAAAAGGAGTCTACTGTTGTATTATTGAGTCAGTATTTATATAACGTTTCTCATAACAGTCAGACATGAGCTAATAGAGAGATACTAAAGAGCTATTTTGAGCTCACTTGAAAAAATAAAAATTGCAGTCCTTGTTTGTTATTCTCATTTGCAAAATGATGACTTCTGTAATACAATCTAAAAGACACATTTCAGAGTAAAAGAAAGCTTTTTAATAAGAATAGAAACCGCTAGAGCATCATAGATTAACTGTTCCCATCACAACAAGCTAAAACAGATGCAGAGAAAGAAAGGAGTGAAGTGAAGGAGGAGGAGGAATGGGACACTTATATAACAGCAGAGCAGAAGGGACAAATTGACCTTTTTCTGTCTCAGCTGGTTACAAGTTACAAGTTGTCCAGTGCAACCATTTACACTGGAGCGCTTTTTGTATAAACACAAAAAAATGGCTGCAAAGACGCGCAGTGGGAAAGGTCAAGCTGAAGAAAGCAGTGAGAACAGAGTGACAGTACAGTACAACCTGCACTGAGCAATGACCACAGAGTAAAATACAGGTGTGTTTCTATTACTAATGACACTTATGTCCATTTATGTCTCTTTCTATGAACAGCCAAAGTTTAAAAAAACTTGAAGTACTGTCTCAAACCAGCCAACGAGATTCGGCTCTTATTCATCCATAGCTGTATTCACACATGCACCAAACTCCTAAAACTTACAAGAACTACAGGGTGAAGTTGTGCTAAGCTGATGTGAGAACAAAGTGGAAATATTTACCTCATGTGACTGATGTGAGGCTGGGTGAGCAGTTTGCTACAGGATGTATAAAAACACCTGAGGTCACAGAAGGTGAATCATTGATATAGCCTTGATAAGGATGATTTTAATGTCATATGAGGGATATGTGTGAACAGGAAACTCTGAGAAATTTAGGGGGCAAGCTCCTTCAAATACCCCAAAAATACCAGTAGTGCATTTGAGAGGAAGATATATTATTTTCTCCATCTGAGACGAGAATAAAGGGATAGATTTGAACACTAAAAACACATAAAAAAGACAAGAAATATTATTTTGTGTGCAATATAGATTACAGTCCAAAGAGCTACTCCAGAAGTGATCAAGTCTTCAAATATAAAGCAAAGCGATATTTACTCATCTAGGTAAGTCTTCAATCTAGGTAAGTCATTTCCTGGTTCATTAAATCCCAGAGAGGATTGATACAAATCCTTCAAAAGCGAGTCTCAGATTCACTGTAAATGTTAAGTGACACAGAGAAACTGGTCTCCATGTGATTTGTTCACTATTCTAGATTTCAAACTATGTTTAAGAAATGTTTGTTTGTTCAGTGGAGGTCGGACTGATCCTTTCTAACAGGAAGCCAGGAAATCTAAAGTCTGATCAGCTTTTATGACACAGCGTCACACAGATTTGTTGTTTAAGTTTAAATTTTGCAAAGTCTGCTGAAACGTGAATTCGTCTTGGACTTCGGACCTACTCTGGGCGTAAACCAGACTGCTTCCTGGACTTAAATCCAAACCCCTAAGAAGTGTTGCTGATTTTTAATTTCTATAAATGCTGCTTGGTCTCATGAAAATACAATGTGAAAAATGTCTTGAATAATATTTATCAGTAAATTGTAATGTCTGAGTGGAAAGAACATCATCATCTAAACCACATTTCTGTTACAGATCTGATAGATCGGTGGGTGACCTCTCAGATTTAGCTTGATGAGGAGAGTTTTTTTATTCCGCATACTCCAAGAATAACGGTGTTACTTGAGAAAAAATATGCAGACTCACAGGGGAAGTTGTACATGAAACAGGCCTGAGCAGCGATGATCCACTCCGCTCGTGTCTCACAGAAAATTGCAATGTTGGTTTTTGGTCGCTGGCCCAGTGAAGCCAAACCGCTGCCCAGCTGTGCCGCTGCTGTGAGAACTTCTTCATAGGAGATCCAGCGGTACTCACCCAGAACCACCTGCAAGGGGGCAGTATAGAGTTAATTTATTAAAATCAGGAAGCTAAAGGGGGTCAAAGGCCATATCCCTCGTATTGTTCTCAAGCGGGTCACCCTGCACCCTAAATGCACCCTTGCTGCAAGCGGGCATGAGCCCACACTCCTGAAGGAACTGTAGCAGTTGGCATTTCAGCTTAAGTCTCACCAAGAGCGCACATGTGAGTCATTCCTTTAAAAAAAAAAAAGAGAGCTAACATATTAGGCTTTCCTTAAACCAGGGGACTTGTTAGTCCTCTTACTCCTCCTTTTACGATGTGCTGGTGGGTACACCGCACATTAATGCAGCACTGCAAGTGAAATCCCACAGTCACATGTTTGGCCTGTTTCATATTACAGCCACAGGAAAGGGAGCAACAGTCGGCTAAACAGAACAACTTCCTCTCCTTCTGTCATTCTCAAGCTGCAGCACCTCATGGACATCGTCAGCACTGGAAGAGGGAGATAAACACGGGCCTCTGGATCCACTCTGCAACACTCATAACCTGATGACAGAAAGTATTAAGGACACAAACACACAGAGGAGCTTCCTGCATGTGTGGGTTTGGGTATACTGGCTCCTAGTGGCCACCAGCTGGTATTGCAGACAAGTTCACTAAAGGATGTATTTAATAGAGCTGTGTCCACTGTTGGGGGAAAAAGTAGCAAGGATCTAAAATGCTAATACGTGTTCTCTTGCAGCAACAAGTGTTTCACCAGTGGGTATTAAATGGATTAGACGGATCAGGCACAATGCATTCTCCAAAGTGTGTAAATTAAGTCTTATTATTCTTGGGTAACATTGACAATTAACAGTGACGTAACTCTCAAGGTAATCTGAGATTGTATGAATGAATATATTTTCTAAAACAAGATAAGTGACGTAACAGCAGGGCATGCAAGCAGACTGAACACCAGGGCTTTACTTTCTCTTCAAACTTCTGATCCTTTGAGAACAAATGTACTCTCTAATAAATAGAAATGGCTCAGTTTTGTTATCTACTCTGTGTTATACTTCTCTGCCCTCTCTGTTAGTGAGTAAGTACAGAAGAATGTAGGCCAACATGAGGAATGACAACCTGTCACTTACTTTATTCAAGGCCACGCCATAAACAAACTTATTTATTTACTTATTAATACATTTATTATACATTTTAATCCCATAATCAAGTCCTAATATCATCTACTATTAATGCTTTATCCTTAATGGTTTTGTTATCTTACTTGTTTTTCAAATTTCATCTTTGAGTTTTTAATTGATCTTATTTGGACGACTTTTGAGACATGACAAAGGAGACAACAGACAATTGAATTATCCTCCAGGGAACAATAAAGTTATTCTTATTCTTATTTCATTCTCAGCTTAACTCTCTTAAACTTAATCAGTATGATTTTATCTCCAGTGTGAAATCCCTCAGCTCATTATTTCCTGTATGACGGTTTGTCAGTTTGTTTTATCTAAACCCTTTCAAACAAATCAAGGTTTTGACTGTTTTTAGTGATTTTCTGTTTCGTTAAAAAACACTGTGCTACATTTTGTCGTATGAAAATTGCAGTTGAAGGCGTAATGATTGATTAGCCTCTGTAGAAAGGCTGTGTGCAGCTTGCTTTGTCTAAATAAGGCATGTTTGCAATGTTAACTATTTGGTCAGAAGGATTTCTTCTCCTCTATGTAATGTTTGGTGTCACAAATCAAAGCTTTAACAGATTTGTCCTTCTTCTATTCATCCCACCTTATTATTAAAGCATTTGCGAGAGGTTTAGTTATATAGACAAATCAAATAGTAACACCTCTTTAAAGTCTACAAATAAGACCATCAGGGTCATGGCTGACAATTCTGATTTAATTATCTTAAAATGTCTCTAATTGCTGCAAGGAGTTAGGTGTCAGGTAAGAGAATGTACAGCATGCTACAGAAGCACACTTCTTTGAAATTTTCCACAGCAAATATTCTCAGTGAGTGACACAGTTCACTGATAAAAAACCTGTTTGGTCAGAAAATACCACTGATTCCTTCACAGGACAAAATCAGCAAACATGTAAGAGGTACCATTTATTTAAATCAGTGCACAACTGCTGCTGAAGGTACTATAACCACATGATCTTAATATTATTCAAAGTAATCACATTAGACATTAAATTCAACAGCAGCGTGATTAGATATGGAGGAAGGGGCTGTGCATTTGTGATGTAACATTATTCTGCCATGCCAGGTACAACAACCAGGCATCAGCTGCATTTGATTATCACAGGCTCGTCGTTACATCAACATTAATTCATTTGTAACCAGCTGAGCCGTGATGGTCACTTGCAGCTTCCTTAGGTGCATGCTAGCTACATGAAGGAAATTATCTTTTCTATGGTTTCATTAATGCAATGAACAGATAATTATTATGATATTTTTGACCCACTGCTGAAGAGTTTCTCAGTCTCTTCTGCCTTTTGTCCTCTACACATACTTCTATCTGATTCTTCCTTTGCTACATGCTATAACCATGCTGCAGCTTAAAAACAACACTCCATGCATCACTCTTTACCTTCTTGAACACCTTTCCATTGCTCTGCCGCTCGTCCTCCTCACTGATCACCTCCCTCGTCCCAAGGCAGTCTCTGCGTGGGAACCTGGTGGCTGCGTACTCAAACATCTTATCCAGGGTGTCCATCCCAGGGTGCAGAGATGTCACAAGCCTCTTCATAGCACTCACCGCTCTGTAAGGTCCCTCCGGACGTCCCAGCACAGAGCGGGCTTTTGCCCTCTTGGCTCGCTCGGCCTCTGACCCGTAGGAGTCCCCCTCTGGTGAGGAGACCCAGCTGAGGAGGTAGGAGGGCAGGAAGGTGATGAAGGTGTAAATCCAGACCATGAGGTGGAAGAGGAGCAGCAGCATGGGGTTCAGGTCCTCCTTTAGCTTCATCGTGGCCAAGCGGCAAGGAGAGAGTTTGGAGGAAGATGTGACCTGAGAAAAAGTTTTGTTCCTCCTGTTGTTGTTCCTTCTCCTTTTTGGAGGGCTTGATTTTCTTGGTGAAACTCCTGGGAAAACAAAAGACATTATCCTGACTTTAGAGCACAGCAATCACGACTTTTTAGTTTGCAAATTAGATCTCAATCCAAAGCCTTTGTAGATTTTAAGAACAGGGATCCAAACTCATACAGAAACCGAAAGGAAACAGTGAGTCACATGTCCTCTGAAAAGCAGAAGAGAAATTTCTGGCCAAACAAAGTGTGACTTACAGACTGTATCTGAGATTTCCTCAAAGATTCCAGTGTGAATACAAAGAGACAGGAGACTGCTAGTGTCATTCACCATTGGAAGAGAGAGAAGCAATAACTAAGCACAGGAGAAGAAAGAGAAACTGACAAGAATTTAACGGATTTAAACAAAAAGGTTAGGAAATAAAGGAGAGAGTGGAGAAAAGAAGTGAGTGTCTGTTTTAGATGAATACCTCTAAAAGGGGAAAAAGACCTGAACTATCATCCAGCATTGCAAAGTTTCAGTGCTCCTCTGAACTCTTTCCAACACCATCTGCTTTTGCCATCCTGCTAGCTACCTGTGCGTTAGTGTGTTAGCTGTGAAAGAGAGACAAACTCACTTCCAACTACAACCAGTTTGCCAAAACTTACTCTGTCCCCCTCTACTGGTCAGTTAAGGTCTTACATTAAGTGACCACCACTAAATGACCTTTTTTTTTCTTTGAATGCATGATAAGACTGGTCTACCTCACTATGTGTGCAGCATACTCTGCACAGTAAAGTGGCTGCCTGCTTCCTGGACCACCATCTTCTTAGTAAAATAAGGTATGACAATAGAGTACCCCACTGGTTGCATGAGAGTCTATATTATTAAAATGTGTCTTATGTAACAAATGTTGCTGTTTTTTTAATCATGCTGATTTGTGTGCTTGCTTTGCTGAAAAATCAGCTTCAATCTGTCCTTGTAATAGAAATGTCCTTGTCAGTATGTTTTTTCACTTTCATTTCCGAAAGAAATGTTTTGTTTAATTACCGTGTGAGCCTGGATGCACATGCACACACACTGATGGCCCCAAACAGTCTATTCTAGCAGCAATAATTCATTATTCATGTAAGGCGCCACATCCTCCCTGTCCCAAAACTGACAGAAAACATGACCGCACTTGTCTCTTAAATACACTCATCGTTCAAGTGTCCCTTTGAGACTCATAAATAAATTAAAGATTTTACAAGCCCTGTTTTCTCGGTCTACCATCTGTTCCCTGTGGGAACCTCTACAGCCCTGTTGTTCTGCTCGGTGTCGTGTTACCCAGCCCGTGTACATTTTTTTCTCATCACAGGACACTGCAGCTTAACAAAACTGCCCTAGGTTAAAAACTGTGCAGTGGAAGGTGGGTGCACTTATTCTTTTAGCAGCAGAGACAAGCAAACGTCCCAGAAAGTTGCCAAAGCAGAGATGAATCGAATATCGAATATTGAATTTCTCCTCAAGAATAAATAAAGTTCTTCTTATCTTATGCTAAAATAGTTATTGCAAAAAGATAATATCTGGAAAAAACAAAACAAATTAAGAAGCATTTATGGCAAAGTGCACAAATAAGGCTTTACTTAATACCTCAGTAGTTTTGCCTGTATCAAGTAATGTTACTGAAGAATTAAGTCATCCTTTTACTTTGTGATGATGACACGCAGCAGTGGCAGTGCTATTGTGTGGTGCCAGTGGCCAGACTACATGTGGGCAGACAGAAAAAGTGATGCAGTCATGGACAGGAGGAGAAGGCTGAAACGTGCTTTAACTGTGAGGGATCGTTTCCTAGCGCTACATAATAATCAGGCATGTGATTGACAGACAAAAAGCGGACCAATTAATTTTCAGTGACTCTCGAGTTCTGATAGTGTGAAAATAGCTTTTCTTTAAAACACCTGAAATGTGCAAAAGGTTCCAGTTTACATCATCACAATACATTATAAACCCATGTCCCAGCAGTGCAAGTAGCAAATGTATGATCATCAATAAGGGTTTTCTTAACTGGAAAGACTGGTTTCATTTTCTGCCTTAAACGAACAGTAACCACTAAACAACTTTAATTCCGAATGGGATTATTTGTGCACAACTGTGGGGTTTCACTCATGTAGCTGAAGATGGAATGGGAGTGGGTCTGATGTTCCTAGATGAGACTCAACCTGATCCCGTCTTTACACTGGGTCTTTGAGAATAGAGTTTAAATCTAGATCAACTCTTTTAAGTTCTTGGTAGAACACTTGTTGTGAATTGGTGTTTTATAAAGAAAGACTGACTGATTGATTTACAATTAAACTTGATGTGTAAACAAACCTTTTCTATAATCATAAAAGTGAGCTAAATTCTTTACACTTGTGCAACCATTACAGCGATATCAATATGATACAACTTGGAGTGGGCTGTTATGTTGTGTTCCCAGAGGATGGCACTGTAAAAAGCAGGCAAGGATGCTGCTGGTAACATAGCCAGGTGGATCATTTTTTGGTCTTTTTGGCTTTTATAGAGAAGAGTGGACAGAGCAGAAAATAGGAGGGGGCAGGGACTAGCCCGCAGGAAGGAGACCACTGGGTGGAATCATACCCATGACACAAGTCTTTGTAAAATGGTCGTGGGAAGTGGGTTTATCCATACCTCATGACTGTCAGTGCAATAGTAGTCAACAACTGCACAGGTAGCAGACAACTTTTTGAACAGTTAACTTAAGGTTAACAAAGAGCGAACTAGTAGTAACTATGCAAATCTGTTCACCTTTTTGTAACGTGTTAACAAGAGCTACACATCTACATAGAAACTGTACATTGCTGAAGACAGTGGAGGACTTTATTCAGGAACACAGCCTAAACCTCTTTTGCTCTGGGAACCTCCCAAAAGGGAGAACAGCCTTTATTTTGGATTTTATGGTAAAAAAAAAAAAAGAAAAGAAAAAAAAAGAAAACAAAGCTACATCAAACCTACATCAAACCAAATCAGTACAATATTCCAATCTTCAGTGTGTCGCACTCACAACACAACACTGTGTTGAGAGCTCTGTATTCTCGTTCCCACCATTAGCAGACTGAATATGACTGAACATAAATATGTAATTTCTCTGTTAAATTTTACTGTCTTTCTTTGAGAAGATAAAACAAACTGGTTTACACAAGAGGGCTGGCATGAGACTTTCCAAAGATCCAAACACGCAAGCCTAGCTGCTCTTTAATGATTAATTTGCATCATAGCAACAATAAGCAGGCTTGACTCTAATCTCTTTCCTTTAATAGTCACAAACAGGTAGTTGGTTATAGCAGCTGTTCACACAGTAGCTTTGTAAAACAAGCAGGCCCTTTGCAGCCAGCCTCCACTCTCTGGATTAATTGAGTAATATTGTGACATAGGCCGCGTAGTGGTGGGGTGACCAGGCATGTGTGTGCCTGTGTGGGAATCATAGCTTCCTCAGGAGATTGTGTGAATGGGTCTTTTGTGTATCAGACGTCATGGTGCTTTCACCCACTCTGCTAAGCAGGCAGGCTGAAGTCTTGCAGAAAACTCAACATGGCCATTGTGGTGAAACGACGCACCAACACACGACTCAGTCTCGAGGGTTGCACTGCCCACAGAGGTGTGTGTGTGTGTGTGCTTGTGTGTGTGTGAGAGTGTGTGTGGGGCATAATAACAAGGGCATATATGTGGTGTGTTTGTGCATGTGTGTGGGTGATTTGCAGCACATGAATTGAATTAGCTGATTTTGATTAGTGACATAATCAAAAGCTTGCAAAGAGTTTTAAGTATAACTCAGAGTGAAAGTACAAGACACAATCGAGTTGATTATGCGGATCAGACCGCAGCTCTGTGCGAACATGGTGACATAAAGTACTGGCACTCATGCCAGTCACCAAGCCTCTCTACTGTAAGCGTTCTTAATGTGTTTGATTTGGCAGTGTAGTTATTTATACAATAGCTTAATGAATGTACAGTTTATAATTCAACAGAGGTAAAAATTGCTATCATATAGGGATGTAACGGCACCTTTTAATACAGTGCAAAATGTATGCAAACAAGAGGCAATTATACAAAGACTTTTGAGTCTTATAAAGTGAAAATTTTGATTCATGCAAATCAGTTGTTATGTCAAATAAAGTTCCTGTGAGGAGTTTTTGATGCTTATAAAATAGACTGAAATTTCATATTGGTGCCTTTTTTATAATGAACAAAAGCAAACAAGTCTGTAAGTGACAAGACTGGCGATTTTGGTTTTGTCATTTTAAATGACCTAAACAGGTGTGAAGGGTTAGGTATCTGAAAAGCAGAAGCATGTAGCGGAGCAGAGACTACTTTGTCTACAGGGGGCGCCAAAATTGAAACAGACTAAAAGCTTCTTACAGGAGCTTTAATCAGTGTTAAGGCAGCAGTAGTGATAAATTCAAATAGTCTTCTCTTATCTGTCATTGAATGCAAATATATTCGCCAGTAAGTTGCTTTTTTAGATGACTGTATTCTTCTGATGGTTACACTGAGACCAGTGTGTAGGCAAAAAATCTGTTGATATAATACCTGCTCAGACACAGGTATTGTGCGATGAAATCACACATTGCTATACTTAAAGCAGGGCAATATGTTTATTTTTTAGGGAAACCTTTTATAGCACGAACACACAGTGTTACATGCATGAACAAATAGTTCTAATGAATTGAGAGTAGTTCCCACCAAGTTGCATGGACTATCTCCGCAGAACTGAGGGAGTTAAGCAGCGTTGCTTTGAGTATGATGTTTGGCCAAAACTTTTTCAAAACTTAAAGAACTTGAATAAATTCTCTTAATCAACGCATTCACAGCTTGGGCTTGTAGTCATGTTCAGACTCTTTTTTAAGTTTACTTAAAATGCAAAATAATAAAAATAAATGTGAAAATGCATAATAGAATAATTCAGGAACCAAAATTGATATCCCACAAAAGCAAAGGTGGTAAGATTCTCAAAGGGGTTGTTCGCTATGTAATGAGTAAATATCAGTACCAAAAAAGCCACTTCTTTATAAATTATTTTTGTTGTTTTGTCACATTTTGGTGTTACTGCATCTCTCTCCTGTCCCTTTGCTTTCTGCATGTTGGAGCTTCACAATGTCTTCTCTCCTCCTTAATCAGACTTTGTTTGAGCACAGATTATCTGCTGGACTCTGATTGCATCTGTAACCATATCATCATCATAGCAGTTGTGTTCTGTCCAAAATTAACAGACTGTTGCCATTGAGTATTGACCAATCAAAATCAAGTAGTGTAGTAAAATATGGCATCACAGCAGCACTATATTAACGCTGCACTTTGTGAGCAGCTGGGACCAGCCAGGGGGAATGAGTGTGTGTTTGTGTCTGTTATGTTCATATCACACTGTTCCAACAAGACAATCACATCCCTGTTGGGAGGTACAGGAGTACTCTAATGGACCTGCATCATTTGATAATCCCTGATACAGGCCACTCTACTCCAGTTGTGTAAATATAGCTTTTTCAGGAAAACAACTAGCCTGCTGAGGTCTGTTAGGGGGATAATAAATCAAAACAAGAGCTGCCATTTAAGCAGTGTCCTATGAATCTGCATTTCATGCTTTTATTATACTTGAGAAACTTTAGGAAAAAAAGTGTGCCTGTGTTGGTCAAAGTTCGCTCTCCAGAAAAATGTGCACATCACAACAAGCACACTGACAAGAAATAAGTCAAATAAAATCTATGGATTATTTCTAGAATTTAAACTTAATTATTATAACAAATAGAAAAAAAAACATACTATGAATAAGAAGTTGAATAATGACAAGTCTAGCCACAGATGTTTCGGCTGCAACAGGCAACCAAAAACAATAACATTTCACTTCCGGTCAAGATTTTCAAAATAAGAAATGTCATCTTCCTCTAGCTCGCCTGTAGATTTAATTTCGACAGCATTCACGCCAAAACAACTCCTAAGGGGATTTAAATACGTGTTCATCATTGAATTTAGTTTAAAAAATAGACAAAAGTTGGGGTTGTGTTTATGAGGTAGTTTAATGTAGCCGTTTACAGACGTGCTGTCACACTGCCATACCATCGGCAGTTTACGGCTCAGAGAAAATAAAGCCTGAGTTCGTCTCTTTACAGTCTCACTTCATCCACGATTTGGAATTATGGGTCTGGTGACAACAGTACTAAAGGCTGACTGGAGTCTTGTGTTTTATTTATTTCTGTCCGGTACTTCTTTAAGAGTTCATGCCTGTCTCGAGAAACAGCAACATCCCGCACATCTGGGTACAAGCATCACAAAACTGCACCATAACGACCGGGACACTTACCGGATTATGTGTCCTCTTCAACCGGCTAAAGGAGCGGACAGCGGGCTCTCAAACCTCCGGTGCAGACGGATGCATGTACCCCCTCGGATGAAAACGTGGATGTTGCTCCCTGCGTCGTGTTGTTGTATGAGGATGATGGATGCCGGGTTGGTAGGAGGAGGAGGGGGGAACTTTCCCTGCTTTATGATTGGGCTCGTGGAGGTGGCGCGTGCTATGGGCCGGGCCTGACGAAAGGAGGGCTCGAGGAGGCTGCGTGGGTTACTCTGTGTCACAAGGAGCCTGAGGCCACCATCTCTTACTGTATAGACATTTAGAACCACAACGCAACCACTATGAATGTTGAGAACCAGGTGATTTCAATAGTGTAATAGGTGGAAATTATTAAAAATATACAGAATATTCAACAAAATATATAAATCACTATGGTAACCACCAGTGGCATACTGAAGCTTTAGAGGAGCAGGGGTACAAACTTTCAAAAAGGCCACCTGCTGTATACCATGGGGCACCACAGTTGTTGCTAATGAAGATCTGTCTCTATCAGCATTATGAAGACCACTTTACAAGCTTTTACTTTTCTGTCACTCTTAAGCATTAAGTCAGTACTTTGACATGTTGTTCAAAAATCAATTTATTGCATCAGTGCAGGGGTGTTGCTGAGAATTCTGGACCCCATTAAAATGTGTCATCCTGGGCCCGTTACTCTGAGCCAACCCTAGAAAGTTATGAGCGCCATGTCTCCATTATGCAAAAAAATGAATAAAATCTTTAAATAGCTATAACTTTGTTTTAAAGTCCTTTAATCAGGAATAAATAATCACAAGAGTAAATGTAATATTTCCCCAGTAAGATCTGGCTTGTCCTTCATATTTTGGTGCCTTTCTAGTCACATTAGATCCTTCTTTGGCTTAATATACCTGGATCCTTTTTGCAAAGACTTAAAGACTCACTCCAATGAAAATCATATTTTTCTTGTTGTCTCCATGTTCATATGGTATTTTTCTGATGCTAGAGGACATACCATGAGAAAAATAAAAGCAAAATTGCATTTCTGAATATTTCTGCATTCTAAATCGCTGTGAATGTCTGGCAGACCCAAACTGCAGGTTCAGAAACAGTAAGATTTCCGATGTCACAACTCCAAGCTCCGCCCCCAGGCCCGGCTCTGCAGGCCAGACTCCAAGAAGTAGAGAGGACGGTCACAGAACAAGTACAGTAGCAGATTGCAATGCTTGTAAGAAAGCTAATTATGATATTAGCTTTTATCCTGTCTCCTAAGACATTAGTGTCTGCTGCACCGGGAATGTTGCGGTGCAAGCTAGCGTGAAGAGGAGTGTGCAGATCAGTGGTGTCTCCGCCCACAACTCAGAGCTACTGGAGCTCTGCAGAAGAAAAGCCCTTGAAAATGACACAAGTAACATGATTTTGGCTAAAAGCTTCAATATCACAATTTAACGACCACTGAGAACACTTGAAATAATAAAAAATATGATCGCAGTGGGACTTTAATGACCTTTTTCCCCTCTTTTCACCATTTGCATTTGCTAGGAGTGCCAGGGGCCTCTAACAGAGACTTCTCAGTATTTTAAGAAAGATTTTTTTTTTTTTAATTAAATTGGGCAGTTTTCGTTTTGCTATAACAGTAATAGTGAAATCAATGAAAACTGTATGTTTAATGCTAAGCAAAGCCCCAACCCCCACCTGGATCCTAGATACTGTAGTTTGTCCCCTCTTTTCTCCCCCTCCTATGCCACTGATTTGTGCCACTTAAACTGGACTTTTAAAAAACATGTAAACACATTAGTCCAACTAAAATCACACCAAATCAAACATCTCCTAGTAAAACTAACATAGATAGAAATATAGTTTGGCATCGATTTCCTTGTCCATGTACATAAGTCAGACTGAAACAGGCCTTATCAGTCTGCACATGCCCCAGTATTTGCATGCCGGACTTTGAAAACCAAACAATTATAAGCCCTTTTTTTCTCAGGTCCAAAGACGGCCGCTTTTTTTTACCCCGCTGAAGTTACTGGATAACACATCAAGTAGGACATTTAGTAAACAGTGTCCGTGAGTCCAGCAGTACAAATTCTGTTTTAATATGCACCTGCTCACATGGGATTTGTTAAGGGCAGAGGGTTCACATGTGATCCAGATTTTCTTGGACCATAGGAGCGGATTTGAGCCAACAATCCTGTGATTGCATACTTTGCTGAGGCAAAGGTACCATAGTTCAACCAATGAAAAAATTCTGTAATGTCTTTACATTGCAGTGTTTGTCTGCTGTTGCATTGGTACAGACCTAAAAATCATGGGTATAAAACTGTGCTCCTGACAGCATGATGACTCACCCTGCAGTGTCTGCAGAGGCAGTGTGAAAGATGGTAGATTCACTGACAAGCAAATAAAATGGTTAAATGAAGCCTTCTGTCCAGTTGTCCTCACTTTTCTCAAACTCCAAGTATTCTTTCACTTCCAAAATTCAATTATCTCATCACTTATGCATAAGAAATTGATCTTCATGGCATTTTGCCGAATTTTCAGCCTGGTTACTAACTTAACATTTTTCCAAGTTCATGAATTAAACACCATCTGTTTTTGAAGTCCTGCAGAAACAGTCAAAGCTTTATCTGTCATTCGGTGATATCCCCTGACTTTAGCAGAGATAATGATAGCATATCAAATCAAATATTTTGTTTTACCAGCAAGTATTAAAGTCTGTTCATCTGTAAGGCCAGATGTCTTATGCAGTTGTCATCTATTGTATGCTGAGCTGCAGTCTCATAGAGATGCTCTGCCTCTTGTCTTACGTCCTCGAAAATGTCTCCAGGCAACTTCAAGATGTGCTGGATAAGAGCTTTATGTCATTTTATTCTCAACCTGGCCTTCACTTGTAACACTCCACTGAGACTGCATACTTCAGTCTCAAATGTAAGAATGCAGGCTGATCCTGATGGAGCCAGTATATATCCATGTTATTAAGTATGATCCCTCAGTTTGGTTAATTCTGAGGATAGCATATGAACAAGGTTAAACTGAAAAATATCAATAAAGTTTTTCATCATCATTTTTTCAAATGACTTTAGGAATTAAATTTAACTAGTGTCCCACTGGGCACTGGCGGGGCAAGCAGCGTCACACTGCCACTAAATTTTAATTGTCTGCTGCCCACTTTGTAGAGGTTTTCCTTTCCATATAATTAGGGTTAAGTAAGAGCTTTTACAAGCTTAACTGCATGACAGAAGCATTCTGATTGGCTCAATAAAAGGTCTGTTCTGATGAGCTTATAAGAAAGGGCATTTTGATTGTATTTGATTAGCTTGAAGGTAAGAAGTCTTCTCATAAGCTAAATAGTAGCTTTCTGATAAGGAAGGAGAAAAAGTAGCATTCTGGTTATCTAAATAATAGCAGCATTGTAATCGGTCAAATATCAAGAACCCTCTGAACTGTTTTTTGAAGGAGCTTCCTGGTTTGCCATTGGAAACAAGCCTCTGATTGGCCAGATTAAACCCGCCCTTTGATAAGATAAGATAAGATAAGATAAGATAAGATAAGCAGAACATTGTTGATCCCTGAGGGGAAATTCGATTGTCTGGGTTCTCATGTCTCAAGTTTTATGTCATCTATTATTAACAGTCAGTTGAAGAGTCTGATGGCTGTAGGAACAAAAAAAAATCTTTTGAATCTTTCAGCCCTGCAGTGAAGTAAGAGAAGCCACCCACCACTATTGGCCCATTGGTCCGTCACAGTGTTAAAAGTGGGTGATCCATGTTCTTTAGAATAGTCCCCACCTTCCACATTGTTCACCTCTCCACCACATCCTCCACTGAGTCCAGCTTGAATCCAAACACAGAGCCAGCTTTTTTTCACCAGTTTGTCCAGACACCTTGCATCCTTGTGTTTGATACTCCCTTCCCAGCAGACTGCAGCGTAGAGCAGAACACTGTAGACACCACAGACTGATAAAACATCTGCAGCATCTTACTACAGATCTCTCTTGATTGTAGTCTTCTCAGGCAAAGGAGGTGGCTCTGCCCCTTTCTGTAGATGAAGTCTATGTTCTTAGACCAGTCCAACTTATTATCCAGGTGTATACCTAAATAGTTATATGATGAAACCACCTCAATGTCCACAGGTGTTCACTGTCTGAAGAGGGGGTTTGAATCAGCACAATATGATTGTCTTTGTGGTGTTGAGTAAGAGGCAGCTTGAGTGACTCCTCTCACTGAAGGCTCTTACCAGATCCCTGTATTTGGCTTGTGGTCCATTTCTGATACATGCCACAATAGCATTGATGGGCCAGATAAAAGTAACTATCTGATTGGCTGATGAAGCAAATCTCTGATTAGCTGGAAAAAAAGGAGCCTTCTGCTTGACTGATTGGAAGTAAGTCTCTGATTGGCTGGATTAATAAGCAATTAATGGCTATTAATAATAGGATTCACTCAAAAACTCTTTAGTTGGATGCATGCAGATAGGTGGCTTCATTTTTAAGTTCAGCCAGTGCAATCTTTTTAGACTGCACTCTTTCCTCTTCTCTCTTCATCCTCTTAATCTGCTCATTTTTCCTGCTCAGTTTCTATTTGTTCTCCTACATCACGTGTTCATTCATGTTCTTTCATTTTTCTTTTACATCATTTTTGTAACTGAAGTTTTAAAACTTCAACATTTTTTTTTTCAGAATCTATTTCAAAGTTGCTTCTGAGCACCACAATGGGCCCAAAGTGCTCCTCTGAGCCAGAGTTCTGTGAGACTGAAGGAGCAATAAAAAGATCTTAAAGGTGCTGGTGCTGCATTCAGGCCTGTGGGCCGTGACTCCTGGCTCAGCTTTTGGCTGACTTTCACCGGAGAACCTGCTCCATCCTCTCCAAAGACGAGCCTCACTTAGGTAAACAAACCTCCAAAGCCCCAACCAGGGCTGATGCTGTCTCATGCATTCATTATTCAAACAATCACTAGCTGAGTAATCCGAAATTCATCCAAATTTATCTCACATCACAGTTAATGTAGAGAATAATATGTTAGAGCATATTCACTACCATTAACTGCAATAATCATAGTCTCATCATAATTTGGTACATCTATTTTGTAACATTAACAGATCACTTTTTTTTAGGCTCTTGTGTGTTCGATGTTCTGGGTCCCTGCAATAAA